GTTACCTATAACCGTCAAGAACATCTAATCTTTAACATAGTATAAATTAAAGATATAAATATTATCCTTAGAATCCTATAGTTATAACAACATAACCTAAGCATAGATTAAAGAACAAGCTAACTTTAATAGAAAGATTTAACTATAAGGCAACATTATAAGCTATAACCCTTAAATAAATTAAAGCAATATAAATACATTATATATATTAAAAGAATTAAGCCTACAAAAAACAATCAATTTAAATAATTCATTAACAATCAATAAAAAAAAAAATACCTCTCTCTAATCCCAAAACAATACTACAAGTACACTAAACTCTTTACTAAAGAATTAGAAACTAGCTTACCTAAACATAACTCATACAACCACAAGATACTACTTAAAGAAAAAGCACACCTAAAGTTTTACAAAATCTATAGACTTAATAAAACAAAACACAAAACACTTAACAAATACCTTAAAAAAAACCTATACAAAGGTTATATCCAACCATTAACATCCCCTACAAAATACCTAATATTATTTATACTAAAAAAGAATAACAAACTACAACTCTATATAAATTACCAACAACTTAACAACATTACAATCAAAAACTACTACCTACTACCTCTTATCTCAGAATTACAAGACTAGCTATACTACACCAAATAGTTCACAACTATTAACCTCAAAGAAGCCTACAACCTAATCAAAATAAAGAAAAGCAAGAAGTAAAAAACATGTTTCTACACCAAGAAAAACAACTTCAAGTATCTAGTCATACCTTTTAGACTCACTAACATACTTACCACCTTCCAAACAATAATCAACCATATCCTAAGAGAATTTCTAAATATATTTATTATTATCTACCTAAACAATATACTTATTTACTTCTATACCCTTAAAAAACATAAAAAGTATATTTATACTATACTTTAATAACTATAAAAAGCTAAATTACTAGTTAAACCTAAAAAAAGTATATTTTATAGTTAATAAGTTAACTTCTTAAAATTCACTATTACACTAAAAGAAATTTAAATAAAAAATAAAAAAATTATAGCTATTAAAGACTAGCCTTAACCTTAAAATATTAAAGATATCTAATCCTTTTTAGGATTTATTAACTTTTACTAATAATTCCTTAAAAAATATTCTAATAAAATTAACCCTTTTATTAAGCTTACTAGAAAAAATATACCCTTTAAATAAACTAAAAAATAAAAAAAAGCCTTTAAAGAAGTTAAGTAATAAGTTTATTTTAAACCAGTTTTAATTATTCTAGACCTAAAAAAACCTTTTAAACTAAAAACTAATACTTTAAATTATACTATCAATAAACAACTTAGCTAACATAACAACAAAAAAAAGCTACACCCTTACACTTTCTTCTCTTAAAAGCTTAACAAAACTAAACTTAATTACTAAATCTATAACAAAGAACTTATAGTAATTATTAAAGCTTTCTAAGAATAAAAACCTTAATTATCCAAAACTAAATATAAAGTCAAGGTCTATACTAACCATAAGAACCTTACTTACTTTACCACCTCTAAAGTCCTTAATAAATAACAAATCAAATAATTTAAATTCTTATTAGAATTTAACTTCAAAATCATTTACATTAAAGGATCAAAGAACAAAAGAGCTAATACCCTAAGCTAAAGACTAAACCACAAAACCCTAATACCAAAAGAAACTCAAGTCATCCTTAAGAAGAACAAGAACAGCAACCTTGTCCTAGCATAAAAACTCATTATAATCAGTACCCATATTAATACTAGTATAACTAGCAAAATAACACCTAAACAGATCATGGAGATTCATAGTACTAAGGCCCATAGACACCAAAGAGTTACCAAGACATTTAAACAAATTCAATAATATTATAATACATAAGTCACTTAAACAAAAGTAGCTTTAATAATTAAGAATTATAATATATATAAAAAAAACAAAAATAGTCTACATAAACCATATAAACAATTATAACTACTACTAGTACTACTAAAAGCCTAGCACTTAATCTCTTTAAACTTCATTATTAAACTCCCTAAGTCAAAAAAACTACTCACAAAAACCTACTATAATAACATATTAGTTATTATTAACTAACTTACAAAATACATATACTTTATCCTATACTTAGAGTTAAGTACAGCAAAAGACCTAGCATACACATTTTTAAAATACATCATTAATAACTACAAATTACCTAAAAAAATCATATCTAATAAAAACAAATTATTTACATCTAAGTTTTAAAAATCCCTAATTTTATAACTAGGAGCTAATCATAAGCTATTAACCGCTTTTTACCTACAAACTAATAAACAAACTAAACAAATTAACTAAATACTAAAACAATATCTATAATATTATATTAACTATAACTAAAACAATTAAGTACCACTACTACTAATAGCCTAATTCACCTATAACAATACTATAAAAGAAAATACACTAAACTCCTTATTCTACCTAAATTACAGATTCAAGTTTATAGTATATAAAGAACCTTAACAAAGACTATAAGCACTAAAGGCTATAGCAAATTACAACAAATTACAAGAAATCCAAAGAAACACTACTAAAGACCTTAAATTTATTAAAGTATAAATAAAGAAATATACTAACACATTAAGGGTTAAAAGACTAACCTTTAAAAAGAAAAATAACATATATCTTTTATAATATAATATCAAAACAAAAAGACTAAATAACAAATTAAACTATAAAAAACTTAGACCTTTCAAAATCATTTAAAAAATCTTAGACATTAACTTTAAACTTAACTTACTAAACACAATAAAAATCCATCCAGTTTTTCATATTACATTACTTAAACTAATACTACAAAGATTAAATATTAACAACTATATTATTATAAAACTAAATAAACTAAAATATAAAATCAAATAAATTATTAATAAATAAAAAAAAAATAAAAAAGCATAATATCTTATTAAATAAAAAAAGTATAAACATAAAAACAACTCATAAAAACCAATCAAGAACCTCCAGCACTCCCAACAGCTACTCTAGAACTATCACAACTCACAGACACATTAGAACCAGACGCTTACACCAGCAGCCCTAAGTCCAAGAACTTATCACTAAGCCCATACAAGAACCAGTCCACATCATTAAGCACCTACATAAACTATAACTCCTCTACCATTCCCTATTTATAAGCATCTAATATTAACTTTAAAGCATTAAACTTATTAATTTCTTATATACTATAACAAAAAGTTTTAGCTTAACGCTTACAAACAAGCTTCTAGGTTTTCTAAATCCTAAATAAACAACTAGCTACAATAGCCATTAAAGACTATAATCAAACAAGTTCTTTATAAAGCCTTAAAAGCTCCTTACCTACTACCTCTTTTTTCTTATTCTACTCCTTTTACTAAGCATTTAATTTTTATACTATAAACAAAAGTTAAACAAAAAAAACTACACCTAATTAAAAGACACTTATAAATAAAAGCTACTAAAACATTATTATAAGGCTTCTTAGCCTTAATATAGCTTTAATAATAAAAAAAACCTTTACTAAAACAATAAATAGTCTTTATATAAAAATAACAAGTATAAAACATATTAGTAACAATAAAATAAGCTTTAATAAACTCTAAAAGCATAAAGCGCTTATAATCTTTTATCTTTATCTTCTAAGATTTCGCCTTTAATTTTAATTTTTCTATATAACTTAATATAATATTAGTATTATAAATAAATAAAGAAATAAGTTTAATAACTCTCTAACCTAAAAGAAATAACCTACTTATAAGGTCTTAAAAACAAAACCTTTAAAGAAAAGACCTAATATTATAACCTAACAAGCATAACATAACTAGGGTCACCCCACAAACACCTAGTAGTTATAAAATAAGGTTATATATAAGATAATATAAGAACACATTAATCCCCTCTTAGAATAAAAAAACTAAGAAAAGTTATATAAAAATAAAAAAAACTAATAACAAATAAATAGTCTATAACCTAGAACTAATATACTAAAGATCAATCCTTATCAAAGACCAACTTCAAGAGATTAGTCCCAATAAGGCAACAATAGGATATAAAGACAATCGTTCCAACTAGACTAGATACCTTCTATAGCTCTTTAGCAATCAACTTCGTAATTCACTCTCTTATAAAGTAACTCTTAGATTATCCTTCTATTATAAAGCTATAAAGCTATCTATGCCTAGACGTGCCTGACTGATCACCAGACACCAACAGACCAGCAAGATTACCAACGAGACTTACCTTACTGTTACCGAGTATCAACCTCAGCTACCTATTAGCAGAAAACACCACTGTCGGATATCTGACCGTAACATAAAGATAATAACTTTAAAATAGCATTAGTGTCATCACTGCCAGTAACACTAACGCTAATAATAACATCACAGGCACTATCATAATATAAGTCATAATACTACGTAATCAAGGATAGTATAGATACCTAGCGAAGTAGAGGCATAATAGAGAATAACCTACTTACTTCCCTATCAACATAGGTTAAAAAGAAATAGTAATATATAGTCAATGATAATGCTAGTAATAATACTATTATAATAGCAATTTAAATTTTTAGTTATTGTGCAAAAAGGGAAAAAAAGGTATTGCTATAAAGCCCTAGATTAGGGCTATTAATAAGTATTACTCTTATTATTATATGACGTTGTGGTTGTTGTGGTCTTTTGAATTAAAAAGTAGAGGTTTCTGTGTATAATAGGCAAAAGTGATGCTATTTGTGATGCGGGGTAGCAACCCCCTTTTCGTAGTGGCAACCCGGTTTTCTTGCCCCTTACGTGAGTAAGGGGTTTTTAGCGCAGCAGACTTGATGACTAAAACCCCTGGGTAGTAGGGTCACGTCATGATTCCCATCCTACCTTTACCCATCTCAGCGACTACACCGAATCATTGCATACATTCACCATTCGCAGCACTGTCTTCCGACATCTTTGTTCCAGGAAAACGACCACAAAATTCCCGACATGACGAACGTTGACACGTCAATCGGCGCTCACACCACCGGTGCCGCAGCGCGGTTCGCTGCCGAGCACTCGGAAGAGCACCCGTTGAAGCTCTACGGAGGCTGGTTCTGCCCCTTTGTGCAGCGATCATGGATAGTACTCCACGAGAAGCAGATCCCACACCAGTACATCGAGATCAACCCTTACAAGAAGGATCTTGAATTTCTTAAGATGAACCCTCGAGGCCTAATCCCGACCCTGGCCGTCCCTGTGGATGTAAAGGGGAACGACCAACGGCCACTATACGACAGTACAGTAGTTTCCGAGTATCTCAACGAGGCCTATGCAGGCAACAACTACGGCCCGCATCTTCTTCCGGAGACACCGTACGATCGCGCGAGGTGCAGGCTGTGGATAGACCACATTAACTCACGCATCATACCGGGTTTCTACAAGTTCATCCAGCATACACCTGAAAAAGAGTACAGCATCGAGCAGGCTCGAGAAGAGTTCCTAGGCAACATAAAAACGTTCACCAAGGAAATGGCTCCTGAGGGGCCTTGGTTTCTTGGTCAGACGTTCAGTCTAGTTGATGTCATGCTTGCCCCATGGGCGATGCGTTTATTCCTCTTTGATCACTACAAGCCGGGCGGTCTTGGACTTCCAACTGAAGGACAGAGTGAGGATGACAATAGGATCTGGCAGAGGTGGAGGCAATGGTACGATGCTATCCAAGAAAGACAGAGTGTGAAAGACACACTCAGCGATAGCGATTCCTACATCGAGGTGTACAAGCGGTACGCTGAGGACAAGACAAACTCGGAGGTAGGGCAGGCAACGAGAGGTGGGAAGAACCTGCCCTAAGCACTGCCAATACAAGCCACATATAGTGTGTGGTCTTTCTGATTTTGAAAAACTCAGCCGGTATATGTACCCTTCGGCTAAGTTACGCAGAAGCTGGGCTCCTTCGGTAACTTGATCATATCAGACACTAAACAGGTTCTAGTGACAAATGAGACAGATAATAAGAACATAACTCGCAGTCTTGCGATGCTCCTTGATCGGGTCTTGGCTGACTGCCGTGACACTCAGATCGCCTGTCTCCTTGTGTGCGCGCCCGACTATCATCGGGGCCCTCTCCGACTCAACCGTCCGGATTCGAAACCGATCACGCTCAAATTTCCATTTACCCCACATTCAACCATATCGGATTGTGTATCCGGCCAGTTTTGAGGACTCTCACCAGACGTGTGCCAATACACCACCAAAAATTGCATGAATGCCTATCTCGTCACCTCGTGACAGCGCACAGCTGGCCATCCTACCCCGCGTTCAAGGCGGGGGGTATCGATAAGCTGGCAGCAGTCATTCATGTAGCTGTTGAGTTTCCAAGTCCAGATTACTCGTCAGACACTTCCGATCTCGTTACAGGCTGGCGGATCAGGTTTAAGTGGTGGGAGTCGGTAGTGTGGCTCACTAGGATGTCACACTGTGACATATCTTAAAGGCGAAACTCCCAGTCGATTAGATGATGTTATGTGCAAGTCAAGCACTCGCGAAAAGTTCACGATGAGGCCTTCATACTGCAAACCGGTCCTTGCGGCGAGAAACCCCCTGAGTCATCAATTCACAACTACCCTAACGTATATACCTGAGTCGAGTTTCTTCAGCACGATATCCGCCTCGAGATCCGCCTCGACCGCCCCTCTGGTTGTCAAGCAGGGCACCAAATTTGCAGTGCCGTCCACCTTGGCAGCTTTGCCTACATCAGTACTTATGAGATCTCTCTTAGTCTCAGCCATTTCGTCCAAGCCATTGCTTCTCCGACCAGCACTTGCAGTTCTCTCGTTTCTCACAAAACCAAACAGAGGCTTCTTCACAGATGTCGACCGAAATCCCATACTGCACTTGGTTTTGAAAAGTGTTTTCTATAAGCAATTCTGCGCAGGAGAAACACCGAAAGAGACGAAGGACACCATGTGTCATCTGCGGTTCATGGGCTTCCGGGGCACGATTCTCACATACGCAAAAGAAACCATTTTCGATGCAAAGACAAACACGGCGCACGGCTTGGGCATCGAGTCGGAGAAAAACGCGAAATCCAAATATTGTGCGACAATCGAGTCATGGAGAAAAGGCGCCTTGGACACTGTTGAACTTCTCGGAGATGGGGACCAACTTGCCTTGAAGTACGAATCCATCCCTAGTATCACAACTAAAAATTGAATGCTGACAAAAAGGTACTGCAGACTTACAGGAGCTGGATCCCGTGTCACGGAAGCCTTTGCAGCAAGACAGCTGCCTCCACAGCAGATGATGGACGCTCTCAAAGAAATCAGCCAAAGGTGCAAGGACCGCGGCATTCGACTCTTACTAGACGCTGAGTCGCAACATTTCCAATGGGGCATTTTCCTTGCTGGCTTGGAGCTTATGCGCAAGTTTAACCGTGACGGCTACGCTACAATTTACAATACCTACCAAGCATACTTGAAGAGCACCCCGGATACTCTGGCTAGACATCTGGATATGGCAAATCAAGAGGGCTTCACACATGGTTTGAAGTTAGTCAGGGGCGCATACATCAGCTCGGACGAGAGATCATTGATTCACGATACCAAGAGTGACACTGACAACGCCTTCGATAGTATTGCACAAGGCGCTCTCAAATGCCATGTTGGCGCATACGGTGCCCCAGATGGGAAGCCCTTCCCGTCGCTCAACCTCTTTCTCGCCAGCCATAACAAGCACAGCGTTGTGACAGCGCACAAATTGCATCATCAGAGACGCAAGGATGGGCTGCCGACTGTACCAGTCGGCTTTGCGCAGCTGCAGGGCATGTCGGATGAGGTTAGCTTCTCGCTGCTGCAGCTGAAGGATGAGGAACAAAGTCAGGATGCCTCGCCGCAGGTGTGGAAGTGCTCGACATGGGGGACCATGGGCGAGTGTGTGGCGTATCTTTTGCGGAGAGCGGTGGAGAATCGCGATGCGGTGTCAAGAACAGTGGACGAGTACTCGGCTCTGAAAGCGGAAGCGGGTAGGAGACTAAGGTCTAGAGTCTTTGGGTCTCGTCAGCCTGTAGCTTCAAGATAAGATGATCACTTTCGTTAATCCAAAACCTTATCTGCGTTGTGGGTGGCAGCACCTGTTCTGGTGCTTGTGTGCCGTGAAGCGGGCGTAATGTCGGATGCCGTCCCGGTGTCAACCCCACTCTGTGATTAAACCGCGGAGGAGCTCCCGCTAGACGCAAAAGTTGTGAGGGGTAGATGAAGTGACAAGGGTAGCTTCATCCTCAACATCCATGCCAGTCGTCAGGTACCAACCCAATTCGTCCGTTTATAATTCTACAATATATTGTCCGTATACTTTGTCTGTTGCGTCGTCTACGACCTGCAACATCAGCACTTCGCCGTTTTTTCTCCCCTCATAACTCGTCTGCCTATAAGAGTTGGCACTCAGAAAGGGAAAGAAACCTCACCATGGAATCTTCCAAAAGCCTGACATTGTGCATTCTGGGTTGTGGTAAGCTAAGGAAATGTCTTAAATTGTTGTGTTGTCTCTCTAAGCAGTTCTTGAAGGAAATTTAGGAACCCCTATACTGAAAGCACTGCTGGATGATGCCAAAGGTTCATTCAGCACTCTCCCTATCACTCAGTTCATCGCATGTGTTCGAAGCGAGAAATCGGAACATTCTTTGCGGGAACGGTTTCCTGTTGCGGAAAACAAGCTCGTCATTTCTAGGGGCGATAACGTTGCTGCACTCGACAGTTCAGACGTCATCATCCTGGGTGTTGATCCTGGTGATGTGGAGGCGGTTCTATCACATCCAGGCACGAAGGAGGCTTTGAAAGACAAGCTTTTGATTAGTGTAGCTGCTAGCTGGACTAGAGGCAAACTGGAGGCAGTTATATACGGTAGCGAGACCACAATCGAAAACAAAGAGGGTCGTGCCTGGATTGTGCGGACGCTTCCTAACATTGCGGCAATGGTCTCTCAATCACTCACGGCGATCGAGATATCAGAGCCAGCTGTTCCTTCTCGTCACCTAGAACTCACTGAAGCCATTTTCAACAAGATTGGGAAGACAGTACAGATTGCGCCCAAGCTCATGAACGCAACAACGGCCCTTGGAGGCTCCACGCCAGCATTCTTCGCAGTATTTTGCGATGCTCTTATTGATGCTGCAGTTGCCGTGGGCGTCCCGAGGAACTTAGCGCACATCATGACGTTTCAGTCCATGCTGGGAACTGCGACACTGATGCAGAGCGGTTTACACCCAGCTCTGTTGAAGGACCAAGGGACATCACCAGAAGGTTGCACGATTGGAGGCCTGATGGTGTTGGAGGAAGGTGCTGTAAGGGGACATATCGGGAAGGCTTTGAGGGAGGCTGTCACCGTAGCACGTCTGATGGCCAGCCAACCCCATGTTAACGATACGAGGCACTGAATTGATTCGAGATGATGGAAAGTGTCAGAAAATTACTACTATTGACGAGAATATGGAAATCCGCGTCAACGTATAGCTCACATAGGCTTGCTTGTGTATGTTACACGAGCAAGCCAAACCTGGAAAAATGTCCGCAGCTCCAGATTTGCCAAACACCCGATTCCAAATGCTGGTATGGCCCTGAAACAACGTATAACAACAGTTGATGACACATGTTCCCTTGTCCGGGCCATTCTGTCAGAGAACGGCAGCCTGCTCTGTCTCTCGTAATAGTCAAGCGCAAGAAGGTGTATCGGCGAAGCAACCAACTGCGACATAACTGGTACTGTTAGTTGCGTGATGGTTGCCTTGGCATGTGAGGAAACTGTCATTGAGTTTGGGGCAGCAGCCGAAACCCAATTTGGAAGCGTAAATGACCCAAAGATAGTCACAGCATCCCTGACAAGGAACGTCGCCGTTGCGGCTCTGGGAAGCTTACGGGGTGATGCGAATACCTTGCCCGTCTCGGATATAGCCCCCGACCCAAAGATCTCTGCAAAACGGAGGTCTTTCCACACCCCCAGGGGCACATTGACGAGGAAAGTGGAGGCGAAGGTGGCCGTGCTGACGGCAACCGCTCCATGGAATATCTCGGCAACGGTGGTTGCGGCATTTGCGGTGACGTATGTTGCCGCATATAGGGTCCAGACGATTCCGATGGGCCGGGCGAGGAAGAAGCCGCGGGGTCGACTGATAGCGGAGTGTAGCTGGGAGTGGAGCCCTCGGATGAGGGGCCGTCCTGTTGTTGTCCGCTCAACGACGGCTCTGTTTGCTGGTTGTTAGTTTTGATCAAGGGTCCTATCGGAGATTTTGAGCTGGCTTACCTGTCTAGCATAGTGATTACTGGAGAGATCAGCATGGCAGAGATGGAACCTGCCGCCAAATCACCTGCAAACTTGCCCATAATAGAGCCTGCATCTTGATCTATGCGGTCCCCGCCTCCTCGATTATGAATTGGTGCCATCTGTAGATGGAGTTTAGAATTGGAATAGGAAAACGCAAAACTGTCGCTTACCTACATGGTGTGGTTTCCGTCATACTTATCTATGTTTCCATACCCACAATTTAAATATTCTGGTCGTTAAAATGACCAGAGGTGATCTATATTGCGATTTCTGAAGCAACTGCACACGTATCACTTTTATCATTACATTGTACAGTCAAGGCACTATCCTTGCTTCGGCGTTTGCACCGTACAAAATCTCTAAAGAAGGTCATTGAACGTGGTCAGAAACCTGGCAGATGGCAATTGTCAGTTCAGAGGGCATAAAGCAGCAGCCAGAATTCCGTATTCTACAATTTTACAACCAAGATGGGGTACGGGGGCACCTACGGCTGTCAATCCCAAGGTGCAAAATATGCGGGGAAGCGTAACATGGACTCCGCCCGTACTGGCGGGGTCCTGCAGCTCGATATCGGCAGGCCGTCCGGAGAACCCCCGCACCGGGATACGCCCCGTCCGATCTCGGCATAAGTAGAGAAATGACATCGATTGAATTAATGATTGGGCTACAGATGAGAAGTGCTATCGGGAGCTTGACCGGCACAGCGCAATCATTGTCGAATAAGAGGATGCGACTTCAGAGTCGTAACTGCTTTCCGTGTTCCAGACTCATCGAGCTAATACGCAAGGAAAGGATCCAGCATCAACACCCTTGTTATTGGGAAGCCGGAAAAGCCGTCCCACCATCTAGGTTCACTCCAAATCAACCGCAACAGTCAAAATGCAAGCCGCCAGGATTATGAAATCTACAAGGTCTGCGAGGTCTTTCACAGGAGGACTGCGCCCAAGCGCAGCTCCCGTAGTCATCTCACAACGAAGGACAAAGTCGACTGTGCCATTCAGGTTACCCGATCCGAGGAATGAGCACAATGTGAGTTTACTACCGCTATTCGGATGGATTCCAAGTGTGCGTCCGCTGACTTTAGTGCTAAAGCCGACCTACGAGAAGAACTCACCGGAACGCGCAAAGTTAGAAGAGGCTCTTAGCAAGCTGCGCGCTCAACTGCCAGCCAAGAGTGACCTGTTCTACAACGGGCAGACCCAAGCAGCGAAAAAGTCTTTCAACACCGTTCTTCCATCCGAGCACGCAACCACTTTCTCAAACTTTCCCCTCGCATCGAAAGAACAAGTTTCTTCTGCTATCGAGTCGGCTTTGAAAGCGAAGAAGAGCTGGGAAAACACCCCTTTCGTCGACAGAGCAGCAATCTTTCTCAAAGCCGCGGAGCTCGTGGTGACTAAATACCGATATGAGCTTATCGCAGCAACTATGTTGGGTCAGGGCAAGAATATGTGGCAAGGAGAGATTGACGCGGCCGCCGAGCTGGCAGACTTTTTCAGGCTAAACTGTAACTTTGCTGCTGAAATCCTCGAAAAACAGCCCACTCGTGGTTCTGACGGTATGTGGAGGTTAGTATCTTATAATGTACATTGCATGCCCTTTTCAGGGTGTCATTTAGCTAACTCAGGTCCAGTCGCCTAGAGTGGCGTCCCCTCGAAGGTTTTGTCTACGCTATCTCACCCTTCAACTTCACTGCAATTGGTGGCAACCTGATCTCTGGTCCTGCACTGATGGGCAATGTTGTTATCTGGAAGCCTTCGCCCAGCAATATTTACGCCAGCCAGCTTCTCTATAACATTCTTCTGGAGGCTGGTCTTCCCCCAAACGTTATCCAATTTGTCCCCGGCGACGCCGAAGAAGTGACTGACGTTGTACTTAACCACCGCGATTTTGCTGGTCTCAACTTTGTCGGTTCTTCTGACGTTTTCCGCTCTTTATACGCCAGGATCGGCGAGGGCATTGGTAAGAAGACCTACCGTGAGTTTCCTCGCGTGGTCGGTGAGACCAGTGGAAAGAATTTCCATCTAGTTCACCCCACTGCCGACATTGAGCACGCTGTCAATCACACCATTCGCGGAGCGTTTGAATACCAGGGCCAAAAGTGCTCTGCTACCTCCCGTGTCTACCTTCCCCAATCTAGGGCCGAGGAGTTCCTCTCCAGCCTAACTTCCAAGGTCAAACAAATCACCATCGGAAGCCCTGACGGCAAACTGGACGCTTTCATGGGCCCTGTCATTCATGAGCGCTCATTCAACAAAATCAAGAAAATCATCGACGAGAGCAACACAGACTCTTCATTGAAGTTGTTGGTCGGTGGCACTTACGATGGCTCAGATGGATATTACGTCAACCCTACGGTCTATTTGGCGGATTCTCCCGATCACCGCCTCTTCAACGAGGAAATTTTCGGCCCCGTTCTGACTGTCTCAGTCTACCCCGATGCTGAATGGTCCTCGACTCTGAAAGAGGTTGATCAGAGTGGAGGCGGCTTCGCCCTGACTGGGGCTGTCTTCGCCAACGACAGAGTCGCTATTCGTGAAGCGGAAGACGCTCTGCGCTACTCTGCAGGCAACTTCTACATCAGTAAGATCCAATCCTTTTCCCATTTTCAACATTCCCAATGTTAAGTCTTATTTCTTCAGATTGCAAAACCACCGCTGCATTGATCGGGCAACAATCTTTCGGTGGCGCCCGCGCTAGTGGCACCAATGACAAGGCAGGAAGCGCCGACGTCATGCGCCGCTTCGTTAGTCCAAGACTTATCAAGGAAGAGTTTTTCCCCCAGACCGAGTTCTTGTACCCAAGCAACAAGTGAAATAAGATAGCCCGGGTCTGAATATTGGTCTTCCTATTATATGGCGCAATATATAAGTTAGGGCTAGTTAAACAAAACGCACGTGTTTTAAAACTATTCCAAGCTTTAAGCTTATCCTATAGCGTAGCATTCCATCTTGATAGCCTCTTTCACTTTCATAACTCAGTCGACTAAGCTTTGATGCTTTAACTCATATCTGGTGATGTTGTTGCTTGGCTGACCGGATATTAGAGCAAAGTTGCTTGCACTGAGCATTGGACTGATGTAAGATTAATATTTGGTTAATAGCCTTCGTCGAGGCTCCTGGAGCGATCTTACCTTATTAGGTTTACCTGTACCTCATCTCAGATGTTCTTATACTCGCCAGGATTACTTAAGCCTGCAAAACTGACCACTATGTCTCGGGCCGTCAAATGGAGATGTAGGTAAATTTACCGACCTATCTTGTTGCAGTAGACGTCTCGCAGACGATAAAACTCACCAACACTCTGGAGTTACCCACAATCTACATGGCACGTCCGTTGTCTACCCGATCTTTGTATCCAATCTCCATTCCTCAGGTTTCAAATCAAGCCACAAGCTTGTCGCTCATCGCTGCGCCAGAGGAATCGGTCGAATCCCCGGCCATCCAGTTGCGGTCCCACATTGATTGAGTTGTCCAATGGCAGCCACAGGCCTCGACCGGATGCGCTTCCGGCCACATCAGGACTCGTGACACAGATAGCCGGCTCAACTTCCGTCCTGATAACACAGCCATACGACCACACCAGTCTTTTTGTGAATGAAAGCACAACCGGCTGTGGTACCTTGTTATATTACGCTGCGTTGATATCCCCGCTCAACGCAGATACGCTAACCTTTACCCGAGACAGTTTATGATGCCATTCGTATCGAAGAATCTATGATGCGAAGACGGGACATGGGTCCGACTCAAGATGTTCCTGGACTCTTCAAATAGCCATAAACACCAGCTGAAGATATCATACGTCAACAGTGATAGCAACACTTGGGTCCTACACCGCATCGAACACTGATCATCCACAAACCTTTGGCAATCTCCGACTCAGCCACCTCCCACAATGGTCAAAAATAAATCTGAGCCTATCATCATTGTGGGTGCCGGTGCTTTTGGCCTATCCACGGCATACCAACTTTGCTTGGCTGGTTATACGGACATTTCCGTTTTCGACAAGCACGAGCAAATACCACCTCGAGACTCTGCTGCCAACGATATCAACAAAATCTTCAGAGCAGAGTATGAGGACCCCTTCTATACTAATCTCACTATTGTAAGTCTATTGGAACACATTATAGTTAAATGTTTGCAAACTAAGTAGAGCCAGGAAGCTGCGGCTGCGTGGCAAACACCCCTTTTCGCGCCGTCGTTTCATCGGACCGGATTCCTTCACTGTGTCTCAGGGGAAGCTCCTGAGCGAGCTGCTGAGACTCTGCACAGATTCCAAAAGGCGTCAGAGGACCACCCAGTCCTGTCAAAATATGTGGTCCCCATTAACGGGGGTGACGACATTCATCATAATTGCTGGCAGTATGGCGAAGGTCCATGTTCTAAGTGGAAGGGATATCTTAACCGCTTCGACGGCTATGTACACTCCGGAAACGCGTTGATTGCTCTTTACAACGCAACTCGAGTACGTGGAGTCAAATTCTTTCTGGGCCAGCATGGTGCCGTAAGGGATGTTGTCTACCAAACCTTTATGGGACGGGAAGCTACCGGTATCAGGACTGAAGCTGATCAGCATATACCGGCGAAGCTCGTCATTGTTGCTGTTGGGGCAGCGGCGGCGAGCTTGGTTCCGGAGTGTAGTAACCAAGTTGTGGCCAAGTCGTGGTCTGTGGCTCATGTTAAGCTTACCGATGACGAGACCTCCGCTCTTCGGGGCATTCCAGTCACTTACGCACGAGATCTTGGGTTCTACTTCGAACCTGACCCCAAGACCAACTTGCTCAAGCTCTGTCCCATGGGAGGAGGCTACGTCAATACAGACCCAAATTCCGGAATCTCCCTGCCCCCAACGTACGAGGAAAGCCAGTTCATGCCGCTTCATGACCAAGTGAAGGTGCGGCAACTTCTGGCCGAAACTCTCCCAGCCCTCAAAGACCGGCCTTTAATCAAACAGACCATTTGTTGGTTTGCGGACACAGCAGACTCAGATTTCATCATCGATTACGTTCCCCAGTCAAGTAGCTCAGTGCTGTTGATGTCTGGTGATTCAGGCCACGCAGCTAAATTGATCCCGCTCATCGGCGCCTGGGTTAAGGACTTGCTTGAGTCACCAGACAACAAGCAGCCTGTGCCGAGATGGCGGTGGAAGGGGCCCAAGGAGAATGAGAGTGGGAAGTGGGGTGATACTGTCAGCTGGCGTTTGGGTAGTACTGTAGAGTTCGCCGAGATTCGCAACGCAAGGACATCAAAGTTGTAGATTAAGCTGATAGCTAGTCTATGGTCCATCACTCAATTGGCAAGCACAGTGACGGTCATAATATCGATAAATAAAATGAGTATAGGTCTTGCATCGAATAATCCGTCCAACTTTACAGCTTCCTGTCCGAGATAATGGAAGCATTGAAGGATCTGGTCTACTACGTTTCTAGCCTGTAAGCCCGTCGCCTAATGTAGTTTTCAAGGCCTACCCCAATAGTCCTGGAAATGGTTGAGTGACAAAAAAGAGATAGGAATCACATTAGGTCTAGGATAGCAGTTCTTTCTAGTAGACCCAGAGTTCTCCGCCAAGCAGTGATTCTTTGTGAAGTGTTCAATATTGCTATTACAGCGGATGAGAAACCGAATTTACCAAATACTATGCTCCACTATCGTCTGAGACATCCATTCAGAATCTTCTTGCTCGATGGAATTAGCCATATCGAGTAACTGCGCCATCGTAAGCCCGCTATCATACATATCATCTGTGTTGCCTGGTATCGAGGATGAATAGCACTCATGGTGTGAATGATCTGTTGCCAATGAAATGGCAGTGTCTTGAGGACTTGAAATGTCGAGAGGTCGCGTCTGCTGAGCATGATTCACAAGAGTTGTCTGCTCCGAAGACTGAGCTGGCCATGGTGTGAGCTCTTGCAACATGCTTTCCAGCTGCTGTAGCTCAGACTTTCGGAACTTGGCCACAGCGTTTCCCGCCATAATCATCTCGTCAAAGACGCCGTAAACCTTCTCCAGTGAAGGATCAAGACAATCAAAGCACTGTGGGTCAATCGAGGGCCCCAGGAGAAGACTACTGGCGGAAACAAATAATGCCTCTAGATCGAAAGGAAGGAAGGTCTCTGGGAGAGACAAGTCAGCGAAGCTAGGAGACAACTTAGTTGACAACTGCAGCGGCTCACCTAGCAGTCCTTGTGACTGAAGACAGTCAAGGATGGACACCATTTGCTGCGAGGAATCGATGCACATTTGGATCAAGTTTCGTACTGTCTGAGAAGAACCAACAAGCTCGATGCATTTACTCTGGGATTCAAACCTTATCTTCAAGAAGCAGAAAAGCAAGGGCCTTGTGGCGAGTACAATGCACTAGGAAAGTCATTATCTTAGTCTTTACTGCTTAATTCTAGTGTAGTCTTGTTGGATATGACATACCTGATGGTGGAGGAGATGTAAGTGTGCTGCTGTCCTGGAGATACAACTTGTATCTTTCTCCAGCGGTAGCGCAAAAGACTGTTGAAGTTCGTCGGCAACTTCAGCGACGCCGGCAAGTACTTCCTTGGTGCCAAGCATAAACTTGTTATTCAATCTTCCATCAAGACCATAAACCTCTATTGACATGCTGTCAGTATTGGCCATATTTAGTTTGAGAGAGGGAGTTGTCACTCACTTCTGTTGATGCTCCCTATCACTCTAGACAACTTAATCCGCATGCGCAGGGCTGCAGTTCGTTGTGCGGACCCAGAATAGGTAGGCAGCTGGCACAAGACGTAATCATCATGTATCGAAGGCGGTAAACCAAATAGAGACGTCATCTCTCTGTCCAAGATATGCACTGTCCACCATAGTCTACGGCATCTCTCAACGTAAGATTCACCCAGTTGTTGTGTCGGCATATCTGTGTGCATGCCTTCCCCAAGTGCCAATCGGAGCGCCTGGCCAATCTAAGCCAAATGTCAGTAGTTTAACTAATTTGGTCTATGAGAGAGCCTTACAAAGTTATGCGAACAATGTCTGAAATCAATGCATTGCATATAGAGAGAAACACAACAAAGAATTTCAGTAGACAGAACAGGCTCTCTCAGCAAAACACTTAGATCTGGAAGAAGTTGTATTGCCTTGACGAAGAAGTCGTGGCCTGGAGGCCTTCTGCCACGATTTGTTTTTGTCGTGAATGCTTTCCCAAACGAAAGTATGAGTAGAAAGTGGATAAACCATAGCTTTGTAGGGTCTGGCCTTGGAATAAAGTCGGAATAGAAGTTAAAAAGCGACTTCATGAACGTTTCTTCGTCAAATAGATGGAACATCTGGCCGCAATGGAATTTGACGGCGTTGACAAGATAGATCGCGTGGTCTTGTGTTGGAAGAGCTGGCATTTCAGGGCCATCTCCGGCTCTGTAGCCGTTCCAGTTCAAGGAATAGGACGTAGCATCGAAAAGAAGAGCAGTTGTTGGCAAGGGAGTCTTGTTGACAAATTGGTGCGTGATGTTTAGGACTCGACGTACAAATGACCAGTTCGACGACGTTCCAAGATAAACTGTTTACATTTGAGTCATTGTTATGTCCAGGTAAAGTCATGACGGCTTACATGTTCTTCCATTTGGCGCTATAGAGTACTCTGATTGACCAGTCGATAGTGGGTTGGTCAAGGTGGAAGCAACAGGATCTATTAGCACTTTAGGCCGAATTTCCTGACTTTCTTTCTCTTGCGTACCATCTGAAACGTTTGAACCATTTAAGTCATCCCCCATGGAGACGTCAACATCACTGTCACCTCCTAAGGTCAGTCAGGCCAAGCTCGGAGCTACTGCGAAGAGAGGCGACCAACTGTTTCTTGCTTTATCGGCGTGCTGCCCGTCTTCAACTGAGGTGTGGACAGATTCAATGGTGCTTCGGCTTCTTTCACACCGTTCAATTCTCTGCTGGAGGTCGATAATGTAACTGATGACGAATGATGAGCTGGAGTCATGGATTCTTGATACTGAGCATAGTTCTTACCCTCGCGTGACAACAATCCGTTGGTCTCTCTCATCGAAGGTGCAAGACTGTTTCCGCTTTCCACAAGCATCGCATGGCTGAGAGCCAGAACATTTGATTTTTTGACGACGGCACCTCACGCAACTTTGCCTTGATGTGAGCTGATAATACTCATGGCTATAGACATTTCAGGCATAACTTACGCATTCGAGGACCGCTTCGATACCTTGCTGCGCCCGGATCCAAGCTCCATTTCACTGTTCAGGAAGAGTTTGTCTAAGCTACTAGGCTAAGATTGTTGGCCAGACGATCAAAACAGCTCACTTTGAGCCCAACTCTGCTGTTTCCGTTGTCTAAACCTCAATTGTGGTGTGGCGTCTATTCCCAGAACAGGATGCGGGGTAGTGCTGCTGGTGGAACCAGTCGACGGCGTTCTCGGGCCAAGCGCTTATCTATTACATCCATCTTAGGGCCGAGGGGTTTCCAATACGTATGTACCAGCGATAAGGAGGTGTTCGGGGTCTAGTACATAGACCGATGCAGGGCTTCAAGCCGGGAACTTAACTGCGGGACACGTGTGGCGTATGATAACGCCGGTTTTGGGGAAAGCCATACTTTGAAAAGGCATTGCACCGAATAATCTGCTGCAGATCTAAGGCGCAACACTGCAGTCGAGATGACAAGCACTGATAGTAGGTATCTGCCTGTCGGTGGATACTTCTGGCCTCATCCAATGGGGAAGAATTTCTGCCAGGCGCCTCTTCCACTTTACAGCGTAAACGCGGGGAATAGAAGATGTGAGGCGGCGACGAGACGACGGATAGAGGCTTCGCCCGCGGCATCGACAGCTCGCGGTACTAGAGATTGAAAACATTGAGATGGACTGACGGCAGTGCTGTTGGTCACACGGCGAACCTAGTAAGGTCTCAGTTAACTGCTGTCATACTTTATGCTCAAGTAGCCACTAGTTAGCGCGGAGGAACCGCAAGCCCCAGTCCAATGCAAAAGTGGGTATCGGAATGATTGCTAATTTGTCACCAATTTGTCGCTGAAATGCGGATTTCGCCGCATCCGATAGTATCAAACTTTGGCTCTCCAGGTTCATGGTGGCAGCCCAAGGAGCCCCAATGTCCTGGTTGTCAACCACTTGATGCAATCGCCATCTCATGTGGCCGTCCTCTCCCCATGGGGTAGCAGAAGTCAATTCAACGACTTTGAGGCCGAATCCCCATCATCGGCATGGGGTAGTCCTGCGCGAGTGACTAAGAGAATCACATCGTGAATATGGGTGTACCATGTTCTTACGCCTTCATGTGCCTGAGGCAACAGTTGGTGGCGACGAACAGGACCTTGATTTTCACAAAGTCGGAAGGTCATCCCGATCGTCTTGGATGGGGTGGGAGGACGACCGGACGAGCACCCGATGGTTTGACTTTGAAACGGAGGCTCCGCCGAGGCGGGGATGTCTGCGCTAAGCTATCGTTGCTTTAGGAAGTCATCCGCGAGTTGTGCGCATGGCGCCTCCGCTTGGCCACCACAGCGGGTAAGCCTCCACAGCGACGCACCTTTCAGGGTGGTGCAGGAAAGGCAAGTTTCCTTGCATGGGAAACGGGCCGTTGTTATCGCAGTTGCAATACTGCCTTGAGTTGTTCTGCATACAAATGCGCAGTTCGGCAAGGGTTCAGCTACTCTTATCCGATTATGCCACGGGATATCCAATAGCATGGGAGTTAACAAGCTCTCAAAGCCAAGAGATACACCGACACGCACTAAGCAAGATTTTCATGTCGAGGAAAATGTCGAAAAGGGATTCGGCCAGCCAATGTGATCAGGCCATCAACCCTTGAGCGCCATTTTCCAACCCTCAACGCGTTGGTACAACGTATGCACACTCACCGAGAAGTGCCGCGCGAGTCATATTTCCCCTGTACCCTTGACCTTTGTCCCGCCGTGACGTAAAGCCCCGTTGAGAAGTAGTCTGGGGAAAATATGGGGGTATATCCCCTAAATAGGTACGTAATCTAACTCAAGTGATAGCAAGCTACCTCGTGTTCTTGCAGGAGAAGGCCTGTCAAGTTGATATAGAGAATTCTTGGCAGCCTATGCTGGGTTTTTCTGCTGGATTCAAGTTTGTCCAGGCAGCGCTTGGACTGGTTTTGTACAAAAGCGCATCGTTCCCGGTTCTAACCTGGACGTGGTGTTCTCGTGACTCTAGGTTATCATCTCTTGTAAGCAACAGTTTGCTTCAGAGTCAATGCATACCCGCTTGGCTACTTATTCTTTTTTATGAGCTTTCAATCTCGTTAACCATTGCTCTTGACATTCTGCTGTTTTGAGATTTCAATTGGTCTCTTATGACTGTATCAACGTCGACAACTTTCCAACCCGCGAGTGACTTGTGTGTCTCTTGTGAAACTCGACTTTGATTAATACCTACACGTTTACGAACCAGCGATACGTGAAAGATACTCAACTTCTATCGAAATGGCTCAAATGAAGAAGGATGATATTGAAGGCTTAGGGCCTGTCTCAACACACTCGCAAAATGGCCAGATTCTTGAGGACCCAAAGGCATCCTATGATGCTGTCTTCGGCGAGATTAAAGAAGGCGGCCCCAACTACCGTAATGTAAGAGACTCCGGGAATAACCTCTTTCTAGACACTAACTCCTGGAATAGGTTGGCTGGAAGGGGACTGTGGCTCTCATGATGAAGACCCAGATTGGCCTGGGTGTTTTGTCCATTCCTGGAGTCTTTGATGTCCTGGGCATTGTGCCAGGCGTGATTGCTCTGATTTGCATTGCCGCTATCACGACGTGGTCCGACTACATCGTCGGCGTTTTCAAGCTTCGCCATCCCGAGGTTTATGGTATCGACGATGTCGGACGCCTACTCTTTGGCCGCGTTGGCCGTGAGTTCTTTGGAGTCGTGTTCTGTCTCTGTAAGCGGATCTCCTTCTGTAAATGAGCAACTCGCAATAATGCTGATGCTATAAATAGACTGGATCTTCGTCGCTGGCTCTGGTATGCTTGGTGCCTCAATCGCCCTCAACTCGGTTTCCATGCACGGTGCATGCACCAGTGTCTTTGTTGCTGTGGCTGCATTAATCGGGTTTGGCTTCGGAAGCATTCAGACGTTGGGAAAGATCACTTGGTTCGCATGGATTGGTCTTATATGTATCATGTCTTCAAGTAGGTGTTGCGACTAGTTGCTTGCAACTGATGTGACCAGAACGATCAGCTAACATAGCAAAGTCTTTGCCGTCACTATTGCCGTAGGAGTCCAGGATCGACCGGCTGCCGCTCCTCAAGAGGGTCACTGGGTTTCTGACTACAAAGTCATTGGAAACCCAAGCTTCTCGCAGGCTTCGTCGGCGCTATCTACCTTGGTTTTCGCCTTTGCTGGCACACCGGCCTTTTTTTCTATCGTATCCGAAATGCGAGACCCTCGCCATTACACTCGCGCTCTCATCATTTGCCAAAGTGGTGTAACCGCTACCTATATCGCCATCGGATGCATTGTTTACTACTTTTGCGGCTCTTACGTTGCCTCGCCTGCTCTGGGCTCGGCTGGTGCGACCATGAAGAGAGTTTGCTATGGTCTTGCTTTCCCCGGCTTAATTGTGACGACGACTCTCGTTATCCATGTAAGCTCCGCCTCAACTACAGGCTGTCGTAGGCTGAGAAATGATGGCTGACAAAAAAACAGCTTCCCGCCAAGTACATCTTTATCCGTCTGCTGCGTGGATCCCGTCATTTGACCGAGAACACGATGAAGCACTGGGGAACTTGGCTTGGATGCACCTTCAGCATCGCTGTGATCGCGTACATCATTGCCAGTTCTATCCCTGTTTTCGATGGTCTCGTGTCACTTGTCGGTGCGCTCTTTGGCACCCTTCTTTCCTTCCAACCAATGGGCTGCATGTGGCTTTATGATCACTGGACTGAGGGCAAGCTCCAGAAGCGGCCGATGTGGATTGCCATGGTCTGCTTCAGCGTCTTCGTTGTCATTAGTGGCTCCTTTCTGATGATAGCAGGAGCCTACGGTTCGATTATTGGGATATTGGAAAGCTACAAGGTGTCCGGAGGTTCTGCGGCATTTTCTTGTGCAGACAACTCCAACTCTGTTTAGTGGTCGAGCATTTATTTACAAGAGTACTGAGCCTCTGTTTCTTATTGGTTTAATATACCCAATCCGTTCTGTTCCTCCCAAATTTTGTGTATCGAGCCGAGTGGTGCCCCCGCCCAAAGCTGCATTTTCGATTGAACCAGGAAGCGCTTGAGGGGACGGCTGAGACGAAAAGTTTTCTAAGACGAAATCACGGTGCCGATCCCTGTTATGCAGCTGACTGAAGTAGCCAAGATCTACAAGGCATGAATCTTCTGAGTAGAGGATATGCCAATTACGCTCAGCCTCGAACCTTTCAAGAACAGATTGTGGGTCTCCGAATGACTTGCAACAAGTCTTGATCGCAGGCAATTCCCTTGATGATGGGAACGATGGTATCATGATCTTCGACCTTCGGCTCCCTATCAATTGTTCTGATGGATCAAGTCCGAACAATGCTGAGATGACGGAATGATTATCCGACGACAGGCAGACCTCGACTGTGGATTACGACCAGTCGTGCACAAATGCCTGGGTCCACATGCGTGAACATCGGTCGGCTTCTCCGATGCAATTAGCACAGCCCGTTGACGGCTTCCTTCTCTGCTTATTGAGAATCAAGCTTGAACTCAAGAGCACACGAAGACTCTGAATTTACAAGTACCGTCTCGCGACTATCGAAAATTGTCCCTTCCTGGTTTGCCGCACAACGAGCGCGATCTCCTCTCCCTCTCTCTCGCTCTCTCCGGACTCAATCAAACATTATTTGTTCAGACAAGGACGTCATTTTCAAGATAGAAGGCGTGAATGACGATTTGGACTTTTCATTGCGGAAACAACTCAGCTCTCATTGGTGAAAATGTAGCTGTCGCACTCCATAACTCCCCTATCCTGTTGAGTTATACTGGTTTAAGTGCTTATACCCTGGCCGCTAGTGATGAATTGGAAGCAACATACACAGAAACCACAGGGTACATACGAACAAACCAGAGGTTTCCTATACATCTTGAAACTGCTGACCAAAATCGTCGCTGCCGAACAGTGGTGTGTCACGGTCTTTTTTTTAGGTATTCTCTCTAACGTTGCACATGTCGTATCGTTCCCAAGGGTATTAACAACTAGTCCAGGCCAGTTTTAACACCTGCCGTTTGATTGCATAGAGAAATTGAAGCCATGGGTGCCTTCCGACTTACTCATATTGGGTAAGCCATTTACAGTACTAGGTCATTAGATCTTGCATAGCAATAAGGATAACCCAATCAACAGTTACAGAGGGACCCGTTAGCTGGCACCACCTTGATTCCGGTGTCTCATCACCCCAATGGAGCTGGTGATTGAGTTACCCTCATTTCTGTGCGGAAATTAACAATTTAGTACTGCATCATGCCCTCAGCTGATCCGCGGAAACTGACAATGGCTTGGTATAGCCTATTCTCATGGACAAGGGAGATGTATTTCCCCATAGTATGTAATAATCGCCAGCAACTCCAGAATGCAGTCTATCTCCATTCCTGGTGTCATCTAAGCATCTCATGGCATCACGAGGAATGCTTTCTATATGGAAGCATTGCACACTTCATAGGTCATGGCCTGTTGCACATAGGCTGAAACTGGCGCTATGTCACTGAAGTCTTCGAAAAAGAAACTAGATCATTTGAGAAGCAAATAGGGACAGTAGGCGCTGCGAATTGCAAGTATCACTATTTCTCAGATGTTATCTACTTAAACCTTCTCGGTTTTACTAGTTAACCATTCGTATGCACGGATGTTCATGTGAAACCAGACTTGATAACAAATATTTAGAGCAAAAGCGGGCAGTAAGAGGCTTTTGGGGTGGGGGGTTGAGTGGTCAGCAACGGCCGCTTCCGTTCTATAGCCCGCTCCTGCTTGACAAGCTATGTCTCTGCTCAACAGGCCATAATGTAACATTTCAATTGTTAGATGGTAGCGTTCGACGTTGAATAGTATGCAACTAGTATGACACATCAGTGTCTAACGACAGACTTGGATTCAAGGAAGGACCAGGCCGGTATCATGGCTTCCATATCGAGAGACCTTGTTAAGAGCACGACATGTCAATAATTGGAGTCATACGCAAAGGATGAGCGTCTTGGGTGCGAAGTAGATTCTTCGTCACCATCTACACATCTTGAGAACAGTTAGAAATATGTGTTTGTCGATAAGAGTACTGGCGCTTTTGGCAGCCAAACGAGCACGCATTCACCCGTAGCGGTCATACTCAGTATGCGCGGGATCGCACCATAGAGGCATCGCAGAATGTTTTCTTAGACTGTGGAAGAGGTGGTTAGGGCCAATGTGTAGGTTGGGCATGCCAATCCTCAACTCTTCAATTTAGGGCCCGGTCGACAACTTCAGTAGCATTCGAATTCCAGCCAAGATAACTGGGAAAGTGGCCGTTGATTAGCTAATCGCTGTTAGGTGGAAGTCTGAGTGCTGGCATGTATCTATGCTGCCGAAAACGCGCTGAATTCCAATTATGAGTATCATTATAAGGTCCCAGCCAGGACCCCGTAATGATACTGGTGTTAGGCTCGACTTTTGTTTGGGAAACCAAGCTTCCATTAGGGTTTTCAGTTAACATTACCCTTTGGGAAGGTAAAATGGCGATAAGCAATGAGGTATAAAGTAAATGTTGGGTAATACGACAGTTCTGTGGGTTCAAACCGTATTGCTGATGTATCCGAGTAGGTTCCGCCTAGTGCGACACGAACAGCGTTTCCAGTCCTTGTGGCTGATGTTGACTGGATTCCAACTTTGAAAATTGACACAAATGAATGAATCAGACACGTCAGTGCTGAGGAAGAAAAACTTTTCATAAAAGAATCAGCCAAGACCTTGCCAAGGGGCTAGGGATACCTAGCTAGCGTGACATTAGATACACCTGTACAGAAATTGCATTTACACGGCCTCACTAATTCACAAAGGTGACTTTGGATCCATCTAGCCCGTGGAATAAACGAAGCAAGGAAACGGGCTCGGAAACCAATGGTTTCAGGGAGTTGTGTGACAAAAGTGCGGAGTAAGACCGCAGGAGATTCCACGTCCCAAGTTTGCCCATGAGGGTGTTGGGCGCTGGGTGCTTTATGACGGGTGGTGCATGCATGGGAACGCGACGGTCTTGGGCATTGGATTAAACCGGCAAGCGGCATGATGTCGAAACAACCGTCCCATGGTCAAAAATTCTTTTGCCTTGACCTATCAGTATAACAACGAATTTAGTAACTATAGCATTGCATTGCTGAGTTCCTTATCACTGAGGAGGTAAACAACCTAGAAAAGTTTGCCACCCAAGGTTCTGTTTGCCTACGTTTCCCTCTTATAAATAACCTACCGTGTCGACATAATTTGAAGCTGGGTTCACCAATTGCATCATTTGTCTAGACGTTGGCCTTATCATCAAACATGGCGGGTTTCTTGACAATTTTCTGGGACCAGCCTTCTCGTGTCCTGGTGATTTCATTGGGGACGGTGAGCGAAAACAATATCCTTTATTCTTGTTACCGCATTTTTCGGTAGACGCATCACGGCCTGTAAGCCAGAGGGGCACAGCTAACAAGACAGGCTTTCCTCTGGCAACTTCTCCTCGCCGGCTACAATCTCTTCCTTCACCCTTTACGAAGGTTTCCTGGACCAATCCTTCAACGTGCTTCTCCCCTTTTCTGGGCCTGGCAGCATGCCTTTGGATACCAGGCGTTCCGCACGCAGCGTCTCCATGAGCGATACGGCTCCGTTGTGCGCATTGGCCCAAAACATCTTTCCTTCACCAACGCCAATGCCTGGAAGGATATATACAGTTTTCAAAGCGGCAAAGAGCTCGAGGGCAATGAGATACCCAAGGCACGTTTGTTTTCCAAGATAATTGATGACCTTCCAGCAAGCATCACGAATGCCGACCGTGAAGAGCATCAGCGTTTCCGGCGTGCGCTGTCTCACGGATTCTCCGACAGCTCTCTTCGGGCGCAGGAGGGCATCGTTGTCAAATACGTTGACAAACTGATTTCCGGATTACACGAAAACTCTGCTCAGCAGAATTCCGAACTAAACATTGAAGCCTGGTACAACTGGACGACTTTTGATATCACTGGCGATCTCATTTTTGGACAGTCATTCAACTGTTTAGAACACTCCGACTATCACCCGTACATTGCTTTTGCCTTACAGACCATCCGCTACAGTGCTTGCATGACGGCCTTGAAGTACATCGGACTCAACTACGTCGTTCGATGCCTGTTCAAAATTGGTGGCCTTGCTAATATGATGAAGCTGCGCGAGGGCACAGATAAAATGATGCATACAAGGCTAAACATGGTACAAGACAGGAAAGATCTCATTGAGGGCATGTTGCAAAAGAGAGAAGAATGGGTAATATACCGTGAAGTGTCAATTCAGTTGAGGACATCCGGAGCTAACGAAGGGCAACTGTTAGGGTCTTTCTTTTGGGCAACTAACAGCTAACGCTCTCATTTTGGTTTTCGCGGGTTCTGAAACGACGGCAACCACACTCGCAGGCGCCACGTATCTACTTGGAAGTAATCCAAAGGTGCTTCAGAAACTGACTGAAGAGGTCCGCTCGACCTTCTCCAACTCAAGCGAAATCACCATCGGCTCCGTAAGCAAACTGACGTACTTGCTTGCCGTCCTGAACGAAGCCTTGAGATTGTACCCACCTATAACGTCCGGACTTATTCGGGAAATACCGGAGGATGGGTGCCAAATCGCGTCAGAGCATGTTCCCAGAGGAGTACGTAGCGTATCAAGGCGTCTCAACCAGCTTAGTGAGGGGCTAATCTCTATCTCAGACGTTTGTTGAAGTCCAACCGTGGTCAGTAAACCATAGCCCAGACAATTGGACCAGGCCTTGGGAGTTTCGGCCGGAACGCTTTCTGGAGGGCGGCAAAACGGAACACAACCGACTAGAAGCATCACAAGCGTTCAGCGTCGGTCCTCGTAATTGTATTGGGAAGAAGTATGTGCTACTGTATTATTGCCAACTTGCTCGAGGTCGAATTGCTAACGATACTGAAACTTCCCAGCTTGGCTTATGCAGAGATGAGACTGATCTTAGCCCGGATTATTTACGACTTCGATATCGAGCTTACTGAGGGGACTGGTCCATGGATTGAGAGACAACGAGCTTTCGGCGTGTGGGACAGAATCCCACTCAACGTGCACCTAAAGCCAGTTTCTCGTGGAGTCAGCAAGTGATTGGCACTTGTGGCCCACAACGCCTGGATCCTAGAGATCCTAGAACAAAGGAGAGCAGATCTGTGCGCTGGAGCGCTTACCTACTCCTAGTTATTGGTATGCCTGCGCTATTGGCTAAGTTTACGTGAACATCGTTGGAAACTGGACCCTTGATCTTGATCATCCCTTCTAGCCCCGCGGGCCATCGAGCGCCCTTCAGAGGACATGTTGTCCAGATGATGCGCTACTCCAGTGACTGAAAGCTGACCCGCCTGAATCTGCAGGTAATGCATCATCGAATGTCTCAAATGTCTCAAAATCGGAGGTACCTAGACCAGGAAATAGTGTTATGTCTGGCGCCGATCCAGGCCATTGCCCAAGTGCTAGACTCCACTGATGCTGTCTGAACACCTCGAGGGTCCGCAGTTTCGCCACAACGAAGGGAGTGTCGCAAGACATGCCCAGGTTGCGAAACGCCAGCTCTCGTCTGCTCCAACCCGCCAGTAGATACTCAGCCCGCTGAAAATCGTCTTTCTTCCCCATGTCATACATCTCATCATGGTAATGATAAAGTCTATCGATAACTTTCCATGCTCTGTCCACCAGCGTTCCGACAGGCTGCCACTGAAGCAGCTCAATCATGACAGAGAAGGCATCTGCTTGGAAATGAAGCTTGAGGTACCAAGTGAACTTTTCGTCTATCGTGTCGTACCACTTGACGTCGTTTTCAAAGGAGATGACCCAGGCCCTAAAGAAGGATTGTTGGCTGCTTTGATCATCGGCCTTCTCGTCCCAAGGCTCTCGCGCGTGGAGTATCATGTCGTGCATCCTTTGTGCCGTAAGAGAACGGATTTTGCTAGCCACCAGATGGATGCCGCCGGCGGTTGCGTTGGTGTATCTCCTTTCCGCACCCGCCAAACTTTCTTCGTATTGATCAACGATCAGCTGATATTTCTCCAGCGATTGTCCAGCGAATCGTTTTGAGATCTCCGTACTCATATTGCCTCCACCAAGAATAATGGCCTCAAATTCGGGAACTGGATTCTCACAGAAGAATACTCGTGACTCGTACAACATCAAGCAAAATGCCATCTCAGTCGCTCCTTCGCGTGACTTTACAGGCTCCAAGGACTCTGGCAAGAGATCGGCGTCGTTGAGGTTAGAAGGCAGCTTGGTGTCCCAGTTAGGGGGTAGAAGAGTATCGCAGAAACCCGCGAGAATGGCGTATTTTGTTTCCAGCATAATGATCTGCCACCATATTCGTCGTCTCATTTCTGTTTCAAAAGGAGACAAACCTAAAAGCTCTCCGTCGCGGTGGAGGCCCATCCTCTGGGCTATCCTGACAAGTGTTCCGGTTAGAATCCATGCTGCGTGTCGGTCGAACTGCCCTTGTAGCGAGACCTGCATGTTTGTTAGTCCAAAAAGCCCGTCGTTCTTGATAAGTAGCAAAAACTCGCCAAGTACAAGACTAGACACTGCAGTATCGTGATGTTATACTTTCTGAGAAAGTCCACTTTGGTTAGCGCCTTCTTTAATGCGAACATAGAACTTCGCAATGCTTTGGTCTTTTCGACGTTGAGCATTTGAGTTGACTCGGAGTCCGATAGCGCCATTATTGAAACAACATTAATAGAGCAAAGAAGAGCTTCGAAGTCGGCGCTAAGATTGAAACGGTCTGTTGCAGCTTCAAAGACCAGTGGTTCGAGGCTGGGGACGTGAACAATCTTAATCATGGGATTAACCCGTTCAAGGAATACTTGCCACAGCCTGAGCACCTCAACGGGCCCCAGTGCAAACAAGTCAAAGTCCATGGACTTCCGATGCACTGTTTCATCTTGTTCCGAGACACTAGCAGATGCGGACGGGTTCGTCGACTGTTCATTGTCGTGCTTATTGAGACTCAGTCTTGAGAAATGCAGCTGAGATACCGTTAGGCTTCTGCATAACAAGAATGACAAGTTGTATAAGTGCTTACATGATCAATAACGTTTCCTCTAAGTGGACTTTCCATAAATGTCACGCGGCCTTCGTTGCAGACAATTTTGCCGTTGGGCCTGGAACTAGGTTGTTTACGAGCTTCCTCATAGCTCACCCAGGACGTCGCTGGGCTCGGTGCCGCTGCTGTTGAGCTCGGTGTCTCAATGTTGACAGGACGGCCTTCTCCATCACGAGGCGCTACTTGAGTCAAGAGACTTTCACACTGTTGCAACCTCTGGAGCAAGTCCTTCACTACGCGTCTCCTCCCAGCACCTGGAGGTGCTCGCGTGGATGGAATGCACGGCTGATCAGTCTAAGCGCCGCTGCTGTTAGTGGATATTTTGCGGCCGCGTGTAGCGTGCTGACAAACCTTGACACAGTTGGCGCAGGGAGACTTGCGGTCACACTTGATCTTCCGTTGGTGACAAAAGACGCAGGCCAGAACAGTCCGTGGCTTATCGGATGCCAGGGTCCTCACTTGCGAGGCTGGGCTCTCAGATGCCATGTGGACGAAACGAAACGGGATGACAACGGTTCGACGCTGTTTGAAGTTGCTGGCGTATGTATACAAGTTGTTGATCGCATGACGTTGTTTTCATGGCAAAGAGTGTCTTTATGTGTCTTCAAGGCGGGAAGAACAGGGGCTGCAATGTGTGAGGGAATCCACTACGCGAAGTTTGTGGAGACGCTAGGCCGCTTTGGCTTGCCCGCGACCCGACTGTTCCCTGCAACGGACCGGAGCGAAGCCCGGGATCCCGGAGCCCAGTGTCACCGAAGACCTTGCGATTCCCAACTCGTTTTTCGATTTAGAAATCCGCCGAGCTTGCGTCTATGCCATCCAGCTTCAAGGCCTTTGTCCACGCTACATGCATCGAGTTTCCGAGTCGAGAATCCAATATCACATCATCATGTCACGGGAGGTTACGTACGCTGTGATTGTAAATCTCATTGGATATTGAAACTGGCGTTGATGGCTACGTAGTTTTGTCCCGTGGCAATACACCATGACCGAATCCACACACCATTTTGCCGTCCAACGTTACCTTAGCTGAGAGACCCTCCATTGGGCAGTATGTCGTATTGCCCTATCAGACCTTGATAGAACATAGGGTCCAGGTCAGGTAGGAAGTAATTGAAAATACCCATGACGTCGGTTCCCATGAGAGCACTTGTGGACACCTGGTCTAGCCCAGTGTCAAACGAGAGGTCGGCGAACCCAAATTGCATTGGACTAGACATCGAAGGTTGCCCCATCAGAGTCTCAAGCAATGTCAGCATCAATTTTACTAAAAGCATAGCTTGAAGACTTACATTCGAAAGACCTGTAGTCAAATTGACTGCTTGTGAACCATTCTGGCTGCCCTGGAGTTCAAATGTCGATGTTTGAGACACTGTAGTGGACGCTGCTGCTGCTGTTGCTGATTTTGGAGCGTTTGTCACTTCTAACCCCGAATTTTGAATCTCGCTCACATAGTCCCGTGCAATTTTCGCAAACTCGGCGATCAGGGACCCAGGCAGTGTGCCGCCACTAGCAGATTCGATCCTACTGAAATGAACTGCCACCATGTCAAGCAGGGCCAGGTTAAACCCTGTGTCTGACTGTCGCGGATCATGAACCACAATATCAAATAGCACGAACAGTGCTGTAATCGGAATTCCTGCGAGGACCCTAGAACCAAACGATGAGCAATGGCCTCTGTCCAGAGGGGCGATTTGCGTTTCTACGTACCATGTAACCGTATAAGGCTTCACTTCAATCATAGTCGTCAACTCCAAAATACACTGAGATGCATTGAGGATTTTCTTCATTTTGGAAGACTTCTTGACAACCAGTTTCGAGTCACTTGCGCTCGGCAAGTAGACCAGTGTTGTTCTTGAAAGGGTAAGTGAAAGGCTGTAGTATAGATAGTGCACAAGAAGCGCAAATGATCGGGTCAAAGTGCCCGAAACAGCCTGAGGATGTACAACTCCACCCGGTCTGAAGCCGTTGTCTGGCAGCGACGCTTTCCAAGCTTCCAGTTCAACATCCAACTGGTTGATCACATCCAGGTAATATGAGTTTGAGTTGCCAGACACTCCCACCGAGAAGAGGGAGGTGTAAGTACGGGAGATCAGACGTGCAAACCGCACCAGATGCAAAAACCAGCTGAAATCTCCGATTGTCGCTTCAGGAACGACTGGAATTGGGCACGAAATATCACTGTCAACAAAACTCTACCGGACAGTTAGTACGACGACCGGATTTCTTGCGCCCAAGTTGTCTGAATAAGGAACACTCACGGAGCTTCTTCCAAAATGAAAGCTGGTGATTTTTTCAATGGAAAAGATAGTCCAGAATGCCTTCTGAAATGCGTGAGCTGATGGACCAGTAAGATTGTGGTTGGACATCGTCTGCGCCCGTCTGGCTGCCTCTGACATGATGACAGGCTCAATCGCGAGCCCACAGATTGCCAAACCATATATTGCCATTGCTGTCAACGCTTGCAGGGTGGTAAGGGAATCGGGTAGTAATAATAGGTCCGAAAAGCTACTGAGACTGACAGCGAATATTCGCCAAGATTCGCCTTTGCCAGGCTCGAACGTCCCGCCATCGGCATACTGAGAGCCAAGAGCAAGGACAGCATGGTAAAGGCAGTTCCATGACTTGTTATTCTTCAGGAGGTTAGGGAATTCTGGGCTCGAGATGGTAGTCTCGAATGATGGCCTATCGAGAAAGGGGAGCATCGGGTGGACGCGATCAAAGTAGACTAACACCGCTTAGCTGGGTGACGAGAATATGATAGGATAATTGTTAGTTACGGTGGATGTACAACGCTACGCAGCCCGGGTCTGTCACCGATTCAGGCTGTGATGTCTTTCGTGTGGTGGTTGTCAAGGGATCAGTACGACGTAGTCGACCGTTGACAACCGTTGAGATTCTCCTAACGAGGTCGTTGACTTTTTGGTTCCGAAGACGCTTCGATAGCGACAATAGTCTGCTATCGGAGAAAAACGTGAGACTGTTGCGACCGCCTTGATGTGTCAGTATGTGCAAAGCCGTTCAGGCGTGTGGGGGTTCGGCACCAAGAAGCCCATTGCGCTGCGGTTTGGTCAGCGAGATTATGCCTTTGAGGATGAATTTTCCTTACTGGGACAAACATTTTATCCTCATCACCGTTTCTACAAGACTCTCTGGGGTCCAGCGCTCGTGCAATGATGCGATCGACGTAAAGCTCTTGAATACGATGGGTGGAGGGTGTCGGCGACAGTGTCTTGGTAACTTCATTCTGAGTACTAGTGCCTAATGCCGAAAGATCCAGCACTGCCTTTGCGTCTGGAGGGCTAGGTGCAGTCTGGGTTGATGGCGAGTAATTGATTGGCAGGAGCTGGTCGGCAACTTCACGAAGGTCAGTATGATTCCACGTCGGGGTGTATCCATGGTAGCGTCACGGGGCAGCATTGCGTTCTCTCAAAGGTCACAGGCAAACCACTAAACCACTATGCATACGCACCATTGCGCCTGTGCGCTAGTCTCTTTACGCTAAAGTGACATACTTCTTTGCGACGCTTTCAGTTTGAAATTTGTAAGCGGAGATGCAACATATTTTAGAAGTGAAGTAGTGAGTAGTGTCTTACGGTGCAGTTGGTGCAAGGCCCCGGTGGCCCACTACCTGCTCTTCTAGTTAGTCGGTACTTCTCCCAAACTACTTTGATGGACATACCGGCGCAGCGGACCTTACGCGTCTTGCAGGTATCGCAAGACTTGTGGGTCCGGGAACGAACACCGGTGAAACTGTGAGCTAGCTTATCAGTCATTCTTAGGTCTCGCAAGGGGCTTCCGTATAGAATACAAGCTTAACCAAAACTCAGATTGGGATAGGAAAGCTGAGCGGCTCGGAGTCAAGAATAGACAAGAAAAGAAAAGTCCAGACGTTGGATCGCCTAATGTGTTTAGGTTTTGGATGGTGGAGTACATGGGAGCTGCGGCTTTCATGTGGAGGTGGCTTGGCCTCGGCTCCGAGATGCCGGATTAGGCAACTTTACGCAAGCATCGGACAAATCAACACCGTCCCCCGATGTTGCGATCAAGCTACTACAAACGCCCTTTGGGAGTAACTAGAGCCTCTACAATAGAAAGCTCACATGGTTAAAACTCAAACCTGAGGCATATCATTAGCTCAGCGAGGCATTGAGAGGAGGGGGAAGGGTGGCGGGGGTGGCCCGGGCAGGCTCTATATATACGGTGTAGCCATCCGGCTTTTCACATGTTGATTATGTTAACTCGTGTTTGATGCTCCGAGCAGATTTTACGTAGACGGTGGAGCTATCAGTCTTTCAAGAAACATACTAGAGTGAACATGAGGTAATCACTTGAAATTGATGTCTAAGCGATTCCGCGGTGAGCCTTTATCTCATGCAGAGATCGACATTTACTTTCCGCATCTTGCGGCGGTGCAGACGCTTCTATCTGATAGCGAGTTGACAAGCACAGTTCTATCAATTCTGGCCTTCAAGCTTGCCTCTGTTTCATGGGTAATACATTTCAAAAGGCTGATGTGCTGTTAAATCTTTGTTTGTCCTTTTCCATTAATTTCACTGTGATAGCATCAATATCTATAGTTCTCCACTTAAATAGCCAATCATCCCGCACAATTCACCAGGCTCTGACACTTGCCGCGATGTCCATTTGGTTTCTGATTCACAGATTCTATCGTATCTACATGAGAAACTAAGGGCTTGCTACCACGGACTAACTACATCAGCCTGATTGCCTACTCTTCACCTTTCCACGCCCAGCTGACGTACACCAGACGAGTTATCCAGCAATATTGGCACACCACGTCTTACATTTACTCCAGTTTGATATTTCAGGCTGAGGTATTTTTGAGGAGGCATCTCTCAACATAAAAGGATTGCAGAGTCAGGCGTCTCAAATGCAGGTGCTTTTGGTACTGCTCATCTCTCTGGTCTATCAGCCCATGGCGAACTTCATCCTTCAACGTGAGAAAAACGAGGCATAAAAATGCGAACTCTGAGTTCTTCCCCATCCTGGTCAAAAACGTTGCAGAGCAGCCTTAACAACTCTTGTCGCCGTTTTCCTCTTATTTCCCATTTCACTACATTATTGGCACAAACAGAAATACAAGCTTTGTTCAAACAATAATACAGTAAGGCTGTGTAATGTCCCTACCCATCTAGAGATTCATACTTTCTATTATTGTCTTACTTGATTGACCAGGACGACATAGCTGTTGCTAGGGCGCCAACGGCAGAGATTAGGGCTACCTGTCTCTCTTTTCATTCGCTGTTTGCAGCATCTATTGCAGACATTTCTATGACCAATGACAGACCGTGCGACCTTCATGTTGCCAACACGCTTTTTTTATATAGTGTGAAGGCTCCTAAGGATGCCCTTCCGAATTGCAAGTTCATGTACAGAGTCTTCTTTCTTACATATCTTGCCGCGGGTCCCTTTTTCAACCTGTGCTGCACACCACGTCGTCAGGAATAACAAGCAGGGAACTCTGCAGTTAACCCGTCATCGGATAAGGCGCATAACTTCCGGTGAGTACGTATTGTCATATGCAGAAATTGCGAGCCGCTGCATCTGGAATTCGAACAGCGCCGACATCTACTAATATTTCCCAGTGTCCAGTGTTTACCTTTTTCGGCTACAATTGTTTGTCAGAAAAAGGCGATCATATGCGCTGATGTAGTTTTTGTTTTCTTTAACCCTCAGAGAAGGCAATGGTATTTCTATTCCCTAGTAGAAGCATCCACCCAGGCAGGCATCAATCAGGTTTGTTAAATATGAACAAATTGTAGCGGCGACTCTCTTTGGATGATATTCAGCATATCTTCGTTGAGACCAACTTAAGGTGCTATTAACGTAGGCTCTGTGGTTGAGTTCACTACCACCTCGTAGACTTGTAAACTATTTAATACATGTACAATGAGCCAGTCACTACTTTTGGTAACCGGGAACAATATCGCGTTACTTAAAATTCCTTTAGAACCAGAATCTACTAAGTTCTATGAAATATCAATAGTAAATCAAGTCCAGTATCCTGATCCTTGTTTCAAGCCTAGAGCCAAGTCCGCAGGTACTAGACCGGGGCACATTGAAGATGCATGTGGTGTTGCGGATCAATACATTTATCTATTAAGTTATAGAAGGATGTATTGTAACTTAGAGTACACTCTTTTTGCAGAAAAAAAAAGTATTATGAGTGATTCCAATGCGGGATTTTTGTGATGACCGTTGTTGGAACGTGTTGAAGACAATTGCGGATATTGTGCCGTGTCCGGCAATTGACAAATTACGACACACAAGACTCATTATGGGACGAGTTGATTTGTAAGTAATGGCATGATAAGCTCTGGGCCAGAACGATTGCGCCCCTTCAATCAGCCAATGTCGAACATCTGAGGGGTGTTGATTTGCGGACATGTCAGACGTTGGACCCAAAGGTGTGGATGTGTGGAAACCACCTTCAGGATTGCGTCTTGTCGTTGGAGCGGGGTAATCTATTGCTGATTGATGCGCTCGGTATTTTGGAAACAAATGTCCATCCAGGGTGTTAAATGGTAACTTGACGTGACTATGGAGGTTTCCTCGCAACAAGTGGTGATTGGAGACTTGAAGAAGTCGCCCCTCTTCGGGCGGCCAAAACGTTTGCACGCTTGTCACAACAACCCGGACGACCGTCCTCGCTACACATTGACGGTTTTTATCACGAAGCTTTTGGAAAAAGTGCGAAGACGCTGTTACTCATTTTCCAATTTGATCAAAAGCAATAGGATAAGAATGGGTTATGGTGACATCTCACTGGGTGGCCCCTTGCCGAAATCGGCTCGGAGTGTAAGGCGTGATTATCTTGCAGTTGTCGTCATATCCTGCAACGCATGTATATAGACCGCGGCATAAGTCACCCTCACTACCATCTCCGAGCATACGTTAGACGACCAGACCAAAGCAATATTCACAATGCCGACCGAATTTATCAGTGTAACCTTTCCCAACGCCTCTACGGAGATCGCTCCGATACCTGGTGCTGGCATTGACCCTGAATTCTTGGTCCGCTACGCAAAGAACTTGGACGACTATGGCTACAACTACACTCTCGTTCCCTATGGCTCCGACTCATTTGATCCTTTCACCATCGGCGCGACTATCGCTGCCGTGACCAAGAACGTCAGTGTAATTATCGCCCTGCGGCCAAACACCCTGTACCCTACAGTCGCTGCAAAGGCCCTGGCAACACTGGACCAGCTTAGCAAGGGGCGTGTTGTTGTACATTTCATCGCTGGCGGCAGCGATGCCGAGCAAGCCAAGGAGGGTGACTTTCTCTCTAAAGACGAACGTTACGGCCGCTTGGAAGACTACATCAAGATTCTGCGCCGAGCGTGGGAGTCGGATGCGCCCTTCGACTGGGACAGCAAGTATTACACCTTCAAGGGTTTCACCAACAAGGTCCGCCCTACCAAGGGTACAATTCCCGTCTCAGTTGGCGGCTCTTCCGCAGAGGCATACCGCATCGGTGGCTCCCTTGCAGACATTTTCGGACTTTGGGGTGAGCCGTTGAAGGAGACGAAGGAACAAATCGACCGCATTTACGCTGAGGCCGAGAAGGCTGGCCGCAAGGACCGGCCCCGCATCTGGGTTACCTTCCGTCCAATCATCGCCGAGACGGACGAGCTTGCATGGGCCAAGGCGCACCGCACGCTTGACGCACTCAAGGGCAACATCTCTGCTGGACAAGGCAAGTCAGGTCAAACAGGCCCGGAGCCCCAGAACGTGGGTTCTCAGCGTCTCCTCGACATTGCCAAAAAGGGCGAGGTCCAGGACCGTGCTTTGTGGTACCCCACTGTAACCGCAACCAATGCTCGGGGAGCGTCTACAGCTTTGGTTGGGTCTCCCAAGACTATCAACGACTCCATTCTGGATTACGTCGACCTCGGCGCTGAACTCATTTCCATTCGTGGCTACGACAACCTTAACGACGCTATCGACTATGGCCGCTACATCTTGCCTGCCGTCCGTGAGGAGTTGAAGAAGCGTGAGAACGGTGCTAACGGCGCATGATTGAGCGAACGATCTGTACTGCCGGTAAATAGTTGCGGATGAGAGCAGGGATGTTTGTACGAAGTCATGTAGACAGCCTCTTTAACGTAAAGCAGGACTGCAATGCACGGCGCTTTGAGAACATTCGAAATTGCAGTGAAGAGCTGAAACATGTCTCGAGATCAAAGTAGTTATTCGTAATTCATCAGTTTGACATCATGGCCATGTCTCATAGGCCCGTCGTTGCTAACTATTTCTCTTACGTGATGTACACAGACAAACGGCTGCCAAATGCATCACTCTTCTCCACCTGAATGTCTTTGCCGTGAAAGTCATGAAGAAGTAGCCAGCAGATCATTCTGAACACGAGCATACACCAAACGTCGTTGATTTGTTGCTCCTGGTCGTAACGCTGTGGCTCTCCAGAAGCTGTAGAAATAATTGACCTGGGCCCTCGCTCTCTCCGGGCCTTGTCAATGAGCATATGCTTGCAGACAACCTCGATAACGCGCTTGCGGACCGAGAACAGATAGATATCAGCAAGGACGCTGTGCCGCTCACTGGACGAAGCCGAGTCGAGTTTCTGCAAGAGGGATATCTCCTTCTGAACCTCTTCGCTTTCCTCGTTCACCGGGACACTAGAAGATGCACCCGGAAGGACAAAATCACTGAGATGATCTTTGTTCGCTCGGCTCTTATCCCTCGTGGCTATCATCACGGCCTTGTATTCTCCGTCTGTGTCATTTAGAATTCGTAGGATCTCTTGCAGGTGAACACGCAAAACATTCTGGACGAGGTTGATCCGGCTGGGGTGTGTGAGAAATTCGTCGCACCGGGCAATGGCCGAATGCAGAGCCATAACGAGGTCGTTAGAGTAGATCCTTTCTTCCGTGTTGTCAGTGGGCCTTAGGACTGCTTCAGGACCATCTCGAGACTCCAACTCTAGGAATTTGTCCTCAATCTTGCTGGCATCCTTGATGATTGTACCAACACATGAGCTTTCATTGACCTTCAACCTGGGTTCGTTGGCTGATGCCTCGCTCATGGCATGAACATAATCACCAAGGAATGTGCGCAGCGAAAATGCCTTTCTGTCCCAATGCCAGATAGTCGGATTTGGGAGCATACGGAACGCAGTACCAGGAATCTGGAGCACAACTCCAAGCATGCCTAGGATCTCGAACGCAACTATACAGACTTTGCGTCAGATCTCATTCCACTGATTCTCGAACCTGGACTTACTGGGAAATAGGTGAATATGACGTGTGTCTGGTAGTGACTTCCGGAAATACCTAACGGTGTTGGTGTTGCAACCGATCCCCACTAATGTTTCTGCGATTGCAGACATACTCCCAAGCTGGAGTGTTCCGATGTCTTTAGGCTCATCAGCGTACTTGTGGTTGTTGCTATTGTCCTTACGGAAGATCGTGGGACAGTACCCAAAGCAAAGTTCCTTGACGCGATTATTGGGAACGACACGGTTCTCATGGAACCAAGTCGGTCCGGTCTTCTTGAAGGTGAAGACGATGCCAAGGTCGTCGACATCATAGCCAGTGATACTGAATCCATTGCCCTGCGCGCGATAGCGATCCTCATTTCTGTTGAACTCTTTCCAGTGGACTCCTAGCATCCCAGCAATCTCAACTATATGGGTGATGGTGGTGGTGGCGTAAGGTTTCTTTAAGTTATCCGGCATGCTGTCCCAAGACTTTTTCTTTCGTTGCATCCCCACAGTGAGTGAATAGGTAACATAGGTAGTTGGCGCGTGAGGGTGACATGGTGTCTGGTCTTCCCACTGGGGGTTGTTGTGTCCGAAGTACTCGTTGTCCTGCCAGGTTCGTGACTCTCTCTCCATACGCTGGATGGCCATCAAGAGCCCCAGCCAGTTGGCAAGCTCGTTGTCTGCTGTATGGATGGCCTGGCGACTATTCCCAGCTCGCAGGCTCTTGTCGACCTCATCGTACTGCCTCTGATCCCACGTGAACGTCTTCTTGTAACTGTCAGATGTTCCTGTCATGTAGGTGATCTCCTTCTCTTCATGCAATCCGAGAGGGCCCCTGTGGTTCGTTGGAGGCGCGACGAAGATAACGGGAACTTCAAATTCCACTTCAAAGCGGAATTCGTACCATCTGAACCGGCGACGGGTGAATCGTGCCCAGTCACCCATGACCTTAGGAGTGCATGAAGAATACCCTGTTGCTGAGGCATAATATTGCTGAAGAGCCTGGAATATGGCAATGATGAAAGCAAAAACAGAAATGACAAGGGCAACAATAGCCACAATCAACTCCACCTGATTGTCGTCGCCGCCGCCAGTGCCGCCGCCGCCATCATTTGTGTTGTTTGAGGACATTGCTCAGACGAAACGTGGTTGGTCGACAGTCATGTGAGTTACGATACTCGGGCTCTTGAAGTGTACCGCGCTGCATCTGATATGTGTCCCTGCATACTTTGACGGAGCATAGCGATGTATGCCAAAATTCGGCTGCAAGCTTAGTTAAGAGTAAAAGGCTGCCTGACGATCAGTAGAGTTGGCCCCTCTTCGGCCCCTTGAAGCACGGCGGGCTGGGCACGAGAAAAACTCGCACTCGGCCAGGCAGCCGTGATTACAACACATCATCGCTCGTTAATCACGTGTGACCCCTGCGTCGCGCATTGTGCAACACACGATTCAGCTAGTCGCAATTGACTGGGGCTGACAAGGCTCGATGTGATGTTGGTCATTTGTCCCTAGTGTGCTATTAGCGTTGCGGGCTGCTGTGATCCCGTTCGGTCGGCATCTCCAGCCGTTTGCTATTTGCAAGTCGTTACGGCGCCGCCTCACTGGCTACTGAAGCTAATCAGGCAGTCTCCGGAATCTAAGTTTCTACTTTATTTCAAGAAGATGCATACGTGTGGCTCGACTTGATTCATACCACCAAACTTTTGACGGCGCTGAGCTTCTTGCACAGTAAGTGGCATAGCAGACAGGCCACAGCTCAATTACACTGTAGGGATTTCAGTGGTAGGATCAGCGCTTATGTATGTCAGCGACCGACCGAAACCAAGGGGAAGGTATGGTTGGTTCGTTGAAGCAGTAAGGAGTAGTTCCTTGCTGGTCAGTCTCAGGGGCGAAAATCATTGGTTCAGCCGAGAAATCCACGCAATGGATTATGCTGACATGCAGCTTGTGGAGCTGATGGGCTTGGCCTAGCCTTCTTTTGCAACACAGCATCTGAGCATGAGCGTGTTCCGCTTCCTGAAGGTTTGTTGATATTTTGATTCCCCACAATCTTTCTATGAGTCAAAGAGCCTGGCGCATAAGCATAAGACATGATTTCGCGTGATTCGAGCTGTGGAAATGCTACTGGTGAGTCGCCCAGGCTTGGGGTCTACAGCAACAATTTCGACTTGCGTGACGATGCCTATTGGTACATAGGTCATACATGTAGATTTAAAAAATGAGGAGACTGCAGGGTTCGAGGCAAACCAAGGCATATAGCTTGATCAATTCTTACCAACCTTGTTTTGCGTGTCACCCGTTGCGCAGACAGAGTTCAGACTCGAGGCTGTGCTTGTCATACAATTCAAAACATTTCCAAACATGTAGATGAAATGATAATTTGAACTGAGCGAGGAACACATCGCTTGCGAATTACTGCTCTCGTCGTATCGCTCTGGTTTTGTCTTATCCCAGTATAATATCCGCCCCCTAGATGATTACCAAATCAATAGTTAGCATCCGTTCGTGTGCCATTGTATTTAGGCAGTAGGTGCTGGGTTTGATCTCACCTTCTCAGCAATGGCATAGACCGTGGCCTGCGTATGCGCCGATGGTAAAAGAGGCATAATACTAGCATCCACGATCCTCAAACCATCGACCCCATAAACCTTAAGATTAGAGTCAACAACGCCCCCAAGAGCCTTTGGAAGCATTGCGCATGTCCCTGAATAATGATATTCCGTTGAAGTGACTCCTTTGATGAAAGCCAAAATATCCTCGTCGCTTTGTGTTGCTGCTCCAGGAAGGGTCTCTGTGGCACCAAGAGCTTGTATGGGCCCTGTAGCCAAAAGCTTTCTATTAAATCGCAGTGATTCAACTAGTACTTGACCATCGTAGGGGTGAGAGAAGTACCGTGGATCAATCACTGGCGGTAAAAATGGGTTAGAGGAGTTTACAGTGACGGTCCCTCTGCTTAACGGATGCATCAAAATGTTGACCACCGAGCGGCCGCCATCGACATAGAGAAGCTCCATTCCAGCCGTAGAACTTTCCTCATGCATTTTCTGCAATTGCTCCAGTTGCTTTTCATAACCAGAGACTACTGTCTCATCGGTGCCTAGAGGAAGAAACTGGGATGCATTGCTGTTGATGGCGGAAAGGACGCGATTGGCAGCGTCTGACGAGGTAAAGTTGAAGAGGGGAATGAAAGCAAGGGCCTCGGCAATTGTATCCGTCCAGCGGCCTAAGGGAAGGTGTCAATACATTCACTCCCACCCCACTCATTAACGATTCGAATGCCAATGACTCGCCTTTGCGTTGAGAGTAGTAAAGTTCCCGCTGTTCACCATCAAAGGTTGCATTCTCTAGGTCCGAGTTCCCTGGAATTCTATCGCTCACTGTACCCTCAGTTCAGCAGTCATTACGGGGCAAGAAGTAGAAGTTCGATGTACTTACAGGAGACAAGAGTGAGGCCAAAGGGGTGGTCTTGGAGGTTTGCCCCAACGCCGGGTAGATCAACTATGGAAGAGATTCCAAACTGGGATATTACCGATGCGGGGCCAATACCTGATAGTTGCAGGAGCTTTGGGGTATTCAAAGAGCCCGCAGAAATGATAATTTCTTTGCCCGCAGTCACTTTTTGTACAGCAGAGTCTGGTCCGGTTGAGAACTTAGTGAGTCATGTAAGCCTTCTGGCTTGCAGTTCAAAGTATGCATGAACTCGCGAAGAATATGAAAGACAGTAATGCCGACTTACTTCAATACCCACTGCTTTGGGCTTCGTACCGCTCGTATCAAAGAGTACCTTTATTGCTATTTGTCCTATAGCTATCTTCAAGTTGGGCCTTCCTAAGATTTTGTTATAGTGGGAAGTTCTAGCGCTTGATCTGGATTGGTTTCGTGGGTCAATGGAATGGGTCGTGAGATACGCGCCTAGCGGATTGCAGCCTTGATCGACCGGTGTGCTTATACCTAGGCCTCGCATGGCGTTCAAGAAATTTGCTAAGACCAACCAGGTTAGCAGGTTGTCAGCCTTTACTACAGGGATATCTGTGCCTGACTGTTGTTTGGGTGTGACCAAGCTAGATAGCTTGACTGAACCGGTCCCTCGAGCCCATGGCAGGCTAGATCATAGGTCATTCCATATAGAGCTGCATTGTCGGGCGAGGCTGGAGTGAACTTTTCGCTCTTTGTGAAGAACAGTTAGTCCATTGGATAGTATAGTGTGGAGAGCCAATCAGGAGTTCAGACCTTTTTGAAGTAGGGGAGAAGGCTCTCAAAATCCCAGCCGGTGTTCCCCAGCGCAGCCCAAGCATCGTAATTGGAAGGCATACCGCGATCAAATATCATAGCATTAACCGTGCTGCTCCCGCCAATAGTGTGACCTTGTGTGAGATTTACTATCTGCCCTTGCAATGACTCCTGCGGAACCGAAGTCAGGTTCCAGTCGAATCGGGTTCCCGGGGCGAACCCAGACGCTCCAGGGTAGAATCGCGGGATCATTACGGCGGCTTCATAGTTGTCTCTAGCCACAAGTCAGGGATGATTTATTGGGATGATAAATGATAACGAAGTTTCGTGTGCATACGGCATGCCGGCCTCGATGACAAGAACCGAATCTAGATCCTCATCAGCACAAGATATATATGCGCGTGTTGCACCTCATATCCTCACTGGATAGGTCGGCAGACAGCCTGGAGGCAAGCGTCAGGCCAGCAGTGCCACCGCCGACGATTACATAGTCGTAGGAGTTTTCGATTGATCTCGCCTGCTTGGGATGAATCAATACGGCCGATGCGGCCGAAACCCCCGCCGCTGTGGCGATCGCTACATGTAATGCTGCCTTCATACTTGCGTGCATTGCTTGTCAGTCAGCTCCCGTAACATCATTGAACACTCGCAGAAATCAGAAGGTGAGAAGATCATTTAGCAGTCTTATAATAAGTAGGTCCTGGCGGAAATTTCACTCACAAGAGTCGGGTCGCGCGGGATTTGGCCTTGCATTTGCTCAGCTTGAGTTCATGCGATGTAACCTCATCAAAGTATAACAGATTGCGGATATGGGCATAACAACCAAGGTTTGGACCCGGTTCAGAAATGGTATGGGCGCAGTACCCAGACTCAGACGCTATTGAATTTAGCGTACTTTGAATTCCAGTCAATTGATCCAGTAGTAAGGCCGCACAAAACACTAGTGGTTGGCAACAGTCGAAGATACTTTGTGGTCGACCCATTGCAAACATTCCCAGAGTCTCAAATTGAGTCCAAATTCCGATTATTTTCTTCGCTTTGTCTGAAGATTGTTATTAAGCATGCGCATAATGGAATTATTTCCTGCGTATATGTTGCTTCGAGCTGTTGTTTAACTCTATGTTTCGCTTTAGCCCAGACCTGTTCATTCCCTCTCACAGCCCTTATGTTTTCGAACTCTGGTCTTGAAAGAGAGATGAAGATCGCGGAATGGGTTTCGTATTATATAACTCTATGTGACGATCACGGACACATGCATCAGACAAGGAACAGAGACACAGTGACCAGCTGTGTCAGTCCATGACTCATATGATTCTCTGAGAAGTTGATGGTGGGGTTGTATTCCACAACAAACTGTTAAAAGTGGGATACTGTACATAAAGAGGGGCAGACATGTACATTTAATGTCATAACCAAGTCAGAGTGAGGTTAAATAGCTAAAAAGATACTCAGGGAGTAATCATAAAGATCTACTTATAGGAAAAGAATAAGAATATACTTGGCGTGCTGAGAGATAGCCAGGATTAACATGAAGTATCATATCGTCAAATTCGACTACGAAATGTTGAGCAATAGTACGTTGCCTCGACAGGTGGCCGCTATTACCTGGCAGCAAGGGCTTTACTGCCTTGTGGCAGATCAAAGACTTTACCTGATAATCATAATCCATCAAGCAAGTTTTTTACTTAGCGTTTTCAGTCTTGTCGCGAAGTGTAGGGCGTAAAAATCTTGAATGTTTACAGGAATACAGTCGACTTACTTGCAATTCATCGAATGTCTGTTAGTTTCTCTTGATGCGATGAATTCAATCTCACACTCGTCTATTAGGCACTTCTATCCCGGCATGTATCAACGTATGGCCCAGAGAAAGCATTTATATCACAAACCATCTTCCCAGTGCCTATACTTTGTTCTCACTGGTTCTTGATCAACAATTTGGGGCACACAACGTAGCGGGCAAGACGTAACAATTATCAAACTTACCGAGACAGTTCCTCCAAGTGATATCGCTCAATCAAACATTTTCTACACACAGCCCTCCGCAGCCAGTGTCTTTGCCTCATATTTTGGATCATTGACTACATCCTATTGGAAACTTCTATCTCTGACGTGCCCAACTATACTAGCAAAAAGTCCAAGCTTGCTAGACTTGTCCTCCAAGACGCCTGGAAGTCTCAGTATCAGTATGTTCGATGGTGTCTGTAATTCAAATCTCTAGATGTACTGATGATCTCGGCGAAACCAGAAATAGGCACTGCTATATCTGTCTACCAAATGCTGTAGCCATCAAATTTGATCGAAGTCAACGCCCACAGAGCTCCCTTTTCTCCATCCCAAAGATCAATCTTATCTTGCATATACTCTGTAAGGACTTTCTAGGCTCCAGGGGCTTGACAATTGATGGCACACTAGATATATCACGGCGGACACTATCTTTGGCCCTTGAGATTCTGTGTAAAACAGAATTCAGCGTTGCGGCTCTTACCTTCGGGATGATAGTGCTGACTTAAGAAATAGTGCAGGGTCCTCTTGAAGGCGCCACTCTTTCACAGCCGCGTTGCCGTGCGTATTCAACGCCTTCGTCAAGACATCGTTCATCAGCTACAAATCAGCCAGCTATATTCCCGACCGAATCAGACGCGTCACGGCGACGGTGGCCTCTCTTACTGATACAAATGACACGACGGCGATAAGATACACCGCTTAATAACGATACACAATGCAGTATCAACAGTGAGTGGAGATCGTCGTTCATGAGGAGCACTAGCAGCACGCAATACCAGACAGAGACCTGTCAAGTCATCTATTTATGCTTGGATTCTCAGAACCGCCGTTGTCGTGATTGTGTCGCATCTCTCCCAGCCCTTGACTCCCGTAAACTTGTCGGCATCTGAAGAAGACGACCAACAGAGTTCAACGTCTTCGCAAGAGGCTGATTAACGTCGACTACCATACTACAGTTCCTAATAGTAGCTTTTCATAATTGGTGAGACATTGTTTCTTTTCTTTAGGATACTTTTTTTTAAGCGTGGCGGAACAAGCGGATTGCGGTTAAGCTCTTTGAGGGTGTAGTACATTGAGGTGTAATAAGCCTCAGAGCTTGCTTGCGGTCTCATGGGCCTGTGGTACAAATTCCAGAAAATATTTTCAAGGACAATGAACACTTATGTGTGTCTGACAAGGCGTTTCCCAGATCTGTGAAACGTGTAGCAGGTCACGAAAACATGTCTCGTAATGCGGCCAAGGAGGTGGTGATGAAAGTAGAATCAAATCAGTACTCGCCAACAACAGGACACAATTCCCTCAAGAAGGTAATTGGCAAAGTTTGCTCCAGAACTATGGGGAAAGAGATCGAATCAGGAACTGAGGTCACGATAATAAAGGTAGTTAACGAAGGCTTGTAAATAGATCTGGTATGGCGCCTTCTACGAACTTATTTATATAACAGTTCTCAGACATGTTGTTCACTTTCCTGATTTTCATAGAGAAAATTGGAAAAGTTATTGTATTGGAACCATCCTTTGACAAGTACGTATGTTAGCAACATCGAGATGGCGGGTGAAAAAGTGCGATATGTGCGACTCGGTTCTTCAAGTAACGATAAAAGGGCTACATCGTGATCCGCTGGCTGGACCGTGAAGATGCAAACGCTACGACATACTATTACCTCTTGGAGGCGCATGATACTTAGTAGTCATCAATACTCTACAAAATCCGGTCGGCAAGGCGTTACATTCAAGCAAATTTAGGAGACAAGCGAGCTCTGCGTCAGAAACAACATCATAACCCTGTCAGTCACATTATACGACAGCCTGCAATATGTCCCAGTCACATATTTGGCGACACTCTCTCCACAGATTCGAGAACTAATCCTTACCGTAGTCTCGGTGAGCGGAAGTTTTTACGCGACCAGTTGCAGGGTTGGCTTTCTCATTGGACCAAAAACCTCATCAAGTATCTAAGCGCTGCTCAATAAAAGGCGTGTTACTCAAGCCCGAGTCCCCTGCCAGAGGGTTGCACGGTCGGCTACATGCTTGCTGAAGAGAATGGCTTCTGGCAAAAGCTAAGTGTCACTACACAAGGCAAGATCAAGTATTTCACTGAGGTTTCTAGTGTGCTCGAAGCCCTACTCTGAGCCGGAAGGCAGTGGTTTTGTGTTGGTTAATCTTGCCAGGGTTGAGATTTCTGGAGACTAGTTACCCTTTTTCTGGGTATGTTGTTTCCACTCTAGAGACTTGACCTAATCTGACGTGCGCCCTTTGTCACATATTGGGATGTCCCGGTGTAAAACAATACTGCTACTGCTACTAATGATTCGAGCTAACTCAGTTCCTCCTTGTGAAAATAGCCGTTGCGGCGATACAAAAGTAACAAAGCGGAGAACGCCTGTTTGGCAGAAGACTATTTGCCTTTTGCTATCTTCAAGGAAAATGTGATGCTTGAAGAGGGCAAAAAGCGTATTTGAGGTCTGGAGGAGTATATTTCTCAGGCCGAATGTAGCAAGGACAACAAGGATTACGATCTTGCCAGGAAGGATCAAAGAGAAGAAATAATTCCGTCTCATGCGCCGTTCTCATGAATCAAGGTGGCCCATTCCTTCGAGAGTGTCTTTGCTGTAGCAATAAGTTCCTCTCGCCATCCTCCGGCCACGTCACTTTCCCATCCAACCTTGTCATAAGACCAATCCAGCAACCCTTCCGCGCGCGCACCGTCTGGGTGATCTAACAATCCGATTGCGATGTCCACCATCCCTTCCCGGTCATGGACAGCGTAAAGTATGTTGGCAGAGCACGTGGAACAGAAGTACCGCTCCACGTCAGAAGAGCTGTTGTACACGGCTAGTGTCCCAAGGCGGGGGTCCCTCTCGCGGGCTGAATTGACTCCTTGTTTGAGCGCGGTAAGAGTTTGTGGAAACTCGGAGACTCCCAAAGTCGCTTTGTCGCCAGCGGTAAAATCAATATGGGTTAGGGGTGCATAAGTCCAGGCGGAAATATCCGATCCGAATGTGAGACGACAGGAGTCGCATGAGTCAGAATTGGCCTTGAACTTCAAGGTCTCTGGGTTGATGCATGAAGACGTTGAGTCTTTCGCCGGATCCGCCTCGAGCTCGGCTGCGCTACGAAGCGACAGACTGACACCCTTGCAATGACAGTAAAAGGGTGTCACAGCTGGAAAAGCTTGCGCTCTGTGACGTGAAGCTGGGATAGCCTTGGGTGTTGGCCAGTCCATGGGCAGCTCTTCACTACCGCGCGCTTCCTTCCATCGTTTGATGGGCTCGCCATCCTCGTATCTTGGCAGCCAGACCGAGATCCCTCCGTCAACAGTGTCACCGACGAACATGTGACTATTGTACTTGACGATCCCTGGGGCATTATCCAGTGCACCTGTCACAACAAAAGCGCCTGGTCCCAAAGTGGAGACGCGGCAAAAGAGTTTGGTGGAACAAGTTGTACAAAAGAAGATATCGATGTCCTTGCTGAACGAATACTTCTTCAGGCCAGATAGATCTTCAGTGGGGTTGGGCCATTCCGCGCAAGTAGAGTAGAGTGACCCAGTGAGTCGACGGCAGGATGTGCAATGACAGCATTCAGCTCTGAGTGGAAGTGCAGATTTGGCCACTGAAGCCGAGAAAGCGTGCGCTTTGCACAAACAATGTGCCTTGATAATGATTGAACTTGCCATTTCAATCTCTTCTTTGGCGGTCACGCACTCAAGATTTCTATCAGAGTTGTTTGGGTGTTTGGCAATGTAACAGTAAGGCTTCATGCGTGGGCACAGGATTTTGTCGGGGGTTTATGCTTTTAGGCTGCTGTGGACGAAAGGGCGCTAAATGACGAGGCTAAATCACATGCTGAGCTACTCGTGCAACTGTTGAGCGGCTAATCAGAACACTTACCTTCGTCAGCCGCTCCTGTAAGACTGTCTATAGAGAGTCCGAGCCCGCTGAGGCTGTCGGCAGCTAAAATCTTTGCTAAGAGGACTCGGTCCACTGTTTTTTCTTTTTTTTGGAAACACAGTTAAGTCAAATGACTGCGTGAAAGGAAGAATTCAAGCATCCTGCATCCTTCTTATGATTGTCCAAGCTTCTGCCTAGCCTGCCTTCAGTTAAGTAGTTCATCTGATCTCGGTATGGCTGGCGAATGCGACAAGCATCCTGCTATAGTTGTAGCCCGGCACTATATGCCACACTGATGGCCGTTTCCCAAGATAGGTTTCTGGTCATCAATCTGGCGCATTATCTCTTCTAACAGAGATGATCCCTGGTTTGCCCAAATCTCTAGTTCGACCCTTTGACTCGCAGACAAGAGTTCTAAGAGATCTTCCTTCTTTTGCTAGCATCTTCTTCCCAGCTTGTGGAACCTCTTCTCAACTCACTGTCAACCAGCGATTCGGTTTATAGTTATCAGGTTCTTTTAGACTTTAGCATGCATGCTAGAGTGCTATAAGGATCTACACTTCTCACAATGCAACCCCAACTTGACTAAAGTCAGATCACGGCAATCTGCGTGATCGACAGCAGTGAGGCGGGTGAACCTAAATAAGTATTCGGAAATATTACAGTTAAAAACTGTACACTCAGCATTGCTTTAAATTTGAGACTTGCAATGTAGTTGAATATTCCAAGTCCTGAGTGTTACGATTGTAACTTCACTTCTGTCACTCGTTTAGTAATACGCACACTTTTGTTCACTACTTAGCCTGTCTTCTCCAGCACTCGTTCAGGGAGAAATAACAGTCGACTCCTATCTTTTGAGAATAAGTCACTCAAATCGTTACGATGGCTTCGAAAACTTTCACAGCCACTGCGGCCATGGCGCTGGCTTTTTCATTACCGGCTCTTGCAGCCGTGTTCCCTAATGATGTTTTTAAGCGCGCCGAGATTGAGCATATGTCTTTGGAGGAGCGTGGCGCCATGGATGCTTCGTTACTGTGGGATGCGGGAGAAGTTCCTTACATTTTACAGCAACTCCCGCACGACCTGTCCAATTCTATTCGCGATGCCATGAGGCAGTGGGAACAAAATACCTGTATCCGGTTCGTCCCCAAGACGAACCAGGGGGCTTGGGTAACCTTCAAGAAGGTAAGAAGCCTGTCTTGATCGACCCGACTGTCTTACTAACCGCCCCATTCCAGTATAACCAAGGCTGCTATGCGCAAATTATGGGCGCCCCTGCTTCCGGGGAGGTTATTGTAAATCTCGACTACCCCAGTTTACGGGATAATGTTTTGAGCCTTGGCACTTACAAGGGCTGTATGGAAAACGGCATACCTGGTCACGAGGTAAGAGCTATGAGACTCGCCCTGATTGTTAGCCGAAACTAATGGGGGCCGAAATAGCTGGGCCATGTGATTGGACTGGCCCACGAGCACCAGCGACCTGACCGTGATCAATATATTCGGGTGTGGATGGAAAATGTTGACCAAAGGGACGTGAGCCAGTTTGAGATCTATGAACCAGCCAACACGTCGCTGCCTTTCGACTACAATTCAATCATGCTTTACGATACCAAGGCTTTTTCCAGGAATAACCGTGCCACCATTTCAACGATCACGGACAAACCAATCGACCCCTGGGATACGCCTACGGTCAATGATCTCAAGGCGGTCAACAACGCCTACGGCTGCGAAGAATACTTCACGCGAACGGTCCCGAAGTGTCGTGCCGGCTCCATCCCTTCAGACGGTAACAGGTCTTCGTACAGTTTCATTCTAGACAAGTATACGGAGCAGTACATGCGTGAAAACAACTATACGCACGTTGCGGCTCACCAAGAATGCCGCGCCAACACGTTGAACCAGGGCACGGACAACTGGGGCTTCAATCCCTTGCATGGCTGGGGTCCTCGCTCTCAATATACAGTTTCTGTTGACCGATGCAAGAAGGACTTTGACCGCCACGCCAGTCGTTACGAGGTTGCGTTGTGCAAGGGCGACAACGAGGATGCTTGCGATATCAAATGTGGTACACGCCGTGTCTGCCCCTTCGATGCTAGCGGAAAGCAGGTCGACAGCAAGGCCATCGATATTGTAGATGATACTCTGTGGGTTTGTCATCCCCACTAAATTACAAATGTCGTCTTTGGCTTGCTATGATTCAAGCGCCGAGAGGTTGGACAATGATGGCTATTGTAGTTTTTCACTTAAATTTAAATGACGGTACACCGGATTTCAAGAGGTGCAAAAGCAGTATGCAAAGCTAAGAGCATACCTTTACGTAGGGATGGATTCTATAGAACAAGAATCGAAAAGTGATTAGCAGGTGCAGGCAACTACCACAATTTCGTTCGCTTATGATGCCGTGGCACCAGCAACGCGGTCGTCTTAAGCAGAATGATATCGCGACACGTGAAAGCCGAAGTGAGAGAGGTTGGGAAAAAAAATCAGCACCTCTCAAAGATCTGTGGTTCGGGCTATGTAAGCCATCGCATTCCAAAAACAGAGATGGTCTTCAAAACGACACCGACTGTAGAAGACTTAAAGAAGCTTTAAGGTTTCTAGCGCTTTCTATTAAAGTGTTACATTATATGTGGAAGAGTAAGTCATACTACCCGCTCATCTAGTTTTTCCTTTCTCTCTATTTGAAGCCCGACCGCTGGAATCTGACACCTGGTCCTACATTCGGCTTGAGTGTCATTCCAACAGCAGGTAAAAACCTAACCTGCATGAGAAATTCGAGATTCTTTTTGACGGCAACTTTGAGTTGCACGGGGCAATCTCTAGGGTGGTCAATGTGGATATCCCACTTCATCGAATCATCATCAAGTAGGTGTGCCAGGGGCCATAGCGGGTGCGCCTCCTGTCGCTCAGAAATGTCCTTCCTGACCGCCGGAAACCACTCTGACGCAGTGATTGGGCGAACATCATATCCTGAAGCTTGGATCAGGCCCCAAAACATGCCCCAGGTCATCCCATCCTCCTGATTCTTGACTACATTTGCCTGTAAGTTGGGATTGAGAGCGGCGTTGATGGCAGCAGCAGCGGTCTCTGCCGCATCTGACACATGCAGCCAGGCCTCTTCATCATCAGCGTTGTAAGCCCCAATGTCGATGCTAGCTGAGGTGATTCTCCAAATGTAGTCGTCTAAATTCGCCACGCCCTCGGTGGGTGTTCCGATTATAAGACCTGGCCTGAAGACTGCGATGTTTCTCCTAGTGGGAGAACATCTCCCAGCAGCTCGCTTGACAAGCACCTCAGCAACGAACTTTGTCTGGCTATAACCCATCGAGTCTGCGAGTTCATGAGCGATATCTTCATCTCTCTCTGTATCACTTCTCCACTGTCGGCCACCCGAGACATAAGCGAATCTTAGCGATTGATATCGGACAGCAAGGCCAAGCAGCTGCGCTGTCGAGCCGACGTTAACTGGCTCGAGAGCTGAGTAGCTCTTGTTCCAATGGACAGTAGCACCATTGTGAATGATAACGTCGAAAGAGTAACCATCGCTTAGTAGGTCCCATTGCTCTTGCTCTAGACCTAATTGTGACTCCGATAAGTCGCCAACCCAAACTTCAAGCTTGCTTTCGTGAAACTCCGTCCACCATAAAGCCTTTCGAGCTGCTTCAATCACCCGAATCTTTGCTGCTTGGGTATTTGTACTGCGCACAAGAGTTGTCACACAACTGACGTCGCGACGTTCGAGAAGTTGACGGAGTATTTGAGTGCCCAAATACCCGTTGCCTCCAGTAAGGAAGACTTTAATATCGTTGTCTTTCTTATAGGAATGGTGAACCTCAGATTTGTGGTATCGTCTGGACAACTGAAGCAGCTTTTTATCATACCGATTGACTTGGGCCATGATGTCGACCCTTCCGTTAAATTTTGGGGAGGGCGGTGATGTCATGTCATTCTGTCTCCGGGTTGAATCAGTGATGAACGCTGCAAGTGTCCTAATGCTGGTTTTTTCATCCATCAGTAGCTGCATACTGATCTTGATTCTATACCTCATGTGGGCAAAGTGCATGAGCGACATCATGTTGAGAGAATCAAGGCCAGAAGCGTGGAGCAATACGTTGTTGAAGCTTGTAGACAAAGTTGGCGTAGAAGATGATTTCGAAGATACCAAACTTGCAATCTTCTCTGCCAATTCATAGGCAGGCGTTTCTCCTGGTAGTATGGCCGTGGCTCCTTCAAACACCTGCACTGGCTCGTCAATGCTGTTTGGTTCTCTTTCCGGCTGCGCTTCTAGGCAGGTTATAATCTGTTTTCGATCCGCTTTTCCCGATGCTGAGAGGGGAAATCCATTGTGGACGAGTGTATCGACGTCAACCCAGTGTTTTGGTAGCATGACACTAGGGATCTTGGTAGCCAGCTCTCGCTGAATGTTGTCCACCTTTTCGCTGAAGGAAACGGTCATTTTCGGGTGCTCGGCGGCCGTCTTGTTGCCCGTTTCAACCTCCAATACGGCAACGAGTTGCCGCGAGAAGGGCCCATGTGAAGGGAAGAGAATAACTCCACGCTTGACCCCAAAGCAAACAGCCAGGTTAGACTCGATGTCACCGAGTTCAATTCTCTGGCCATTGATCTTTACTTGCATGTCTTTCCGGCCAACATAGACCATGGTCCCGTCGTTCATTTTCTTGACAAGGTCTCCTGTTTTATATAGACGCTTGGCGAGTATATGGCCATTCTCTATTGGCCATGAGGGAGTGTCAATGAATGCCGCAGCTGTTCTTTCCGGGTCATTGAGGTACCCATCCGCTAGGATTGGGCCCCCTATGAGAAGTTCGCCGGTCTCTCCGTTAGGAACCAGAGTTGTTTCATCATCTGGATTCACGATCCAGGATGAACATCCTACAGGGAGACCAATGGTTCGAGGGTCTATCTCTCGGGAATAAGAGTGACAAGCAGCGATAACTGAGCACTCGCTTGGCCCGTATGCGTTGAAGAGCCTTGTTCCAGCATTTAGCCACTTCTGCACCAGGAGTTGGTCGGGTGCTTCTCCCCCAAGAACTAGAGTCTGGAGGGACGGGACTTCCGTCGGAACAATGATCCGGGCCACAGATGGCGTCAAAAGGGCAAAATTCACGTTTTTTCTTTCAATGAAATCCTCGATATCTTCAAAACGCTCTTTTTCTGTGGGTATAACGATTGTTCCGCCGTGAATGAGTGTAGTGAGAATCTCGAATAAGCTGGCGTCGAAACTGTACGCGGAAAACTGAAGTACACGGTTGTCGAAAGACATCCCAAAAACAGTACCGTGGGCAACTGCGCTGGAGACAAAAGCTGAGTGAGTGATAACAATTCCTTTAGGGTGTCCAGTAGACCCTGATGTAAAAACGACGTATGCCGGGCTCTCGGACTCTAAATGGAAAGAGAGCCTCTTGGGGCTCCAATAGCTCGAAAGTCTCCTGAGTAACTCTTTGTCCACGACAATGTTGGTAAAGACACCAAGATCTGTAGCTTTTTCTTGAAGTTTTGACACAAGGACAACCTTCGCTTTGACTTGTGTGACGATCTGTCTTAGGCGTGAGAGAGGCTGATTCGGGTCCAAGGGAACGAAAACAGCTCCAGCCTTGAGAACTCCAAGCATTGAAACCACTATCCATACTGACTTTTCGAAACACAGTGGAATTATCTCTCCTGGAGAGATGCCACTGTTCATAAGATGACTTGCTAGAGCAGAGGACATGGTTTCCATGGTACCGTAGGAAATACAGTCAGTTGTTGAAACAGCTGCGTCTCGCTTGGGCTGAACTTGGCTCTTCTTGCTGATAATTCCATGCAACGTTGATGGGACATGAGCAACTGCCTGGTCATGGTAGCCTGATTCGGACAGGCTCGGAAGCTTGTCGAAAACTAGGTCGGCGACTCTGTGGCAAACGTCTGGCCGAGATGCAGCCCAAGCAAGCTGAGTCATGATAGTCTTCACAGTCTCAATTGCTTGGGCGACAAAAACACGGCTTGTCATTTCCTCATCGACGTGAGTAGCAAATTCTACTCGCCCAGGATGGAGCCAAGCCTCGCATGTGACTGGGAAAGTCGTGTACTCTTCACGATAGACTGGCTTCGTGAGGGGACCCGAGCCCGTCTCTTCCCAGCCTCCACCAGCCTGCACCACAAGTAGGTTCTGAAAATCGCAGCCCCGCTTTGTGTCTTCGCTCAAACTTTTTATCATCTGGATTCCGGCCTGTTCAAATGGGATCATTGACGTCGCCTGGTCCTGGATCTGGCGGAGAAAACTGAGAATGGCCAACCTTCTATCAAGCCGGGCTCTGATTGGAACCGTAGCAATGGTTGGTCCTTCGATGCTCTCAATGTCATCAACAGGCGCATTCCTTCCGGACACTGTTGCTCCGAAAACAACATCGTCAGACTTGGAGTAATGACCGATCATAAGAGACCATGCTGCGCGTACAAGACTTGACATGGTGATGCCAGAAGACAGATCAATATCAATGATTAGCTCATCCCTAACAACAGCTCTAGCAATGGACTGATGACCCTGCTTCGATGCCGCGGGAAAACACGAAACAGGGGACTCGCGTAGCTCTTTAATCCAATAGTCTGAGTATGTGCTAGGTGAGACTTGCTGTGTGTAGAAGATGAAGTGTCGGTAGTCGGTTGCCTGCTTTATAGCGCGACCATGATACATGTTGTTGAGTTTGCTGCAAAGCATTGCGAGTGACCAGCCATCGTATAGCATATGGTGAATAGTCCACACAAATGTGAAACCACCATCTTTAGACGATATAAGCGCAAACCGATTGAGTGAGTCTCCGGGAAACATCGGATCAGAATCATCCTGCTCCAAGTAGGCCTCAAGGTCGTTGTGGGAGAGCCACTGGACCTTCTCTCTGATCACAGCTTGAAGGGAACCTGCGGCCGAGGTCGTCGCAAATCGAGTCCTTAGGATTGGCGATGTCGCGTGGATGATTTCCCAAGCTTGCTTGAATCGGGCCAGATCGATGTCTCTTGGTAAGGGATGTATCCATCGGCCAGTGTAGCTGCCTGGTCTGGTGAGGTTCACTGCCATCAACCCTTCCTGCATATGAGTACAAGGGTACAAGTCTTCAATATCCTCCTGCTGAACTTCACATTGAAATGACGCTTCCACGCGAAGCTCAGATATTGTGTCCTGGCTTAATAGCTGGAAAGGGGCGAAGTGGGCCACAGGTTTAACGTAGCTGTCTGTCGTTCTTTTGCAAACCAAAGCCATCTTTCTTAGCACAGAGTTTTTGAAAATGCTGGCAACATTAATCTGAAGTTCGAGTTTACGGCATGCTGCAACGACTTTAATAGCACCGATAGAGTCCCCTCCAAGCCTGAAGAAGTCGTTGTCGGGCTTAATGTTATCCTCGGAAACTCCCAGAACGTTTGCCCAAGCCTTGCGGAGAGATAATTCGATAGGCGTGCAGGTCATATCTGGCGAGACAGACAGCGATAGTTGAGTTTGATACGAGAGGTGCGTGTCGGATGAGATTGTGTGCTGTCCGACTGAGGACTCCCCTTCACAGTCTGTGAGGTCGACTGACTGCAGCTCAGATGTGTCTGTGCTAGCAAGAGGAAATTCATTTTTTTGTTGATCCGGTAGTTGTAACAATCGTTTCGCTGTCATCTCGTTTCCAAGACCGCGGAGTGCTTTCCTGTCAACTTTCCCAGAGGCAGAGAGAGGCAATACGTGGCATGGGATGACGGCATTGGGGACCATGTAGGTCGGAAGCACCCTGACAAGCTCTCTAGAGGCTTCTTGGAACCTGTCATGGATATCCCTCCAGATAAGATCTGTTTCGCTGGCGACAATCTTCTTTATGACATGTGTCGACTTTTCGACCGCCACCTTGGATGTTATGAAGGCTGTGAGAACACCATTGCTTGCCCCGATCGGTCGGAGGAGCTCGACAGCTACATCCCAGCTGGATACAGAAGACCCAAAAGGCTGGGTAAACTGGAGAGACTGCTTCAATTGGTGCTCAATCTCGCCAAGCTCAACACGCTGGCCGTTGATCTTCACTTGACTGTCTCTCCTTCCGAGGAAATCGATCGAACCGTCTACGTTCATCCGTCCGAGATCCCCCGTCCGATAGCATCGCTTAGGATCGGTCACAACACTGCGAAGAAAACTGGGGTCGTCGAGGAAGACAGTATCGGTCTTCTCCTTATCGCCAAGATAACAGCGAGCCACAGGGGGTCCCTCGATAACTATTTCACCAATAGTGTTGAAAGAAGCAAGTTGCCCATTCTCAGCAACGATCCAAACGGCGCAGTTTGCTGATCGTCCGAGAGAGATTGTTCTTTCGCCCTTGCTTCTGGGTTCGCTGACGATGGTGATAGCGGAGCATTCCGCAGGACCATATGCATTGATAGCTTTGACGTGGTCCGCCCACGTATCTACAACAGTCTGTGGAAGTGCCTCTCCAACCAAACAGAGTACTTCCAGGCCTGAAACTTCATCTGGGCTCATTAAATTCGCCACTGATGGTGTCAACATTGCCCAGTTGACATCCATACTTGAAATACAACTAGCCAGGTTGTTCATCCTCTCTTCTTCTGACGGAATGCAAAGGCAGCCACCGACGATGAGAGTTGAGAAAATCTCAAGCATGGAAATGTCGAACGAGAAAGAAGAATATTGCAAAACGCGGGCGCGGGGGGAATCGAGGTGGATAGCCTTGGAGAAGCCTTTTGAACTAGAGCAAAAGGCTGTGTGACTGACGACAACGCCCTTCGGCTTCCCGGTTGATCCGCTGGTATAAACAACATAAAGTGCATTGTCTGAAGTGACCGAGGGCTGCGTTGACCATGATGATGCTCTGGTAGAAAGACTTTTAAAGAATGGATCGCCGACGATGACCCTGCTTTCCTGCAGTACATGCTGGGGAATCTTGTCCTGATGGTCGGCTGATGACAACACAATGGAAGCCTTGACATCTTGTACAATCGTCCTAATCCGAGCGGCAGGGAGTGATGGATCAAGGGCTGTAACAGCACCTCCAGCCCTCGTTACTCCCAGTATGGCGATAATGGACCAGACCGACTTTTCAAATATGACGGGAACCACGACTTCCGGCCCGACGCCAATGCTTGAAAGGTGATTTGCAAGCTTTTCGGTGTAATATTGTAGCTGTGAATATGATAAGTGGCCGTCCCAAGCGCAGACTGCCTGGGCCTGTTGTTTTGTTTCAGCTTGCTGGGCAATCAGGTCATGAACCAGGACGTCTTGTTGTTCCGGCAATCTGTATCATTTAGTACTCGAGTTTTTAGTACGCCTTGAAGGGTTTGTGGTCAGTACTCACGGTCTATTCAACTTCACAAGATGGCGCTGGCTCGCAGGGCTGAGCGTTTGGATGTTTTTCAAAGTCCTCTGTTCATTGGAGAAGTCGTCTAGTTGCCACAGAACATGTTCCAGGTCGTTCAGAAGAAGCCGTACTGCCGTACGAGAAAAGTACTGTTCATCATAAGTGGCTGAAACCTCCAACTCTTGGTCATCAATGGAGCATTCAAGTCGAATACTCCAGTTAGAGGCAACCGACGATTGATGCACTTCCAGTGCATTGCTCGAGAAAGCGATGATGGTCTGCAAGGAAACCTCGTCTGTTGTAAGAGAGATCAAATCAGACTCAGAATTGGGAGCGCCATATACCGCGGGTGTTTCTGCAAAGCATCTGAGGAACTCAGAAACCTGTTGTTGACGGTTGATTGAAAGCTTGACTGGCGATGATGGGTTTGAAAGCTCTAGGTTCTTGGGCGTCGTGACGTATAGCCCATAGCGAATGTCTTCGCTATCAGACTGCGACGAGAGCATCAATGCCCATGCGGCGCATACTGCAGATTTGATGTCTCCTGCAAGTTCACAGACTGGGCCTCGAATGTGAGATAACCGACTTGTGGTCGTCCTCGCGCCGGTGATTGCACTCTTGGCGTCGAGCAACGGCTCATCGGGCTGCGATTCACCGTTGAGCGAATCTTCACTGTTGTTTTGAGTAGTCTGAATGTCGAGATATTCTTCCTTAGAGCCTTTTGTAACAGGAGACCTGAAGACAAAGCGCTTGGGAATGCCCGGAACATCGGTGGGAAACGGATTCTCGAAGACAATCTCGTCTGGAGTTTGCGCATCCGCTGGAGTTGGTGCGTCAAAAACAAACTTGACAGAATGAAGCCGTGGGGTCAGCTTCCATCTTCCGTCTGTTGACAACATCTTTGTATAGCTGGTTTGTGTGATTGTAATGATCGGATGTGAAAGGTTCATGTAAAGTGCTGACCTCAAAGTATGACGCCAAGGCAGCAAGGCAAGGACAGCGTTGATGGTATAAGTGCATGCACGATTTTGTTCATTCAAGTGTCACCGGGCTGACACACAAAAGGAGAGTCTAGAACCTCAAGGAAGTCAGGAGCATCTTGTCCCTACTACGAGGCAGACTCGCATCACGAACGATCCTTCAACATGACGAGATCCGCTTCTGTTTGTGGCGTAGTTCACGTCGTGATTCATGTTATCCACTTCCATAATGGATGTCTCATCCCATTTGCAAGCGCCATGGGGCGAATAATTGCTCATTATCGTGTGCTTGGTCGATTTAATCCGCTGGGAGGTTTTCCTACCTGCCTAGATGGGCAAGCTTGATGGCGCGTCCCTCACCGTAAATCCTCCCGTGGTGCCTCCTACTGCCGCGGTTTGTGATCGCTGGAGGAGATGGCTCCATTCTGACTAGAAGACTGCAGGCTGGGAGTGTGATCAGGATTCTGTAGACTGGTCGCGGCTTCAGGATCGGAAACAAGTATTAATGCGGGGTGCAACTTCTCGTGGCATCAAGTTTCCGTTCACATCGCTTGAAAGTGGAAACCTCTTAAGCTAGAATCAAGTAGGCACCAGCCTTTTTTCTTGGGGGGGGGGGAATTTTCACGGGTTCCGATTCGCTTAGTCGCATCACATGATCCTGAAACATATGTCTACATGTGTCGAGACTCGAGAAGGCAGATTTCAACTCGGAGGTCTTGAGAGAAGCGGCATTTACAGCTGCTAGCCGTCCGAGTTGAATTGCCACCACCGAGCGCATATGACCCTGCCACTTGGTCCTTTTGTAGCGCGTGAAGTCAAAAGCGGTTGCATTTTGTGCCTTGTATGGGTTTGTACGGGTTTTCGAATCCATCTTCGCATCAACATTCCCGGCTTCTGGGACCAATGATCTGGAGCCAAGCCCTTGACAAAAAGCTTGAAGGACCTCAGGATGCAGGTCCCTGTCGACTAGTTCTGCATTCCAGATCCTTCGGCCCCACGGAGGGGTGGTCAGCGATAAGGCTTCGGACTCATCACGACGCCCGGTATCGTAATGCAGTGTTTTTGGGTCTTGTCGTAGTTCCGTGGGCGCCTATGATGACTCTTTGGCCTTCCTGATACGGTTGGGAACATTGTGATGGGGCGATGGGATCCATGTTTAGGCTCGAATCCTAAGGGCGGTCAGCCAGTCCAGCGGGGCGAATTTCATCGGGCTCTTCTGGAAATAGTGGCAACCTTCTGGGGCTTGCTGTAGAAACTAAGACAATGGACGTAGCTGGCAATGAAAAAGGAAAATGAACGTGCATATTGGGCGGCGTACTGCTCCCCATTTCAAGAAGTTGAGATGCCAAAACGCTAAAGACTGCAATCTCAACCACCAAGAATCAATATGACTACAGATGAATCAAATGCCCTTGATGCTCGCAGTGGCGGCAAGAGCCATAAGAGCGAAAAGGCTGGCGTGCTAACTGGTAATCCATATGATGCCTCCCAAAGCACGTTGGAGCCGGCTGCACCAGGCGACGACCTTCCTGGGTGGAAGGTCTTCGTCATTTGGTTGGCAGTCGCCCTCGGCGTTCTTTGCACTTTTCTAGACGAAGGTATCATTGCGACAGCCATTCCGCGGATCACGGATGAGTTCGGCTCTTTAACAGACGTTGGTGTGAGTGAAAATAATGGTCCCCACGAGAGAAAGTGCTAACAAACATCCAGTGGTATGGCTCTGCCTACCAAATGACTCTTTGTGCTTTTCAACTGATCTTTGGTCGCCTCTACAATCAATTCAATATCAAGATCGTCTTTCTCATCTCTCTTGCAATATTCGAAATAGGGTCTCTCATCTGCGCGGTGAGCCCAAGCTCAGCAGTTTTCATTGCGGGCCGTGCCATCGCAGGCCTCGGCGCCTCTGGACTTCAGAGCGGCTGTCTTGTTCTCATCTCAGCGGCGCTACCAGCCAAAAAGCTACCAATGTATGTAGGAGCGATTGGCATGGTTTATGGCGTGGCTGCTGTCCTTGGTCCGGTTGTTGGCGGTGTGATTACCAATAGCTACCTCACATGGCGATGGTGAGTTGACCACACGAACCTAGCCTAGACCCCATTGACATATCTGTAGGTGTTTCTACATTAACCTTCCGATAGCAGCACCGCCTGTGGTGGCGACGTTATTCTGGGTAAAGTCACCCCCACCGACGGATGAGCAGCGGCGGCCATGGCTGCAGAAGATCCAGGGTCTGGATTATCTTGGCATGGTTCTCCTGTTGCCAGGAATCACATCGCTTCTGCTCGCGCTCCAGTTCGGCGGCGCACTGTTCTCATGGAGCGATAAGAGAACGATTGTATGTTTTGTACTCGCTGGTGTTCTCGTCGTGGGGTTTGTGATTGAGCAGTGGTGGATGGGTGAGAAGGCCCTGGTGCCTCCACGCCTAGCCAAGATGCGTATAGTGATATTTGGGGCCTTTTTCGGCTTCTGTTTAGACAGTGCCTTCTTCACACTCGTCTACTACGTATGTTAACCCCTACTACCTCTCTGCCATATATTCACGTTCGCTCCAGGTGCCTCTTTGGTTCCAGGCCATCCAAGGTGCAACGGCGGAGCAGTCTGGTGTAAGATATCTAGCTCTCTGCCTTGCATTTATTTTCACCATCTTTCTTAGTGGCTGGGGAGTCACAAAGACGGGTTACTATCAACCCTTCATGCTGACGGGGACTGTTCTACTGTCAGTGGGCTCTGGTCTGCTCTCGACTCTCAAGGTCACCTCGGGCGCGAACCACTGGATCCCGTTCCAAGTTATAGCAGGCCTAGGGATCGGGGTATCAACGCAACAGGCCGCTGTTGCTGTTCAAAGCAGTCTTGAAGAGGCCGATATCGCTATTGGTGTTGCGGTCGTCATGTTCTTCCAATGTCTGGGGCCAACAACCGCTATTACCATCGCTCAGGCCGTCTTTGCCAGCTCTCTCACGTCAGGCATATTGGCCAATTTTCCGGGGGTCGACCCGAAGCTAATCAGAGACTCGGGAGCGACAGGGTTGAAGGACTTGGTACCGTCTGAGCAGTTTGAAGTTCTTCTGCAAATCTATAACCACTCGATCACGAGGACGTATCTTGTCGCTGCGGCTCTAGCTGCTGCGAGCATCATTGGCGTCGTAGGTGTAGGGCTGAACAAGATCCAAACTGAAGAGGACGCCGGGAAAGCAGACGCCGAGAGCCAATGAGGCTCTGCCACCTTTGCTTGCAACTCTTATCGGCCGAAAACCGGTTGGGATCTGGAAAGTGTCACCTGTGTTCCATGGTATCGTATCGTCTTGTGACAATTGAGAGCCTTTACGCGCTTGGGCATACCGAGACTAAAACGAACCCAGAATTTGAACAGAAGTCTAGAGGAGGTCTAAATACGATCCGGTATCACCAATAGTCTTCCGGTTCGGGCCTGGGTCTATTGAACCAATGCGTACTGTCTCGGTCTAGGCTCTTATGCATTGTTTAGCCTTCACTGACCAGTCCTCCCTCTCTTTAAAACCTACTAGCCCTCTCCCAGGAGAATACTAGTGCCATGAGAATTCCTACCTCAGACAGTAATCTCGCACTCCTTAGCTGAGTATACACACCATGGAGGCATTTCCAGGACCACAGCTTGTGCAATAGGGGCGATCATATACGTGCACTATGCACAGTCATGCAGGGTTAGGGTTGTCGTTAATGCATCCGGGTCCCGCATCGACGAATATTAAAGGAACCCTCGCCTTAGTCATCGCCCTTTGCATCGCAGCCAAGGCCCCCAATGACGGCGACACCAAAGGATAAGCTCCGAGTGGGTCGACGCCAGACTTCAGACAATCCCCGTTACACCTTTGCCAACGTTGCATCCCGCCGCGATTCGCTCGTTCGCCAACCTATTTGACTTCCCGCCCGTCAATCCAGTTCGTTCCCCAGATCTCGCATTCCGGCCCCTACCGTTTTCAGGTCCCCGGTCAATAGAGGCTCTCCTTTCAGCAGAGTTCTGTTTGGCAGGCCGCCAGACCCTCTCTCCTCCCGCCAGACGATGGACGACCATAGCGCAACGGTAAAGCGCATCGCCGAGGTCGTCAAGGACCTGCACTCGCGCCAGAAGCCCTTCCGCATCTTCCACGGTTCCACTAGCAGTACACGGCCCGCCCATGGCCAGCGCGTCGTCGACATCAGCGAGCTACGCCATGTGTTACACATCGACGCCGCCGCCGCTGTCGCCGTTGTCGAGCCGAATGTCCCCATGGACCAGCTCGTCGCCGCGACCTACCGTTGCGGCATGGTGCCGCCGGTCGTGATGGAGTTTCCTGGCATCACCGTCGGCGGCGGCTTTGCCGGATCGGCCGGAGAGAGCAGCTCCTTCCGCTACGGGTACTTTGATGAGACCGTCCAGTCAATCGAGATGGTCCTGGCCAATGGGGACGTCATCAACGCGTCCGAGACTGAAAATCCAGACCTCTTCAAGGGTGCGGCGGGGGCCCTGGGGACCCTAGGAATCGTCACAAAGCTGGAGTTGCGGCTGATCAAGGCCAAGAAGTTCGTCAAAGTCAGCTATCACTCCTACTCAACAATCCCAGAGGCAATCGCCGCGATCCAGCGCGAGACGAACCTGGCGCACAACGACTACGTCGAGGGTCTCGTCTTCTCGAGAACCAGCGCCGCGGTCGTGACGGGGCATCTGACGGATGATCTGCCCGACAAAGGCCGGCCGCAGACATTTAGCAAATCCAAAGACCCCTGGTTTTACTTGCATGCCCGGAAACGGATCGCAAATGGGACCCCGACGCCGGATTACGTGCCACTGCAGGACTATCTCTTCCGATACGACCGCGGCGCCTTTTGGATGGGAGAGTTGGCTTTCAAGTACTTTGGCTTCGTCCCCTTCAACAGAATCACCCGGCGCGCCGTCAACAGGCTCATGAACACGAGGACACTATACAAAGCCGGCCTCGGTGGCGGTAGCCGCATGACCTTCAGGTACTTGGTGCACGACCTCTCACTACCGTACACCACGGTCCAGGAGTTCATCGACTACGTTGCGGACAACCTCGAAATATGGCCGCTCTGGTTGTGTCCCCTGCGCGCCATCGAGTCACCCAGTTTTCACCCTTACACAATGGAGCCCGGTGGAGAATCATCCCAGCCCATGCTTAACGTGGGAGTCTGGGGCCTATCGTCTAAAAAGATCGACAGGTTCATCCGCCAGAACCGCGAGCTAGAGGCAAAGCTGATCGAGCTGGGCGGTCGCAAGGTCCTTTACTCCCACGCCTACTACACCGAAAAGGAATTCTGGGACATGTACGACAAGGACTGGTATACGAGGCTACGAGAGCGCTATAGCGCGACGAGCCTGCCCACTGTCTACGACAAAGTGACGGTTAACGTGAGCAGAGAACGGGAGAAGAAGTCTTTCAAAGACAAGGTTGCCGTATCATGGCCTTTTGCGGGCCTCGTCGGAGTTTGGTCTGCGATTCGGAAATGAGCCATCCCGAGGGTGTTTCCTCGGGCAAGGACGCATGATGTGGAATGTTCGGGTCGCCACCATGTATGATGATCACTGTTGTTTTGTGCGTAGGCAACGAGTTTGGTCAGTTATAAGTCGTTGTCACGGCTAGTCGGGAACTTGGTTGCTTGTTTTTTTGCTTTGTTGTAGCTTTTCTTTTCCGATTGGGTTGCAATCATGCATTTGCTTCGGCGCTACCAGCGGTTTCACTTGGGGGTGTAACATAATATTTACCTGCATTCGAATGGACCAGGAAAATTAATAGCATAAACTATTCCGGTCTACTCATAGAACTGATACCGTTCTCAATCTCTGCAAGTCATGCAAGCAACGACCGAACAACGTCTCTTTTGGTTCGTTACATCTTTGGCCATGGTGGTCACCCTCACACTTTTCCAGTATTTTCTTTTAACACTGGCTCCGTATTCGCGCTGGCCGTCATTCCGCCGCTCATAGCTTCACACCCTGGCGGCCATTGTATCATCATGCCCTCCCACGCGTTCACATATAATAGGTCATATCAAGCCTCTTTGACCGCCGGCCCATGATCGCCATATACCGGGTCTTTCGCAAACCATGCAACCCCGCCAATCCCCTCCACCTTTGCTTCCTCCCCCTTCTTCCCATAGCACATATCCCAGTGGCACCCTCTGGGGTAACTCCCAACCATTTCGAATCCCCCGTCGTAGTCCTCCAGCAAGCGGTGGGCAACCCCGGCGGGAACCACCACAACGTCGCCCTTCTCGACAAGGGGCTCGACGCGCCCCTCGTTGTCCTCGCCCCCGAAGCACAATCTTGCTCGTCCGCTGCTGATGCACAGGACCTCGTGTGTCGTGCTGTGGAAGTGGCTGGTGCTGTACATGGTGTACCGCCACTGCGGCTCTACCACCCCGACGGAGTTAAGGTGCGCCTCGATAGCGGACGCGCCGGCAAGGGGGAAGGCGGCGTGGTAGATCAAAAGCGGTTTGTTCTGGATGCCCGTGTTGGGGAGTAGGCCATGTGCCGGGATCAGGTGTCTTGAGACTCGCAGTGATGAGAGGGGCGTGAGGGTGACTCTGGAACCCATCTTAAGTTCGGCTTGGTGCCAAGTCTGCTTGATAGTCTGGTATTCTTGCAGCGTTTTTATTTTTTATTTTTTTTATATCTTGAAAAAAGATGGAAACGAATAACCACGTTGTTAAGAATTTGGAGACGAAGAGTGTCAAGATAGATGAGTAACACTGACGTCATGCTATGTCGATTGGAGCTGTTGTAAGTTTCTCGTGTCATTAGCTATACACCTTCACGATCTACTTGGCTCGATGAAAGGGCGTTTTCCAGGCTTGGTCTCTTCTGTTCCCGCTGTTTTCTTCTCGATTTCTCTCTAACGGTTCACTCGTGTCACGACGAACAATACGTGCTCAAATTCTGGCGGTGACACGGCACGAAAGATATCAAGTAACAATCACAAGAAAGCGGATTATAAAGTCATCAAGGCTTCCACACACATAGTGGGGAATTAAATTTGTCCGCGAAGAAAACTCGAAGTAAAAATAGCTGCATCTGCTGCGCTGAGTTGACATGCAGATGAGGGGGATCCTACATATACATATCCAGAACACCGTCGCCTCTCGACCTCCTATCGCCGTGGAATGAACAAAAAAAAGGAAAGGAAAGAAAAGGTGGCAAGTATCCTGAGCCCGTCCAGCCCGTTCCCATGGAAGGCCACTGAAGTGAAGAGCTATTTACTTGTGTGCCTGTTGTTCGGGGTGAGCGCCAGGTTGTTTCCCCTTACCAACCATCATCAAGACACTAGGTACTGCCACTCGCCTGTAGTCTTGTTCATGTAGCCGAGCTTTTCGGCAGCCGCCGTGAAATCCTATTCCTCGTGCACGCTTCCCATGGCACCGCCACCCTTATTCGACTTCTTGCCCAATTTCAGCAAGCTAAGCCTCTTCCTGACACTGCCTCGTTTGACGACACTAGGGCTCTCTGCCGCGGCTTCGTCCCTGTATTCGCGCTCCTTTTCAGTCATATTTATGCCCGCGTCTGAGCTTGGTCGGCCGCCCGAGTCCGTCACCCACTCGCTAGTAGCATCGTTACTGCCCAGAGTACGCGGGCCATCGGAAGACGGGGCTCGGAAGAAACTCCGGCGGTTGGGGTGGTCTTGAGTCCTACTTACGCTTCTGCTGGGATAGTCTTGAGCCCTGCTTACGCTTCTGCTGGGATGGCTCACAGTATCCTCGGCATCCCCGCTGACCGGAGAGTCACTGGGCGTTTGTTGCAGCACCGGGGACTCCTTCTTTCGACCTCCAAGGAAACTCAGGCGTGTCCCGCGACCCTGACGGATGGCAATCGGTTGGACAGTCGAGACTTCTTCAGCGACCACATCATTATTGATGGCGCCGGCAGCGCTTTGCGGTTGGGGGGACGCCTGCTCGGTAGACGGGGATGACCGTCTCCAAGTCTGTGAGCCGTTGGCCGAGTCACGCGTGGGTTGCGGGGGGGCAAAGAGAGCAATCTCGGGTGCGAATGTGGTTTCAAAGTCTGCTTTTGGTCAGAGGAGGCACATGCGAAATGGATGGACAGAACTCTTACATCGTTGTAGCTCCTCATGCCTTCGGTTGAGGAATACGTTTGGACTTCTCGAGAAGGTTGCCAGACACCGCTTGATCATGATTGCATGGTCGACAAGGGCCATCTTGATGGCGTTGTCCTGCGGGTCAAGCTCGACCTCTTCCTCCTCGTCATCGTCTGAAGCGGCTGGCAGGAGCTGGCGGTAACACGCAACGCTATTCTCGGAATCGGGGTTGACTGACACGCTCACAGCATCCACCAGCAGCTGGGCGTTCTCTTCGTCGCCGTCTGCAATTCGCTTTTCGATGACCGTCATCTCCTGTGTCTTCCTGACGATACGTTCCAAAGCTGTCTCACGAGCGGTGAGCTTGATCTCTTCGGTGTGGACGATTTCACTGCGACGAAGGATTGTCGGGAATGGGTCGGCTGTAGTAAACACCATCTTCTCGGCGTGGTGCTCCTCAACGGGCCCAGACGTGTTGCGCTTGGACGATACGGAGAAACTCTGAGGGTGAGCGGAGAGCAGGTAGTCACGAATGACCTGCTGGACACGAGCACGCTGGAAGACTTGATGCGTTAGGTCGCGATGGGGAGTGATGGCGGAAACCACCAGGAATTGCCCTTCAACATCATCGACATCGCCACCAGTCACAATCTGAGCAGAGGGGTGTTGCTCCTGCATGCGGTCTGTGAAGGCTGACGCCCGTTCTGTAGGGGACCCTTCATAAACGAACTCTTTGTCGCGAAGACTGGAGGGGAACCCGAGCCCCTTGTAGACGACCTTGAAGTACTTCGGTACCAACTTGTCGCTCCTGGAAATAGTCTCATAAATGGTGGCAATGGCTCGTTCAGTTCTGGCAAGCTTGGCGAAATCGAAGACGTTGCTCTCGTACTGAGTACGTAGCTCCTGATATGCTGCCAAAGCGCTGCTCCAAGCTTCGCCCTCCTCAAAGTGCTTGATCATGTCGAAGTAGATGCGTTCCTTGCGCTCGAAGGACGTCTGCACCGGGAATTCGGGGTCGTCTAGAGCGGCAACCTGCTTCGTAGGATCCCAATCGTATAGGTCGGCATGCAGCCGGAGTGCCAGACCGGCTTCGCAGTGGTTCCTTGCCTCGCCTTGAAGGTTGGCCAGCTGATGGACATATCTGATAAAGATCTCCTCCTTCTGCATGTCCCGGAGGAACTCCATCAGCCGCAGTCGGTTGATGAGGTGCGATGCCTCGCTCGTGCTGTCGCTGCTGTGAACAGCGACAAGAAGGTCGAGGAACTCGTCAACGGTGGCCATTAGATCGCGGATTGCAGTATACAGGGGCTCCTCGGTAGCAGTCGATAGTGGCGCGAATCTTTCCATGACTTCGTTGACAAAAAGTTTTTGCAGAATGCTCTCAGTCAACGGCTTTGACTTGAAGTATTGGTCTAGAGAGTCAATCATCTCAGTTTGTATGACTGATAGATCCTCGCTCAGGGTCCATTCGCTGACGATCATGGTCTGCAGCACCTCCACAGCCATGCGCCGCAGACCTTCGTGTACACTAAGGCAGAGCTCGACAATGGGGCCGACCAAGGTGGGGACGTATTGCACCTGGTATCCGCCCATCTTGGACAAGCCGTAACGCGACCGCTCATCGCTGCTCGTCTCCCAGCCGATGGCCTCCCAGGTCCGCCTGAGTAGCTCGGCGCCATGCTCTCTGACATCGCCAGCAATTTTCCACACAGCTCTACGCTTCTGCTCGGGGAAAGTCTCCAGAGCCAGGGAGGGGCTGCCAACGAGCTTAAGCATGGTCGTGAAAAACATTTTCCAGAGTTCGGTGTTGAAGTTCTCGGCCTCGTCGGGATGGGGTAAGAAAGACTCCAGCAAGATGCTGGATAGGTATTGCAACGTTCTCATGGTGGACTTGTGGTGGTAGATGTGTACGCTCAGCCATTCGGGCGGAAAAGCCTCGCCCATCAAAATGCTCATATACACGCGAAGTGTGTTGTCTAACAATGCAGTCAAGTCGCCTTCGGTCAGCTCCAGTTGCATGCCGCTTGGTGAATTTGAAACAGCAGAAAGAATGGCGGAAAGCTCGATCAACGCCTCATCAAAGGTGCACTCGTCAGCAATGGGTTTGGATGGAAAGGGGTATGAAGTTGGGAAGAGGAGCGAAAGACGGTTGCGAGGCGTGATCGGAGTGGCCACGATGGACAGGTAGGAGTCGATGATCTTCGGAAGGTAGTCGGGAATCTCAGGTCCGAGGTTGTCAATCTGGCCGGCGAGGATGGAGCAGCAGAGACGGACTTGTTCCTTCCAAGAGTCGGTGACAACTTCGGTGTGGCCCCAGTGAGGCGCGATCCATCGGACTGTGTTGGCGGTGAGAGCCGATTTCTGATCGGGATGCGAGAAGATCTCTAGCTTGGAGTAGTTGATGATCAACACGAGCTTGTAAAGCACCAGCTTGCCCTTAACGATGGCGCATGAATCCAAGAAGTCAATGGCAATGTGGAGTATCTCCTCAGTCGTTAGGAGACCTGTCAGCTCGGGCAACCACGTGTGGAAATGCTGGACGGCCAGGGTCTGACTGCCAACAAGGACAGGAGCGTTGCTACGCATCATGGAATCTAGGGCCTTGAAAATATTTCTCAGCTCTCGAATAAAGCCGGGCGCTGAGTGCGACGTCGTAATGCCTATACCGGCTTCCTTAGCCTTTTGCTGACCTCGCGCGTGGGTGATGAACTTGAGGATGTGTCGCACAACCTTGAACGTAGAACGCAGCTTGCGCGATGTCGTGGGCTCGGTGGGCTTCTCAAGCAAGCGGGTGAACGACCTGACGAGACAAGCCGTGGCGAACGGGTAGTTGAAACGATTCTCTGCGTATTGGTCGACGAGCGGGCCTAGGTTGAATCGTCTGTCATGCACGATGCCCAGGACTCTAACCAAAGCAGTGAAGACGAGGTCCTCATATTCGTCGTTGCCCGAGTACTCTACCAATACACCGAAAAGGGCGTCGAGGACGTCACTAAGAAGCTTGACGACCTCAATCTCCGGCACGAAAATGAGGTGTTTCAACAGCGTGGGAATGTCCTCCTTGGCCGCCTCTTTCCACTTGAGCAAACCCAATACGACCCGGTTCTGGGAAAACCGGGTGCTACACAGGTAGGTATCGACTCGCAAAATAGCCAGGGGACCCGTGACGTCGGCGGAATGTTCGTCGTTCCCTTTGGCACTCCACTGGAGAGAGAGATAGCCTCCTTTACCGGATGGCCCAGCTTGAGCAGTGGACGTGAACTCGTCGGTCTTGTACAACAGCAAGGCATGCGCTCCGTCCCTGACAAAAGCCTCCTGGTTCCACAACGGCATGTGGGCAACCGCGAAGGGGGCATGGGGCATGTCTGACAAAAACATAACGATGTGCGAAGTGAAGACATCCTCGGGTGGGACAGCGAGTCGGACGGTCTGGCTCCAATGTTCCCCTCTCTCGACCGTCACAGACTTCCACGTGGTTATGCCTTCTGTGTTAGACGAAGAGAAGATGCAGTTGGGGATCTTTTCTCCGCCTGTTCTCCGCACCTCTAGTGCAACCTGCAAGTTGGTCGCATGGACGCTGCCAGAGAGCGTGGTTGGGTTCCCTGCATATCGGGACAAAAGGTTCTGCTTCGAGAGGGCGGCAGTGTCGAGGGTGACGTAAATGTCCGACCTAGCCTTGGTCGGAGCGCCCGAGAATCCCATCTTATTCGTCTTGCGGATGCCAGCAAGCAGGGTCGGCGTTGTCTTGACCAATTCATCCACGTCCGGGTGATTGAAAGACTTGAGATGCACTTGTACTCGCTCGGTTCGGCGTGATTTCTCGTAATGGCCACTCTTACTGTCCATCAGATCTTGGATGACACCATCCCACTCCTCGTGAAGGCCCTGTTTCTCCGTCGGGAGTGTCGGTGAGGGCGACCAGATGCTCACGACCTGTTCAACCTCCTCGTCCTGCTTCATAATTGCGTTGAGCTTGAGAACACCGATACCAACGGTCCGTTCCGCCATCAGAAAACCTGGACCGGCATCAAAGGAGCCACGAGGCCTCGAGCCGGCGGTACTGGGAGGTGCGGCACTCTCTTGGCCATCCTCTTGCGTTGAGACACGACCCTCGGGATGCTCTGTCAATGAGTCAAGTTTCGGCGTGGCGTTGCCTCTCGAGAAAGCAGAACGGCCACTCTTGGATCCCCACATAAGACTCCTTCTAGAAGGCTTGCTGTTACCGGCAGACAAGGGCTTGGCAGGATCTTTGGAATATCCAGCCCCCTGAGACTTTGCGCCGGAACGAGACTCCGGTTTCCCGTTGGCGACGATTTGCTGACTGGACCGCACCTTTACAACGAGGTACAGCTCGGTTTCGGCTGATGCGACATCACCAATGTCTTGCGAAGAGAGGTCGGCGAATATCGTTCGTGTTTGGCCTGATTTTGCCAAGCTGCCTATAGTTCCGCCGGGGGGGATGTCGATGATGAAGCATTCGGTCAATGTAGCCACCTTGCCTCCAACAGGCTTGGCCACCAAGTAGGCAACCAACGATGTCTCTTCGACTGATGCACCGGCGAAACCCTTGACATCAACAAGGAGGTGATGTAAAGCCGTAGGCTCTATTGTGGGCTGGGGAGGCTCGTCCAGAACACTCATGACAGACTGCAGTTTCGTGACATCGACCACCGAGTCGTCGCCTGTCAGCACCCGCCCACGGTCTGCAGGGTCACGAACAATAACCTCTCCACCGCACAGCTTGTTGACGCGCACCAGGTCCCATACTGTCCTTTCCCGCAGCTTGTCGTACTCGTGTCTTGTGAGGACGTTGTGAAGGAACTGTTGGCGACTCAGGTTCAGTGTTTGGATGAGTTGTGACAGCTTGTCCAGGCGGGAATATTGCCGAGAGAGGAGAAGGCCGTGGAGATTCGTCGAGTGCCATTCACGGAGGCAGCTGGCGATTTCATCGATAAGGGGCTCTGCGGTCGATGTTGGAGTTTCGTCGCCAATCTTGAGCATCGGCACCGGCGCGGGAGGGCGAGGTGCATCAGGGTCTCGCTTGACGGGGGTGGAAAGGCGGCCCTGGGTGCCATTGGGAAGCTCCCTAAGGGGTTTGCGGCCCTTGATCTCGATCCTGGTCACTTTGGACCCTCCCGAGGTCCTGAAAGATTTGTAACTGTCTATCGTCTTTGGCGTCTCGGTAGCAGTCGGCGTCAAGCCACTCTTGCCCGAGTCGCTTCCGAGTTGGACCTCGCCGGCAGTATCGTCGCTGGCGGCATCGTCGACGTCGTCTATGTCGTCGGTCTCGCCCAGCACCTCGCGCACCTCAACGCAGCTCCGGGGAAAGATGCCGCTGAAGACGCGGGCCTCGAGCGTTTGGCCCTTGACGGAAGTCAGTCCGGCCAGCAGGCTGGGCGGGGCGACCAAGTAGCCACGCAGCCAGTTGCCGTCGGGGGTCTCTTCAATTATGTACAGCTCATCGCCAAGTTCGAGGGGGAGGTCGGCCGGGCCCGAGGCGGCAAAGGGGTACGTCGCGACGGCGAAGGCGATTCGGGGAAGAGGCTGCCAGGGCATTGAAAGCTCGGATCGTGAACAACGGGCGCAAGAGGTGGTCGGGTTTGGAGAGGAGAAGAGGAGGGACCGTTGGTTGACGAGTCGACCTATTGACCTGTTGGCCTGGGCCAAATGCACCTTAAGCTTTCGGGGGTCCAGAAGACGGGGCAGTGTACGGCAAGGTGGTCTATCGCGAACCTGTGGGACCCTGACAGGGCTGCGCAGTGGTGTTGAGGTGGCCTCGTGGGGACGATCAGCTATCGCTTCATCAGGGACTGAAGACACGGGCCGAATTTGCGTGGTTCTGGCTCAGGTATATCCGAAGAATCGGGCGTGGGGGCGAGAAACGCAAGAGAGGAGCGAGAAATAGTCGCAGGGCGATCGACGCGGAGACGGGTTCTGCCTCGTGGGAGAAGGAAGAAGTCGCGGTTTCTCGATGCAACACCGGTTGCGTGGTCCTGCTTCTTGTGATGGGGCGAAACGAATTCGAATCGAAGAAATTGGGTATTCGTATTATTTCGTCGCAAGGAAATTCGGCACAGGAAAGTGACCGCGTGGAGTCGCGCAGGAGGAGAGGGGGGGAGAGGGAGACCGGGGATGCAATCGAGAAGGGGAATGAGAATGGGGTATCAACAATGAAGCGCAGCTGGGCGAGAAGCGAAAAAGAAGCGACTACGGGGTCGGATCGTAATAGGTAGGTAGGGTCGTCGTGTATAGGGCCCGGTTGATGTTGATCTATGTCTGCTGCCGTGGCCAATATACGCGCATCTGATCAAGAGGTCGACGGGGTCAACGAGCTGGAATATCCGTGCTAACGGGGCGGTGGGTGAGCGCAGAATAGCGTTATAGGAAGGCAAGCGAGTAGCAGGAGCCGACGGGACAAAGGGAGAACGGGGAAGGGGGGAGAAAGGGTGAGGGAAAAAAGTAAAGTGGGAAAACCCGTCAAAAGACACGAAACGGCCCTTGGAAGTGAAGAATTTCCCGCGGCTGTGATGAGCATTGAAGCGCATTGAGCAATGAATTGAGCGTGTGATAGGACCGCCGCCGCCTGCCTGCCTGCCTAGGTACCTACAGTGAGGTGCGCCTTGCCCAGACCAACAGAAAAGCAAGAGCCCCTGAAGCACACAGCAGCAGCACCCAGGAAAGGGAAGGCACGACCTGGCGTGTGTGTGCCTGAGCCGTGTTATGAGTGGCTAGTGGAGAGAATGGAGATGGGCTGGGCTGAGGCTGGACCGCATTCCTACTGGTCGGATTGAGCTGAGGAGCACGCGGTGTGGTGGGGCTTGACAGGGTGTGCATGGGCCATTCCATTAACCTGAGTGGGGATGGGCAGAATGGGGAGGGGAAGGGAAGGAATGAATTCAAATAAAACCATTGCCTGCACCAACCTGCGTCTGCATCTGCGTGTGTGAAGAAGATCTCCATGGTGGCCATGGTCGCCAGACGAGTGGATGAATAACCCATCATAAGACCGACTGCCTTTTGGCCTTGGTCGTTCAAGCTGGAGAGAAATCTCGAGCACGTTTGGCGTAAGCAGAAAAATGCTTCAAACCACCGACGTATATGCCAAGACGTGGCCGTTCCCATGTCCATACCAGAAAGAGCATATGTAATACACCCGCACATCGGAGGGACGGACCTGCATCCGTATGTCGCGTGGTTTTGGTTCAATAGAGCCAAGACCAAATTCATTAGAGAAAGGGCACACCGGAAAACCGAATTGCGATCGCTGTCGCCGGGGTCGGATCGAGTTAAGCTGGCACTTGACAGGCGGAACTGATGCTCCCAATCGAGCCCATTGCCCATTTTGGCCAACTGCTTGTCGAGGCATGGCATGTGTGCGCTTCTATGTAGGTAGCAGGGGCGTGCCGTCCCATCTCAAACCGGTTCGACCACAACGAACACCCGAACACGGCTGAGAGAAACCTCCCGTTGTCAGCCAACTCAATCGGCCCCAACGTTTATGCCGCGCCTGTCTTGGACCCTGGACCCTTCTCAAACCACAAAGTCTGCAAAAGAAAAACAAAAAACAAGGGCACAGACGTAAGCCGAGAGACGCAGACAGTCCATGCATGGTATTGGACATGTTACTCAACCTCACGGATACCGTCATCTTCATACACTTGACGCCTGCTGCCCGAACAAGGGTCGTCTATTCTCCTGGTATTCTCAACTGTTTCTTCTTCCTCTTGTTTATTTTTTATTTTGTCAAACAACAAAATACTTGGTTCCAACAACGCTAAGGAACCCAGCCATTGCCTCTTCTTTTTCTATTTCTTTCCTCTTTCATTTTTGACCTTTCTTTCTTCCCTCACCCTCAAACGCCATCGATCGGTCGAGTGTCTGTCTGGACGCCCGCCGTCTTGGGTCGTGGAATCGTGGCTTCTCAACTTTGTTTAATTACCCACGTCCTTCTTTCCCCTAACGGGGAAGATGCCAGTCGACGACTCGACGCAGCTGCGATACGTACCGTTCCCTCGTGCCTCCTGCAAAGCATCACACAGGTGGGTCTGTTTCCAAGAACAAAAAGCTTGTGGTTGGCCGGGCCCGTGTCAGTATCAGGTCCGGGCGGCCACTGGCCTATGCACTAGCGCTCCCAAACGGTACGTTTCTTTCACTCTTGAGGTTAATGTCCCTAGGGTGCTCCTTCCCATCGGTACTCTTTCACTCTAGCTTCACTTTTCCAGGGTAGGTACTACTGGACAATCTGGCCTCGTTTTGGTCGCTCCTGCTGCTGCACTCTGGACGCACAACAACTCGGTTCCTGCATTTCCCTCTCCCAATGGATGCAATCACATGCAGGTGCCCCACCCCAGCCACAGAGACGCCTGTTTTGGTTTTATGGGACGGGACGAACAGCAAAACACGCGGAAGGCATAGGTGGACAGCATCGTATTCTTGGAGCACGGTATCGTCTTCTACTCTCTCGGAACTTGGTACTGGACCATTGTTACTTTGTTTTTGTCCCTAATTCAATCTTATTCTTATCTTATTCTTGTTTTATTTATTATTCCGCTCCATTCCTAGTCCTCCGTGCCATGGACCCGACTACAATGTCGCACACGCATCGCAAAGTGCTTGTGTTGCTCCTCCGCCACTCATTGTGAGACGCCGACGTTCTCAAGATTGCCATCCACGAATCCTGTCCAAGACTCAACCGCCCTCGCCCTCGCTCAGGCCCCCTTGGATGCGCTACAGAGGGAACCCGAATTCGTCGGAACACGTTTGCGCGCTGGCGGCATGCCCCTATTACCTTTCAGAAGCGCGTCTTCGCCATCTCGATCTTCAGTCTACGCACCAAGTACCCACCCTGCATAGCACTGATGCCGGATTTCAAGTTGACATCCATGCTCTGCGGTATCAACATCCTGTGATTCGTGTCGCCGAACCGTATTCGCTTGTGTTTGCCTCCTCACTGTAACATCGTCCACTGCCCTGGACTGTGGCCAATGTTGATGCAGCTGAACTTGACACGGCTTCAAATCTCGGGGAAGGAGAACCGGCCAGCGCACCATACACCCTGGAGGCTCTTATCCCTTCAATCTGATGATGCTAAAAATGGCCGGGCCCTTCCGAGGCCGATAGCGCCAAATTCGGCAGAACAGCTTTAGCGTTCAGACCTCCCACATTGAGCGCCGAAATGAGCCTGACGCCGCATCCACCTCTAGCACTACCGGTTGGGTCCAAATCTGGAAAGTCTCCTTAGTGGAGGCTGCAATGTGCCTTCTTCGTTGGGCTCTCGGACTTTGCCTCGATTGATATTTTGCTACCAAGGGCCTGTTATTACGATGCTGAGCCAACCGACTGTCCCCACCACCATCAGCGCCAGCCAAGCACAATGGCTACTATCGTCGGATCCGGCTTGCTTCCTCGTGACCGTTGTTTTGCAGCATCGGATGCCATAGACGATATCTCCAAACACTCGGGGAAGGTGATTGGATCAAGAACATCAAAGCCGTCTCGCCTCTGGTGACACGCCACTCTCGGCTCGCACCGAACACGTGGCCGCGTGATCTGCCAACAGCATATATATGCTGTATATGACCCGGCCACGAGCCAGTACAAACCCAGCTGCTCCATCGGCCGATACCAACGCAGAAGTGCCCCGTCGAAACTAAAGATTATGAACACCAGCAGATGGGGGGTTCCACCAAAGAGTTGATGCTGAGGCGGGAAACACGCAAGCTGCCGGGCCAGTTAGTTTCTTTATGCCGTTCTCGTTTTGTGCCGAGCCCTTTCGCCGGCAAAACTTCCAACAAGGGAGACAAGTGATATTATCCTCGGATTGTAACAAGAAATCCGGCAGTTGGGATAGCGAGCTTTTCTTCTGGACACCCTCGATGCGACGTAGACGAAGGCCGCACGCATCTGAATAAGTGTCTCCGGCGTTATGCTGATCCCGAACGACAGCCTGCGTCGATCACCTCCATCCGGTAGATCAATTTAATAGCCTGGCAAGGTGTGCTGGGACCTTGTTTGAACCCTTATGTGCAGTAGCGTTTGGGCGATCTGACTTTTCCCACCAAGTTGCGGAGCGCCGCAAAGCTACACCAAGAGATCTTCGTCAATGACACCGCCGCTGAGCCATCAACCACTCGTTCAGAAGCCCAGAAGTGCGACTGTGTGCACCATGCCCCATGGTCTGTGTCCGACGATATCCATGCCTTTTTGGTGATTGTTGAACGTGTTTGCGGCGTTATAAACGTGTCAATTCTGTCCTTCTTGTGAGTCATTATTCATTGTGAGCGGGTTCATTCATCAGTCACAGGACTCACTTGACCTCTTACCAGTGGTTCTATCTGCCAGTGCGCTCGAGTGTAAGTAGGGCTTCCATCGGGGTCATCTGCTATTCGTTCTCCCGGCATGTTGTATCTTGTGGTCTAATTCACCACGGCTACCATCCAAGCAATCTTTTCAAGACACAGGCTTCGTCGTCGTCAAACAGACATCCATCTACCTATTATTAATAAGCATCCGATCCCAGAAGGCTGGCCTCGTGCGGACCCGGATCAGGATGCCTCAATCCATCGGCTATCGTCTCAGAAAATTGACAAGAGACGTTCATAGTCATGGCTTTTTGTCTCGTACACTCAGCCCCTCGGAAACTGGAAGTTGATTCAAGGAACAGCCGAACGATTCCGTTAATATCAGTGGTTATCTATGTTGACGCAATATTCTCAGTCGATGACACTAGTCGACAGGTCTTGCTTTAACCTCTGGCTAAACAGCGTGCGGCGGCTGACCGAACTGACAGCGCAATGTTGGATATCTTTGATGGTGTGAGCCAAACCCTTGGCCGCGATGTCCGATACGGTCGGTTGGCAAAGTCTTTGATACTCATAACACTCTCATATATCAGACCCAGCCGTTGAGCTCGAATGGCGGCTGACCTGGCTGTCGCGCAAAAAAGACATAAAAGAACGCCAGGCCAGGGACCAGACTGGTGCTCCTCCGAGGAACTTTTATTTCGAACTGCTTGATACTGACCAGGAACGCTCAGAAACCAGAAACAGTCATAATCTCGGTCGCCTGGTCATTGACTCCGTATTCCCAGTCCGCATGAGGTTTAGAATCTGCGTTCCTAGAGGCTCCTCGGGCCGGACGCCCTGAGTGCTACAGACCATCCACAAAAACTTCGTTAATGTCGTCTCCAGAGTAGTCCATTAGACCACAAAACAATACCAAGCGTAATCGGCCTCGCAATGGCGCATGTTGGGGTAGCCGAGCTCATCAGCAGCATTTTGAGCGGTCCGTAGAAAACTCATTTACGCGACGTGTACCGGCGGCCTTGTACATCGCAGCATAGGTATACAGCGACGTATACAGCACAGATCTAGCTGCGCTGTAGGAGGCTTCGAGCCGGTAGAATCCCAGCACAAGGTCGCGCTTTGTCAAATTGCGAACCTACACTACTATATCATCAGATTTAAGGCTCAATCTACTAGCATTGGCGGGCCGGAAGGTCAGAATTGCTACAAACCGGTCCCGGAGTACGGAGAGTTTGGCTCGCCGAAATCGAGCTGTGCGAGGTTCAATTCGGAGGAATGTTGATTAATCCGGAGCATCCGGGACGGAGACACCTGCTAGCTCGACCTTGCGGGCTTCTCAAACAGGGATGGCTGCATCATGCTGGCCCGCAAGCGCCGGCCGGGATTGGAGTCTTCGCCGATACGGAAAGGGCCGGTCGCAGCATCGGTCGACCAGCCATGTGCCAAGCGGTTGTTGCGTGGTTCGAGCCTCCGTAGCACCCAGAGATTATCCGCAGGGCGGAAGGCGTCAACACGCGGAATGGTCGGGTTGATCGCATACACGCGGAATTGGTAAGCCTACGATGGAATCCGAAGGAGACTAGTCGAGAACGGGAGGATGATAGGACTTGATAACAACCAACAAGGTTTTTCCGACGGCATGTCGAGAACGCCTCGAATCGCAATTCCCATATTTGGGTACCCGAAACAGACAAAGGAGATCTGCCTTGTCCAAAAAGAAGCTTTGCTTGTCTTCATGGCATGAAAGGGGGCGTTGTTCGAGAACCGCAATACCTTTCTTCGTTGAAAATACCCCGACCAAAAATGTCACCCGGCATCGCAAATGTGATGATGCACGCCAAGACTTTTTTTCGAACTCGCATTGCATGGCGGGTGAGCCGGCCCTCTCCCTTGAATCGGGTTCCATCAGGCCACCCTCCATCACTAGCATCCCGCTGGCCAGCGCAATTTAAGTCGGTGTCTGGAATTCGTCTAGAGCGTACAGAGTATGGTGGCGGCATGTATTGGACACCGACACCCCGTGGGAGCGTGAGACGAGCGTGGTGATGGTCCAACGATGTGATGCCACCCGTCCTAGGCGTACGGTCACACTTTGTACCATTCGTCGACGCAGGGGCGACCTCCAAAGCTCTTATCTTGGGGCGCAGAGATGCAACTCGCATTTGCATCATTGCAGAGGTCGCGTGCTCGTTGAACGGGATCAAAGAGGAACCGTTTTCGAAAGCTCCCCAGCGTTGGAGGGGAAAAGGGGCCGTGGGAGCGGAGCGGGATTTTGGCGGCAGGCAGCAGAAGCTCAATCCCGATGACCTTGGATCCTCTTCTCTTGGCTTCTCGATATTTTCACCAGAGGTTCTGTTCCTTTTTCCCTTTCCTCATACTATGTACCTAGTTCCCACCGTTAGACAAGAGGGGTGGGGAGAGGAAAAAACCACTGACAAGACGAATTGTCGGATGTCACGGAAGCAGACCAATCCACAATGCCCCTCTCCCCCCTGTTCCATTGGTCGGCCGCCCATCTAGCTGTGTCGTGTGCCACGCACGCTCCGTCATCTTCGATCCCTCAACGCCCACCTCCCTCGTCCGGTTAATAGCAAAGAGCCGCGTTTTCTAAGCAGACGTCGGAGCTTGTCGTCCATGATTGGAGGCGCAAACTGACCTTGGGGGCGAGAAGCAGCATGAAGGCGCGCATACCCCAGAGGAGAGCGAGGCTCGATGCCATGGGAACGGGCCTCGATTTCGAAGCATCAAAAGAAGCACCAGAAAAGAAACTTTGTTTTGCGGTAGGACGTGCAAGACGTGCTTTACTTGACGGCACAAGCCAAGGTACGCCAGATAGCTGAGAAGCTAGGCCAAGACGGCAAGCTGCCAACAACGACTGAGCACGCGACATTCGTCTCCTTGTGGTTTCTTGTCCTCTTTGTCTCATCCTATCGAGTCGCACCGTTGGCTACCCACAACACACCCACTTTGAACATCTTGATCTGGGTACGTTCAAAATTCCGGCCACCCACATCAGCCCGGCTCACACAGGGTGAATGGACGCCCAGAGAGGATGTAACCCTTGGGCGCTCGCGGCACTTGGCGGGCGATTCGTCCAGGTCGGGCATCCCAGCCAGTCCCGCCGCAGCAGCCCACAATCCGCCATTGGCTCCTAGGCGGAATACCCGACGTCAGGGACATGGACAGGGTAACAGGCAGAGCTTCTCCTTTCCCACCACCCACTTTTCCCTTCACGAATGCGCGGCTAGAGTGACCCATCGCCAGCCCGCTCTGCACATCGGACGCTATGCGGAGCCCGCTGATGTGGACAGTGGCGGGTGTGTGGTGGGAGCAAAGTGCGAACTTTGCGACGGGGGAGGATTGCGCATGCGCTGGACTTCGCGGCGCAAAGCGAAATGCCAACCTTGTTCTTGCGTCGGTCAAGGTCCAGCAAGGTGGGTTGTGCCGAGCCTGGGCTTTACACGCAGCCTGTGCCGCAAGCCCGTGTTCGTTCATGGTATTATTACCCATCCATGCTGCTTGTTCATGTAATAGAGTACGTCGCTACCTCGAACACCCTCCTTCGTTGCTGGTTCCCTTCCTCTCCTCTACTCTGTTCAACTCGCCTCCATTCCGTATCAGGAAACCACCGGTAGCTTATGAGAACCTTCACTCCTTTGCACGGACAATCTTAATCTCACGTAACCGGCCGTCCGGTAGACCTCCCATTGGCTTTGACGATCAACCCCGGTGGACAGCGTTTGTCAAATCCATCCCGCCTTCATCTACTTCGAGACCTGTGCCCTTCCCGAACCTCCCGCCTTCAAATACCACGCCGGCGGACCTGGATCCAGCCAAGTCTCCGGTCTTCTTGCATCTCTCTCACTTATCGCAGTCTCCATTGTCGGCTGCTTCTTCCGTCACCTGTCTCTCTCCCCCCAACCCCCCAACCCCCCGACCCCAAGAAGTACACGAAGCAGAAGGAAAATATGGGTATCGGCGCCGTGGCAGAGCCCTTGGTGGTTGTCACCCTCTTGTTCGGTGGCACATGGTTCAATCGAAACATTGGCGGCAACACCTACGACAACCTAGGATGGAAGGGACCCGATATCGACGATGTCGAACACAAGCGATCTGACGAGCGCCGCTCAGGCAACTCGACCCCCGACTCGGAAGAGTCTCTCCTCTCACTAGGCGGCTGGAGCTCATCGTCAACGTTGGCACCGCACGAGGAGCCCCCGCGCCGCACACGCAGGGTCAAGTTCTTTGGGTACCAGCGTCTTGTCACAACACCCAACACGAGAGTCTACAAAGACAGACTCCTCAGCCGAGTGCTCCGCAAGTTCCCCTTCTTGGTGGAAGCATGGTACTGGGCTCTCATCTACTGGGTAAGAAACATGAAGCACATCGTTATCGACCCATCTAACCTGCTCGGATGTTAGGTTTACCAAGTCGGACGAGCATTCACCGCACTCACTCTTAACGAGGGTACAGTCGACGTTGCGCGCAAACACGCGCTTCAGCTCATCCACCTGGAGCAGCGCCTGCACGTCTTCATCGAGGTGCCGGTACAGCAGTACTTCCTCCAGATGCCCACTGTCATGCACTGGATCAACCGCATCTACTCCTTCATCCACATCCCGGGTACCATCCTGTTCCTCGTCATCCTCTACTTCGTCACGACAACCCGCAAGCGCCGCGCGCTCTCCGCGAAGCTCGGCGGCAACGACAACATCCGATGGAACTCGGCCGGCCCTGCCCTCTACGAGGCTCGTCGCCGCACCATGGCCACCTGCAACCTGCTCGCCTTCGTCGTCTTCACCCTCTGGCCCTGCATGCCGCCTCGCCTGCTGAGCGACCCAAACTACAACGGCCCCGACGCCGGCGAGTCCAAGAGCTTCGGCTTTGTCGACACGGTGCACAGCGCCTCTGGCGAGAGCAGTGTCTGGACGACCAACAAGTTCTGCAACCAGTATGGTGAGTTACTGCTGCCGCAACCGCGACCTCTCCTTGACTAGATGACTAACACGAACCGGCAGCCGCCATGCCCTCCCTGCACTTCGGCTACTCCCTCCTCATCGGCCTCACCGTCGCGACCCTCCCGATGCCTTCGATCCGCTCGCGTCCGTGGAAGCGATTCGCCATCGTCGCCATCGGCATGGCCTACCCCGCTCTCATCTTGACCGCCATCGTCGCGACCGCCAACCATTTCGTCCTGGATGCCGTCGCCGGCGCCATCGTCTGCGGCCTTGCGTGGAACTGCAACGGCGTCCTGCTGAACCTGCTCGTTGTCGAAGACTATTTCCTGCGCCTGCTGCGTATCCACAAGCCCGTCAACTGGACCGATCCCGAAGTCTCCGCTGTCGAGAGGGAGTGGAAGCCCAGCATGGCGTTGGGCGACGACGTCTAAAGTTCACGAGCCGCAATGGCGCATAATGATTTGTGGGATAGAATTTGGCGCCACGATACACAGCCATTCTGGGGTGTTCATGCTTTACGCTGCATTGAAAAAGGCCCCCTGTGTGGTCAACCTGTGCGCACATCGCATACTCGCATGAGATGAGGCGAGCGAATTAGGGTACAAGGGAGGAGTTTTGCGGGCTGTTCCTATTTATTTACTATTTTATTTCTTAGTACTGGGCGGACGGCCCTGTGAGACGATCTGCTTCGGCTTGGATGACGTTCTGGCCATCTACACGGCTGAACACCTCATGAACAAATACCTTGGGCTCAATTTATGGATTATTTTGAGAATCATCGTGCTGTGTCGCAACGAGGTTCCTCGGGCCGCCGCAGTGCTTCTCTTCTGGCCGTGCAAATGCTATTCGAGACACAAACCATCTATCTCGTCACAAGCTTCACAGATCTTGCCCCTCCGAGCGGCTGCCAAGCCGGAAAGTGTTTGCAATTCGCGTGCAGGCTGCTCAGATGGTTTTGACTTGTTAATTTGGCGGCCGTTCGCACGGTCGTGGAGGCCCCGAGCACAGCGTTTAACGTCTCCGGGTGGCTAGGAGCTTGGGGGCATTGATGCAATGCGAATCAGTGGCGATGTGGCTAAGGGGGTTTCAGTTCGCAGCCTCAATTTCAGACGAGGGTCCGAGAAAAACCGTTCACGCTCAAGGGTGTAATGCCGCAAAGAAACGAAACAAAAACTTCTTTTTGGGATGTACTCTAAATCGGGCGGGCAACGCCGCTTGGAATCGCAAGTGGCTGGTGACGGCGAGATCCGGGGGCCGAAATAAGACTCTGGGGACCATGGGAAGCCAGGAGCCCAGTCCCGGGGCAGTGGTATCTGTCGAGCGGCTGGGACGTCGATCGGTGGGCAGACCAGATCAGCTAGCCTGATTCTTCTGGGTCGGCGGCCCCGTTTGCAATGGAACCGGTGAGTTCGGGATTCAACGGTTGACGGCGCTGGATCGGAGGTGGGAGGGCTCACTACCGCCCGGAGATACCTCCCGGTGACCCACTCCTACGTGGGGAGAACCCGTCTTTCGTTCTGACACCGTTGGGGGGTTGTCGGCGGTTGGATATGGCCTGCGCGGGCCGGCGCGGGGCCAACATAGAGCTAGTGCCGGAGGAAATCTCTATCAACCCCTAACTGAACTAGACCCCGGATTCAGGAACTAGATTCCCCATCAACCCCAAAAGCGAAGAGATGCCCCGAAAAGGCCGGGGACTCAACGAGAACTTCGACGTACCGGTAAACTTACCCCAACTCAGAAGCTCGCTGGGACATCATTTCTCGAAGGAGAGCATCGCTGCAACGCTGCATGTTTTTCCGGCTTGGCGGGCGTGCTGCACGTCAACCATTCCATCCCTTCGATATCAATTCCGCCGGCAAGATTCGAGAATTTCCTCCATTGAGATGCCCCATTTGCTGGCGGAGACCTGCTTACCCCTCAATGGATGTCGCCTGCTTGCGTTTGGTGCATTCGATGTGATGATGCGCAGAAGGGACCGTAGGAAAGGCCTTGAGGCGTGATAAAAATCCCCAGAATGCGTTCCTGGAACGATTGGTGTGCAGTGTGATTGTAGGGCACGGTTTAGGGGAGTGCATGGCTAGATTTATATAACCAAGACTATAAGCTCATAGTCCTCGTCCCATTCTGTTCTTCCTTGGCCCTTTGGCGATCTCATCCCCAGCTCTTGGTCCTGCTGCCCTGCGACTCTTTTAGTGCGCAAACTCCGTTAGCCACGATGCGTGCCGCCGGCACCCTCCTCGCTCTTGTTAGCACACTCGCCCTGGCCTCAAAATGCCCCTCTCGCCTCTACTCGGAATGGCTCGCCTCTTCCTTTGTCGATCGTAAGACCGTCGTCGACGCTGGCTATGGTCCTGCCGTCCTGTACGACGGCATCGCCCGCGCGGCCGCCCATGTCGACAATGCGACCCTGCTCCGCGCCGCTGAGACGGCCGTGTCTTCCCTTGTCTCAGAAGACGGCGTTCTCGACGGCTGGGATCCGGAGTGGTACTCCCTTGACGACATCCGCATCGGCAACAACCTCCTCTGGTTCTACCAGCGCACCAATGAAACCAAGTACAAGGTCGCTGCCGACGGCTTACGGCAGCAGCTGAACCGCTGGCCGAGGACCCGAGCGGCGGGTTCTGGCATCGTGCGCCAATCTACGAGGATCAGATGTGGCTGGACGGGATCTACATGGCGGACACGTTTTATGCGACATACGTCTCGCTGTTTGAGCAGCAGAACACAACGGCGTGGAACGAAATTGCGTTGCAGTTTGACCTGATTGAAGAGCACACGCGCAATCACACGAGCAATTTGCTCGTCCATGGATACGATGAGGTCAAGGACGCTGTGTGGGCGGATCCCGTCACCGGCGCGAGTCCCTTGGTTTGGAACCGCGCCGTAGGATGGTACTTTATGGCGCTTGTCGATACCCTGCAGGTTTACCCCAAGGAGCACCCTGCCTACAAGCGGCTGCTGAACTACTTCGTCACGTTAGCGGATGGGTTGGAGAGAAGTCAGGATGAGGGGGGTGGGTGGTGGTTGATCATGAACGAGGGGTATGAGGCCCGCGAGGGCAACTATATCGAGTCAAGCGCCGCAGCCATGTTCTCGTATGGCCTGCTACGGGGCGTGCGGGACGGGCTTCTCCAGGACAAGTACAAGGACGTCGGGTTGAAGGCATATGATTTGTTGACCAGCGACTTCATCCGGGATGACAAGAACGGGTCCATCAGCTTTTTGGGCACCGTTCGTGTGGGTAGCTTGAACTCGAATGCGAGCTTTGAGGTAAATTCATCGAATATGTTTATTGATTATGCTACGATTTCTGACATACCGCGTAGTACTACGTCAGCATTCCAGTTGTTGAAAATGACGCTCGTGGTGGAGGTTCGTTCATGTTCGCAGCGATCGAGGCCGAGCAAGCCTAGAGTTCTTGGGGAAAATCTTTCCATGGGCTATGATTTTCAATTCAAGATGCAGTTAGAAGATATCGTCACTACGTTTTTGATGGACGTTCTACCTTCCATGACATGGACCATTCGAACTTGGTCCTGCTACAACTTTCTAACCAAGCCGTTCTTGACTCGTCTCCCCACGTGGAAGCCAGTTTTATCATAGAAGTGTAGACTTGAACGCATGGAGGAATTATCAAGGCGGGACTGCGAACTACCGACACAAGGTCGCAGGACGTCGCGCATCCCCGAAGTCACTTAAACGGGTGTCTTTCTATGGCCCCTGTACATTTTTCGACAGCAAATTGTTTTCATGGGGGAGCTGTGAGTGGCAACGCGTCTAGTCTTAACAGTGCGTTCCAGACGTCTGCGCCACATTCCGAGGGCCATCACAAAGCAATGGGCTCGTCGTCTTGGCGGATAACATCTAATTGGTTTACAGGCGAGTGTAGACTTAATAGTGAGATTTCGCCACACTTTGAAAGAGACTCGGTGTCGTCCAGGGGATAACAAGCCGCAAGCAGGTTTAGGTCTGCTTTGATGTCGAGGCTCACTTTCGTCAAAATAATGTCATGTGACTGTACTACTTCCTCTACGACTCCACTGGCCGCATACAGCATAGAAGCATCAGTGGCGTCGGAGCTATGGCTCGGATTAGCATGACTGTGGCTTCCATAACATCTTCGATGCTTACGCGGTCTTGTGAGATGGCTTCCCTGCAGACTTTTTCTGTTCGCGTTTGTTACCTTTTGCTTGGAAACTGTCACGACTTCAACGTTGCGATATTAACCAAATCTTACTGCTTGACAGCTTTGGGCTCAATAACAGCGCAACGATTTGGACAACGAACGCTGTACGTGCAAACGCTGAAGCTTACAAATATTGACGCGTCGGTTTGCAGTCATGCGATGGGCTTCGCCCATACTGCCCCTCTCACTGCTCTACTTCAGCAATCTGGCCCGAGCAGTAAACTTCACGGAGACTCCCGAATGTGCCGTAAGTCTTTCCTGAAGTCTCATATAATCATCGTTTCTGACATCAGCAGGTGCCATGTTTCCTGGATGCCATTCCACGAACAATTTGCCCTCCCGCAAATGAGACCTGTCTATGCTATGACAACCAATTCTCCGCTCTAGTAGAGTCATGCGTGAGAACGAACTGTACTGTCAAAGAAGCTCTAGGTAAGCATTACTTTAAACTTTTTCCTGTTGATGGCGTCAAAGGTGTGACTAAGGACGTATTAGTCACGAAGAATCTCACATCGACATCGTGCGGTTTCCCTGTTCGTAATGATTACCGGGCTGCAAAGACAGCTCGTTTGGTTTTGTTCCTGTCGTTGCCAACCCTAGCCATTATAATCCGACTTCTAGTAAAGCTCGCACGCGTTGTTCCGTGGGGAGCGGATGATGCTACTATCTTTCTGGCTTACGTATGTGTATATCCTGACTGGCCTGATGAGATAAGGACATCACTGATCTGACTCTGATTTCAAGGCCGTACTCGTATCTTTCGCCCCCGTAAACGTGTTTAGTGAGTTTTTCGTTAAGGAGATTGGATTATAGATCTTTTCCTACGCATGATACTGACAAGAATAACATCTAATAGTCGAGAAAAACGGAGCTGGACAAGACATTTGGACGCTTTCCTTTGACCAGATTTACCAGTATTTCAAGGTAAAACACCCAAAAGGGTTTCCATACAAATTAGACAAGAAACCGGCCTCGCTAAAGTACGATAGGTTTTCTACGTCGCCCAATGCCTGTACCATATCACTATAATGTTGATCAAGGCATCCATTTTATTCACCTTTCTACGTGTCTTTCCCGGGGACAAGTTTCGACTTCTGCTGTGGGCTACCCAAGCTGTCAACCTCGTGATTGGCCTGACTTTCACGTTACTTGGCATACTCCAGTGTCAACCCGTCAGTCTGGCATGGGAGTTCTGGGACGAGGAGCACCACGGATACTGCATCGGCATTCAGTACATCGGCATCACACATTCCGCGTTAAACATCGGGATAGACGTATGGATGCTCGTACTGCCCGCGACGCAAGTATGGAGGCTGAATATGCAGCGTCGGAAAAAGCTATCTGTAATCTTAATGTTTAGTCTGGGGCTTTTGTAAGTCTCGAACTTTGTTGCTTCCCTCTCCGTTACAACTCATCTAACAGCGTCTGTCTCCCCAGCCTCACGATTATGAGTGGAATTCGTCTGAAAGGATTGTTACCGTACAGCAATGAGTCAATGAACCCTACTTGTAAGCTGACTTATTTTCGACATCACCAGCGAGTACTGCACTTGTAACTAACTAGCAGCCAGATGACTCATTACAGAATGGAGTTTGGAGTGATATAGAGCTCGACGTGGGGATCTTCACTGCATGCATACCCAACATACGACAATTCTTTGTCCATTTGATCTTCAGACGTCCCTCCAAAACAGAAAAGCAGACCTCGGTGCAGAGACAAGACAATAGATTGACCTCGAAATCTCAGATATTAACGCCAATGGAAAATATAGACGAGGTAGGTTGAAAGTTTTGATATTCCCTACTGGCGATTGGTCGCCAACCTTGTCAAAACCCCAAGATTTTCTTTGCCTGAAGTTTTAATCGCATGTACACACATTTACAAGTCCACTAGACAAGGCAAGATGGGTCTGTAACATGCTGTTTGAGAAGGTTGTTTAGAGTAAATACTGCTATCTCGATAAAAAGCATTAATCTGTGATTCTTTGAGGTATGCTGGGCATCATTCCCGTGGATTGATTTTCCGCGAACTGGGGTTGCATCGCCCGAGACCTTTGGGAGTTATCCCGTACCGGAGCCAAGATGGGCAGTTGGGCGACTCAGCGGTCAGATGCGTCACTACTGCAGAGCCCAAAAATAGCCGCAGGGTAACCCGATCGTCAGCTTAAGGTGACTCGCGGAGGTTAATGTTATATACATGATATTCAAAGATTGGCTGATTACAGTACAAACTACAAGTTACCTTTAACCGCTGCCTAGACTCCCTCAAACTACAACTTCGGCCTCGCACCATCTATTTCGAGGTTGGACGCTAGGCTAACGTTGCATAGAGCTCTTGGACCTCTGATACCTTCCATGAGTACATTGTAAGGCGTTTCTTCCATCCCAATCTGCCTCCACTTCCACAATCTCGGAGGAATCCGGTCTTGCCCCTTCTTCTCCGCAGCGTCAACAACCCAGCTCCCTATATTCGGGAGGTACTTGAACGCATGGCCACTACCGCCCGTCGCCACCATTAGTGAATCCTCTGTCTCAGGGATGTGGTCAATGACAAAGTGGTTATCGTAGCTGTCCGTGTACCAGCACACTCTGGTGAGGGAGATGTCAATGCCTTCGGCGCCCAACTCGGGGAGATTTTCGACCAGAAAAGCGCGAACAACTTCCAGAGCCTGTCGGGGTACTGTTGTCAGGCGCTCACCGCTCTGTTGGGGCTTGCCAGACGCGGACGCAGCAGACCACCGGGTAACGGGAACGCTGCGCTCTTTGCCATCGGCCTGGACGATGGGGTTTGTGTATTTCATTCCACGGTAGCCAATCTTCAACCAGCCATCTTCGTCTCTGGGGAAACCATATAAACCACCCTCAACCCCATCGCGCATCTTGTAAGTCCATGTAGGGAAGTTTTCAGGGGCGAAGCGACTAAAGAGTGGTGATTCGCGTGGAATTTTGAGAAAGAAAACGGACCCTGCTGTCGTCTCACAGAGACCGTCCATCGCGGGGAGTAAGGAAGGGGTCCACCCGCCGCAAGCGAGGATAGTGAGCTTCGCACAGTGCGTCTTACCATCACAGGTCTTGATACCGATAACCTTCTTGCCGTCGAAAATCGGAGACTCGAAGGCACCGGCCTTCTCATCCAAGACGAAGTTCACCCCTTGGCTTGCAGCTTTATGCAGAGCAAACCGACAGGCTTTGTCGGCCACGGCCATACCTCCTGTTGTGTCTAGAACACCAGCCGCCTTGAGGCCCCTCTTAAGGCGGTGGAAGGGGTCCATGCCAAATGTCCACCCTTTCTCAGCGGCCAGTCTTTGATGGGTTTCGTCAATCGTGATCAGCTGCGTGTTTCTGTGTCCTGCTGCCTCCATATTTTCGACGGTCTCCTTCTCAAATTGTGGCAAAGTCGCCGAGTCCGACAAAGAGAGATTACCGTTGTTTACAAAAACACGGTCCTCGGTGGTCAGTCCGGGCGGGACAGTCTTGCCAGTGGCCAACTCCTCGTTCCACGCGTTCCACCCATCCAGAGCGTCGATCGTCAAACCTTGGTACTCTGTTTGCGAGCCATATGCAGCCCTGATGATCTTGTTCATATCTAGGCTACGGTTAGACTATTTCGGGGCGTGGCTCGATTTGCAGAATATTTACCTGCAGAGGCTCCGTCAGCGCCCTTAAAATATGAGTACATACTCTTGTCGTACGGTTGCTTGTCGAAGACTGTGACGTTCTTGTATCCCCGGCGCGACAAGTGCACTGCAGTGCTCAGGCCGAACACACCGGCCCCGACAATGATCACAGCATCGTCCTTGCTTGGTGTAGATGCCATAGTGCAAAGTGTATTGAAGGGTTGCGATAGCTAGTTTTGGAGCAGAAGATCTGGTCGAGTATTGGGTTCGAAGATAGAACCGATTAGCCCTTAGTTTTGTCCCTTTCTCTTTCGCCTCCAATGCTTTTGAGCGTCTGGGAAATTGACTGGGCAAGGCAGAATTCGGGGAGAGTTGAGGAAGCCCCAAAAGACGAGAATGTAGTTTCTGGAAACAATGTCCAAAGGAGCGGCTCTGAACCTGGTCAAACCAGTTGTAGGCCAGCTACTGATTAGTAGAGTACGAAACTTCGGGTCCCGCCGTAGCAGTATGGTCGGCGGGGTTGGTGGCGGAACTGAAATGCGGGGAAGAGGCCAGTCGACTTCAGAGGATGGGTGATAAAAAGACACGGGGGCATTAGAGAGCTCTAGGTGTAACAAGTCGGCCACCTAATTTGCTGATAGGTTTGAACTGCAAAGGAAACATTGGGTTGAACATACGGAGATTAAATCAAATGGCATGATGATAAGAGTAAAGTGGGCGAGTTGTTCTGCAGGATGTTGATAGCAGGGTTCATATTCGACATTGCACCATCGAATCGCCTGAACTTTCTGCTTTCCGTTATCTGACTGCCGTCACTATCAAAGATACCTCATGTCTCAACGACACCACCTTTCTAGCTGGCCAACCCACCGACTCTCCCCGCCACGCGGTCAAGCTCCGGTCCCGGCAGCTGATAACCTGCACCCCGCTTTCTCTAATCTCGTAGGATACGATAATCCTGGACACCCTTGCTCGGATTGTCCCGGATAAGGAATTAAGGCTCTGGTTGGCAGCTAATGCAAGTGCACCAAGCCAACAACAGTATCCTACCGTGGAATGGCCGACCTGGCTGGAAGGAGATGCTTATCTCGATGGGCTTGGTTCGCTTTCAAGGGAGACTGGAAGGATCCGCGTGAGTCTGTTTATTCCAGGTTTTGAGCATGCAGCTAGGAACGACTTGACGGCTGGGGACTTCTCAGTCTGCGCTACCTCCGAGAGAAAGGCAGAAGTTGCGAAGTTTCTGATACACCTTGTAGCACCCAGCCGGCGCAGAACAAGCTGCACCATTTGCGTTTAAGTGGTATTATAGATAACCTATGGCCCATCTCACATCAACCCTGCAGCCTAAAAACCCGTCGCGATAGTTTTGGTTCTTCCAGGCTTGGGATTGACATTACCTTTGGTGTACTACATCGAAACTTTTTCACGCAGCCAAAGAAAAGCTCAGCAGCTACAATCAGTCCAGAAACGCACTATTCGGCATGATGGGCGTCAAGCAAATATTCACCGAGTCAACATTCGGCACATATATCACGGCAATCAGAGAATCGCCTCGAGAGTTGATCTCCAACCACAAACTCTTGCTTACTGCAGCGCTCTATGCCACGAGTGGCATCCCAATCAGTCAGTTATGTTTCTTATGCTCCTAGTTCTCAAAACATTATTTAACCCAGAGACACAGCATGGGACCAAGGCTCTTCATCAGTCGTGCCCTCTCTTCCGGGCTTCCAGAATGATTTTGGCATTACCTCGGCCACGAATCCTACCCAGGTTTCCAACTTCATATCTTTTGTCTATATTGGGGCCGGAATAGGTGCCGGTCTCTCGTTCTTTCTCAATGATCGCATCGGCCGAATGTGGGCTTATCGTCTGTACATGACCATCTGGATCGTCGGACAAATCATTGCTACGGTCTCCATGGGCAATCTTGGAGTATTGTACTTCGCCCGTATAGTCTCAGGTCTGGGCATTGGCGCACTCACTGTCACCGGGCCGGTGAGCATTGTTGAGATCGCCCCGACGGAGATCCGGGGCCTGTTGGCAGTTTGGTTCAGCGTTGCGATGCTGCTCTCCTTGACTGTGTCGGTCTTTACTGTCTATGCCAGCTTTCTTCACGTGGCAATCGGTCGGATGCAATATCAAGTCGTCTTTTTTGCTCCGACTATTGTCATGGCGCTCTTCATCATGGCAAGTTTCTTGCTTTACGAGAGTCCTCGTTGGCTATTCATTGCCAGACGTGAAAAGGAGGCAACCCAAAATTTGGTGGCTCTTCGAGGATTGCCCATCCATCACCCTCGGGTAGCCCGTGAGGTTGAAGACATCAAAGAACAGATCGTCAAGGAGGAAGAGAAATTCGGACGCAACCCCAGCTTTGTCGTCCTGATAAAGGATGCTTTTTTGGTCCCCTCGAACCTTCGACGTGTCCAACAGTCTGTTCTCTCTTATGCGCTTGCGCAGTTATCTGGAGCTAACAGCGTGACGTCTTACTTGGTTCCCATTCTCAGTATGCTTGGGCTCGGTGGCGGCACTGATCGCAGCTTGTTCCTTAGCGGCATGTATAGTATGGCGAAGTTCTTTTTCACTCTGATCGCTAGCTTCTTCTTTATCGATGCACTCGGACGCCGTCGCAGCTTGTTCACAGGCATCACCATTCAGATGATTTCTGATCTATACATTGGTATCTTCATCAAATATCGACAGGAGGGCTCAGTTGCGCCCGGCTCAAGTCAGGCTGCCATCGCGGCTATATTTATCCACGGTTTTGGATACGCTGTTGGTGAGTAGCAGCATCACCTACGCAACATGAAGTACCAAAACAATACCTAACATATGTAATAGGTCTCCTTGTTCTACCATATGTCTTTGGTGCTGAGCTCTGGCCCAATCATCTCCGATCATTCGGCAGCGCATTTTCACAGTTTTTTCACTGGCTGTTCTTCTTCGGGCTCAACAAGGGCATGCCTTCGCTGCTCAAACAAACTAACAATTGGGGCGCCTTCATCTTTTTTGCAGGCTGGTGTTTTCTCTCACTCATTTACGTGTACTGCGTAGTCCCCGAGACTTCTCTGCAGAGCTTGGAACAACTTGACGAGCTTTTCAAGGGGCCATGGTGGAATGTTAGTCGCAGGGCGAAGCAAATCAAAAAACAAGCCCGAGAGGTAGTTATTGAAGCCCAGGACTCAGTGTAAGTAATGAAATGTCCCAGTCTGTGGATCAAGGACGGATCGAATCTAACTTTACGACAGCGACGGCCACAGCAGCGAGTCCGAATCAAACGTTGGAAAAAGCACCACCGAAGCAGTCAGCCAGAAAGTATGAACTGTTACTTAGTAAAAGCTCTTATGGGAATTATCTATAAGTAGTCTCCTTACTAGAACAAAGTAGGAAACATGAAATCTTACAGCCTTCACCATTCGCATTAATCAAAGAAAATAATAATCATGTATTGCACACCTTGTACACATGTGTGAGATCAAAACAGTCGTTCAGATCGAGGCTGTCTTTCCCTGAGGCAATAGACCGTAGATGTATGAGTTCGTGAATGCTTTGACTCAATAATTGGCACCTCTACTTTTGAAATATAAACTCTCTACATATTTCTCATCACTCCTAATCCCAGATCACTACTTTAGACAATAGTAAGATTTGCTGGTGATTGAACGCGAACTTTGCATCGTGGATGTAAACCGCAAGCAACCTCAGATCGACTCTTTCGTGAACGCTTCGTCTATATTATATTCTCCCTAGAGCTTCTCCAATTCCTTGAAATTGATTTTCGTGGTTACTTGCCCCTGTTGGTAATAGTTGTTTAGCTACAAGACGCGCTCAACTTCCAGAAGATATCCCAACTAGCTGGCCAAGGATTTTGCTTTTCTATTCTTTATATCAATGACGGGTGAATTGGGCTTCCCAGTTTTGAACAAAGTTCTGATGTTCTCGAAGCATTCTCTTTCTGCCTTTTGGAACGCCATATCTGTGAGCCCCCCAGATGTGGCTGCGCAATGACATTTTCATGCTGCAACAAGGTAAGATCTGGCTTTGGCTCGTCACAAAAGACGTCCAGGCCGGCCCGGGCCACCTTCCCAGACGCAAGAGCTTCTTTGAGAGAAGGTTCGTTAATGACAGGACCGCGAGCTGTGTTCACAATGAAGGTGCCGTCTTTCATTGCCGCAAACTCTGCAGGCCCAATCAGACCTATTGTTTTGTCGTTCAATGGACAGTTTAGTGATACGATGTCAGACTTCCCCAGTAGTTCGTGGAGCGTTGGACAGTACACTGCGTTGTACTTGGCTTCTTCATCGGCAGGGAGTTGATGCCGATTGTGGTATATGATCTTGAGGTTAAAAACTGCCGCCTTCTTTGCGAGATACTACAAGATAGATTGTTAGCCCGAGACTCTGTAGTTGATGTCCAGTCACGGCAGCAACATGCCTTTCCAATTGCACCCATTCCCACGATCCCCAGAGTCAGACCCGAGGGGTCTCTTCCAGGCACGAGTCCAGGGACGGCTCTCCATGTTCCAGACTTTGCACTCCTCTCTGCGTTGCTTGTGTTGCGTAAAACAGCCAACGTCAGGAAGATGGCCATGTCTGCCGTTGCCTCCGCTACAGCGTCGACGGTGTTGCAGAACCATATGTTTTCGGACGCCATCCACTCGACGTCGAACTCGTTGAAACCCGCGCTAGCAGAAGTGATGATTTTGCAGTTCGGAGCAAGAGCACCGAGGAGACCCTGATCGAAAGGCTCGTAGGGCGGCGTTCCCATTCGGATGATGAAGGCGTCGATAGTTCCATTCTTTTTGATGTCCTCGGGGAGCATTGCGATTGTTTCCTCACGGTTGGTGGCCTCTAGTACGGTGTAGTCGAACTCGGTCTTGAATTCGGCGAGATAGTCGTCGCCAACGTACTTGGGAGCGCCGAGGGCGACGACACGGGGTTTCCTGAAGCCCAATTCATCGGTTCTAGAGGGAGCCATTGTGAGCTGGGATACGCTGCTTGGAAAGCGTGATATCGCTAAAGAGCCACAGTGTCTTGTGATCCTAGGTATCGCGACGTTGGGCAAAGCATTCGCGAGGTGCAGTAAAGGAAAATGATCGATCGGGAATAGACGAGCCAGCTTCGACTGCAGCCGAAAGAACATTCATTCCCTGCTTTGAAATACATTCGAGACAGGCGTCGCGCAACGTCGAATACTTTCGGTTGTGGAAACACGCGTGGAGCTCATCGACACTCGGTTATCGCGTTGTCTCCACTGTGGAGGCCGAACGATGGAGGCGCTGATTGAGGGTCGGATTCCCCCGAACAAGGTTGCACCGCCAGTGATGCTTGATAGGGTCTGGGCTCGGCATGAACCGAGTCTAGCGGGCTTTGGTCCCTGAATTACTCGACCCTAGGTTCCTAGCGACGTTGACTTATCACGTACTGCATGTGGGGAAAGCCAAATGATACGCTTTCGCCCGTTCGACCCTCTTTACTGGATGGGTCGGTGGTGCATTTTGAGCTTCTAGCGGGTTGTGAGTGACAATCGGCAATGAACAAGCCCCCAAGGTGAGCTAGTCTACACCGTTTTAGCATCACGTCTATCCTGCACACATCCGAGTCGAGTATCTTTTTGAGCGATATGTTTCGACGAAAGAACAAAACCTAAACCGAGCTTTTGAAACCACCAGCCTATATCCATCCATTCAATATCATGATGGTTGCGCTCACAGGGGAAAATACCCTACCGCCTCTTGGCTTCATCGCCATAGACGTGGACATTCACCGACCCCCAGGTGACCCATACAATGAGCGAACATGGCCGTTTCCGTTGATACGCGAGATGGCGGAGGGTTCTAAAGTGTCGCAAGTTGTAACCGCGTCGAAATATGATACCGCGCTCATCGACCGTTTCGTGGACGCTGGCCTACGTCTAGCGGCTAAGGGATGCGTGGGAATCATTACCAGTTGTGGCTTTTTGGCCATGGCGCAAGCCGAGTGAGTAAAAGGAACTGGGTTACTTGAAGAGATACTAGACTGATTGCTCAGTGAGAAGACTTGCTGCAAAGCTGCCCATCCCGATATCAACATCATCGCTGGCTCAATTGCCATCAGTATTGCCACTGCTTCCACCGAACAAGAGCGTGGGCGTCCTCACCTACGATGAGTCTCGACTGGGGTTGGAACACATTGCTAGCTTTGTCCCTGAAGCGCTTTGGACGAGGATCATTATCCGCGGCGTACCTCCAGATGGACATTTGCGGAATACCATCGGCTGTGGTGCACCATACATCAGTGAAGATATCGAAGCTGAGCTTGTTACAGTTGCAAAACAACTGGTAGCTGATAGGCCAGATATTGCGATTTTGGTACTAGAGTGCACAAATATGCCTCCATTTTCGGAGTCAATTTTCAACGCTTTGGAAAAGAAGATTCCCATATACGATGTGTACACGATGGGCAAGTGGTTTTACTCCGGGCTTACGCGATGGAAGCCTGAAAGTTGGAAAGCTTAATGTTAAAAATGGTCTCAAGCTGGAACATAGTTATAGTGGAAGATTTGTTTGATGAACACTACCGTTCTTGATCCATTGATGTCAACGCCCAAAGGTCAATAAATACCAGGGTCGTTCTTAAAAACCAAGCCCTTAAGAATAGTTGCTTATTGAATCACATTTCTTACCGAGTGACAGTAAAACATTACAATTTCTAGAATCCTTGTGAAAAACACATATCGAGGACTCTGTAGTCACGCGGCTGTTGTATTATGGCAGTGGACTGGAATCTTCATCCCACTATGTCTGCTACCTCACAACAGAAAATCACCCCCAGACTCTTTCAGAATTAACTGGTACTCTGGGACGAACTGCATGTACATGACTGCTGGTGTACCGGTTCCATCTTTAGTGTATTGAGCCTCCTCATCGCCGACTACTGTCTTCTTTAACCCGCTCGCCGTACCGTTAGTTCCAGGTGCAACAGACTGCTCAACCAGAAGCTGAGTATGACAAGCGCGCTCCAAGGCAATGAAAAATGCTGCCGCTTCAGCAATTGTTCCTCCGGCTGTCAAAAGTCCATGGTTCTGTAGGATGATGTTCTTGTTGGTAGGGCCAAGAGCCTCGGCAATATGCTCACCTTCCTCTTTTGCCAACACGACTCCACCGAATCCTGCGTAAACTGAGAGGTCTTTGTAGAACATGCAAGAATCTTGGACAAGTGAGTCAGTAAGTTTGTGTTTATGGAGCCTTGAATTTCACACCTACCTTGGTTCAACATCTCGATTGGCCGTCCGAACGTACTCCATGCGCGACCATATGGACTGTGCATGTGGCAAGCAGCGTTTATATCTGGTCGTCTTTGGTGCAACACCGAGTGGATAGTGAATCCCGCTGTGTTCACCGGCTTGTCGGCGCCACCAATGCGGTTGCCGTCCTCATCGATGTGGACCATGTCGGACACCTTGAGTACACCGAAGTGCACTCCATATGGATTGATCCAGAACGTGTCTGGTCTGACAGGGTCTTTTCATGTGAGTTAGCCAGAGTCTCGGAAAGTCAATAATGAAACCTAGTGCTAGGATTTCATAGCGGGTGACACATACCCCTTAGGCTGATGTGACCACTGCTTCCATCCGCGAAGCCTAACTTGGCAAAAATGCGAAATGCAGCTGCCATCTGCTCGAGCTGCCATTGTCGGGCAGCCTCTTTTGACTCGGGGACTGGTATCTGATGAAGCCGATTGACTTTACCACTTCCCACCTGACCCGAATCCAACGCTGAAACCAGCTGTGTTGGTGCTGGTGCGGGGGCGGGTGCCGTTACTCTGGTAATAGTCAACATTTTATTTGTTTCGAGGATGTTTGTTGTGTGTTATTATGAGTTGGATTATAATTGTTGAATGCTGCCCAGCTTATTCTCCGAATATCTTATCCATGTAACGAATGTTGTCAAACGCTTCGGTCTGGCAATTGTAAGAGTCAAGTGGTAGGTTGAAAACGAGGTGTCGACTACTCCGCTTTGGTTCTGCTTCTGAGAGGATGCGGATAAGCATGCGTAATGTCGCCATCTCTCGGAAACCGCCGAACCCGGAGACCAGTGCTGGGGTGGGCATAGATCACAACCCCGCAATGCCGTTAACCAGCGCTCGGTAAAGCAAGACGCGGTCGACCCCTCTTTTGGTTGTCGGCACCACCCGGCTCTATTAATGGCCCTAGCACAGCAAAGAGGCAGGTGGTGTATGTCAATTAGGAAGGTTGCTGAAACGGAGGCCTGACACAAACTCGTGCTCTCAACAATACTCTATGCGCTCGGAAGAAGCATGGAAGCCCTCAAGGTATTTGTACATAAGTTGTCGTAGCCAGGTACATCCAGAAAAGATGCCCACATCTACGCGAAGGCTCTAGTGCATATATATTATATCAGAAGTTTGGCAAGCCATCGTCAATCATCAAACCAGTTTTTCTACACATTTGTGGCTCGCCTTAGTCATATGTCCTTGCAATCACACTGTAAATAAACGCAATCTTCGGTTTGATGCTTCGAAAGCTCACAAAGTTACCCTCTGCAATCATGTCGACTAGTGTTGTTTCCGCCCCTCGACCGGCCCCTCCAGGGCAACCAGGGCCGGGTACCAGATACGTCGATACCGACACCCTCAGAACCTCCTTCGCCCTTGCTATGTCTGCTATGTACAAGTCTGAGGTGCCTTTATATAGCGACCTGGTCCAGATTGTTCAGGGAGTCAACCGAGAAGCGCAGATCAGGAGATTAAATGGCCTCGACGAATCGGCTGCTATGGAGACAAGTACCGAGCGTCTCACTCTCGAAAGACATGGCGCTATTCGCCTCGGAACCACTAAGGAGCTTCACACCGTCAGGCGCATCTTCGCCCTCCTCGGGATGTATCCTGTTGGTTACTACGACCTTTCAGCGGCCGGATTACCTATGCACGCAACCTGCTTCCGACCGATATCGACCGAGTCCCTTCAGCGCAATCCCTTTCGAGTTTTCACGACTCTTCTCCGTCCGGAGTTACTCACCTCGGGAACGGCTCGTGATGTTTCTTTGGACCTCCTCGAGAAGCGCAATATTTTCAGTGGTGTCCTTATGGAACTTCTAATTACTGCTGAAAATAACTCGGACGGACGTCTGACCTCCGAGCAGGGAGAACAGTTTATATCTGAAGCCCTAAAAACATTCAGCTGGCAGCCTCTTGCTGCAGCAACCTACGAGGAATATAGTTTGTTACGAAGCGAGCACCCAGTTCTTGCAGATATTGCCTGCTTCGGCTCTTCACATATCAACCATCTCACACCACGGGCCTTGGATATTACCGCTGCCCAGAAAGCCATGGTTGCCGCTGGTATGGCAGTCAAGAGCCGTATTGAGGGCCCGCCACCAAGGAAATGCCCCATACTCCTCCGACAAACAAGCTTTCTTGCTCTTAAAGAGAGCATTCGCTTCGCTGTAACTGGACAAGAGACCTTTATGGACGGGTTTCACAAGGCTAGATTTGGCGAGATCGAGGAAAGGGGCGCCGCAGTGACCCCCGCTGGTCGGCAACTTTATGATGAGTTGTTAAATGAGACAATGGAGACAGCCCAGAAAACCGGGAAAAGTCATGATCCGGTCGCTGTGGACCAGATTCTGAAGCAAGTCTTCCAGAAATATCCTGATGACTGGAACGAGCTACGGCGCCGGGGCCTTGTGTACTTAGAGTATAAGTGCACATCTGACGCAAGGGCCAAGGTGAAGAGTCTGTCAGGTTTAAGCACTACAGAGCCGTCTGCCTTTTTAGACCGACTTGTCTCTGAAGGCATTTTGAAGGCCTTGCCCATCACATACGAGGACTTTCTGCCATTCTCAGCCGCAGGCATATTCCAATCCAATCTGCAGTCAAGTAGCGCAGGGGAACCGGCTGTTACGACCAATATGTCAGTGAAGTCGAACTTGGAAGCCTACGAGAATGCCCTCCAGACGAAGATTCTTGATTCAAGTAAGCTTTATGAGCTGACGCAAAACATGAGCCTGGACCGGTGCGCCGAGGAATTGGAGTTGAGCCTGGACATGAGGCACTGCTTTTCTTGAGTCTTGATGCACTATTGGCTCATCAGGATAGGTGTTTGTTCGCGCATTTACTTACGCGGTACTAGAATAACTCTTATGATAAAAGTTTGTCTCCAAGAAATCACTATTATGTTTAGTCTCTCAATTCCTAGGCCTCTCAAAAGCCGTCCCCTGTATCGCCGAGTACAAAGTGGAGAATATAAAATCTCTCCGCTACGCATGTATACGAGTATCTGAGGTTGGAAATAGAACCGCAACCATCCATCTGATGTTGCTAATAGTCAAAGGGTTCTAACAAAGCCTTTGGATGACTCTGCTGCAAAGTGCTCTCGGACCAGAATCGAATACAGGTTTTAAGGGCGTTGTCAACTTTTAAGTGAAAATCATAATACTGTAAATAGAGCTATATCATGTCAAACTGTGTTTCCTACGGCGAGCCAACACCTAGCCTCCTAATACTCTCTCACCCCTTGTAGTAACTCCTGGACCAGCCACTCGGATTCTTGAGGGATCGTCAAGTCATCCAATCCTATAATCCAGTCCTGCATCGACGGAGGGTCTTCTTCGCCCATCGGAGTTTGTGTATCAATACTGGGGCCCGGGCCTACAGCTGGTACTGAGGCTGAGCCAGACTTATATCCTTCATTACAGACCATATCGATAGTTCGCTGAGACAATGCTTCGAATATGTCTCGATATGATGTGGCCAGCTTCCATCGCTCAGCAATTATTATGAGAACAGTTGTGCATGCCATGCATGTTGCAACGACGTCGGCTTGTCTAGTAGAGTTTCTTACATGCTTAGATCGCCATAAACAGTAAAGGTAGGTTAACCCGCCAAGAAACAATATGTGTAGGCTGCCCCAAGTAAACTGAACAGAGGAACTTTGGTATACTCGGCGATAGAGCATGCACATCTCTCGTGCTCGAAGCGCACATTCTTCTAGGGCTCGCTCCGTAGTTTCAGCATCAGCTATAACTGTAATTCCAGTGCCATCCGGTGTCGCGTGGGTTCTAGGGGACCCCACCATGTGGTGACGATACAGTAAGAGAATAGAGTGATCGTAGGCAAGATGGAACCAAGAACGAGAGGTGAAAACCGAAAGTGGATGTGATCGTGAGTAGTCCAACTGATCAGGCGTGTTTGTTCGCCACTCTTCTAGTTCCTGGCGAAGACCCTCGACCGTGGCTCTGTGACCGCAATCACATCGCCGAGTCAGAGGCGGGTAAAGGCTATCACTTATCTTCGTCCACAAGCGACGCAGTTTGATAGCGTGGATGAACCCCGTCATAAGGGTCGGTGGATCGGTGAGAGATGTCCGCGGAGGAGACATCAAACCGCTCGAGGTTATGTTTTCGTCGTCAATATCTAAGGGTAACTGTAAGACATGTCAGAATCGTTTCAAAATGCTTAATGAAAGTAGAGGCTGACCTCAACATCGATTGATTCATCGGATATGCCAACTGGACGACCAAGTGTGAAGGCTACCACTCTGTCAATGTCGTACGCTACCCAGAAGCACCTCTTAGAAATCTCTTTTGTCAGAGCATCTGTATTCTTATGATACCTCTCTGCACTTCGGTGATATCCGAGCTCCACACAATGGCGGATGGCCATGCCTGAGACTTTCCTTAAAAGGGGCAGCTGTCAGACTGAGTGCAGAAAGTGTGTTCCGTGCAAGGCTTACCAGAGACTCACGCCCACGGGTGATCTGATCGAGTATACGGCGCAAGATAAGATGGCTTGTATCGATGCGAGGTTGTCGAGATCGAGTACCGCAGATATGTGGTCTAGGGCCATGGAGTAGTATGCTTCAGCAGCGTCGTAGTGACTCTGGCCAAGTACTAAAGACCCTATTGCGTAGACCTGCTGAGCATGAGTAGCCTGAAGTAAACCTTGGGAGAAAAGGACTGATAGACTGACCATAAGCACGAAAAACCAGGATACTCCATTTACACTGCTAATTTGTACTTCGATACTGGACTTGAGACAACTCTCTTCCCATGTTTGAAACGTAGGTTCATGTAGGAATGGGTACTGGGGATGGATGTTGTTGAAATATGCCTCTGACAGGTTCGCCCGTAAGGCTGGCGATGGTAATCTCAAAGGTACTTCTCGAGGTACTCCTGTACCAAACCTCTTGCCACGGCCAGCATGGCTATGCTGTGAACTCCCTTCTCTGCTAGTTAGCCCCATAGTAGCGCTCACGATACGGGAGAAAGAGACAGCGGAAGATGGTCCAAAGTAATGTGGCTCCCTGCCCGCAGCACTGAGGCACAAGAGGGCGACCTCCGACGAAAGTACGTCGACATGATACTCCTCGGCGTCAATAGAAGGTGCCCGAAGGGCGTGGGGGAACTCCATTTCGTCCAAGGAAGACTGGTCCGGGAGGTTAGGAAGGGCCGGGGGCATTTGCATCGTGGGAATCGGCCGGGTAGGAACGGTGCGAGGCTGGACGGTATCTGAATCGCGGCTCTGGTTGGGGCCAAAGTGATCGAGGGCGACCTCAGGCCGTACCTGCTGCAATAGTGCTTCGAGATAGGCTACCCGGGCTTCTAGAGATTTCATGTAATCCCGGGGGCGATGCAGGCCGGTGCCGGGGTCTTCTACGAGGCAGTCTAACCCGCAATTCAGTTTACCCAAATTAACGCATCGCACGGAGCCCTCTACAACTTACCTCGTCCGGTCCTGACGCAATTCTGGCACTTGGGACTCTGTCCGTCACACTAAGACAGCTTAGCTAAAGTCGATAGGTTGATATCAGAGAGGGCGCGAAATGCAGACCTTCAACTTTTTTTGCTTGCAACCAATGCATGCCAGCATGGTACGCTCGCCAATTCGCGGACGTTTGGCTTGGTGGGTGCCAGCTCTTTGACTGCTCATTGCGACGGGGAAAACTTGATGTATAAGGATAACGAACAAGATATACCGCAGCACAACACTGATATTTGCACAGTGGGTGTTCGTATTCAGATATCGAACCCGGTATCATTGAGACTGTATGTGAGCCACCGTGGAGCGACAACGTCCGCGATTCGGATCAAACTGCATTGTGTTCTGCTGCCGGGCACACTACTGTTATCTGGTGCGGAGACCGTAATCAAAAGGTGGCCCGGGGCCTGCCGGGAAGTTTCCACCTGCCAGTTTGCTTTGGTTTCTCCAAGTATATCTGTTAGTGCACACACCGAGCTGCGGCGCCGAGTGTCGCTGGTTTCCGGCATCGGAGCGGCTCCAACTAACGTTTACCACGCCAGAGTTACGGAAGCGTCAGACACTTTGTAGTTCTGCCTATCGTATCTGAAGGGAGCCTTGGCCGTTCCTCCTCAGCACCTTTTTCAGTGGCAAAGCATATGTCGTATTCTAACCGCGGCTAGTCTTCTGTCCGTCAACTAGGAGAAGCAGATTAGGCCAGCAGCTCCATCCCGCCTTCTTGAATGAACTTGGCTTCAAAATCACACAACCTCCACAGTCTCTGTGGCTCAGTTGGAAGAGCGTTGGTCTCATATAAATTCAATATGACTCTTGAACATCAAGGGACATCCAAAGGTCGCAAGTTCGAGCCTTGCCAGGGACATTGCCTTTTGCCCCAGTAACAACATTGAACTGGATTTTCCCGCCGCCCATCTGAGCCGTTCCCGTTGCTCTGTGAACTGGCTAGCTAGCCTCTGAGAGATGCGAGGTAATTTTCTAGCTGCCGCTTAGTCGCTTTGAAGAGTGAAGAACTGTCTGTATATGTTCTTTACCACATCTAATAAAGACGTGGTGTAACTTCAAGTGCGATATTTTGAACGATGTTGTTCCTTATGGTTACTTGAACGAGCGACTATTACGTCTTGTGAGTTCAGTAGCAATGGTTTGCGCATTGACTGCAGTCAGCCAGCCAGGCTGCCGAAAGTTTTTCGCGGTAATGGAGTTACGAGGTGCCATGTACGAAATAGCACCCGAACCCGTTATTTTAGTTGGCCTCTGCAATGTCCAGGTGCTATAACAAACGCGTTTTAGGGCGCTAAAAAGCAATGTGCCAATGCATTGAACTAGGACCTGATTCATGGCATGTTCGCACCGAGGACGTTGCACAGCATGCCATAGTATATCTAAAGCATCGCTAGAGACCCGCCTATCGCTTCGAGATAGTCGGGTAGGACGGGACGTTGCTAAGCCCTCGGTTACGTAGATATGGGGCTTCCAACAACAGCCTTTTCTTGCCAAGTCTGAAGCTTCGCCATTCCACGTGTCATTTTAACTGGAGCAATTAATGCAGCGGGCGCGTCATTGCTTCGTCTTTTGTAGAACGAATGTTCTTCACCCCCTAACAACAAACGCGACAACCATGAGGAAATTCTTCAAAGACGCCAAGAAGAAGATTGAAGCCGAGATCGCGGCTATCGCTGGTGACGATGAGCCTCAACAGCAGCAGCAACAGCAGCATTATTTGCCGCCTCCGCAGCAGCCAGCCCAGGGGTTCGAGAGAGCGGTATTTGCTCATTTCATGGTATGTCGAACGACGCGTCGAAAAGGCGGAGGCCTCCCGTGATAGACTATAATAATAATGAAGCTAGCTGAGCAATACATGCGACTATACGGTTGACGAGTTCAAAGCCGACATTGGGATTGCCCAAGAAGCACACATTGACGCTTTTGTTTTGAACTTCGGTATCCATGAGGAGGCCATTGCGAAACTTCCGGATATTTTCACCGCAGCCGAACAAACCGGCTTTAAGCTTCTCATCTCATTCGACTATGAAGGAGCTGGAGCTTGGCCTAAAGAGCGGGTTATCGATATTGTCAGCAGGGTGAGTAGAACTTCGAGAGGAGAGCAGCCAACTGGGCTCAAGCGCTGACTTGGACTCTAGTTTGCCCAATCCCCGGCATATTTTAAGCGTGGATGGCAGCCCGTCGTCTCAACCTTCGAAGGGGTCAGTAGCGCTGCCGACTGGCACGAGATCAAAGCTGCGACAAGCTGCTTCTTCATTCCATCTTTCTCCTCTATTGGCGCCGAGAATGCCTTGAATACCGGCGTCACAGACGGTCTCTTCAGTTGGGCAGCATGGCCTCATGGAAATACTCGGAAGATGGACGAGGGGCTGGATACGTCGTATCGCCACTTTTTGGGTCCGCATAGGCCATACATGATGGCTGTTTCGCCTTGGTTTTACACGAATTTACCCACATGGAACAAGAACTGGGCGTGGAAGGGAGACGATCTGTGGAACGACCGGTGGAACGAAATACTAGCCATGAGACCCGAATATGTGCAGATCGTAAGTGTTGCGCACCATGCACATCGATCAGTCTTACTAACCGTAACCAAGCTCACTTGGAATGATTTTGGGGAGTCTCATTACATCGGGCCACTCCATGAGAAGCAGTTCGGCGCTTTTGAGTATGGCAAAGCGCCTTTCAACTACGTCCGTGATATGCCCCACGACGGTTGGCGTCTCCTTCTGCCTTTCCTCATCGATCTTTACAAATATGGAACAGCTACGATCACGAGAGAAGGTCTGGTGACGTGGTATCGCTTACACCCCGGAGATGCTGGCGATTCTGGTGGAACAACGGGCAACACCAGCAGTCACGGCCAGGAGCTCTTCCACCCCGCTGAGATCATGGAAGACAAAATTGTCTACTCTGCGCTGCTGACCGGTCCAGCTCAAGTGACAGTTAGTGTCGGCGGAGTCGCGGAAGAAGGATCTTGGGACGATGATGGGGTTCCAAAGGGAGGTGTTGGTGTTTACCACGGAAGCGTGCCTTTTAACAGCAGAACTGGTGAGGTGGTGATTACTATCCACCGTGGAAGCGACGTTGTTGTCCAGGTACAAGGCCGGTCTATCACGGCTGAATGTCCGCATGGAGGGATGAACAATTGGAACGCATGGGTCGGCGCTGCAAACTCGCACATGGGAACACACGCGATTGCGCATCTAGGTTGAGATAGCGCAAAGCGGATCGACCGAACGTTTAATTTGCCAGATTAAAGATGATTATGGAAGATTGGAGTTGAAATCAATGAAGCCATCATGAGTGTTGCACTATAGCTGCAGTCAGTAAAGTGCTGAAATATTTCCCGCTGCGGTCATTTGCTCACATTTGGGTACTATCTCATGGGTCTCCAACACGTAATACATAAGCCATACAAGCACCTTACGGTTACAAGCTAGTCAACTATGATTTAAAGAGGCCAAGTCAAATTTGGAATTGTCGCTCTCTGCAGGAAGTAGGTGAGGGTGGGATTGCGAGGTAGTAGAGGTGAATAACCACAGTAGCAACCAAGCAGATCTAAGGTTTATTACGGTAGATGTTTTTTCTATATTTGCTGTTTTCCATGCTTTGTCTCCTTTAAATATCAGGTCCTTTCAATAGGAAGAATCTTGATCTTCAAACCACCTTGCGGTCTCAGAACAGGGCTGGGGTTCACAAGTTTAATGTCTTTAGGATCCACGGCAGCTTCGAACTTGAAGTTGCTCAGCATCTCCACAAGAAGGACCTTGATCTCCAACAAAGCAAACACTTTGCCAATGCACTGTCGGGGCCCAACCAAGAACGTTGCGAACGAATGAGGGTTAGTGGCCTCGCCAGTGAGTCGGTCCCAACGATCCGGGTTGAATTCATCCACGTCCTCACCCCAGATACGAGAGCTTCGAGTAACCAAAGCCGGGAAGAGGTAGCATAATGTGCCCTTGGGCAAGACAGTCCCGCAGACGTCGATGTCGTTGACGGGCTCTCTTGCTGCCAGGACACCAGGTGCGTAGAATCGAAGAGTCTCCTTGATGATGTTGTCGATGTAGTGTAGGCTGTCTAGGTCCATATAGTCCGGATCAGGCTTCCTTGCCAATAGGTCGAGGACTTCCTTTCTAGCTCTTTCTTGAATATGCGGGTAAAGAGTGAAGGTATGGGATGCCCAGGTCAATGTCGTTGCTGAAGTCTCATGCCCAGCAACCAAGACGTTCATGGAGTTCTCAAGAATCTTAGCCTCAGACCATGGGTCACCGATGGCTCGCGACTCCAAGATCATGTGTGTCAGAAGATCGGGCTTCTCGCTAACATCAATCAAGCCCGAATCGATCTCTTTCACACGTTGCTGGATGATTTCTTTCAGTCTCGAACGAACACTTTCGCTACAGGCATTGAATTCCTGGTTCTCTTCGAACGGAAGTGCTCGTGTTCCAGGGATGTAGGCGTTCATGACCATGAGAAATGCACCAAAAGCCGAGGGGTCGAACATCTTGTGGTAGGCTTCGTGGAACAGCGAGGTCGACAAGGTACTCTCAAGGTCGATTCCAAGAGTGAACCACGCAACGATATCAAGTGTGACACGGCCGTAGGCAGAAGAAACTACATTTAGCAACCATGCTTGTTAGTAATCCGCGCAGACTGATACAGCCAATGATAACTATCCCAGTACCACTTACCATCCGTGATGCCATCTTGAGACTTGATTTGGTGGTGAAAGTGCTCAATGAGCTCCTTTCCTTTGCTCTTGAAGAGCGGAATTGCTCTCTTCACGTTGCTAAGCGCAAACTGGGCTAGAAAACCGCACCATTAGCGTGGTCAACAAGGCGGTGCTGCCCCGGTGCAACATACGTGACAACAGCTTTCTTTGAGACTTGTGCGCATCACCCTCTGCAAAGGCCATGCCAGTGCCCGTGACCTGGACAATGACTCTGGTATTGAATTGAGCCTTGACGAAGGAGTAACTCTTCGTCTGGAAAATCTCTTTGTAGGCCTCAAGGCTGTTGATGAGCAAACAATCGGCGTTGCCAAAACCAGTAAATTTAATGAAAGGCTCATTCGGCCACTTTCTTGTCCACGAAAGGTACGGCTCAATGGGGTTTCCAGAGCGTGCCTGGTTGATCAGATCGCCGAGCAAGAAGTGATGATCCTAGACATGCGTCAGAAAGCTTTTACTGCAGGATCTCGGGTCTCGTTTGCTTACCTTGGGGCCGGGTAGATGCCTTAACGGTGAAAAGAAGTATGGATAGATGAAGACATTGTAGATGCCTTTGGCGAGATGCCTTGCGACTGCAACAGTGAGAAGGTATCGAGCTATGGTCTGCACAGGAGACTCGCGCAAAGTTGATAACGCAGACAAAGCCCCTAGTAGCAGGACTTCATGGTACCAGGTTGGTTTCAAATATTCCATGGTGGTTCAGTTTGTAGCTTGTTTGCACAATGGCCGCTGTGTCAAGAATGAAGAACAGGAGACGAAATGGAAGGGAGCAGAGAATGCAACCTCATATCAAAGCGAGGTGGTCACACAATTGATAAACGACGCAGACTGTCCCCACAGAGAACCAATGGGTTATGGTCCTCTTTTGGTGTCTGTAGGTGTCAAGCACCGGGGGTGGGCTCCATTGAAAGAGGGTACTCCTGATTATTGCCCACTTTCGAGGGGTAATGCTTTCGAACCAGAATTGGGACCCCACTGAACGACATCAAAAAAGCATCCTTGCATAGCAATGAACTCGACTAAATAGCTACCAGCCAGTTTTGAGTTCGTTAGAATCTGGCTTTCGGTTGCTGCTGTCTTCATTGGCCATGAGGACTGAATGAGAGCACAGCAAGCGGCTTATCCCGGGGGGACTTGACCTACTTTTCAGATCGTGGCAGCGTACAACCAACTTATTCAGACCCAACATGAGAAAGATGTTGGAACGGAAAGTAATGCCTAATGTGAAGCCTTCCCAAGACAGCTGATTGGTCCGATGTGCACCAGCGTTACATTATGTCCGTGTCTGGATTAGTACAGCAGGGTCTTTGCTGCAAGAGACTGCCGATCTAGCTGTGTACCCGTTGAAGAATTTACCAAACCAACAGAATACTGGTAGTTAATAAGCGCGTCAAGCATTTTCTCATGTGCGGTTTCGATAAGAAATGGGTAATCAGACGAACAAGATGCTTAGTCTGGATGGTGTTCCCGAGTCAGGGTGGTTGATTGGTTCATGATCCCACTTCACCATACCTGAAAAGTCAGAGGGGTAGGTATTGGGTGTCGACTTTTCCACTAAATGGGAATGGGCCACTTTCCCGTGGGTCAAAGTTCTGCTGTGCCAGTAGGGGAGCACCTCAGTCTTTGTTTGTCGGCTGTCGCGGGTTGTCCCTGCACGTGTAAACTTGTGGAAGCCAAACAACCTCGCTGCCATTTGACATCCGCTAAGCCTGCCTGTTCCGATCATTTGAGCCACTCCAGGGCCGCACAGGTGACAAATGGGCGGGAGGGCCCGCGTTTGTCAACGGCTGATCGATCGAACAGTCCCTTGAGCGGGTGTGCTGAGTCAGTAACACCCACACGTGAGACTACTGGAAAACTAATAGTACATTCTATTCGGCTACCTGTCATTAGCAGCGGTCTTGTGCTGGCAGACCATTGACAGGTGTCAGTCTATCTCGATATGTCTTTTCCGCAAAGTCAATGAACCGTTCCACATCCTCTGCCGTCGATATAAAGCCGAAGGAAATACGTACGGCTCCAACCGGAGCAAGCAGCCGTACGTAGTCATCTAAAGAGTTGCTCTGAACCTGGTTCAGCGGCTCCAACGCCCTTTTGTTCAGACCAAAGGCTGTTTCGCCAGCGCCTGGGTTGCAGAAGCAGCCGGTCCGCAGTGATATCTTTTGCGTCGACGACTCCACGGCGACCAGCCTCTCGTCCACCACTCTGCCGCCTACGTCTAGGAAGTTGAAACATATTGTACCGCCCCTTGATATCATATTCGTCGGACCATAAACCCTGGTCACCGGCGACCCGTCGCTGTGTTCCAGGGTTCGTAGACGATCAAGACACCATGCGGTCAAGCACTGGACTCTGGTAGCGATCAAGGGCATCCCGATTCCGTCCAGCCAGTCCAACCCAAAATGAACGTCTGGAATCGATAAGAAGTTGACTGTGCCATCTTCAAAGGCCGCTTCGTCTGGGGCCATAACGTGCCAAGGTATCCCAACTGACGCCGCCGTGATTGTGCCCCCGGAGAACCAAGGTCGCGTGCTGGCCAGTCGTGACAGAGCGTCGCGCCGCACGATCAGGCAGCCGACCCCGGTCGGATACCCAAACAGTTTGTACCAACTGACGATGACGAATTCTGGTTGGACGCCAGAGGGGGACAGATCGAGGATCGAGGTCGGTAAGTAAGCCGCGGCATCAAGCAGCACGTCATAACCCTGCTGCTGTGCCACGCCGATCCAAGAAAGCGGATGACGCACACCACTAAAGTTGCTCTGGGCCGGGTATGCGAACAAACCGCTCCTGCGGGGGGCTGCCGAACCGAACAACCCTGTCTTGCGAGGCTTTAGTGCTGACATCAGATCAGATGAATCTACCCTCAGCTCCGGAGCGCGGACGGGGATATATACAGTCCGGGCATGGTTTCGGCGCGCAAATTCCCTCAGACCGTTGACCGAGTTGTGGTTGTCGGATGTGAGGACAAGCCTCGTTCGCCGCTTGAAGGGATAGGCCTCTGCGACCAGTCTTGCTGCGCCTGTCGCGTTCGGGGTGAAAATGACAGTGTAGTCATCCGGGGATGCGTTGAGGTAGGATAGGACGCGAGCTCTGGTATCTTCCACAAGGTTGGTAGCAGACTGGCTCGTTGGATTTATGGAATGGGGGTTCCCGAAGAGGGTTTGCTCGAGTCGAGCTTCGTGTGCACGGAATTGAGACTGCGCAGCGAGGCCCGCGCCAGTGAAATCGAGATAGAGGTGTCCTTGCTTGTCGAGGTAGCCGTAGTCTGTTGCGCGAAGGTCGTCCAAACGGGACGTTGACTTGTAATCTGGATAGCTGGCGAGGATGCTTTCCATCCTGATCTGCCTCAAACGAGGAATCGAGCTATACAAGTCCCCGATATCTTGCCTAAACAAATACAGAGGCGTGAAGATTGATTGAGGAGAAAGACAAAGTGCTGGAGGTGCCATCCACCCGGATGTTATATGCAGACCTGCACTGGTATGTGGCTACTCGCGCCGAGAACTTCACTAAGACAGTGTCCACGCAAACCCGACAGTCCAAACTATTTGAGACACCTGAACCCCTTGGGGTTCGAGCTGGTGAGTAGCTTCCTCCGCTAGTGTTGCTCTCCTACCGCTGGGGAGTGGCACCCAGCGAAGAGGCTCCAGGGTTCGAGACTCTAGTCCATTGAGCTAAAAAAAAATTGGCCCAAATGATCTTTGGTGTCGCATGCAACGCCCTTGAACACTGCAATGGGGACGATCCAACCCAGGTACACTGCGAGCACATCGCAAACTGTGCTGCATACGTACCTGTTGTCTGGCTGCACATCCACTGCGTTGTGTTACCTGACTTCAGAATCCTTGGAAGCGTGTTACTGTTTTTTCTTCGGTTCAAGTGCAAAGCAACCTGCACAAGGTGAGGGGATCGCCGAGGTGCAGCAGCAAACTGGGTGGCACGAATGTCTCAAGCACCCAGTACCTACCAGCAAGAATGTACGGGAATGTACGGCATTCACTAAGGAATTCCTGACAAACCAAGCGGTGTGATATCGCTTGGCGCCACCGCGTTGGCAGTTTCGCACAAGTCCGGGGGATGTACGGGACTGCGCTGCTAGGGAAGACACTATGACTGACGTATCTGTGTGAGGCACGAGGGGAAGGTCATCTGAGATATTGACGTCGGGGCTCCAGCATCGCTATTCTGGTAAGTCAATAACATCTGCTTGGCGGCAGTGCTACGCAGCTTATTGCCAGCTGCCTGAGCGTTGACTGGTGAACATCCCCTGCCCTGGACATGCTGTTTGCTTCGGCCTGCATGTGCAAACTTCCATGAACGCGTTAGCACCACTAATCCAATACGCACACGTGTTTAGTGGCAGTACATCACGACGGACTAGTTTCCCTGGGAAGCGTGGGCATTCAATCCAACCCGCTGTGCCTCAACGGCCTACGGCCGTAAACCGGTGCGCCCCAGGGCGGTTTACAGGCATTCGTAACGAAGGTAGACAGGGACGGTTTACGGCCTCTGGTTAGGGTTTTACGATGGACCTGTCCGGCGGCGGTTATCTTGTGTGCAGCCTTCTCAAGGCCATCGCCACATGTTGGCGTGCAGCCTAGTCGATGCAACTGTGCCGCAAGACTATGAGTAGGTACCCTATGCACTGACTTCTTCAGTGCCTCCCCTCCCCAATGGCCCGCGAAACGGAGCCCTTCACAGACCTAGCTACCGTGCCAATATTGATCCACTCACGTTTTTTCTCCACAAGTAGGATTTAAGACATCTCAGCTCGAGACGTGGTGGTGTGTAAGACGAGCGACGTGCAGGACACCTAGTCGAATCTGCACTGGTGCCAGCGCAGGTTCGCTAGATTCAGAGGGTTGATTGGTTGGCTCGCACCAGCTACGTCTTCGCGAAGATCAACGAAGAACAGACCCATTTAGCCCAACACACACCATTGAGCGGGACAAAACACGCGGCTTGCGGCAATTATTCCCGCCCCAGTGTGCACCCATTCAAGTCGCATACCTCTCCTTTTCGCAATCCTGTTGTGGATTATCCCAAAGTGAGTAGCTATAAAGTTGAATAACCTCAATTGCATACATTTTCGAAACTCCATCTAATGCCTTCAAGGATGGACTGATGAAAATCCTGCGCACTGTTGCAGCAACACTGTCAATCTATTCCAAGCTCCGCCAAAACGATAAACTTAGGACACCATTGATTTTTCTTTGATTTTCCTCCTGGATGTCTATGTTAATTGCGGAATTAGTAAATGTAAATATATATTCATCTACATGCTGCGACAAGTATGTTTTTTTCTTTTGCTCATGTCAACTTGCTAGAGTTTAAAGGTTCAATAAAATAGAAGTGGCCAACAGAAAAGAAGGGACAAACAAGACGAAGAGAGTGATCAGATCATTACATCTGTCACGCTTGACTGCTGCAGTACTACCAGGTAGACAACACGGTGAGGGTAGCTTAGGAGTTTTTGCCATCGTTGTCGACCTCGTCTGTCTTATCGCATCGCAGACGCTCTTCTACACAGATCGTTGATCTCGAGATCCGTTTCACAGTCGCTCTGAAACAAAAACAGGATTAAGAGCATTTCGAAGCTGGAGTGATCAAGATTCAAAAGTAGATGATGTTCCTATTCGATATGGAGAAAGGCTTGTGTCTTCTCACATCTTTTTGAGATATCCGTTCGGAATATATTGAGATAATCTCTGTCATCTGTGACGTAGCAAGAGTAGAGTTCTATCGATGACGTGCCGGGTGAAAATGAACAAATCAGAGAGAGTATCAAAGGACACAAAATGATTTGCCTTGAGCTTGTTTGGGGGGTTTCCCACCAGCTTCGTCAGTGGCTCGAATGCTAGACTCGATAGTATACTAAGCAGAATCTCTCAGTTCCTAAAGGCGCCGAGCTTTTGTTACAATGTGTACACGAATCCAGCGTCAAACCATACGTATAGCTATTGGCTCTGCAAGATTTTAGGTACCCGCGCAATGCTCTTACTTATTTTGCTTCTTGTCGTTTTCTGAGCGAAGGGATCTAAGTAGCCCAGCGTAAGTTATGATGCACAGAAGCCACCCAAAGCTCAAGGGACTTACTCTATATGATGGTCATTGCAGCTTAGCTCCTAGGAAAACTCCAAACGCAAGAACGCACCACATATTCAACGGCCGAGTTTTCACCACCGCCGCATCAACTAAAGCTATCAGGGCTTGACAGCACACATGTAGAGATTATCATAGCACGAGTCTGACCTACTAACCATGTCTCTTTAGTTAAGTCTGCTGAGGAATTTTTTAAACCAGAATACATCCTTGCACTTCCCCCGCAACACACCAGGCACAGGTCAAGTGGATTAGCGGGGGATGGCTCGTTGCTTCCATATTTCTTTCAGAACAAGGCAATGAGATTTCGACAGCGGCGAGTTAGGCGTGATATGACATAGTTGTATATAGTTGTCGTAAGGGTAACCTGGCCGAGACAGAGCATGCGGGGTAACCAATCCGATGCTTTACCGCGCTCACGACCGGTGTCAAGTGGGTCTGCGGGCTCGACAGACCGCGCTCGAGACAATGAAGAGTGGTCTCTCGACCGACCCCGGCAAACTTTTCCTTATCTGGTCCACGCAGGTGCATCCGACGACATCAACTTCTTGCCAGCGTCTAAACTATCCATCACATCGATATCTAAGCACTATCCCAATGTGTCTTTATCATTGACCTTAACCCTTGACTGCAACTTTCTCCAGAATCTTGCAGCGGTGCGGTCGACTTGGCATCGTGTTCCCCTCCACCGCGGCTAATTCCGGTCATGTCGTCGGCTACCAAACCCCGCCGCACGCTTGCGGGTCCGATCTTCCGCGTCCGGACGGGATGCTTGACGTGCCGCGGTCGCAAGAAGAAATGCGACGAGACTAAGCCGCGCTGCCGCGGCTGTGAGCGGAACAAGTTGGAATGTCAATGGCCACCAACGGGATCCCACCATGGAGTTGCGCGCACAGCTCCTGAGGCTTCAATCTCACAAAACGCGTCTCAGGGCACCGGACAACCTGGAGCCCCGTCAACGGCATCCCCAGAAAGCTCAACAGGTGCACATCAGAGCCCCCAAGCCGTCCGAGATTCCTCGCTTGGTGTCGAGGCGTTTAACTTCGCATCACAGCCCACATCCTCAGAGTCTCCCGCTGCTACCACGATCGGCTCTAGTCCGGGGTTGAGCGCTCAGTCAACCGGCACTATAGCTGCACCCGTCACAACAACTACAAGTCCCGCGACCACGGCTCATCACATTCAAGATGCGGAGTTGACATACCAGTTCAATGCACCCAATGACAGTGCAATCGCCGGCTTATTACCCGACGATGCTCTATCTTTCTCGGGCATTGATGGCGACGACAGGGACGATGATGAGACTGTCGATCAGCTGGTGTGCTCACCACTCCGAAGAGTTTCGGATGCGAGCAATTTCGTGCCAAGGGGGATGAGGTTGCTCGGTGGAAACCATGACGATAACTCTCTGGAACTGCTAAGCCACTACTTGAGTGCGACAACAATAAGCATGGCCAACGGGTCTACGATGGACAACCCCTTTTCTGTGCAACTCATACCACTGGCGTTTAGCAGCGACCTTGTTCTTCACCTACTTCTTACTCAAAGCGCTGTTCATCGGGCGGCCAAATCGCTGGTCTCAGCAGACAGAGTTGCGACAAAATACTACAATCAATCGCTGCGACTCTTCCAACAAAATATCTCCACATTCATGGGCGGACAACATGGAGAGGAGACATTGATATTGGGCATTGGAGCCTTGATCCTTTGCCTTGTGGAGGTAAGTGCGAATTTTTGTCTCTTTCGTTGTCTCTTGGCAGGAGGACTTCCGTGCATCAAGGGTGGCTCGTCCGGTTATTGACACTTTCGTAGACTGCCAAGGGCGACGTAAATGGGACCATACTCGACCACCTCATGGCAGCGCAATCACTCATTCTTCCTTTCTTATCAGCAAACAACACGATGCTCCACAAATCACTCAAGGACTTCTTGACGGAATATTACCTTTACACGGCGACGGTCAGCATGATATCTATTGACGCGCGCTTAAGCGACCAACTCTTCCTAAGTAACGATTTGTTACTTCTTGCAACAGAGCTTGTTGCATCTTCATATATCGGTAGCCTATGTGGCTGCTGGCTTGATCTAATACTTCTAATTCCGTCTGTTTTTGACTTGGGCCGGCGCATGATGGGACATGAAGATGACCCCAACTGGCAGCCCTGTGCGGACGACTTTATCCTTTTCGCTCAGCTGTTGAGCCAGATACAGAATTGGCAGCCCAACCCGACAGTAGGCGAGAATGTTGCTCTAGCGGGTTACATATACCAAAAGTCTCTGCTCTTATACCTCCACACAGCATTGCACCCTATTTCCCGGGGCAATAGCAGTTTGCACTCAGTAGCCGTACAGGCCGCTCTGAATGGAGCCCTCTCGCATCTTGCCCGACTAGACCCAAGCGTACGCATAAATACAAGCCTGTGTTGGCCCATCACCATCATCGGCTCTTGTGTCACGGATACGGGGCAGCAAGCGTTTCTGCATGAGAGGCTGGGTCATATGTTTGCTACCATTGGTCTGGGTAACATCCGCCAGACCTCTGTGCTCCTACAGCATATCTGGGACCACAACGAAGTGACACCAACGGATATCGGTGCAGGGCCGTGGAACGTCTGTCGTGTGATGAACGAGAAGCAGATTTGGATTTCTTTTGCTTGAACAACCTGGAAGACATTTTTACATGGCTGATCTTGATGGGAAAAGGCGATCAGTACGCACTATGGGATTCTTCATTGATATCGGGTGCTCAGAAGGCGCCAGTAGGGCTTGAGGGATACTGTTTAAGTGGGGTGTAACTCGGTAGGCAAGCGAAAATAGTACTGGATTTCTTTTCCTATGTATACCAACGAGATCAAACCTCGGGTGATTACCAGCCCTTCCACGGCACCCAGGTGTCTCTAACAACGTCATTCTCGTCCACGACATAATACACATAGAACGCTGCTGCGGTTATACACGCATGCTGGATATTGAGGAAAACCTTGTCTCCAACCTGGAAGCTGGCCTCCACGTCTCTCTGCTCAGGTTCGGTGTTCTTCGATCCCGGGCTCTGGACCTCGCCCACGATACCGTGCTCTTGCGACATTCGTACCACCGCCCAACCCGGCTTCCCAACTACACTGCCGAAGCCAGGAGAAGGCCCACTCTCCTTCGACAAGGCAATGGTTCCGGCGTTGATGAGGGCCTCGTTTCTTTCAGGGTACACACTACAGACCTCGGCGAGGACGCGAATGGCTTGGTCTTCAGAGCCAACGAGCCCCGTTGCAACTTGCTGGAGGTCGTTTGTAGGAAAATTTCCTAGATATCAAGGTGATCAGTTGATCGGTCACTTTAGGCGTTTGCAACGTTTCTTACCGGCGTGAAGCTCCAGTGTCACGTTTTCAGGAATTGCCGTTCTAAGGCTGCCAACAACATGCGCTGTGGGGGTGGCCCCTACGGATAGGGTGAGCTTCTGCTCTCCAACAATTAACTTTGCAGCACTCAGAACACCATTAATCTCCACTGCAAGAACACTCTCTGCCTCTTCTTGAGTGCGGCAACCGTAGGAGTGGCCGGCATGGCAGTAGAAACCGTACAAGGAGACGGCTGACGACTCGTTGACGCGTTCGATGAGCTTCTGGAGACGCTCACTCCCGAGGGGCAGGCCCGCCCGCTTTGAACCCACATCAAGTTTGATGTATATATCCCAAGCCGCTGGAGAGGTCTCGGGGCTTTTCTTTGCGAATTCCTCAAGGAGAGAAATCTGCTTCTCATGGTCAATCATCAGAAGAATTTTTACAGATTTTCGCAGGTCGCTCAAAAATGGAATGGCTCCTGACGCAGGAGGGAGTCCATAGAGAACCTAAGAGAGTAGGCTTGTTAGCCCTCGAGATCGTAATTCCTGGCATGCTGAAGATGAGTTTACCTCATCGAGAATACCCTCTTCAGCCAGGGGTAATAAACCACGAATTTCCGACAGTGTAGAAGCCACGGTCTTCTTGAACTTGCCATTGCCAAGCATCAGACGGGTCACTTCAAGGCTCTGCGACCCAGTCAGTTTTTCGGGCGAGCCACAAGAGAACGGGATATTCTGGGTAAATCATGCACCTTCAGTGTCTTCACATGGGGCCTAAGAGTGACTCCAGCCTTTTCCACATCTTGATGCAGTCTCTCAACATTCTTCTTGATGACCGGCAAGCTCAAAATGAGTGAGGGCGATGGCAGGTCTGACGCCTTGGAGCCGATAAAGGAGCGATGATTCTGCAACGAGTAGTCCATGGTGTTGTACGTTATTGTCGTTGCTGATGCAATGTTTTGCGTCCAAAGCGTTGGCGTGATGATCCAAGAGAAGATTGGCTTTGATAGCAATCCCCTAAGCTTCACGTGGGCCAGTAGGAGGACAGATGTTGACCAGGGGTACGGACGCGATCGAGGCCGCCGAGAACGGCGATAGGAGCGGCACAAAGTGGGACCACGTGGGCATTTCCCCTAATGAGTCTTCAGCTCCGGCGCCGGCAGTGTTGAGCGCGGGAAACCCGGTGATTGGTAGAGGGTTTGCCGCTAGTTAACTCCTATCGCCGAATTCTTCTTGACTTCCGAGTTGAGTGCACGTTTGGGGCCATTTCAACACTGGATGAAGCGATGGTCAAATGCCGGGATGGTGGAGAGATAACTCCTGTAAATTGTGGAAAGGCACTACTGAATATCTTTTTCTGTATGTACGTAATATCTAATTCCTCCAAGAAGATTTGATCGATGGACTGATGGAGAGTTTTACTACCTATGTTTTAAATTCTGTGCCTGCTCGTGCTGTTTATCTCATCACTACGTTCATCATTGTCCATCGACGTCAATCAGAGTACGTTTGCTAGTCACGTCCATTCTGTAAATACTAGGCTACTGAAGATTGCCTGATACGTAATATTAACACTAGATAGAGACTGGCAAAACAAATCGTTATGAGGGCTCAATCGGGATTCGAACCCGAGACCTCGCCCATTCCCGCTGAGCTGAAGGGTTGTGATAATACACAAGCACCCGAAGGGCGAATCATACCACTAGACCATTGAGCCGATATCGGATCTTCGTAGACGAAGACCAATGGTTGGGGCGTGGGTGATTATTCGTTTGCCATGGACGTAAGGATAAATGAGTTGCGGGTCGGTAGTGGGACGTGACTTGTTGTCTCTAAGTTTTCTCATATGTCAGCTTATAGATAGGCACGACGGTTACACATGCAACATGAACCATAAATGACTGCTGACCGTCTCCGGCGTTATTGCTTAGGCTCGAATCGGGTCTCACATTGCATACTCTAAGGCTACGACAATCATAGATCATCCTGTCCCGGTGTCAAAGGTTATGTGCAAACTCGACAATTGAAATGGCCTGGTGTTGTTGCCACAAACAAACAGCCAAGTACAACCCGCTCGAGGCGGGCACCGTATCATTGAAGTGTAGTTCGCCTCTGGATGTTATGTATGTGTTGCAATCATTAGGGTGGGGAACAAGAACACTAAGTAGTTACCGGATCTATGACCAAGTACATGGTTATACTTTATACTAGTACCGTGTCTTATATATCATATACAGCACTCGGTGTTGGTATCTTAAAGTTTGCCCGTGACGTGACTTCGCTCTTTCAGGTTCCTCTCGGCCGACAACACCATACAGACATGTGTGCTCAGCGCCACTACGTCTCCGCCCTGATCTAAAACTATGACCTCAAGATCCAGTCTACCATTTCGAATCACCTTGGCCATTGAACGGATGAAAAGCCACTCGGCGCCCTCTTCAGGCAACGCCTTTTTTATATCCAGATTCAACGCAAGAGTTGGATACCAAAACATCTCGTTTGACCGGAACGGAGTCTGTTCCTCGTCTCGCTTTGGTCTCCATGCTTCAATGACGGTTGGATACGCATCGGCAACGAACCCAAGCGAAGCGTTGGTGAATTTCTGACCTGATTTTAGCCGCAGCCACAGGTCCACAATACCCCGACGTGTTCCCTCGCGCGGGACATAGTACTCGAGATTGTTTTGTGCGCGTACATATGAGTTTGCACGAGCATTGAGTTTCTCTCTCCTCACCCAGTGTGGATCTTTGTTTAGAGAGAGAAGGGCAAAGTCGGCTGGTTTGGTGGGAGGGGTCATCGTCCACCCTGTTGAGAGGGTGAGGCCCTTCTCGGCAACCAAACGCGTGTTGATGCAATAGCCAAGGACCTCCTTTCGTGAGTTCGATGTGAACCAAGGGGCTGATGGTAGCAGTTCATGTTGGTAGAGTGAGACGTGCACTGTCGAGAGATTCCGGCCGATCTTAACCTCGTCCACAATAAGTATCGCAGGCCCTATTTCGGTACGATTCACGTATTCAAAATGTGCAGATATGGTGTCTGGCTGACCGCGCTCTGCCAGGTGCAGAGCTGCCGCGCGCAGCATTACAGACGCGACGTAGCCGCCATTTGGGACTGCATGGCGTCAGTTCAACGCGTGAACTGCATAGAAAATTTTCGTTACTGACCGGACCCAGTGCACCAGCCTGGAGCGAGATTGGCACTATATACATTCGAATGTAATCTCGTTGCCTTCGTGGCTTCGCTGAACGGTACAAGCTCATCCGGGGTTGACATGGTGCCAACTGCACGCTATGTGACCCGATGAGGATGACAACGGTACTTAAAGGCGAGCGAAAGTGCGCAAATGCGGACGCTCAACAGGCTGCGGACGCAGGAAATGCTGGATCTGTCTAAGATTGGTGGGTGATGCTTTCAACGTCGCATGGGTATATTGCTGAGTGAGGTATGAGGCGTCGATGGGATCTGGTGAAGTTGGTCCAGTTCATCTCAGGGGCCGTGACGACAGTGTATCCATTCTAGAACGGCGCTAACCGCAGCCAATGCATCTTCAAGATTAGCGATGAATGTCGGTCGGAATTCGTTCTGCTGCGCCGACCGTCTGTGCCTCGGCTCCGCGCATGTCACCTGACCGGCCAGCGGCTGCATGAACCCAAGACATGGCGCCAGAGACTGAACGCTTGGCCCCTTTCAGTGGAAGCTGTGCCTCGGTAAGTGGACCAGATTCCTATTGTTTTCTGCTTATTTGGGCACACTGCCAAGCTCCGTCTTATGGTGGCTTGAGGTCATGTTCCAATCACACACTCTGCGGCTCCCACGGAATTGATAGCCCCCTAGAACGACGTACAGACGCCGTAATATTGACCAGCCGGGAATGAGAGCCCACAAACCCGACGCGCAAAAACAAAAGATACACTCAAGCCACGAATCCTCCGTGTGTCCAGAACCAGCCCTTGTAAGGAGAGGAATAATGCTCCGACGAAGCCCCAGCAAGTCAGATCCATGTATCCACGGCATCTCAACGAGACGTCCGCACATGCCGACCGACCTTCCGGCTCTTTGATAAGATTGTCGCCGAGACAAGATCAGTCATCAAGAAATAGCCTCGGGGTGGAGATATGAAGTCCCTCATCCCCTGCTGACAAGAAATTATACTCATACTCAAAACTCATGCTTACCTGCCCAAGATCTAATTCTTCATCGCACTTACTTGGTCGGGCTCTAGCCTTTCTCCATCACCGCCAAAAAAAAAAAAAAAACCCTCACAATGGCCGCGAAACCGGAACGTTTCCCCGGCTTCAAAACCGTCACAGACCAGATCTTCGTTCGCGAAGGAGAAGAGCTGGCTGACGGCGCACAACCATCCCCGGACCACCCAAGAGTCGTCATTGTCTACAGCTGGGGTGATGCTGTTCCAAAGCATGTCACCAAGTACACCGATGGCTTCCGCAAGCTCTTCCCTCATGCGAGGCAAATCGCCGTTCTGGGACCCATCTTGAAGGCCATGAGACAGGACCTCGCAACCCGCGCAGACAACATGAGGCCCATCATCGACCTCGCCTACCCAGAAGCGGACTCGGCGACGACAACCCCCAACGAGGATGCAGTCTTGCTGCACGTCATGTCCAACACTGGCGGCATCAACTACGCCGGCACTCTCTACGCGTACCAACAGAAATACGGCCGTCCCATGCCGCACCGTCTATCCACTTATGACTCGACCCCCGGCAGCGTGGTCTTGACGAAAGACAACCTCAAGCGCTGGTCCCTCGCCATGGCTCTAGGAACAGCCAACTGGTTCCCTTGGCCCTTTGTCGTAACACAGTGCATCATGGCCATTTTCCTCCTGTTCAACCAGACCTACGAATATCTCGTCGGCCGCGAGAGCGCGCCTGTTTTCAGCGTCAAAGCCATCGGCGATCCAAAGTACGTCTCCAAGGGCTCGCGCAAGCTTTTCTTGTACAGCAAAGAGGACCCTCTCATCGGCTGGGAGGACATCGAACAGAACATGGCGGAGTCGAAGGCCAAGGGCTACGCATACAATGCTGTCATCTTCGAGGGCAGTGGTCATGTCGAGCACATGCGCATGTTCCCTGACCAGTACTGGGGTGCTATTGCAGCCGCGTGGAAGGCGACGTGAGATTTTCTGCAAAGAAAATTGTTGAAGCACGCTAGTGAGCATCTTGGCGGTCCAATGCGATTGGTCTACTTCGTCTTACCGCGGAAGCTTTGACCCGCAGTGGTTTTTTTAGCGAGTAGGAGGCTTCTGGGATTGCTGTTTGGGATATTAGACATCGGCGTGGGGCGGTACGCCAAAGTTTACCTGCTTTAGATACAACAAAGTGAGTGTTAGCAGTTGGTAGAGGGAAACTGCTCAAGTCGGGTAACCCTAAGAGAAGTGACTAGAAGAGCGATAATGGTCGGCGCAACGAGTTATCTAGCAGCGTTCAGACGCTTGAATGCCATATTCGAGGTGTCTCATCGCGATGTTGACTTCAGAAAAGGTGCTGTATACGAATTGATTCTGGCCCAGTCTCCTCGACCATAGCCTGCAAGAGTTTGCAAGTAGTGAGTCACTAATCGTCAGAAAACATCATGCAAGGCAAATCCGGCAAACACAATTTCTTGGGGCCGTGAGCCGGAGGACTCGCAAGGGTAGAGCGGCGAACTGCCTGACTGTTTAATCATTTCTCATATGCAGTATCACGGCTTTTTACTGAGTCTGTGAGGGAAAATGTTCTAAGACTTTTCGTACCATTTCCTACTTGCCTAGCCTCTCGTGTCTGGTGTTAGACTTCCTTGGGCTGAGACGGCAGGGAAAGGGTATTGGGTGACTTGTAAGCCCATTCGTCAACCCAATCCTAGGTATGATTTCCTCTCCCATGGGCCCAACTGCCTTTCCTATCTGTACCGTCGCAAACATAGAAGCGACTACGATCCACACATTTGCTTCGGCAAGGTGTTGTCCTACACACAACCTCCTGCCAAAGCCAAAATGACCCACAGGAAAAGGCTCTCCGCGGCCGCCTTGCTCGATAGGGGCATATCGATCTGGGTAAAAATTCTCCGGATCTGAGTAGATGTGCTCATCATGCGTCATCGCGCGAGCATTGGCGTAGACAAGGGAGCCTTTAGGTATGAACATGCCGTTGTAGACATCGTCTTCCAATGATCGGTGCGGCACCCCGATAGGAGATACGGGGCACCATCGAAAAGTCTCTTGAACAACGTAGTCAATGTAAGTAAGATTCGGACGGTCCTCAAAAGTGGGTAACCTGGCGTCCCCCACGACCTCGTCGATCAATCTCTGGGCCTTCTCCTGCACTTCGGGGTGGAGCACCATGTTGAGGACGAATACAATGAGGGTCGACCATGTTGTATCCTGCCCCGCGGCGTAGACAGCCCCTGCAGCCCCTTTTATGTCCTCCACTGATAGCTCAGGAGAGCCCGTTTTGATTTGCTCTCTTTGTAGGTCAAGCATGACTTTGATCAGACTTTGTTTTGGATTTTTCTGTGTCGTCACCGCCGCGTATGGTACGTCGTGGAGCTGCTGAATGGCCCATTTCCAATCCCTTGCAAACTTAAGGGAGCGGTCTCTAACGAGCCAGTTTGGAAGATGCTTCAAGAAGGGAAAGAAGTCGGCAGGGGTACCAGCTGGCGCCCCTGCATGACCAAGGGCGTATGACGCGTTCGTAGCTATCCGGATATAAGAGTCGTCGTCGCTTTCTACATTGACCCCGAATCCAATGCTCATCACCACTGCAGTTGCGAACCTTCGTAGCGCTGTTTCCCAGGACTCGGGGTCTCTCACGATGCCGTTTACCAACGTCAAGGCCTCCCGCTGTTGCAGCTCGCGGTATGCCATGATGTTGGTACGAGAGAAGCTCTTTTGCAGGATACTACGGTGCACTCGAAAATCGGGACCCCATCTCAGGAATGTCAATGTCTTTCGCCAGCCCATCTCCTCAAACAGAACGAACCGCGGGCGGTCGCAGTAATTCGCTCCTCGTCTATCTAGGAGGTCCACAGCAGCGCGCACTGAGTTCAGCACGACAACGTCCTGTCCTAGGACATTGAAGTACAGTACGTCGGACTTGTATTGCTTCGACCACGCGGTGTAAGCGAACTCGGGATTGTCGGCTGGGATAATGCGGAGGTGACCTAGGATCGGCTCGCCCGGGGGCCCCGGTGGAAGTGGTATGCCCCGCCGTTGCTTACCGGACCGATGCCGGGCGATGACGGCATGTAGAGCGAAGCCCGCGGTTACTAGGAGAAAAACCACGGCGATGCGCTTGGGGTGGGCGGCGATGAATTGGATAAGAGCCATTGCCGATCGCTGGCGGTCGTGTTAGTAAGCGCGCAGGACGGAGGTGGTAATGGACGACCGTTTGTGACCTGGTGATGTTTATACGGACGTACCTGCGACTCATAAATGAGAGATTTGCCAGTAGGCGGCAGGTCAATTCCAATTCTGCCAGTTCGCGACGAATGACTTGAGGCTCTGGAGAAACCATGATGACCAGCAGAGCACTTCGAGGACGTAATAGCAAATGCAATTGGTTTGGATTCATCAGCAAGAAAACGCAGACTAGACGCTGTGTTGACTCGGGTCAGTGCATAGAAAAGCCTGATGGGGGGAGCCAACAAAGAAGCCTGCAGAAATTCTGCCCAAGATTTGCCGGATTCCGACTTACAGCACGGGACGCTAGCTACTTTACCGGCGATGAATACCCTAGTTTGCCGGAACTGGATGAGAGAGGTAACTCAAAATGCACTTTGGTCCATAGTGCGGGCCGGACTGACTCGGGATCTCCACCGGTCACTGGCATCCCACCGGGTTCAGTACTTCGATCGGCTTTGGAGCAACGGACATCGCCGCTATCACCGTAACAGTCTAGAAGTTCGACAGGCTAATGTAGAATATTTACATTCAGAAAATCGCTACGCTGATTCCTGTGGATGGCCCTGTGCCTGTGTAGGTTGCCAAGCTAAAATTGCACGTGTAGAGGCATTATACGTGGCCATAGACGGTTTGTCGATGATGCACCTGTAACCTTCGGTTAAATTTTACGTCTGCCGACTCCTAATCACATAATCACTACATGGAGCTTGTTAGGCTTTACATATACCCATGTCTACCTTCACACGTCCACTTCGCTGGTTGAAGGCCTTCAACATGGTCTCAAGGGTGTTGATATACTCTTATATCAAGCGCTCAAGCTTCTAGCAGGAGCCAATGTAGTCCATTGTTAGACGGTTCTTCAAGAATAAGAGTACTTGGAAGCGGTGCGAGACTACCATTATGGGTCCGAAGACGATGGCAAGCCTAAGCCTACTACAAAAGGGCTCAGCACCTACGCAAAGGCTGATTGCACATCGTAGATAGCGTATTTGACGTCGGATTGAATCAGATGGGCCCAAATACTCCAAGACCGGGAAGAAAGTCACTTCTAGAAACAAACAATTCGTAAGTGAGCGAATGATGTGCATAAGTTTGAAAGCATATATGCATGCTAGATGGTATCATTGACATCAAAATGGCTAAAAATGTACATAAACGGTGCTGTCCGAGAGTAGTGTAATCCGGACGTGTTTGTGTAGCCCTGAACTGAGTATGTATTCCAGATCCTTCGCCCAAATCTATGTTGTCAAAAGCAACCGCTAATAAAGCCATCGAACCTTCAAAGAGTATACATGAAATCGGGGCGCTTGTCTCCAGCAACCCACTTCTGCTCGTCAGTCATGGAAGCCCACTTGGCATCCATCTTGCCAGCTCTCCTATTCTTGTTGGATATCCTGAGCGCAAAATGCATGAAAATGGAGCCGCCGAGCAAGAAGAGGATCTGGTAGCCCAAGACAACGGCGTGGCCAGTGAAGTAGCGGGGAGACTCGTGCTTGAGGTAGATGTTGGAGGAGACAACACCGTTAAGGTTACCCCAGCCAACGACCATACCAAGCACGAAAGCACGCTTGAGGGAGCCCTCGGTGTTGTTAATAACCCAAGAGAGTGTATTAGAGATGGTTGGGTAGATGCCTGCTGCGCCGAGGAAGGTACCGGCGTACTGGATCTGCGGGTTGCTTGATGCGATGAGCAGGACAAAGCCGACGATACCAATGATGACGGTGGCAACGTTGCAGTATCCACGCCAGCGGGTACGGTCAGCAATGACACCAACGGTGACGGTAAGGGCGGCAGCAACGGCGTATGGCGGGACAGAGAGCAGCTGGGCCTTGGTTCCGGTGTGGCCCATGGCGTTGAGAATGGTGGGCAGGAAGAGGGAGAAGGCGTAGAGGGGCACAAGACACCCCATGTAGATGACCATGTAGCCATACGTCTTCCAGTCCTTCATGGCACCGTAGATGTGACGCTTGTCAAAATCCTCGGCGGTACGGCCCTGCTTGTCAGCGATGAGGCGGCGCTGGACACGAATACGGTCATCGGGGGAGAGGAAGCGAGCGTTCTCGGGCCAGTCGAAAACCATCCACCAGCAGAAAATGCCGACGAAAACCGTGGCCAGTCCCTCGATAATAAAAATCCAAGCCCAGCCGGGCTTACCGCCAATACCTTGCATTTTGGCAATGGCGGCGGCGAGGAGACCACCAAAAGAGCCAGCAAGGGCTGCGGCAGAGAAGAAGACGGCAGAACGAACACCGATCTCGGAGCCCTTGTACCAGCAAGAAAGGTAGTAGTTGACACCTGTGCGGACTGTTAGCAATGAGATGTGCGTTTATTCACGTACAGCCACGACGTACCAGGGAAGAGTCCAGCCTCAGCGATACCGAGGAACCATCGAGCAGCGAGCAGACCGGAGAAGTTGGTGCACAGGCCCATGAGCGTCATGATGGTACCCCAAGTGATGATGATGCCAGTGAAGAAGATGCGAGGTGTAAGGCGTTTGAGAAGGGCGTTGGTCGCGGGCTCGAAGACAGCGTAGCTGATAAAAAAGATTGTGAGCGACAGATTGTAGTCGGAGCCCTCCATGTGAAGATCTTTTTCCATGCCGGCAAGACGGGCGTTGCCAATGTTGGTTCGGTCGAGGAACGAGAGTAGATACTGATACCTGATGTCAGTATGCCATCAACCGCAATACCCGCGTAACCGTTAGGCGTGATGCCCACGGATTGGATTTTGACTTACAAGAAGAGAGAGCCAGGGGACCAGCCAGATGTCAACTCTCCACATGAGCTTCTTATCCTGGAGTCGAATGACATGTTAGCAAAGGGCTGTTCTCTTTGAATCCTGTGGCGATGGGCTTTTCATGCCATTATCTTCAGGAAGAACACATACGATGGCGGCACGCTCTTCGAGCGACTTCCCGGCGTCAGGGTCGGGTAGGTCGGCGAGTATCTGCGCTTGCTCGAGCTGCGAGTCGATGGGCTTCTCATCCAAGCTCTCGTTGACCTCGGGGTCATGCTTCCCGTAGTGATCCATAACTACGGTATCGTGACTCTGCTGAAGGACAGGCGTGTGTGGTCAAGAGATGTCGTTTTCTGGGTTGTTTGTGGGATTCCGCGACAAAGATAGTTTGCGTCTCTTCCTAGTTGGGATTCTTCTTTCTCTTTGGCGAAGAGTTGGGGCCCGGAGAGAGGATAGGCGCACTTTGGTGCGTCTTCGCGCTCAATTGGTCGGCGTATCCAAGGTTTTCTACAACCAACGATGAAAAAGCGGGCGAGAGCGCAATGAAGAGGGACGGAGAGTACTTGGGATGCGGTGTAACACAGCGGACGGGAAGAGGGGAAGAGGGGAAGAGGGAGGCCCAGGAAAAGAAAGTAAGAGAGGATGCGCGCTGTTCCGGAAACGCTTCAATGTGCTCGAGGAGTAGAACCCAAGGGCAATGTGGGATGAAACCTTGAGAGCGCTTTGCCTCCTTTATAAATTCGACGAAAAGATGGGATGTTGGTGGCCGCCTCGGTCAAAATGGGAAGAAATCTGCCATGTCCGGGGCCCAACTCCGTGGCCGCCGAATGCTACCGCCGATCCACTCACACTCGCACTTCATACACATCACATACCTTGTTAAAAGGACGACATTTCCTTGTTGTTCCATCTACGCATATTTGATGGAGACTCCTTCGGAAGAGGCAGACATCACCGTGCGGGCTTCCGACTGGAGGGGGCATGGAGTACTTCGCGTTTGGTACCAGGACCCTTGCTACCAGTCATAGCTCCGCTCACCGTGCGCCGCTCACAATACGGGACCGCAGTGGTTGTCTTGGAGGGGGCACAGAGAGGGACAGTGAGGGAGGTGGCATGGCCTCATCCGCACCTGCAGGGCTTACAGGACTTGCTCGGGCTTGTTTGGCTTCCGGTATGTAGTTGTGCATGATGCAGCTTGACGGCGGTGGTCCTCGCAGCTGGATTGCATCTTGAGGAACAAATAACAAGGGGCCCTTGGACAACCGGTGGCTGGCGGCGCTGGTCTCGAGGTTTAACAGCTCGTTCTTCGTCAAGTTGCATCCAGCAACTCCAATTCTTGTCCGTACGACCGAACTACTTACCCTCCAACCCTCCTAACGCATGCCCAGAGCTCTTGGCACTTACCTTGAGCCACCTTCGCACAGTTCGTTGGTAGTCATTGGTTGGCAGACCGGTCAATCCGGGGCAAGTTGGCAATATGAGCGAGACTGGGGTATTGATTGGGGACTTTGAACTTGACGCTATTGTTCGACGGGGACGCTAGGGGGCGGGGAGACGGGGGACGCTAGGGCTAGACTGATCGTTGATGGGGAAGACAAGAGGGAAGAAAAAGAGCCGGAGGGGACGAGTGGCGGGGAAAACAGCGCAAGCGTATGCGAGGAAAGAAGAGGGAGACTGATGAGCGGCCAGATCCAACTGCCATGATAATTGCAATGGTGGATTTCGTGAAAGAGAACTGGAGTTGACAATGCACAGACTTGATACGAAATTTCCATGACTAGTATCGTGCGCACCTGAACTGTTCCCACCCCTCTTCCTCACCTAGCTCTGCCGACAGAGGGCAATAAGTCTGCTTGAACTGCACCACCCAGTGCCCTAAGGTGTAACCCGAACCCAGTTGTTTGTGCGACGGTGTGGCGCCATGCATTCCCGCCTGCAGAGATTGGATGGACGGATCACAGGTTAAGGGCACCGAGATGGAAGCCAAACTAGAAGTATGGAATGTTCCAACTTCGAAATTCGCCCGTTAGCTGCTATTCCGCCTCGAGGGATGCGCACCCGGCTGACTGGACGCCGGCATTTAAGTTCTAGCCATCCACGCAAGCAATCCTCAGTAGGTATTCCTCTCGCGGACCTCTTCGTACACGTGGGGGATGGCAGGGAGGGAGGCGGGCGGTGGGAAGAGTGGCGCTGGAAGAGAAGTCATCGGGGTGCCAAGTGGGCAATGTTCAAGAGGAGTCTTCAGTGCTGACACTCCTGTGCCCTCCGCGACATTTTTCTCCCTCTCACACTCCGACACTTGAACATCACCGTGACACCATCCCCGGCTTCCCCTCACGACCTCATACCCACTCATCCACCCGGATGGAATAAGCATAAGAGAGACAGAGTGTTCGGAGTCTGAGCGAGATGGTTGGGTGGTGGGTCAAGGCTTAATGGCCCCTCAAGCCGCGCGCATGCCCAAATCAAGGCCACAGGCTCGAATCTGCCCCCACGCCCCTCTCTGTCTCCTCTCTCCCCGTCCCCCACAATCCTCTTTCCCAGCGTTTCCCCGCACGGAGAGCGCGGAGTCGACGTGAGGGCTCTAAGTAATTTCAAGGTGTGAGGCTTTGAATGGGGGGAGAAGAGGGGGTCGGCAGTGGAGGCAGGACACGGATAATTGTCAGGATAGGAGACATCCTGCCGAAAGCACTCGCTGTGAGATCTTCAGAGACCTTTTTCCTGGTTGCTAGTGCGCATGCCAAGATTTGACTAGAAGGGATGCCATGGGTCATCGCACGCTTCTGAGTCTGTTGCGCTTGTCATGTGTGCAATCGCGTTCTGTCAAGTTCCATTGCCGGTGGATGTTTCTTCTGATGCCATCAGCAGCGACACGGACTTCTCCCCGTACCGTTGCACCACTCATGGGAGCCGAGACCGCGGGCAGCATGCCGGGGGCTTTCTTGGTAGGTCTAGTTGTGCTTGGCAGTCTTGGAAGCGTGGGAGCTTGATGAGAACATTCTCAACACGAGCTTCCCGACCAGATGAAGCCAACGGAGTGGCCGCAGGCTTTAGATAAGTTCAGTGCACTGTCGAGGCAAGCAGAGCCACATTTATCTCATTAGAAAGGTCTTACGCTAGCAGCGCGTGGTGACGAGAAAACGGCGTGATCTTAGCCACTAATAAGCCCGTTCCCAACACTCACTGTCGAAGGTAACATGAAGTGCCACAGAGGGCTGAACGATAAGATAATAAGCGTTGCTGCAATCGATGGTTTGGTTTGGAAGCGACACGAAATGTGGCTCTATATCTAGTACAGCGCTGCCAACTCTAGAGCAGTGTAGCCTACAACTTTGAAGCTGTTTCCTTGAGCTCTCCATCATGCTTTCCAGCCCCTCTTCCCCCAAAAGAGTTGGGTCTTGATTTCAAGAAAAGGGTAATCTGGATTTTAATGTGTAGAATCGTCTACCCAAGACTTTGACGCCAGCTCCGGCCCGTCTCCGACCGGAAGCAACGCCCACAAATGGAAGACGCAGAGCTCCCACGTTTTTTCTGGGCCGCTGCATGCTCCCTTGCACTAGTGGCCGAGAGGTAAACCACGGTCAGTTGGAATGATTCTCGACAATCTGCGAGCTCTCAAGACACTGGTTACACTCGATGAGACAATTATTCAAGACATACTATACCTACAGACATGCAGCTGCTTGGCGCCGGAAAGCTCGAACATCTAGACTCGTTCGCTGACCGTCCTCCTTCTTCGCAATCCCAACAACATCCGCTAGCGCGGGCATTACCCCCCGTGCACCTTGTCTTCCATTTCCTCAACCTCCCAAGTCATCTAAGCCCGCCCTTATCAACCACACCACGGACGCCATCCGGGCCAATCAGGCAAGTACTTAAGGTGTTTTGGTGAGGCGGAACCCTAATTGAACGGCCCCGAGATGGGCAGACTGCAACTCGGCCACCGGGTGTGGCAGCATGCCTGACGGTCAAGACCCCATTCTACAGAAGAACGAAGCAATGGTCCCACGACATCACCCATTACTAACGCTACGTTTCGTTGGTTCTCTTGGGCAAAGTCCCTACTATTGTAACATTGCCGTTCAATCTCTTACTGGTCGACGGTGCGTGGCATACCATCTAGAGATGGAATACCAATACCACGCACATAAACACTCAAACCAGTTTCATTACCACGGACCAAAGGAAGCAAGGAGGCTATGGGAATCCCGCATTCCAGGATTCCACGGCGTCAGGCGTGAACTGGTCGTTAGGAATACGGTCCGTTGAAGTCTGACCCAGCACTAACTTGAGGTGCACCCGGTGATGATTAGGATGTTTGTCCGTCAATTATTGTTGCATGATGCCTGGCATTCTACGCTAATGAAGATGCAATAGACAAGGTATTTTGCGGCGGAACCTTCCTTGTTCACGGCGCTATCGTACGAGCGCCTGCACCAGTCATCTCGTTCCGTCTAATTATCTTATTGCTGTGCCTTCTCCCAACTCCCCGCTCAACTTCCCGCCAAAACTTGTTCATTCTGATAGGTGACACAAAGTGAGGCGTGTAGCTTAATTAACGTGGCTTCGGGTTTTTCTATCCCGTATGCAGCCAGAAGCAAACAAACATTTGTTTGCCACTTCTCCCGATGGACTAACAGGTTTCTCACCGGATGTTTATACCGCAGCTGCTGCAAGAGCAAAACAGAAGAAGGACTGGTACCATTGCGAAATCTCCTGGGGCCCGGATGGATCCGATCTCTGCAGGCTCCCGTCCCGGACGTTTTTCCAACCTCAGCAACACTGTGCGAGGGTGCATTACCGCCGAAAATGTGATGTTTGCTTGTGTGATACCCACACACCTACAGCCCCAGGTGTCTGATATGGCCTTCGTTGCCCCCTCGCCTATCTTCGCTCGACTACACCGCTTTAACTGAGTTGGGGAGATACAAGGAGGTCATCGAGCGAGTTTCTGATTGACAGCAGCTGGTGTAGTGAGGCGGCGACAACAAATTCAGTGACAGGTATAAACATCGTGCAGTTAGGAGGAGCGTCCAAGAGGGTGAGGGGTCCAGTAGAAAGGGCCGACACCGATATCAAGCCTTGCTTTCTTTTATTTCGATGACCAAAACACGTGGTATGCCTGAACAAGATGGACGCCACATTACGAATTAAATGATGTGTGACTCAGGGGTGGCGCTGCAAGAATCCAGACTAAAGGAGCCGTCTGATGCGTCTGGAAGGCTTCCATTCGTGGTTCGACATCCTATTTCCTGCAAGACAGTACGGATTGTATCCAATAAGTCCTTGATACCTCTTCTACTTGAACCAGGCTTCACACCCTTCGGTGCCAATTCACTGCCCGTCTTTTTCCCCCCAGCAGCCAAGCGGGACAGATGCGTTCAAAAAGTATAAATGATAAATGGGAAGACTCACCGCTTCAGCGGTGGCACCCACCTCCGAGTTCACTGCCTTGAAACCACTTATCGGTGACTTGAGTCTCGAACATAGCGTTCGAACACGACGAACACGAGCCCCAGCCGAACATTGAGCGGATGCCTCATCGATTGGTGCCGCATATCACACATGGAATATGCAGGGGTAAAAGATCTCGAAGTATTGGGTGCAGTACGCCAGCACAGTCATATCAAGGAAAGCTTTGCTGCGCTTTACACGGGGATCAGATTTGTGTGTCTTGCATTTCGCACCGAGGAAATGCAAAATGTTCTTGATTGAAACAGCACAATAAAACTACAGATCGTGCGACCCGTGAGACTGCGCCGTTAGCATTTACGGAAGCGCTCAACTGACCCTGTTTATGTCAACCAGAAAAGTTCCTGCGGACTACACCAGCACGAAGGCATGTCGACAAACTTGGTACACAAAGACCCTATGGCTAGTGCACTGGAGTAGACGCGCTTTTTGTCATTCTCCCGCGCGCTTCAAGATTCGCGGTCAATAGAACGTTAGTCATTATGCCTCAAGAGCGGCGACCATGCGATGCTACAAATGATACCCGGGGTATAAAAACGGAGGGATGCGCTAGAACATATGTTCTCAGGGTGCTCATATTGCCATGCTCCGGTGCCATTTTCGCTCGTCTCTATTCTTTGGGGAAGCCCTACCTGTGAACATTCATCCATACAATGTTTCGAGATGTCGCTGTGATAGTTGCTGACTGACCGTTGAACGTGCACCCCTAATGCCGGTGGGGCAAACGCCGCCGAAAACGTTGCGGTTCAAAGCTACTACTTGCTGTTTTCTGGTTTGACCGCTGACCCGATGCTTTCAGAGGCTCAAACCAACACTCCTCTTTAGGCTGGCGTGGAATAAGAAGCCGAAGCGCCGACTAGTCGCCTTCAAGTAGTTGACTGTAATTTGTGCTCTACTAGAAATGACGATGCGCCTATCGCTGACCTATCAACAGCAGCCGTCATTCCGGATATGCCCCGGATACATCGTTATGATCATGAGCCGATCCACACAGGTCCACATCCTGGGAGACTTTGCTTATCACCTGGTTTCCAAGCAAGCTTATGCGATGGTCTCGCGTGCCTTGTTGCCCTAAGGAACGGGACGGGCCCTCTCGGAAAGCCGTTGCCGGAGACTCGCTTCTGTCCCACCCAATCTTTTCCGAACCGGCACCGAATATATTTGGCCGACTTCTGGGCCTGCGTAGGGGACCCATTAATCTCGGGCAATTTTTTCGTAGACCGACGAACAGCCGCGTCCACCAGAGCCATCTAGGCCTTCTTCGCTGGCTGAGGCCGTTATGGGGCAATTCCTCCTTTCTTCTTAATCTCTTCCTCCCTCCCGGTTGAACTTTGGAAAGCTTGACAGCGCCCCAACCTTTGCCCCACATCTGCCGGCGCTCTATGTCCCACGATGGCCGAACCTAAAGCCGAAACCCAGGACGCTGGGGCCAGTGCCGCTTCCGTGCCGGCGCCGGCACCCGCTCCCGGCGCGGAGCCTCTCACTATCCCGCTGGCAGACGCTGGCCCGGCTGAGCCATACAGCATTTTCACGCGTAAAGAGAAATGGTTTATCGTAGGAATGGTAGCCGTTGCAGGATTTTATAGGCACGTGCCAACTCCCTTTTGAGTTCCTCTGAGATATAAACCTGGAGCCTGTCACTAACCATGCGACGCAGCCCTCTGCCAGCAAATATTTATCTTCCCGCCATCCCCAAACTTTCTGAAGCCTTTGGTCGCTCAGTCGAAGACCTTAACTTGACTGTAACAGCTTTTCTGGCGATGCAGGGTTTATGTGAGTGCTGCAGCGATTGACGAAACAGAGTTCCCTGCAAACATGCATACTATCTTGGCTGCTGACAATCGTCCGTTTCGATAGCTCCGATGCTCTGGGGTCCTCTGTCAGACCGCTACGGAAGAAGACCAGTCTTTCTTGTCTGTCTAACCGTGCTGATTGGAGCATGTGTGGGCATCGCCGTCATGCCCACCGATGCATTCTGGCTCCTGATTGTCCTTCGCTGTCTGCAAGCAGCAGGTTGTGCCAGTACGATCGCTTTGGGTAAGGCATCGACACTCCGATAATTCTTATCAAACACAACAAAACTGACGAGTGGTAGGTGCTGGTGTGATTGGCGATATCTCGACCCCAGAAGAAAGGGGCGGGTTTTTCGGCATGTTCAACCTAGGTCCAATGGTGAGTCGTGCCCTGCCTACGAGGCTTTGACTGTAAGACTGACCAGGAAAGATTTCACCGTGCATAGCCCCTGCTGTCGGCGGTGCGCTTTCTGACCATCTCGGCTGGCGGTCCATCTTCTGGTTCCTTATTATCATGGCCGTTTGCTGTCTCCTCTTCATCCTGCTGTAGGTTTGCCCCATTCCAACATTCCCGCCAGCCGCCATGTCCTTGCACAGACGATACAACTTTTACAGACATTGTACATGGTTCGTAACATTCGTATTCTGACTACTCATATCACTAGCTTTCTCCCGGAGACTCTCCGCAATCTTGTAGGTAATGGTAGCGTCTCCCTTGGGGGCATTTACGTCCCCCTCCTGCCCGTAGTCGGCAGATCCCGAAGAAAGAACAGAACCCCCCGCTCGAAGACCGGTGTCAAGCACTCAATCAACCCCTTTGTTATTTTGGTGTATCCAGATGTCGCCATTACTCTGACCTTCACTGGCATTGTGTACGCTGTCAATAACACCGTCGTAACAACGATTGCATCTTCCTTTGCCAAGGTTTACCCTTGGCTGTCAGAAACGGCGCTCGGTCTATGTTACCTGCCCACGGGGTTCGGAATGATTGTTGGCAGCACCCTGACTGGCAAGATCCTTGACTGGGACTACGCCCGTATCAAGAGACAGATTGAGGCTTCCGACACTGGGATTTTGTTCCCAAAAGAATATGCCCGAATGAGAACCATGCCGGTGCTCCTGGTACTTTTCTCTGGCGCTGTGATAGCGTGGGGTTTCTGCGTTGACAAGGGAGTACACATTGCTGTCCCATTGGTACTCCAAGTAGTCTGTCAGTATCATCCCAAGACTTTGCCGCTCATAGACGTGTGCTAACTCGGTGTAGTGGGGTACACCTCTATAGCCATCCTCAACACCACGATGACCTTAATGATCGACATTTTGCAGACAAGAAGTTCTGCAGCGACAGCGTGTGTAAGTAAAAGACTTTCTCTATGAGACATACCGCTACACAACCTGACATAACCTATAGACTAACCTGGTGAGGTGCTTACTCGCCGCGTTACTGGTTGGCCTGATCGACAAGATGACCTCGGCTCTAAGCATAAGCTGGAGCTATGTTCTACTCGGCGGGGTATGCGTCCTTCTTTTACCTCTGATGTACATTGAGCTGAAGGTCGGGCCGAAGTGGAGATTAAAGCGGGATCTTAAGTCAATGGATGAGTGAGCATGATAAGTTGCGATCTTTATATCTTGCATTATTGCGAGGCTATAGTAGTTGATAGACAATAGAGCTAGATTTACAACGCGTCACATACTATGTGCGCTGCAACTAACGCCGAACACCACGAGAAGGTCTACTGTATCGGCTTACTACTTTTTGCATACGTCTACCAAGCAAGGGTTTGCATCGGCAATTGGACCATGATCTAATTAAGTTCTCACCTACCTCCAAATTTTGTGTTAAACTTTCAAGCGTCTCTCAAGAATGGCATCCGCAAGCAGCTTGGGCAACGGGTCGGAAATATTGGGGGCATCCTCTGGCCGTCAAGAGTTGCGTAACTCTGAAGTCTTGTGTCCTATTGCGGCCGTGGAATGAGGAGGTAAGTGTTGAGGTTTCGATGCGCTCGCTTTGGTTCTACCATAATGCGATATCTATGGAACACGTCATCCATACTTACTCCTCCTTTTGACTAAGAGTCTTGGGTTTGCACTCTCAAAAGACGTTTCTCGGTAACGACGGCTTTCTGTGCCTGGGGGATTGCTCTCTCCTTTTGGAACCGTTGGTGTACAGTCGAAAGCTTGCATGACACGTCACATTACCTGATTCTTGGAGTGTTCTTTTCCGTACCTGCCGTATAGCCATCTCATGATAAGTCTCTAGGTTTTTTTACATTTCCACGGACCAATATGATAGCATCATTGCTCGTTTGTTGAACTTTTGCTGGTAATGACCTTGATGGGTAACACTCATTTTCAGTCGCCACTTCGTGTTGTTCTCTCGACGGGTTTGAGGGTATTGCTTTAGGCTTGGTTATAAATGAGCCGTGGGTTGAGAAGATAAAGTTGACAGGAAGATCTTTTCTGGAGTATTCGGAGTCTTGTTGAGAGAAGATTGTGGAGGAACTCGGATCATTCGCAGCAGCCATGTCAAACACTTGATGCTTGTAATCTAAGCACCGCTTCATTCCCTCTTGCCCCTTCCCAACGCCTTGCCCCTTCTCAACGCCTTGCCCCTCAAGTTCTTCCGGACGGGATAAAACCTCGTAGAGAACGTCCCTGGTAACTACAAATACAAAGCCATCGTTATGTGGCATGTTTAGAGGCCCAATGACGGCGTTGCCTTATATTAGCGGTTGGGACGGCGATGGAGGACATGGAGGAGAGTCCAAGGCTTGTCCCACCCGCCACGATCTCTGAGCAATTCAAGGACGTTCAAGCAGTCGAGAAAGTAAGAGACGGTTGGATACCAGATACCGGTACGCAAGACGGTCAGCAGCCTTGAATTTGGCGTCTCATGCAGCGTTTCTTTGTTACCCCTTGTTGGAAGACTTGGCTATTACCTCGTCACGTCGCTTGTGCCCGATTACAATGAGACTATAACGCTTCGTTAAGACGAATATCCCAAATATAACCACGCTGACCATTTCGAATATAAGTAGTTCTTCATGTTCTCTACCCACTTGCAATCTTGGTATAATGCTGTCAAACAACCCTCAAAAGCATATGCACACACGAAAAACTCCCTTTCCCAGTCCTCTGTTCCTTTCCCATTTCCATTGCCCCCATCCTATAACACACTGGGTACAGTTTCTACAAACCCTTCTCGATTACAGCAAAAGCCTCTGCGAACCCAGGCTCCTTCTTGGTCTCGGCCCATATCCTCTCCTTGAGTCCAGTTCCCTCAGAGGTGTACATCACCGTCGGCCACCTGAGCCAAGTCAGCGTTCAAGATAGCCCTTATATACATCACGCGATAGGACTTACGGTTTGATTACACCGTCTGATGTGAAGCTTCCATGACTTTCTTTACCCTTCACAATGGCAGCATCGAGGTAGCTCCGCGCGCCAACCTCCACGCTGCGCCCTAACGTCTTCTTTACCAAGCCCATAAAGAAGCTTTCGCTTGCCGGCTTGACAATGTTTGTCCCGCCAGTAAGACCGGAGTTGGAAAGGTTGACGACAATCTCGTTGGGATTGATAAACGTGGCAAGCTTGGCGACGAAAAGCTGGCCCAGGAACTTGGACTGCTGGTAGTTCTTCCCCGACTCCCAGAGATTCTCATTGTCGGCAGGCTTGAACATGGATCCCGTCACCATGTCCTCCTCAGGCGTGTGCCAGTACGTGAAGTCGGAACTGACAATCACCAGCCTCGCCGGCTCTCCCGGGGGCCTCTTCTCCTTCATGGTCGGCAGCAGCAGGAGGGCCAGCAGTGTCGTCGACAGGTAATTGACTTGCAGCATCAGCTCATGACCCTCACGGGCGCGGATGTAGCTCTGTGCAACGACGGCGGCGTTGAGGATGACGATGTCGATGCGGGAAAGCTCCTTCTTGCACCGCGCGGCAAAGTTCCGGACACTCTCGTATGACTCCATCTCGAGGTGCCATACCTGGATCTGGGCCATGGGGAACTCCCTCCGCAGGCCTTCGGCAAGAGCCTCTCCCTTTGCGGTATTCCGGACGCCCATGATGAGCTTACCCAGTGAGCGCTCCAGAAACTGGCGACTGGCTTCGAGGCCAAGGCCACTGCTAGCGCCAGTCATGATAAGAGTACAATCAGAGAGGTCAAACTCATCCGGGATTTCGGCCGGGGTGATGACGGCTTGCCGGTAGAGAAAGGAGAGCGGGTTGGATTCCCAACCCGCCTGGCTGGCCAGTTCATTCGACATGTTGGGTGGTGGCGATGAGGTTCACTGCTCAGCTGAAAGCGTGATTAACACTTAATAATGTCGGGTGACAGGCGACGTTGACAGATGATATAGCGCCCCGGGTGATCCGACAAATGTGGAACCGGAAACATCAAACATTGATCGTCAATTCGCGAGAGCCCCTGGATGCGGCCTTTGTTTGTGTAAGGCTGGAGGGGGGCCTCCGGCAGTTTTTGATGTCATGCGGTCCGCAAAAGTGTCGCAGAAGCATTTGACTTTGGACCGGGATTCCCCCACGGGGCGCGGTGTGCATCGAGGACCGAGCGGCGGAGGTTGAGACGCACCAATGCCTCCGATCGGACCGGGGGACGACCGTATGCTCGCGCTTGGATTGGGCGCTTGGGTGCCAAGTGATATTGAATGGTGCAACGTCGAGCAGCCATCACGACGTTGTCGCGTTTGTTGGCTAGTGTTGGACGTTGGCATAAGGGGTGTTTCGTGCACGATCGACCATGTGCTCGGCGCAGGGGGTTTAGGGGTCCACGACGCTCGGCGTGAGAGGTCTAAGAAAAGTAGCACGCGTGTTAGTCAGCATTCGATGGTCAGGAGAGACACATTCAGCATACCGCCAACGGAGACGGTTCGGTTTTGTCCTCGACAGACACAATCATCCGCCCTCAATCGCTGACAGAGTACTCGAAAAAGCCACGGTGTTAGTGTTTCAGTGGGTGTGAAGCATCGAGTCAGCGTCTTGGGGCACCTATGGAGGGGCGCAAGATAAGGTCGGATAGACCATCCATCACCCGCTACACCGACGTATACCGGAGTCGACCGAGAGAGTCGGTGAGGCGGGGCAGGATTCGGAGGTTGAGGGGATGCAATGGATGATGAGTCAGCTTTGGAGAAGGCCAACCGGCAGCACTTCGGACGCCATGGAAATGGCCCGTGCTCAAGACATCTTACCCGAAATAGACGTACTGCCCCTCCCCCTCCGGCTTGATTCGTTGCGATGTGATGGTGGGGTAAAGCAGCGGGCGGGACGTGGGACGCTGGAGAGTCGAGGGAAATGCAACCTTGGCCTTTCTCAGGGTCGTTTCGCCTTTTTCCCAGACATCCATCACCGCCAAATCCACTCTCCCTCCCTCCTTGAACCGCTCACCGAGTGTACAACGATCGACCCCCGCCGCCGTCCCTCGCCTCCGGCCGAACGCCTGCAACGACAAGAGACAAGCTTCCGACCGTCCCGTTCCTCTCTCTCTGACCTATCTCGACCTTGCCGCTCTTCTCTTTGTCATTCTCCCTTGTGGCGCGCATACTCGCTGCTCCAAATTCCCCACAAAAGAGACTCCTCCTCTCGCCGTCCCGTCCCGAACCGTTACCCTTCCGCCGCTACTCACATAAAAGATGTCCGGCCTCGACGCCCCCGAGATCTCGGCGGCCTACGACGCTGTCCGCTCCGACAAGGATGAGACCAACTGGCTCCTTATTTCGTACGCCAGCGCCGTCGGCAACAAGCTGAGTCTCACCAAGACGGGTACCGGCGGCATCGCCGAGCTGGCCTCGGAGCTCGACGACTCGCAGGTCCAGTACGCTTACGTGCGTGTCGAGTACGCCAACGACGCCGAGAGCAAGCGCGTCAAGTTCGCCTTTGTCATATGGATCGGCGAGAACACAAAGATCATGCGCAAGGCCCGTGTCAGCATCGAGAGCAGCGAGGTCAAGAGGGTCTTGCCCCACCACAGCATAACCGTCAACGCCAGCGACAAGGGCGACCTGGACGAGGACGACATCATCAAGCGGTTACGCAAGGCCGGCGGCGCCGACTACAACGGCGGCCGTGGCTAGACCAGCCTGGGTTGTCGCAGCCTTCGATGTTACAACTCGCAAACCATGTTCTTTTCGATATAAAAAAAAGCAAGCACAAAGGAGGGGAGTTCACAAAGCGTCGGAGCACGGCGGCATTTGAGCTACGAGCACAACGGTATCTGGCCAGGCGGAGGCGCTTTTGGGGGGCGAACATGCATACACCTTTTTAAATACAGCATACATTTTGGATCAATATATTCAGGCCCGTCTTGGGCACTTGGCGCGAGCCGAGCGAATCGAGGCATCTTATCATACAGGATTCTGTCCATCGCAATTGCGTCAAAGGGGTTGTTATCAAGCCCAGCCCTTTCCACCCTCCACCTGAGCAACCCACCGAAGCCACGAAGTTATCTTTTATAGGAATTCTTGGAAAGGACATTGACTTCCGGTGCCTGATAATGGACGTCATTCGCATATTGCCTACCAATGCCTGGCTATAATTCACCACATAGGCATTCCCTGACTGGGTTCTTTCTGCTTAGAACCAGAGCAGCCAAGTAGGTGGCCTCACTGATTTGTGACTGATCAACAGCTGGGCTGATCCCTGTACCTCCAGCTCCTCCAAACCTGGGAAGACGACAAGCATGGGACAGGCCGGTTGACGTCGAAGTTAGTATTCTTGCCGTAGATATGAATCCACTTAGCGCGTCCTCATCAACAGTTGTTGCCCATTGTGGTATCTTCACCAGGTAAGTGACCCCAAAACCCAGCATCGCGCAGTCCAACACGCCAGCAAAGCGTCTTTTCGTTGGGGAGCTAAGTCCACGATAATGTTCAGCTTACCTTTCGTCTCCTCCGCCACACACACCCCGTCGCCGTCTTTCCACCACCTGTCTTTTGACAGCAGTGCCACCGACTCGGCCGCAAATAAAAGCTCACGATTCAGCTCCTCATCCGCATGGTAGCCATACTTGGCCAACCTGCGCTCGTTCTCGGGCCTTAGCATGTCGTTGGCAAAAGGTTTCGTGACGTGCCAAAATTGGTACGCTGTCGCAGTCCTCTTGAGCTCTACGGAACCCTGCAGTGTCCGCGCTTTGCACCCTTTGATCTCAATGTCGGGCGATGCCCAGGCGGCTAACGCGTGGGTGTTAGCGATGAGATACACAGTCAGGTCGTCGTCGTAGTCTATCTTCGCTGCGCTGCTCTCTGACAGCGAAAGCCGTCGGCTCTCGTTGGTCGTGAGCCGCCTCATACTGAGCTTGTACGGCTGATTCGTGCCAGACCGAAGCTGAGAGAGATGGAACCGAGGAACAAGCGGTCCCGTCGCAGTTGCGGCGGACAAGATGAAGGGTGCGCGAAGTGCATAATGATTGTCGTTGGGGTCCTGGCGGGTGTACTCGGGCGGTATCTCCTCCGGGCCGGGTTGTTCCTTAATGTCCCTCGCCGGCGCTGAGAAGACTCGTTCGAGGGTGTTTCCCGGCCCCTGAAGTGGTGGAGTGTTGGCGAACGGTCTCCACGGGTCCGAAGGGCTGGAAGATGAGGTCGCAATAGGAACGGATTCGGCCAGGCAATGATCGTATGACGGAGATTCTTCTGTGAATTCCTGGTCTGCGATGATGGGATCCATACTTGTTGGAAAATCAAAGTCTAGGGAATTCTGGATAAAGAGTAATACCGCCAGGGCATTAAGAATTCTCATAGGAAGAGATGCGTTGCTTCCCTCAGGAATTAGAATGTTGTGAACGAGGAGGAGAAGGGCAAAACATATATGAAGAGGAAAGTACGGCTAAAACGGCATTCAATGTCCAGCGACCCTAACTTGAAGCGACGTGATTGGCAGGAGGGAGGGGGCAAGCGATTCCTCTTGCGTCTTGGTCCCGCCGAGTCTGCCTACACAATGCGTTGGTTGAGATATCGGCCCATTGCATCTTTCCAGTAGCCGGTAACCGGCTTTTTTTCTCGGTTGCCGTCGCTTTTGGTGACCTACTTGTCCTGTAATTGAGATACTTGTATGTTCGTAACTGTTTATATTGGGCCGGATTTCTGTGCAGCAGATGCTACAACTTTCTCGTGACCGTGTCGACGCTGCCATTTGAGCAAGCAATCGCCTGTGCCAAGTTGACAAAGATCTATGATCATACATATAATCCGTGCTGTATGTCAAGATATACTGTTTGCATTGTTCTGTTGGCGAAACAAGGCGAAATTAGGGTCACCTGACTTGGTCAGCACGATACAGAGGTTTACGTGACGCTGCTACCGCCGCGATAGTATATTGTTTATAGGTCCTTAGCCTCTCCTGTATCGTGATAGTCTCAGGGCGTAGTTGAGGACTAGGCTGGCAGGCGATAATGAGGGGTAGAACATAAAGTTTTGCCGTTGTGAACGCAGAATTACCCTTGGCAAAAACAGCAACAACTCAGTCTAAAGGAGGGGAAAAAAGTAAGGTGGACGTGCAGTTTACGGAGATAGCGACTTGATCACCCGATGGTATAACCGCGATATTTGGATTTTGAAAGGTGCTAGGGATTATGGAACAGTGATGACCTCAGTTGGGACAGTCCGTAGCTCCTGGAAAGAGGGATGCGTCCCTAGAGTCTTGTTAGCCTGCTAGCTGCTGCTCAGCCTAATTATTCTCTTTCAGCAGGGCACGGCGCACCTAACTCATCATCGTTCATCATCCCGTCGGTCGTCTAAATACAAAAGAACAAACTGACAACGGCTTTATAACCCTCCACCTTATCTGTTTATAGATAACAGACGTCTAGAGTAAGCAGTTATCTAGGAACTTAAGTTCCTATATAATCACAGTAGGCTGCGCTGCACGAATTCGTCCAAAACTTTATCGTGGCCGGATTTGTGGTGCCGTTAGTGAAGCGTTTCAAGGTGAAGACTATACGGCTTGTCAAAGTCTGCTACCCTCCCACGCCAGCACCGCCGATCAGTAACTTGGGCCTGGTGAGGGCAAGTATATTCTGACGTGTGAGGTCTCAGCGATTGCTGCCAGTGACGGAACAACGGGGTAAGCTGAATCAAACGGAATGTTCGAATATACAAATGACATGTCAGTGGTGCAAGAGATTAGTCTGAGTTGGAAGACATCCCGAAATCTTTCAATGGTGGCTGGTTTGTCTGTCTGTAAGTCGAGCATTGCTGAAATACTCTTGTATTTTACTTCAGAATGCCAATAACTGTTTCGTTCTCTCCTTCTTCCTAACTCTTTACCGTTCCTTCCCCATACTTCGACCTTCACCTCACTTCTTCCTCACATGCTTCATATCAAGCTCATCAACTGTCAAGCAAGGGGAAAGGGAAACAAAGAAAAATCTGACCGCTTGCTCATCAAGGTGGTTGAGTCCATTCATCAGTTCGGCTTTGATTGCTTCTGAGGCTAGTCAAGTTTGCTTTACCCGCCTTGGCCCGATCTTTCCCTTCTTCATCTTCTTACGTTGCCCACGTCCGTAAGGGTTTATTCTTCACACTTCACTATCAAGCCCCTTGAGATTCTTTCCCTTCATCAAAACTCTCTTGTATCAAGCAGCTCAACATCATCAGGTTTCCATTTCCAGAGCCTATTCACACGATACCAGAGCGCAACGTCAAGATGGGTGCGCACTTGCCGTCGGCGAAGGCCATGTGCCGCGGTCTACTCTATGTTACGGTCTTTGCCCTCTTGTTTGAGGTTTGCCAGGCGCGAGGCAGAGGTAAGCAATCTACAAAGACGTGTCTTGTTTGAGATGTATCTGACAGTTTTCTTCCATTCCAGATCATAAGAAGCGCGACAGTAGCTCTCAGGCTCTGACTACTCCGATCACTCCGGATGGGACTATATTCTCGCTGTCTGCTTCTGAGCGCAAAGGAGAACGGGTCGTCACTAGTGTCATCACCACCTACATCCTCGTCACCCTTCCTTGTGGCGTCTCGGAGCTCCCTTCTTCTCCCACTCACCAACCCATCACTATATCTACTTTGAACAGCTCCGAAACCAAAAGAGGTACCAGGAACAGTCTTGCTCAACCTTGGAACACCACCGCTGTTAGCACTGATGGCGCTTCTAGCCTTACCAACTGGAACAACACTGCTGGAGGCTCTATTGTTTCAACTAGCATCTTCAATGGAATCACTACGGCTATTGGTGTTGGGGACTCGACTACTATCTCTCCTCAGAACGGGTCCGCTACACGCTCTGGAGTCACATCTAACTTCACAAATGCAAACACCACCGTTGCAAGTCCCGTCATCTCGGTTCCACTGACCAGCTCATCATCAAAGCTGGACCAGGACAGTCAGCTGACTGAAGTAAGAAGCACGTATTCCAGAGACAGTACCATAAGTATCCTCTCTTCTTCTTCTACCACGATTGCGCAGGGAAGTCAGTCGACCAGCAAGAAAAATGAGCCCTCCACTTCCGCCGTGCAGGTATCTTTGTCCGGAGGTGGTACAGCCCAGACCTCTCGTGTCACCACATTCCCTGGTCAAGACATGACCTCAACCACCAATACTCAGTCCTTCGGAATCTCAGGTAGCACCGAAGCTGCGGGAAAAAGCTCGTCTTTGTCTTTCACCACTGCAAAAGATTCGACTACCACGGACTTGTCCCACACAATCGCTTCAGGCACCTCTGACATTGATCGCGATATCCCAACTTCCTCTATGCCCGTGTCCATTTATAGCGGCGTAAGCACTCAGAAACCAACTATTCCAGCTACCACTAAGGGCGATGACGAGGTATCATCTAAAGCTTCTGAGGATTCTGATCCCAACGAGAACAAGCCGACAAAGGCCCCAAAAGACGACGACGACAGAACGTCTACTAGGAAAAGCGATGATGATAATGGCATCAAGTCAACTACTCGTACGGAGAGTAACGAAGAGAAGTCAACGATGGCTTCTTCGAGCATCACACAGCTCAGTGGTGCGTCGTCGACCAACAAAGCCTCATCTACTGGACAGTCAGTGTCTCCGATATCAACTGCTGAGTCTGCAAGCAGTGGGACAACCGGCCCCAGCTCTACGTCCTCGTCAAGATCGTCTGAGAGTGAAGAGTATGGCACCGTCTTTATGACTGCTACAATAAAACCTCCCCCTGGTATCGATGTCAAGACCATGGTCACCTGGACTTCCACTGAGGTAACGAAGACGACGACTCGAAATGGCATCGCCTGGCCCACCATCTTTCCCGTGTGGTTCTGCGGTGGGGGACAGTTGCTCTGCGCGCCCAAGTGCCTCATCCCCTTCCTCTCTTGCGGAGGCATAGATATTCCTGGGCCTCTCGGATTTCCTTGGGCTAAGGTATGTTCTACTTTCTTGATGCTTTAGTTAGGGCAAACAAACTAACGATTTCATGCAGCCTCCCCCAAAGAAGCCAAAGGGCAAGCCTCGCAAGGTCAGGCCTGATGACCCTACTGACCCTGAGGACCCCGAGGATGACCCGGAGCCCTCTGAGACCCCGACATCCACTACATCATCCGAGACTTCCTGCACTGCAAGCACAACCGTCTCGCCTCATTGTGATCAGCACTGTTTTGTTCGCCCAGTAACAACAATCGGTTCGTTGACAAGCTTTACGACCACGTGCAACACGGCCACCTGCAAGCCTACCGTTGTCTGCAGCAGGACACTTGACACTACCACAACGACTACTCTCACTACGCAACCCGCTACGCCGACCCCTGTGGAGCACTTCTGCGGCGACAAAGAATCACCATGTTTGAACTGTGGCAAGAGCTCACAAGGCAAAACCCTCGTCGCCCGTCAGCATGGATTCATACCGTGGAACCCTGCCCCCGATCCCGAACTTCTCAACGGCCCGCAAGGACTTACACGGCCCGATACCTGGCCTCAGGGCCCCCAGAACTGGTGGGATCGCATGTGGAAGTATGTTTACCACTATTGTGATGGGCTCACGGCTCCACGCCTTACCCTGGATGGAGAGAAACTTGAGATGGGTTACTCGACCATGCATGCCGATGTCTTTGGAGACCAAGCGCTGGCTGGCGCCACTGGTCCGTTTTGGGGCTGTAGCGGTATCATAATCATTACCAAAAGAGGCATCTACACTAGTCACGTATGGGAAATTCCCAATTTCCACAAGGGAACCCACAAACCTACCGCTTTTGATTGGGACGCCGAGTTCGAGGAAGGCCTCTTGCAGTTCTTGAAGCGAGGCTCCGGTGATCGCATTGGCGGCTACAAAGGTATCGAGCAGCTCAAACGAGACACTCCGATTTTTGACAACATCGTGGAAGATACACTAGCAGTCATTTTACATGTCCCTTCTGCGATGACCTTTGCTGGTAGCTCGCAGATCCCCCCGAACTATGGCGATTTTGACCCAAGACACGCTGGACTCGTCGACCAATGGACAGACTTCATTGCGAAAGATCTCGGATTCCCACGGGAGAAGATCAGAAAGAACATCTACGTCAAGGGACCCTCGTACTGGCCTGCCTACGTCGAGGAGAAGCGACCTCTGAACCCTATGGACATGTACCAACCCCCGTACGGCCTCTTGCATTGGCAGTACCATCCTTCTCACGTGGTCAAGACACTCCCCGACGGTACGGAGGTCCGTAAGCCTACTATCCGCGTTTGGTATGAGAAGTTCTTGGTGTTCGAGGAGTCGTGGTGCCTTCCAGGTGCCGTAGCAACTCGCGACAAGAACGGCAGCGGATCGTGCCCAATGCCTTCTGCCCCAGCGAGAGACTCATCTGTGGCTTCTGGTGGTTCAGCATCCGCTTCTGCTTCTGCCTCTAGTGGCTCAGGGTCAATAAATACCTCTGCGATTATTATCCCAGGCTCCTCTGGCAACAGTATCGGATCCAACGGCGCCTCCACTAGCATGTCCACGGCCTCACCACCAGTCATCCTACCTAACACTTCTTCTCAACAGGCAGTGTTGTCATCGTCCAAGGGCAAAGCTACAGCTTGGGTCACAGCCACCGCTGAAGTGACAGTCACCAGTTGGAAGGACCCAGCCCCAACTACAGTTGCGGAAATCCCCAGTGTCATGGAAGGCGGCCCGGTTATATCCAGGGTCCCGCTTAGTGAGGTATCGAACCCCCTGCCAACCCCCAGCTACGCCCCTTCCAAGCGCATCGTCCGGATCTCCCAAGACATGTCCTTTGGCGATAACAAGACAAATCACACGGCCGTCATCACTGTCTATGAGATCTCCGGAAGTAAGGAGACAATCCTTGTCAGCGAGCGCCTTAGCAAGGATGGAGGTCCCGTTGATCTGCCTAGCCGGATTACGGTTGAGGACCAGTACGGTGGTAGTCTCGACGTCAACTTTGTGAGGCAGATATATCAGATTGAGTTCGAATCCAAGAGACGTGGCAGAATCCAGAAGTGGTCCTTGATGAACATCAAGGATAAGAACAATCTGGATAATTCTTATTGCAATGTTCGCAGTGTCACTCCAGGCGAGGTGAGCCTATTTAGTCCAAAGTTCACTTTTAGAGATGCAGAGCTAACAATGAAGTCATGCAGGGGGTTCTGAAGCGATCCGTGGACTGCTTTTACAACACCTAACTGGCATGCAGATCGAGTCGACGTGCAGTTGCATCACAAGCAAAAACATCCTTAACGACGAGTCATGTTACTAATGAGGAAGACATCCCGAACGAACAAGAACATATAAATGGAAAGCAAAAAGGTTGCAAAATCTTAGATTAGCCCTCAAAGACTGCGTTACATGTCTATTGTGGTGACACAGTGATACGTTCGTCCATATCGATATGGATAAGGAACAATCGTTTCCTATATGAGTTTGCTGCAGCGTGCATATATTTGCTATTCCACATCCAGGTGTGTTCAAATTCAACCCCCTTTTGGTGGAGATTTTGTAAGGAAACATTTCGTATAGCCAGTCGTGTAACGTTCAACGACCAAATTCCTCAATGACACTCCTCGGTTCTGTGTACTCCCCAACTCCAACAAAGGGCATGTCCAACCCAAATGCCTTCGGCCCTCCCACAGGTAAGCCTTTTTCCGTCTTCCAAAGAGGGTGGGCTGGCAGTGCGATGACACTAACACGCAAACCATACCGAAGGTCCTGGGACCCGATGGCCTCCCCGTCCTGGCCGAGAATGGAGATGAGGTCTGGCACTGTGCAGATAACTTCCTGACCGCTTTCTGATCCTTCCGAATCCGTGAGCGCTGCATAAAGATATTCATTCTGAAAAGGAATAAGCATGTACTGGTCGTCCGAGGTGTGCTTTTGGGCATCCGAGTTCTTGTCCTCGTCGCCCAGCGGGGCGATGAGAACGCTGCCCATAGTATAGCCACCACCGACGTATCGTCGCACGTCAATGATCTTGCCGGTAAACAGGAGCTTCCCGGCGCAAACGTCAAACTGTTCGCCGAGTCAGATATGGCTTGATAGATAGGTTGTTTCCCGAAAGAGTGAAACATCAACTGAGAGTCTTATCAAAGCAGCGCAGAGATATACTCACAATGGCATCCACAAAGCTTGATTTTTTCCTCCGCGCCATGTGGACCGCACGACCGAGATACCAAGCTTGAGACAACGTATTGTGAACACCATGGGACTTGATAGCTGACCCTGGCAGAGGTCTCGCGCAAACGGCACACCCGAGTCCAAGCTCTATGGCTGCCGTGCGTAAGAAACGCTCCAGACGGACCGGAGTGTCGGTATCCTGGGGCCGTTAGTTAAGGTACTGAGAATCCCGCGAACAGACACTCACCATCACGACCGAGACGTTTCCCCTTGCGTCGGACAAAGCACAGGGCGTCAGCGGGTGGCCGTAGACACTTAACGTGGCTGTTTCGACAATCGAATTAGCCTCATTTTCGGCGCTCCAGTTGTCAGATCTTGAGGGGTCTTACCTTGGTACATCGTAGGATATGCCCTGCCCATGGTATCACCGTCCACGACCGGAATGTCATAGTGAACGCCTGTCGGGAAGACACTAAGGCCGTTTCCGCCTCCACTGTGTCCTTTTAGCTCAGTTTCACTGCCAATGTTCTCTATCACTTACATCTCATCGATGAAAACGCCATCGATAGGGACGTTGCCTAGGATCTTCCTTATGGCATCGATTCCGTTGGGTATCTCACTGCCCCCCGCTATCCTCTCATTGATAACGCTTGGCGTGCCGTACCAAGACCCAAAACACACCATGTCGCTATCTGCCAGCGCCTTGGGTGAGATTATCCTCATCTTCCCAGCCTCACTGGTGCGAAGCACATGAAGACTCTTAAGGAATTCGTGGTGAGTCGGTCCTCCACCGCCGGTGCCTAGAACACCACACCCAGTCGATATTAACTCAAGGTCAACCTCTGACACATACCACACACCACTTTCAACGTTGGGTCGGTAGCTCTCGAGATCTACATACAGCGAGGGCTTCGTAGTAGGTTGAAGGGCATCCGGGACACTTTCTTTGGACGTCTCATTTTCCCTCTGCTCGTCCTCTATGCCAGATCCGGCTTCGTGGGACAACTCGGGCTTCTCAGGCACACAGAGCTTGCCGACCGCTCGGACTTGTATTCGCATTGCGCCATTGTCGACGTACTGCAAAGGCATCTTGTTCACCTCTACAACCCGTACGTCTTCAACTGCTGCGCCCTTTTGGGTGGCGACGTCGATGGCTTTCTGGCAGGTTGATGCGACTACGGCCTTCTCGTCTCTGCCTTCCAGGATCTCGATGACGTCGACCTCGCCAGAGACTTTACCAATGGCTGCACCGACAGCATTGGCAGCTCCCTGATGGATCGGCTGGATGCACTTCTCAACTCCATCCAGATCCTCTGTAACAAGGAGGGCACCGCCACCGACTAGCAGAACATGTACCGGGGCTGCGGAGACTTTCATCTGCTCGATGACGTTCTCAAGCATCTTCTTGATCCTTTGCCCTGCTTTTTCAACAGTCCAACTCGGCACATCCTTGATCAAGCTTGCGTCTCCGAGCTGAGCTTTGCCTGAAGCGACCACAATATCGGTAGCAGTAAGCGTTGGGCCGCCGAAAACCCTCGCCTGCGCCGTCAAGAAATGCCCAACAGATGCCGGTCCGACCGTCACGTCCCCGAATTCCGACTCTGTCTTGACTTTGCTTCCACCACCGAGGCCAATCGACACGACTTCCGGCATCGAGAAAGCGGTTCTCACACCGCCGACCTCGACAAACCCAGGCGCCTGGCGAGGGAAGCCTGACGGCAATAGGGCACAGACGTCTGTCGTTGTGCCTCCGATGTCCACAACCAGAATCTGAGGCTCTAAGCCTTTTTCTTTCGGAGATTCCGTGGGATCTATGGTCATAGCCTTGACCCGATCTAACCCTGCCAGAAACGCGGCGCCTGTCATGCTGTTCGTCGGGCCACTGGCGAAGGTCTTGATGGGGTATTCGGCTGCCGTGTTGGCGTCGATGAGTGTGCCGTCATTTTGCGAAAGATACAATTGACATGTCAGCTTCAGCCGTGCCATAGCGGTCTTGAAGCCGCGAGTGACTTTGTGTGCTGTTTTAAGGATGGCCGCGTTGAGGATTGTGGCGTTCTCTCGCTCGAGGAGGCCGGGTGGGCCGATGTCGTGGGAGCATACCACATCCAAATGAGGGGCCTCCTTCAAGATGATCTTCTTGCATGTCTCTTCGTGGATGCCTGCATGATCCAAGGGCGCAAAGACGCCGACCAGGGCTACAGAATTGACTCCCGAGGCCACAATATCTCTTGTTGCCTGCCTGATTTGCCCATGGTTGAGGGGTGCAATCTCACGGCCGTCGATCTCCAACCCTCCGTCGAGGTAGTAGACTCCACCATCGAGAATCCGACGCAGACCAGAAGGAAAGTCTGAGAACGGAGGAATTTGCCTCGTAAAGGGACCGCATAGACGAATGACAGCCACACGACTGAGTCTTCTGCTGTCGGCCTCAACCAGGGCATTAATGAAATGAGTTGTGCCTATCGTTACGCTGAGAACTCTCTTTTGGTCGGCTGCGGACTTTTCAAGCACAGAACGAATAGCTGCTTCGATGCCACTGGTGATGTCCGGAGTTGTCGAGGCTTTGTGAGAAGCAAGCACGCCACGACCCGGCATCTCTGTGGCGGTGATGTCCAGAAGGGCAGCATCGGTATTAGTGCCGCCTACATCGACGCCGATGCGGTAGAGAGACATTATATTCGAGTTGATCAGAGATAACACAAGGCGTCGTTAAGCTGAGGCATTGGTCAACGGTACGCGTACCAACGTCCTTGGGTTTTTCTCTGTTAAGGGGGGGACCGTTCGGTTCTTATCATTAGGCCGCCACCGACGGGACGCTTATAGCGATGTTGTGAAATCGTAAAGTTGGCCGACGTGAGCATCGGACAGGTTATCAAACGATTTGACCCATCAAATCCACCCCAAATCAGTGATGATTTAGTGAAGGTCGAGCACCCATCAAACCCCGCCAAAGTCCCTACTCTGTGCAAGTTGGCCGATCGATCGGACAACTTCTTGTCTTGACCAGGGTAATCCCTGTCCATTACCCTACGCCTAACCGAGTACTAAGATAACAAGTCTTCGGCGGACAAAAGCCGCGAATGGACATGATAAGTAGCCCAGATAATGTCGCGTGGAACGGCGATTATGTCCCGAGATAACAGCGCCAGAGTCAAGCTTATATGACACCAGAATCCGCGATTGTTTGTCGCGAGTTGCATATTTCTCAACCTTCAGCAGGCCAGATAATATTGTTTCATTAAACAGCTGCCTGCAACGTCCTGGCATAATTAGCTCAGAACAAGCATCAAAGAAGACCATGGGATTCCAAGTCGTGCTGAATCGAGTGGAGCTCCCCTTTGTTTCCCGATGGATTGTACGCAAACGCAAGCCCACTTCCGCTTCTCTTCCCCATTTGCATGACCCCAATCGACTCCAGTGACTGACGCATCATGGCAGAACGATGATATTCGTCCTATCGAGTCCCAGCGACGGACTTGGGGCTACTTGACGTTTCACAACTTTTGTTCGTATTCACGTCTAAGCTCAACTTTCCCCGCTGCTGACCACATTCCAGGGCTCTTGGTCAACTGCAACATCACGACCTACCTGACTGGCAGTGCCCTCATTCCCCTAGGTCTAACATGGTGGCAGGCTCTCATATGTGAGCATGCACACGGAACACCCACTGCCCTCATTTCTGACTCTCATTGAAGGTATCGTTCTCGGCAATCTCATTGCAACCGTGGCTGTCATTGTCAACTCCCTCCCGGGAAGCGTTTACCACAGTAGGCTCCAAACTTGGCATGCTTTCCCTTTTGGGCGCATCTGACGATGGTTTAGTTGGCTTTCCAGTCTTCAGTCGTGCGGTATGGGGCATGTGGGGATCTCAGTTCGTCATCTGGAACCGCATCTTTCTATCTCTAGGTACATTGCTGCCTCGATGCTCCCTTTTTATCAAGTGCATTGGCTAATAGAAATAAACAGTCTGGTTGGCAACCCTCCTAGCCATAATTGGAAACGAGATCAATACTGACATACAATGATCAGGTACGGCTTCACAGCTTGGGTTGGGGGAGAATGCGTCTATGTCATCCTTCTTTCTTGGGACCCTAGTCTAGAGTCCCATATCCACAACAGCATGCCCGCAGACACAGGCATGACCACGGCCCAATTCGTTTCCTACGTTATATTCAGCGTCATCTCCCTTCCAGTTATCTGGATTCGCCCGCACCGTCTCGAGAAGTTCTTCCGATTCGCCTGCACCATCACCTTCGTCTTCTTCGTCGTCCTCCTCATTTGGGCCCTGGCCACCATGGGATCCTCAGGTTTTGGGGACACCATAACATCTGGCTCCGCTCTTCCCAACACGGGCGGACCGGATAGTGTGGCCTGGCTAATGGTCTACGGCATCGTCTCAACGATCGGATCCATCGCCGCTGGTATTCTCAACCAGAATGACTACTCCCGCTATGCGACGCAGCCGAAGCACGCCATCATGGGCCAGGCTATCTCTTTCCCGTTCTATAGCATCTTTAGCTCTCTGATCGGTATTCTAGTCACAGCTGCTACACAGCATCGCTTTGGGGGCGAGGCTATCTGGAACCCGCCAACGCTCTTGGCCCAGCTCCTAGCCCAAAACGAGACGGCAGGAACAAGAGCGGCTTGCTTCTTTGCGGGGTTATGCTTGGTCATCTCACAGATTGGCGTCAACGTACCCGGTAACGCCCTTGCTGGCGGTTTTGACTTGGCTGCCACGTTCCCAAAATATCTCAACATCCGCCGGGGAGCGTACCTCACGGCTATCTTTAGCGTGATTGTCAATCCATGGCGCCTGGTCAACACAGCAACGACGTTCCTGACCGTGCTCTCAAGCTATAGCGTCTTCCTTGCCCCGATGACCGGCTTAATGATCTCTAGCTACATGGTCGTCAACAGGAGGAAGATCAACGTTGATGATCTATACCGTGGCGATTCGAACAGCATTTACTGGTTTTCTTTCGGTTTCAATTGGCGAGCCCTCGCAGCAGTGAGCCTCTCTATTCTCTAGGAGCATTGCCAAGGCTAACAAGAAGCAGTGGCTGATAGGCGTTGTACCATGCATGCCTGGTTTCATCGCTGCAGTTGACACGTCAGTGACTGTGAGTGAAGCCACAACAGAGCTGTACTACATGTCATACGTGTATGGTCTTTTATCGAGTGGCCTAGTGTATGCCCTGTTGCACAGAATCTTTCCCGCAAGGTCTTTGGATGCTTTTGTACGAAATGCGCCCTCTTCAGAAGAGCTGCAATCGATGCAGCAAGGAAAGTGGGACGTTACGCTGGCTGAGACGACTGATATCCTTGAGGTGCTGTCTGGACACGGGGGAAAGGCTCATAACGCTGTCTCTATCGCACCTGCTGCGGAAGATGTGTGATGTGTGTTGCACATATGAGTAGCGCTTGCTTTGAACCACGATATTTAATGTCGATTTCGTTGATTATACTCAGTTGATCACTATGCTAGAGGACCATATGTAATGTCACATTTTCTTCGCACAAAGTCAACTAATTTAGACAGCTTGATTACAGAGACCTGGAACCTGAACAACGTGCAATTATTACCATGGCGTGTACTGAGATTCGAAGTAGAGGCAATAGCAGAAGGTCTCTTACATGAAGCGTTGAATCACACTTCTTTCAAAAAACGATGCAAATATTCATCATCCCCGGGGCACATATCTGACTTGGCGCAAAGCCATGTGAGCCCGGCAATCCCAGGCTTTTCACAATTCGATAGATTGGGTCTCAAGAAACAGGGGACAAGATACTGAACAAGGGGGTCAAGGAACCAGGACGCACACCTGCCGCCAAATGGTACCCCGCTCCAACATTACACTGCCAGGAGGAGCCGCTAGATGAGCCACTAACTGAGATTAGACGGCGTAAATGCGATATCGGCCAACTTTATCGGCCAACTTCCCTTTCACAATCTTGAGCTGGCGAACGCACGGTTAACCACATCAGCCTCTCGGACAACTAGTTGCACACCAACACAGCATCATGCCTCGCGATAGCACGTGTTCTTCCAAGCGACGCAGGTTCAAGGTCCAGAGTGAGTTTGGCAATGCCAGAGGCTGGAGGAGCCGAAAGAATAGGCCCTGCGATGTATGCCGGAAGAGGAAGACAGTGTGCGTCATCACGACTGCACCACCATGTAAGTCCATCCTAGAACCCTCTAAGCGTACTGCCCAGATTAAAATAAACCAGGTCTGTTCTGTGAGGTAAGAGGTCTTGAATGTAAGTCGTCGGCTCCGGCCGCGTCAACATCGGTACTCGTGGCATCCGCCACATCTTCTACGAATAGCTTGATTTATGAGAGAACCACCAGTTTGGGATCCGGGGTGGTTTCCTCGAATGAGAAAGAAGAGAAAGTTGGATTGGAAGCGGAGCAAGGCCAAGCTCTTGTCAGGACATCAGGTGTCTTGAGCGGGATGATGGCAGGAGGCAACGCCTCTACAGAACATATATCCTTGTCACCCTACACCGCAAAGCATGTCGAACAACAAGGCGCTCGGGATGCAACAGAAGAATCCTCCGATTCTCGAGCGAATTATCCCAGGATCTGGACTTTGGAAGACAAAGAGGACAGAACAGCCCACAGCATGGGCTTGGCAGCTGAACAAGACACCCATCTCCTCGACTCTTTCCGATCGGACATTCTCAGCGGGCCGACTGAAATTGACGCTGAATTCATACAGGTCTACGAGGGCAGCCAATACCCCTGGGATCCTCCAGTTCACTTCTGCCTTCTCCAAGATGAGTTCGCGGCACATGATAACGAGGTCAAAGAAGCGGCCTCTCGTTCTATCGAGGACCTCGTAAAGCCACATGGACCTATTCTTGTCAGGCTGTACTTCCGACACGTCCACCCGGCCTTTCCCATTCTATCGAAATCTCGCTTTCTCAGACAGTACTCTGGTAACAAGGCCAAGCTCCCGGCCTCTCTCCGCGGGGCTGTATATGCCCTCGCCTCTGCGTTTTGGGGGAGCGATCCTTCTTCGGCTGGGCCATCTCCATGCCAACAGCATGTGCTGGCAGACCTTGCGGCGGACTCGTTGCAGCGAGAGTTGGACTCCCCAAACCTAGCGAAGCTGCAAGCGTCCCTGCTACTTCTTCACATGATGCCCAACAAAGTAGACAGCATCGCACACCCAAAGACCTGGACATCAACAGCGCAAGCCGTCGCTAGCGCCCAGATGATCGGTCTGCACCAAGACGCGGAGAAGTGGAACATTCCTACCTGGGAGAAGAGGCTACGCAGGAAGCTATGGTGGGCAACGTATGTCACTGATGTGTGGTCTGCCATATGCCATGGGAACCCGCCGCACATCTACACTGCGTCCTTCAATACCTCAAACACCACAATGGAAGATTTGCGGAATGATGAAACCGTACCTGAAGACCTGCGGAAGCTCATAGACCCTAGTTGCACACAATTCGATGTGACCTCTGGGGCACGGTTCCTTGAGCTTCTGAAAATTAGCCAGGCTCTGCATGAACTGGTCGACTGTAGCTTGTGGGTTCCTGTGTTTCACACCCATAAAGTCTTTTGATGGAAAGACTGACCCCTGGGTATGTAGTCAAGTTCCTCGGCTGCTACCTCTAGAATCACGCAATGAGCCGATAGAACGTCGTCGGCGCCTACTTGCACTGCAAGACAAAGCACATGGCTGGCAGATGCTCCTACCCCAATGCCTAACACTATCTCCTCTGGGGAATACTTTGGAGTGTTCTAACAACGGTAAGTGACTTGAATTCTGTCACATGTTTTCTATTTGGAGGCAGTATAATAATCGACGAAAGCAGCGCCGCTTCACCTAGCCTACTATGCTTACCTAGCCCTCCTGTATCGAGCACTGATGAGCCCTGCAACCAAAACTGCAAAGATCGTCCCATCTTCTAGCCTTTGTCAGTGGTTCAGAATTGCTCTGATAGAGTTTGAGAGCTTCACGCGGTTCATGAGTAGCATCTCACTTGAAGACTTTAAGGGCTTCTGGGGACGCCGTGAGTCTTGCCTACCTGCTTCCGCACACCCCAGTTGCTCAACCCCGAGGGAAATCCAAGCTGACAGTCTATGTCTTTGAAGATGCCCGATCCCAGCTCGTTCTTTGTGGCAACTTTCTCATCTATCTTTTTCTCCTCGCATCCGAGGCGGCTGATGTGACCTGTGCGTTTCGACTGATTGAAGGCTTCCACGAGTCACTGCAGCGGCTAAAATCCCAGTCTGACTCGACATGCGAGCTGCTGATACTCCCTGTCTCGCTACGCGTAGAGTCGTTTTTTTCACAAGCAGCGGATCGGCTACGAGGCCTCTCGTTGCGGGATGCCGTAATCACAACAAACGTTTTAGATGCGATTTGATGGTGTTCTCTAGAAACGTGTGATTCGAAATATTTCATTCTCTTTCATCACCCATCATGCTACTCAGACAATCAAGCTAATTCATGCCATCTTCATGCTTGCTTATGCGCACCTAATGGCGCTTCAACATTGTACCCAAAAACAGACGCTTACATCTAGATTTCTTGTTCCATACCCTCCCTGAGAATCTCAATCTGTTTCTTGATCTCGACCCACAATACCAATTTCTTCAAGTCCTCGTCATCTGAAGCGTCTACAACATCAAGCCAGTCGTCCTCAAGCTGCTCCGTCAGAGCCTGAATGCTGTCACGCTTAGCGTGGTTTGACCGGCGCGCAATGGCCAGCAAGGCGGCGACGAAGGCCTCCTGGATGTAGGCGAAACTGAACTTGTCAGTGATTTTGGCTATAGCTTCGCACAGCTTGTCGGGGAAGTCAATCTCCTTGTTGGCCTTGAGCTTCTTCTGCCAGAAATGGCAGTAGTCGATGCGTTGTTCGAGGCTCGGGTCTGGGAAGAAGTACTTTCGATCGAATCGAGATGGGCGTTTCTGTTGCGTGTTAGGCAGCTGCTTCTACACAACCGTTATGAGGGCCATGAACTTACGGAAATGCCTGGATCGAGGCGATCCAGATGGTTTGTGCTGCCAATGATGAAGATGCCGTCGTTGGACTTCAGACCGTCCATTTCATTGAGAAAGTAACTCCTGACCTCATCGGTAATGATGGTGTCAAGATCCTCCAAGACAAGGTAGCAGGGCGCATACTCCCGCGCCTTGGCGAAGATCAGCTTGATGGAGTACTCTGGCCCCATCCAAGAGACAAGCGACCGCACATACAACGTGGGGATGTTTTTCTGGTATAGCATGTGCATTGTGGCCTTGATCGAGATCGTCTTTCCGTTGCCTGGCGGTCCGTAATAAATCAGGCCGCGCTTCCAAGGTACCTTGAGGTTCTGGTAGGTGTCCCGAGAGTTGAAGAATGAGAGGTGATCCTCAATAAGAGACTTTTTCATGTCTTCGTCGAGGATGACGCTGTCCCATGAGGCATTCCGGAAGCTCTCAAAGAGCTCGCGGCTCTTTTGCCAAAAGCCCCCGTCGAAAACCCACACTTCCTCATGAAGATCGCTGCTCCATTTCCCGGCGGCAAGGACAAGCTGGTCGATGTGGTACGTCTCGGGAGCTAGGATATAGTAGTTTTTGACTGGGTAAGGGACTGTTCCATCGCGGCCGTCGATCAAGTAGAGGATGAACTCATGACCCTCCCACTTGTACAGATACTTGCCAAACTTGGTCGTGCTGGCGAGGCCTCCCTGATCCCCATCAATACGGCGGGCTGGAGGGAGATAGATGAGCCATTCGAGAGACGAGGGAAGATTGGTGCTCTTGTCCTCGACGACCTCGAAGCTGGCGTGCCCAGCTTGTGCAAACGCAAGAAGGTTACAGTCACTGTCAATACCAAGGGCCTCGGGGACGACAACGAGCTCAAGGTGCGGGTACTGCTCCTTAAGAGCCTTGGAAACTAAAGCATCGGTGTTGACACGCTTTCCGCTGGAGTGCTTGAAGTACTCCTTCGTGACGCCGTCGCCATTGCCGGGCTCCGAGTCCCGAGTTGTCGTGCGGGGAGCATGGGAGCTCGTGTGGGGATGGGTACGGCGGGGCAAGGCAGTCGTTCCGGTATTGAACGCCGGATTCTGGAACGCATCCGGGCTCCAGATGTCGTGGCGAGGCATTGGTAGAGGAGGCATCTCGTCTTCGGGGTGTCACTGTTAACTTTGCGTTGAATGACCTGTGATAAGATGGAATAAAGAATGAGATGCAGTTGGAGAGCCGAAGAGAGCTAAGATAAGCTGATGCGGGGAAAACGATTACGCCTCAGGCCGTTAATGGCAATAAAGCTCACCTTGTGGCCTGGCTTCGAACATCATGACGGGGATCGGGTTCAGCTGGTGCCTAAAGATCGTCGTACAGGGCGGGACGCGGAAGACACGAGGGGCTGGGGGAGACTGGTGCTTTTTGGGAAGTCGTTTGGCTGTGCCGCTGCCCCTGTGCTGAGATGACGTTGCGTCATTCGTCAATCCTCGGGCAAACAGCTAGGGGTAGCTGCTGCGCCCCCAATCATATTCGTCAACCATACCATCCCGGGCGTCGTGGGGTCTCACAAGCATCTTGGCGCATGGAGCCGGCCGATAGGCCGTCTATCTAATCAGCTGACCAACGTATCACATCTGGCTTATCAGTTCCTTTTGGGCTTCGCATGTTTTCCGTCGTCTGCATGAATTTTGAACTTTGAGGTGAGAAGTTACCACTTATCTTCATGGAAACTTACCGCGACATCGAGACGACTTATTTCTCACAGACAGCTTCGGTGCTTCTCAAATACAATGAAGTGAACAAGTAGGTACCGCAGCCCCAGTATGCTGTAACACTCAAAGATGATTCATGCGACAGAGTAAGGTTGATATTATTCAAATAGAATGCAAGATGAGCTGTGGAGTAAACAAGCCGCTGACTCCGCACTGGTTCCTAGGGTTGTAGACAGGACGCTATGAGAGCCTTGCTAACGCTCTTTACTCAAGAAACACAATTCGTTCTCTGCTGATGATTAGCTACTCCAAGTCTAGGATGCTGTGTTGCTGTCTTCTTCCCTTACAATAGAGCATAGTCGAAATTCCAGAATCTCGGTAAGCTCAACAGCCGCACTTCCTCAGTCACGTTCGAAGCAACGGTCGTGTAGTGAAAACAGAGAGCGTCCTGCAGCCTGTAGTTCTTTAAGTATATAAAAACTGCGTGAAACTTAAGAACATGTCTTGATTGATTGCGAACAAAAACCTGCCGATTTATTCGCACATCACATATTCACATCTTCATAAATCCGCTTTTAATACCAAATCTAAAAGCTTTCGTGCGGAACAACTTTATTTCACAAGGTGAAGTAACGGTCAAGCATTGATACTCATCTTGTCTCCTTAGCTGGCGTCTTCGGGGCTTGAACTAACGGTTCTGGCGATAACACAAAATGTGAATGGGGCAGTGCTAGCGTCCAGGTCAACACCCACATGTCTCGGCTACTTTGCCATTGCCGAATGACTCAAATACCCAGGATTTTGGGCATAAAAGCTTGACGCAACCATTTCGCTGGTCTGCGCCTCGTTTGAGCGAAAAGGTGACATAAGTGATGCTCAAAAACATGAATTCAACAGAACAGGTGATGCAGAACTTGAATGAAGAAATGTTCAATCACATGCAAAGGAGTGTATCAACGCACCACGTCAACTGTCGTACTTGAACGTGCTCTTAACTATTTGAATTAACTTGGAATGAATAGTATCTCGCGGGGCACGTCAACCACAATCTCTTGATACATATATATACAGCTCCTCCTCTTCATCGAAACTCTCTAGCTAACATAATCATCATCGACAGCGGAGAACCACGCTTTCGAGTTCCACTGCAGCGATCATAATCACTAGATGGATATGAATGTAAGACACAATGATTATGCGCGGACATCAAGTCCGAGTGTTCAGTGGTCACCCGTAAGATTCCTCGGCTTTTCTGACCTATGGGATCGAGTTTTGCACATTCGCCCTACATCTGATTGTCACCACGGACACCTTATATGCAGTCTTGAAGCTAATGCATGCCGCCTCCAAACTCCATCCGCAAGTTGGCCAAGAAGTCCGGTTTGTGGCAAGCAATAACCAGATTTCTTCCACATATATTAGTCCAAATGTCAGGCTAGGTGGTATACGTGGCTGGTCATTTTGGTCAGGAGGACAAGGGCTGTCTTACGGTCCTCCCCAAGCGCCACGTACTAGCGCGACCGACGCACCTGCAGTGGGACATCGGTCAACTGAGATCTGCGGACCGATACGGGACGGTCCATGTTACTAAACAAGCATATGCATGTGCCTTCATCGGGCGTTTTGGAATATGAAAACCGGTGCTGCCTTACTCCGTATGACTTTTTCAGTCCAGCCGGGACTTGGATCCTCGGCGTCATTCTACAACTGTCAACGAAGATGGAGTTCCCAGACTATCCTCCTAAGGTCGACATCAAAGCCCAGATTTACGAGGCGCTTCCAGTGACAGCGACAGCACTGTCAAGCTGGGACGACTTTGATGCGAACAATGTCTCCGGTAATGTTGTGAAGGGGCTATCCGCTGCACTCCAGCGAAAGCATTACCAGGAAGTAGAGAGCTTCTTTGCTGTCCCGTCCGCGCACTGGAGGGACACCTTGGCCTTGACGGCTCACCTCAGAACGTTTAAAGGTCGAGAGAGGATTGCATCGGCACTATTGGAGCTGCACAATGAACGAAAAGTTGGTGCTTTCCAATTTCATAGTGGCCAGGTCGTGACAGCGACCGAGGATCTGGTGAGTGCACCGCGTTCTATCGCGCATTTTGACACTGATCAAGGAACAGAAATGGCTCGACTGCAGCTTCAGCTTCAGGACTGAATTTCCAAAAGCACTATGCCGGGGGAAGATGATGCTAGTCCCGTCTGTCCAGGAATCCAGACACTGTCAATGGAAGATTTGGTCCATGACTACGTGGTTAACTGATTGGGAAGATTACCCAGAAGAGGAGGCCCTATTGAGGCTTCCTTCAGCTCTAGTCATTGAAAATAATGACCACATTTCCACAGATGTGCTCGTCATCGGCGGGGGCAATGCGTAAGTATCATCTCCTTACGTAGAGGAGCACGACTAGAATTAACACCAGAAAACCCCAGGGGCCTCATCCTGGCCGGCCGTTTGAAGGCCTTGGCCGTTGATTATGTTGTGGTCGACCGCAATGAGAATGTGGGAGACAATTGGTCGCAGAGATACGATTGTATGCGGTTTCACGTCTATAAGTCCTTTTGTGAGACGCCATATATCCGTAAGTGAAGTCCATATCCTAGTCTGGCCGGAGCCTGTGGGTTTTCGAACTCTGAATCGCCTGTGAGAGCCTCTCATCTCCATAACTCCAATGCTCTTCATGTCCCCGAAATGACATCTTACCTCTATAATTGCAAATGATCTAACATAAACAACTAGCCTATCCACAGTCGTCCAACGATGGTCTTACACGGGATCAGCTTGCTGCACAAATTCAAGCTTTTGCCCGGGAGTTTGATTTACAACGCCGCGTCCTTCACGGTACAACAGTGACTGCTACGACTTACAACTCCACTACAAAACTCTGGAACGTAGAACTGAAAACTGGACCAAGAAGAAGAAGCCTGTTTTGTAAATGCTTGGTCCTTGCCACTGGTGCTGGCTTCTCCGGAGCTGCCCCTCTGCCGAAGCTCTCGGGCCAAGAGCAATTCAAAGGCTTAAATATGCATTCTGTCGACTTTCGAAATGCTAGGGAGCTTGTATCAGATGGTGTCAAGGTGAGTCTAGTCTGCCATGGTTCCAAAGCGTAGTAGTACCAGGCTTACTGCTGACATACTTTGCAAGTCTGTGACTGTCATCGGGTCTGCTAATACTGCATTTGATGTGATGGAGGACTGCCACGACTCCGGTCTCCAGACTACCATGATCCAGAGATCAGAGACCTACGTTGTTCCAATGACATACTTCGCCCACCCGATGGGATTAGGCGCCTACAACATTCTTCCGACTGAAGATGCCGATGCGATTGTCAATGGGAGTCCGCTGGCGGTCGGTGGACGCCTACTCCGGCTGGTCCACGCTATGCAAGCTCAAGAAGAACCGTAAGCATGAATCTTCTAGACCCATCGTTGTACAGCTGTACTGACATTAGCTACTGATAGTAATCGATATGATGAGGTGAGGAAAGCAGGGCTCAGAGTCCAAGACTCCTTGACTGGCGATCTAGTCATTAATCTCCTGGACCGTTGCGGCGGCCATTTTGTCGACATGGGAAAGGGAATCGAGCTCATTACAACAAAAAAAGTCGGCATTCGTTCTGGGGTAGTACCCAAAGCCTACACAGCTGAGGGATTATTGTTATCAGACGGCAGCATGTTGAAAACAGACGCTATCATATGGTGCACCGGTTTTGGCAACCTTGACGGCAGAAAAAACCTTTCAGACGTACTTGGAGTCGGAGCCGAAACCATTGCTAGTAGACTGGAGCCAACGTGGGGAGTTGACGCCGAAGGTGAGGTCCGGGGGCTATGGAAACGACATCCAGGCATCGACAATCTTTGGATCTTCGCTGGTGGAACTGCACAGCACAGGTGGTTTTCCAAGGTGATTGCACAACAGATCAAAGGTGTGCTAGAGTCCATCTTGCCAAACGCATACCGGCGAACACCAAATCCTCACATGGATAGCGATTGGACCCGTGAGAGCACATGGGCTCCGAATTTGTAAGGACGTTTGTGTCCTTAGAAACGAAGAAGAAGGTTTATGGGATCTTGAAGGTTTTGGTCAGGTTGAAGTAAACTATTCATGTTCGAGTGCCAGAATGGAAAGGAAACGCCGTATCAAAGCAGTCATTGATTCTTTATAGGTATTTGGAACAATAATTGATCCGCTCTTTGCCTTTCCTTTGATGATCTCGGCCCAGAGTATCAATCCTACGGTCATATTACGGGCAAATTGCCTTGGAGCCACACCATTTCCGGGCTAGAAATACAAGAAATCGGCGTTCATATCGGTCGCAAACTTGTCAAGTTGCGATTGAAACTGCTATGCTTGGTTTTAATTCCGAAGAAAGAGCTCAAGTGAATACGATATACATGGCGTTGGCATTTGCGGGAATTCACCGATACACATCCATGCACAGGAAGGTAAAGAAAGAGTAGCGGCTTTGCAGGCAAGACTTTTGTGCCTCCACGCATTTGCGGTGATAACCATTCTATAGTGACTCTGGCTTAGCTTCTAATATCGATTACATAGCTGTGGTAGACGAACAAGAGTTCGAAATATATCTCAGAGCATAAGAATCCAGAATCAAATGAATCAGTACTACCTGCGCGTCACTATCTGGTTGGATCTTGAAGACTTCTCAGTTCCCTCGACCACAAATGTTTGCAGGTTAATGAATTGATAAGCCCAGTTCAGATCCTGTGGATCAGCTTGTCTATCAATATACAATAGCCACCTAAGAAGTCTCAATGTCGTGAAATTTATTATGTCTAATCATTTCTCGTCTTGTGACCTCTAGGTTTTTATATGCAACATGAGTAATGTCGCCGCTATCGTCGTCGGGGCCATTTGGACTAAATGATCAGATGATCAGTTTGCGAGGGATAACAAAGACCAATGATCATTTTAACGCAGTCAGTTCTCGGAACAAGAAAAAGAATTATAAAAAGGACATGCCAACAGTATCAGAAGTTGAGATATTCTATATCTGTAAACTGACCCATTCAACCCCAACTTCTTCGCGACAAGAGGGGTCATTTTGGCAAAGACATTATGGAAGAGCTACTGCATGTGTATTTTGCATGTGGAGAGAATTCGTCATGCTTTCTTGCCTAGCACACGATGAGATTTAAATGACAAGTCCACTCATGCGTACTGGCATGTATAAGTAAACGTGTCTATTTGGCTCAGTATTCAAATATGGCTAATGATTAGCAGTTATTCTGTCTACGGAAGAAAGCCTGTAGAAAAACAGTCCTCAGATGTGGAAGCGTACATATAGAAATACTTATGTTTTCAGCATGATCGAGGTTCAAAGTCTGGTAGTAAAATTGGGCACACAAATACCTGGTTGCTATTTGACATAGTTATATAAAGAGAGCATGGATAAAGATATCATCACGGGACATGTCATGCCCTACAGGATGATTGTCCTATTGATTGCGGATTGACGTCAAAGCCCCTTGTGTGCGGGGTAAGACAATCACATGTGTTGTTCGACATTACTGAGAATCTTTGCCCATTCGAATGCATGAAGACTGTCATTCCCGGAGAAAAGTATATGAGATGTAGAAACAGCAACGAACTATCCAGCCAGGCCGTGTGTTTTACTGTAGCTGCCACTTTTGATGCCTTTGTTTATCGGTACATCCTGGTGGCACCCAAACGGATAATTGTACCTCAGTAGTCTGTATAGAAGAAATGATCCCCGCCTGCTGAGTACGAACAGCGACACGAAATCGAGGACAGCTGAAAACACAGAGATAGCTGAGCCATCTCAAACAGAATCCTTGAGAATGGGTTCACACTAATTCGTCCCTTATAACTATGAACCGAAAGTTTGTTGAAAAGTAATGTATCTGACTGGCCCGATAACCGTTTGGTGCCGTGGTCGGGATGTTTCACACAGACCGCCTTTTCACTCTTGTGGACTGTACATAGTACGTAAGGCCGTAGGAAGGAGGGGTTAAAACAAAAAAGGTTTGATGCGGAAACGGTAGGCGTAGCCGAAGATCTTGCAAAGTGACATCGCTTTACTTGTCCAGGACAAACTCAAGATGTGATTAGTTGGACAACTTGAAGTCTGATACTGCCAGTGTGAGGTTATGACTTTAACCGAGTTTTGCAGCGTACAATAGCGAGCTTGACCCTTGTAAATATGCAGCCTCCGGCTTGCTACCGTGGATCCGCGGCAGACTAATAGCACCATCCTCAGTAAGCCCACAGCGCCCGCCTTGGTGAGATGACAGCGCCCATCTAAGTACTTTGTCAGCCCACAGCGTCGGGCTCACTCAGGGGCTACGACACCCCGCCTCAGTAAGCCCACCGCCCACAGCGCCTGCATCACTAGCTCATTGGACCTGCAGCTGCAGCCTCTTTACAAGGCAAGCCTATACAAGTTTACTACCAATCACAGGCACCTACCACTGACGCTAGGCAAGTAAGCGAAGTACAGTTCACACAAGGGGCGTAGGCACAGTAGGTGAGATATGGTTTGACACTCTACATCCGGCGACCTTGCGTAGCTTGTCTGTGCAGACGTCAATACTTTCTGTTCGGCTACCGGAAACATCGGTCGTCTGGTTCCAAGTGAGGTCAGGTTTAAATGTTCATGACCCCTCAGCTGGAGTGTCTAAACCTTCCCACTCTTGTCACTCGAACCAGCCTACTGACACCCAACTGTAAAAGCAATATCGGCTTACAACGAGCATCAGCTATTAGTCATGAAGACTTCAAACCGCCCTGATGAGTGGAAAATTGAGCAGGGCCTCTCGGGGGCTGTACTTCCGGTCCTAGATATGACCGGGCCCGAGACAAAGGCTCTACCTCCTCAAACTTTCGACCCTCCCACCAAGGATGAGAAAGCACTCGCTGAGATTGGTGACCGCGAGAAGCTGTTCGCTGCTGAACGAAAGGGCTGGGCCGGGTAAGTTGTTCGTTTGTACAACACAGTACGCAGTTGGGGGTTAGGATCTGTTTGTAGCTCTCGGCTGATTAGAATGAACCATGATAGCTTCGTGGAGTGGGAAAATTATCCCGCCAAAAAAGCCGCCGCACACAAGATTTTGACATCTCAGACTTTCTATCCCAATCCCGAATACCAGTTGGGCCCAATTCCTGGCACTAACCCAGTCCTTCCCGGGACCAACTGGAAATTGTGGCACCATGCAATTGGCGGCGAGCTCACCAATGTCCCTGACGACTCTTGGGATATCGTTCTGAAGGAAAAGCACCCAGACATGCTCCATCTGCTCCAGTTCCCCTACAACGGAGAGCCACCCAAGCGACTGGTGACCGACAAAGAAATCACTCCAAACTCGCTCCACTTTGTCAGAAACCACGGCGGGATCCCCATCATTGACAAAGAGGACTACAGTTTTGTGCTGGATGGTTTGGTCGCAAACCCCCGGTCTTTTACTTTGGACGACATCATGGATGAGACAAAATTTCCACGTATGGAAAAGGCCATCACAATGCAATGCTCTGGAACTCGCCGCATCGAGCAGATCCTCAAGTACGCTGGCCAAGGTGATGAGGTTCCTCAGGCGCCTTGGGCAGAGGGGGCAATCGGAACTGCTCGATACGTCGGCATCAGCCTGAAGAAAGTCATCAAGGCTTGTGGAGGCTTGGTTGATGGCGCCAAGCACCTGGAATTCTACGGCGCCGACACCTACTTCAAAGACAACAAGACAATGAACTACCTTGTCAGCGTTCCGTGGTCCAAAGTCAAGGCGAACGAGGTCATGTTGGCGTGGGAGATGAATGGCGAGGTGTTGCCAAGAATCCACGGTTATCCCCTTCGCATTGTGGTCTTCGGCTACATCGGGGCCAGAAGTGTCAAATGGCTGTACCGTGTCAAGGCCATCAAAGAGCCCTCGCGAGCCCCTGTCCAGAGCCAGGAGTATCTGTACTTCCCTCAACAGGTTGGGAAGCACAACCTTAAGATGACAGATGGTATTCAGATCCAGGAGATGCCTGTCAGTTCGGCCATCATGTCGCCCTGGACTAAGCAGGTCGTCATCCACAACGGCAAGATCCGCTGCAAGGGCTGGGCCTACTCCGGAGGAGGTCGATGGCCCGAACGCGTTGAACTCTCAGCCGACGGTGGCTTCAACTGGTACACAGTACCAGTGGAGAATCTCTCTAAGAAGCGACCCTGGACGTGGCGCACGTGGGAGTTTGATCTTCCCTGCGACGTCGAAGGCTGGATTGAGGTTGTCTGTCGCTGCTGGGATAACTCGCTAAACACCCAGCCTCCCAACGTTCGCACAGCCTGGAATTGGGGCTTACACGTCACCAGCTCGTGCCATCGCATCTCTCTGTACAGTGTAAACAAGGCTAGGCCTGTGACAAAGGCGCGTCTTGACGAGTTTGAAGAGAGGGGCATTCCTTTTGGACCAATCACGGTTCCGTTGGCATTCCCGTCCCAATCTTGGGAAGACTATGAGAAATATTGGGCAAACCATGACCCGCGTGATGCGGAGGATGATTAGTTTTTCACCATGATTTAGTGTTGTGGTAACTGTCTTTTCGATTGGCTTGGTACGGTGCCAGATTTTGAGCAATGTCATTATATGGCTGTAGAAATTGTTCACAACTATGTTATCATCATAAGAAGATTACGCTCATCAATCTATCAGGTGAAATAATTGTGCGGGTGCGAACTATCAGAACGGAAGTCTAGAATTCACACGGTGTTCAAGGCGTCTCAGTATGCTAAATCATCTTGGCCGAATTTTCTAGTCTCGGCACTTTATTTATATCCCAGTTCAGGCAATTGCTGAGACCGTACAACATAGAATTTACTGTGATGTGGATACCTCGTAAGCTTATTTTCGGTACCAAAAGGGGGGTGCAATTTGTGGCTTATGACGGCATCCTTTTTGGTTGTCAAAGCAACTAGCCCGCTGTGATCGGTGATGATTGTATTACTAGATCGAGGTTCTGCATTGTGCTTCTGAGACGACACTCCTCAGCAACGTCACCGCTACTAGTATTCTGTTTGGAGAGCAGCGTTGACTTTTGACTGTGCCAAAAGCATGATTTTATCTTCTTGACTGATTGCATTACCGGCGCCTGCCTCTTTTAGCCTGCCTCCCGATATGATATGATTGGCACGCGGAGTCTGCTCGCAACCGTATGATGACCTGCGTGCGATTTTCGGCTTCTAAAAGTTTTCAAATCATACACTGCCTCAAATAATTCATGACCGGGTCTGGGAACACAGCTTCGACTTTGTGCCATTTACTTGGCAGAAGACATGCTATGAAATAGAATACCTGGACAAGTCCATCTTGTAGCACCCACCTTTGCTCAAAAGTGGGGAACGGGCATCCGCGGATGGCCGCTCGGCGCTAGCGTGCACGGATGAACCGACTAGCAACCCCATTTGCGGCACCCGCGGGGCTCAGGTGTGACGAATCTCAAACCAGTTGGCGCCGTAGATATGGTGATCCCGCAATTTGCCGTTCACCAAGCACCGTCGTACGTGAATCGTTCACTCAGCCACCATTGATATTGTCCCGAGGGCACCGAAAGTAGGGCTTACCAGTCAGACCGAGTCCGGCGGCCGTCGTGAATCTCGCATTCCACCGAAGCACCGCCTCATATACGTCTACTAAGCGCAGGGAACTGTGTTCTCTTCCAAACACTATTTATCTTCAACATATTCCCTAGCCCAAAGTCTAAGATGTCGTCTATACCTAAAGCAAAGCATTCAGTGACTGGAAACTCCTTACCACATCACGAGAAACGTAAACGAGTTTTCAGCCTTTCCAGACGATCTTCAAGAAAGAGCTTCGGTATGCCGGGAGCAATCGTTGACATCCCGGAGCCGTCTCGCGTGCCTCTCTTGGGACACGTAACGGAGATCGACCAGGAGTATCCTCTGGGATCATTCATACACTTCGCAAATAAGTTCGGTAGGTGACATTTGCTCTGAATGTGGGGACACGTTCGTTCAATAGTTAGAAACCTAAGCTAATTAAGTATGCAGGGCCTATCTTTAGGCTAGACCTTTTGGGCCAGAAGTTGGTGTTTGTTAACACGCAAGAACTGGTCAATGAGTGTTGTGACGACAAACGATTCAAAAAGTGCATCGAAGGAGACCTTACTGTACGCTCAACTCCTGTCAAACCTGGCTTTGTATCACTGCTAACTGTTTGATATAGGAACTACGCGACGCAGTACATGATGGTCTTTTCACTGTAAGACCATGTCTTGCTTCTTGCTTTTGACATTGCATCTGTAAGCGTTGTTGGCTAACATTACCTCTTGATAGTCCAAAGGTGTGGAGGAAGAGAATTGGGGTGTTGCCCATCGCGTTTTGATGTCAGCTTTTGGACCTCTCGCAATCAGGGAAATGTTTGACCCTATGCATGATGTAGCTGGACAGCTTGCGATGAAATGGGCCCGTCACGGATCTTCCACTCCCATTCATATCGGCGAAGATATGACAAGGCTCACGATGGACACGGTAGCCCTGTGCTCGATGGGGTACAGGTTCAATTCATATTACCGCGAAGACACTCACCCTTTCATCACAGCAATGTATGCCGTCATGAAGGAGGCGGGCGACAAGTCCCTTCGTGTATTGCCTCAGGTGTTCTACAAGAAGCAGGACAAGAAGTACAAGGCCAACATTGACTTGTTGCGACAGACGGCCAGAGAGGTCTTGGAGGCAAGAAAGCTGGACCCGAATAGTGCGAACGGTCAGAAGGATGTGTTGACAGCAATGCTCAACACCGTCGATCCTGTCACAGGCCGCAAGATGACAGACGAGAGTATCATCGACAACTTGATCACCTTCCTTGTCGCCGGCCACGAAACCACTGCCGCAACATTCACATTCACAATGTACTGGCTGCTCAAGAGACCAGAGGTGTACAGGAAGGTTCAAGAAGAAGTCGACAAGGTCGTCGGCGATGGGCCTCTTCATGTAGAGCATGTTGCCAAGCTGAAGTATTTGACTGCGGTAAGTAACTAATGCGTTTCCCTTACGACACTGCCTCAAGTCAGACAGCGGAATCTTCACTTATGGAACTGATATTAATATGACGGACAACAGGTAATTAGAGAGGTACTGCGGCATAGTGCTCCCATTCCTGCTTTCGGTAGAGAGGTTCAGAAAGGCGAGGAGATCATTGGTGGCAAATACCGCGTCAAGACCGGAGAGCAAATTCTTTGCTTTCTGACGAAGTCCCACCTCGACCCTAAGGTTTTCGGAGACGACGCCGAAGAATTTAAGCCCGAAAGAATGCTTGACGAAAACTTCGATCGCCTGATGAAGGAGTTCCCTAACTGTTGGAGTCCCTTTGGCACGGGTATGCGTGGCTGCATCGGTCGCGCCTTTGCCTGGCAGGAGATGGTCCTCGCACTCGCCCTTCTGATGCAGAATTTCAACTTTGTCATGCACAACCCCAACTACGACCTGAAGGTTTCTCAGACCCTCACTATCAAGCCGAAGGACTTGTACATCCGGGCAATCCTGAGGGAGGGTTTGACGCCTTCCCTTCTGGAGGCTCGAATGGCTGGGTCCCTTGTCGGAGGCTTGGCTGCCCAGCCCAAGACGAAGGTCCAAGAGACCGCCAATGGATCTGGAGCTGTGAATGGTACCAAGGGGAATGCGAAGCTGTCAGTATTCTATGGTTCGAACTCTGGGACCTGCGAGTTCATGGCTCAGAGGCTTGCCAATGATGCCGCGTCGCACGGCTTCAGTGCTACTGTCGACACCCTCGACACCGCCCGAGAGTCTCTTCCTACCGATCGGCCGGTTGTCATCATCACATCCTCATATGAGGGCGAGCCACCCCATAACGCTGCCCTTTTCGTCGACTGGTTGACCAACCTGAAGGGCAAGGAGCTTGAAAACGTGTCCTATGCTGTATACGGCTGCGGTAAGTTATGGCATCACCCGAAACACATAGCCCTCTAATCACGTCAGTAGGCCATGCCGACTGGGTGAAGACTCATCAACGGATCCCTAAGCTAGTCGACGCTTCTTTGGAGGAACGTGGCGGTCGCCGGATCACCCCCCTTTCTGCAACTGATGCCAAAGACAGAGACATGTTCTCCGACTTCGAAACCTGGGAGGACGATACTCTGTGGCCTGCCCTCGTCAAGCAATTCGGTGGTCAGCCCGAGGGAGATGACAGCAACATCGCCGATGCGGGTCTTTCAGTCTCCTTCTCCACACCGAGAACCTCGACACTACGTCAGGACGTCAGAGATGCTCTTGTGATCGACTCCCGCACCCTCGCCCATGGTAGCTTGGGACCGGCTAAGAGACATATCGAAGTGCAACTACCATCCAACATGCGGTACACTGCCGGCGACTATATGGCTGTACTCCCACACAACCCTAAGGACACTGTCGCGCGAGTTATGCGACGTTTCCACCTGACCTGGGACTCTCATGTTACAATCCAAGCTTCTGGCCCCACAACTTTGCCCACAGACGTCAGCATTCCTGTCTCTGATGTCCTGAGCTCATATGTCGAGCTCTGTCAAACAGCTTCTAAGAGGGTAAGGCTACGCTACATTTCCATTTCATCTAAGAAGAGCCACTAACGAGAAGTATCTAGAACGTGTCAACGTTATCACAATTTGCCAAGGAAGAAAAACTCCGCAGCAAGCTCCAGTACCTGGCAACTGACGGTTATGATGAAGAGATCAAGAACAAGAGGCTTTCCGTTCTTGACATCGCCGAGCAGTTTCCATGCTTGTCAGTCCCATTCAACCACTTCCTGCTCATGCTTCCACCAATGCGTGTTCGTCAATAGTAAGTGCAAAAGTGCGCCTTCAGTTGCTACGCATTATGCTTACCATCGTACCCAGCTCGATATCATCGTCACCTCTTGTTGACCCAGGTGTCGCCACGCTTACCTATGGAGTACTTGATGAGCCCGCTTTATCGGGGCAAGGTCGTCATATTGGCGTCACATCCTCCTATCTTTCAAGCCTGACAGCCGGCGACCGACTCCAGGTTTCGATCCGTGTCGCACAAGGTGGCTTCAAGCTGCCCATCGAAATGGACAAAACTCCACTATTGTGTGTCGCAGCTGGCACAGGCCTCGCGCCGTTCCGTGCCTTCATTCAAGAGAGGGCAACTCTCCTCAGCAGCGGTAGACAGCTTGCACCCGCAATCTTTTTCTTCGGCTGTCGTGATCCTTCCGCCGACGATCTGTACCGCGACGAGTTTGACAAGTGGGAGGCTGCTGGTGCTGTCAAGATGTACAGGGCATATAGTCGCAAGCCGAACGCTTCGAATGGCTGCAAGTATGTCCAAGACCGCATATGGCAGGAGCGTGAGATGCTGTACGGTCTCTGGGACCAGGGCGCTAGAGTCTATGTCTGCGGTTCAAACAGAGTTGCAGAGGGCGTGAAGGATGTCATACTCAGAGCTGCTAAAGAGAAGAGCGAGATCGATGATGGGAAGCCGATGACTGAGGAGGAGTTGGAAGAATGGTTCGTAGGCATTCGAAATGAGCGGTATGCCACCGATGTATTCGACTAGAATTGTTTCGAACGGTCGGCAACGCCTGAAGCCTCCCTCTTCAGGAGCAATCAAAAGTTCTATGGCCATTGAGCGCATTGGTTATGGTTATATATCTGAGCTAGCGATTACAATAGATCTCTTTTCCAGGCCAAATCAGGTAGATTCTCAAGGCAGTTTGTCGAACGGATTAGCACACTGCTAAATTTGCACGCATGAAAGGTGTTCAAGGGTGTTGCAAGACATGTGTAGGCTTGCTGCTGTGTCATGTGTCGAAGACGGCATTGCCAAAGTCAATTGAATTGTGCAGAATCTCCTCGAAAGAGCTGAAAGTGATTTGCCAGCGCATCATACGTGGCAACCCTTCGTGGTCATGCGATAAGAGAATGCCACGCGAACTTGGCGGTTTCTAGGACTAAAGAAGATTCATGCCGCTCGGACGAATTGGAAGCTGTTACCTACAATGGGCTGAAACTTCCAATCCAAGTCGTCCGAAGTGCCCAAGCTACAAGGTTGATGGTGTGGCGCTAACGTTAAACTAGCCAGCCTAAACCCATGAATTATGGGAATATAATGCCCTCCTCATGCCCAGGGCCAAGTGGAAACAATTCGAAACATCCTTCTTCGTGGCGACAAGGGTTGCGACGAACGGATAAAGGTCGCCATGGGCCCAGGATTTTCGCTTCTGGGATTGGTTTTCGGCATCTTATCCATCCTCTACTATGCAAATCAGACGCAGAAGATGACGAACCTCAAGTTCGATGCAGAGTTCTGGGCCGTTGCCGGGCCCCTGATCGCTATCCGACCGCCGAAAAAGCCTACTGACGCTCTAGAACTCCGCGCAAGTGTCAATGGAGGTCTATCAGCCATTCTCAAAGACGCGTTACCAGAGGGGATTGTCGAGACCAAGCACCAAGTCAAGTCTTTCGATGGCGAAACGATTGCGCTATACGAATTCGCCCCACAGGTCAACGAGACAGGCAGCAGTCAACCAGCGTTCATCTATGTCCACGGAGGAGGTATTGTAGGCGGAAACATCGAACCATACAGCCGTCCCCTCGCCGCAAAGGCCGCATTAGAGGCTGGTGTGCGCATGTTCGCCGTCGAGTACCGTCTAGCGCCAGAGTCTCCGTATCCGGCGCCTGCCGAGGATTGCTACGCGGCTCTCGCGTGGCTGGGCCAGAACGCAGGAAACCTCAACGTTGACCCGGCACGCATCGGTCTCTACGCATTGAGTGCTGGCGGTGGAATTGCAGCGGGAGCTGCGCTGATGGCGCGGGACCGGGCTTTATCGCCGCCACTGGCGAAGCAGATACTCATTTACCCCATGCTCGACGACAGGACCAGGGTCCACGCTGACAACCCGCTATCAAATTTCTTAACCTGGACGGACAATTCAAACCAGATTGGTTGGAACGCGTATCTCGGTAAGGGTAAGGCGGGAGCCTCGGAAATCGCCGTGTATGCTGCGCCTGCAAGGGCCACCGACGTGGCGAACCTCCCGTCCACGTACATCGACGTAGGCGGAGTTGATCTCTTCTGTGCTGAGGCGGTTGCATTTGCGAGTAAGCTTGCTTCGGCGAATGTACAGATGGAGCTGCATGTCTACCCGGGCCTTCCGCATATCTTCGATTTGTATGCTCCCAGGATCAGCCTGACTCAACGCGCAAGAGAGAATCGCTTGCGAGCAGTAAAGAGCTTATAGAAGATCCTAGTCACAAGCTTGGACAACTTAGCTAGATGAATGGAAGGTCAAGAGCATTGGTCAACAACACATGCTCGTAAACAAGAAATCACAAACCCACTAGAACACGTAGATATGTCTGAAGGAGATTCGCGCGATGCTGCTTCACCACCTTGAGGTCCTCCTTGGTAACTCGGTGCCTAACAAGTCTTTTCCAAGCCGAAATGCGAAAGAGAGGTAGAATCCATATTGGATTATTGTCAGATACCATGAAATATGCTTTGAGGCTTGTGGTTAATGTGTTGGTTCACCTTATTCTTTGCCTATCAATCAGTTAATGTTGCTGACTAGGTGAATCGAACCGGTTGACTCAATCTCGAGAAATGATTATCGAAGCGATCATTTGGCGCTCAATTATGAAGCCACAGGGAGAAGAGAACTTTGTTTCTTCAAAAGCTTATACATTTAATGATGTGGCGGTGATATTTAGCGTATATCATCGTTTAAATCCTCAAGACTGCCTTTCCAAAGTTTTCTCCTGTCAACATCCCAACAAAGCCCTCTGCGGCATTTTCAATGCCCTCGGTAATGCTCAGCTTAGCCTTCAATTCTCCGCTCTGCAGCATCGGTATGACCTTGTTGTAGAACTCTTGCAGACTCTCGGGTGTAAAGTCGACGAGGTAGCCGGTCATGGTCAGCTGCTTGTCCGTGAACTGCACGAGGTTGCGCACGCCGCGCTGTTCTTCGACGGGAACGTTCTTCTCAGAGATCTGTGGTTTTGATTAGCGTTCAACGCCGATCCTGATTTCTTCCCGTACGAGATAGACTTACCGCGCCGCAATGAACGATCCTCCCGCCCATCTGCAAAGCATCCAACGCCGCCTCGAGGTGCTCACCGCCCACGTTCTCGTAGTAGAGGTTAATCCCGTCCGGAGCTAATCTCTTCAACGCATCGCCGGGCTTTTCCTTCTTGTAATTGAATCCAGCGTCGAAACCAAGCTCTTTCGTGATGTATTGCAGCTTCTCGTCGCTCCCAACTGACCCAATGACAGTCAACCCCTCCGCCTTGGCCATCTGCCCAGCCATTTGTCCCACCGCACCCGCGGCAGAACTCACAAACATCACCTCCCCCTTCCTCGGCTTGCCGATATCCAGCAAACCGCGGATCGCAGTGAGCCCAGGGAGGCCAAGCGCACCGAGAAAATGGGCGACATTGACCCCCTCCGGCCCATCAAGCTTAGTAGCTGGGACGCCTGCGGGAATGACGCCATACTCTGCCGTCGGCGCCGCAAACCAGACGTGAACGATGTCGTCGACGGCAAAATTAGGAGACGCAGACTTCAGCACCGTTCCGATCACGCTGGTGGGAACGGGGCCACCAAGAGGGTATGCCTCCAGCCAGGTCTTGATGGATGGGTCGCGCATGCCGCCGCGCTGGTAAGGGTCGAAGGAGGCATATATACCCTTGATCAAGAAGCTCCCATCGTCGAGGGGTGCGTCAAGGTCTATCGGCCTGTCTTCGACGACAACGTGGTCTCCCACTACGGGGAGCCTGGTCGGGATTCGCTTGAAGACGAAGGTTTTATTGGGCGTCAAACTCATGATTGCACTGTTCCGTTGAGTTTACCTAGCTTCTACCTCGTTTAAACCAAGTCATGGACCTTTGTAAGGACCTGACAAGGCATTTTATACTCAAGTCAGGGCGTTGATCTTACACAGCGTTTTTGCGAGCATCGTAACTAGTCTACACAAATTGGACCCTAGCGAGTGGTTATAGGTAGAGAAAAGACTTAGTGGGTGGTCAGATTCTTCCCAGAACGTGGGTTGTCGTCAGCTCGAACCCCAACCGATGCCGATTTAACAAGACGAGGCTAGACCGCTGACCTGTATCTGCATGAGCTGGGCTTACCAGCATGCCCTATCTCCCCACTTGAGCCTCCTGCCCAAGGCAGCAACATGCACTTGAACTCTGGACGCGGAACTGGGTTAGCGCAGCCAAGGATCAAGACTTGCGGGCAGGAAGCGTCCGCAACGATGCGGCTTATCGTCTCTGCATCGCTGCTGCAGCAGGAATTCCTTCAAGGCCAGGAAAAATTCATGCCTGGCGTCATTTATTACTAAACAGGCTCGTAAGCCCAGTCATATCAAAGCATTATGAACAGCTTCCGTAAATCATCCCCTAATCCCAACCCCTCAACTCTACTCCTGGTCGTCCTCGATAATCTCCCTCTCGGCCTTTGTCCCCTGCCAATCCACCCACTTGACGAAAATGGGCATCAACACGGCGATGATCATGCCAGCGCCCAGAAACGCAGCAGTGACTCCGAACCCCACGTGGTATGCCGGCGAGTCCTTGCTGGGCCAGATGCGGCTGCCGTACACGCTCGAGAAGTTGCCAAAGGCGTTGACCATGGCCAACACGATGGCGCGCTTCTCGGGAGGCAGGCTGATGACGCCGCTCGTCCACGACAGGACCAACGGCAGAGCGGACCAGATGCCCGCGGCGACGAAGCAGATCATGACGTAGCGCACGATGGGCGTCTGCACGGCGGCGCACACGACACTGCACGCGAAGCCCAGCGCCAGCGGCGCCGCAACGTGCCAGCGCCGCTCGACGTGGCGGTCGGAGCTCCAGGCGACGATGTTGAGACACACCGAGGCGACGGCGTAGATGGGGACGGTCATGTACTGCGCGGTGACGGTGTCGTAGCCCAGGGTGAGGGTGATTGTTGGGATGAAGTAGGAGATTGTGCCCGCGCCGACGTCGAGCATGAAGAGCAGGATGAAGGCGTACGTCCGCGGGTCCGAGACGGCGGCGACGAAGGCGTTCCAGTGCGACAGGCGCTTCTTGTTCTGGCCGCCCGAGGCGATGCCGTCCGCGATGATGCGGATGCTCGCGAGCTGCCGCTGGGCCGGGGTCAGCTGCTTCGCGGTGCTGGGGTAGTCTAGCAGGACGAAGAAGGCGATGAGGGCGGTGCCTACGGTCGCCACGCCTTCCACAATGAAGAGCCAGCGCCAGCCCGCAATGCCGTGCGCGTCGTGCAGGTTGGCGGTGATAGCACCGGCGAGCAGGCCACCAAAGGCACCTGAAAGGACGGCGGCGGTGTAAAAGATGGCGAAACGCTTGCCTGTAGACGGTCAGTCCTCGCGTTCCTCGGTGCGTGGGTGTGTGGGTGTGTGTGTGGCGACATACCCAGCTCAGTCCTAGTATACCAACAGCTCAGAAGATACAAAACGCCGGGAAAGAAGCCAGCCTCAATGCACCCAAGGACGAACCGGAACGCCAGCAGCGCACCGTAACTCTTGGAGATGGACATGAGGGCGCTCAGCGCGCCCCAGACGAGCATGATGCCCGGGAGGAAGATGGACGGCCGGCTGCGGCTGAGGATCATGTTCGACGGCACCTCGCAGATGAGGTACCCAAAGAAGAAGATCGAAAGCACCCATGCGTATCCATCGTCGGTGAGCGCGAGATCTTTCTGCATACCCGCGATCTTGGCGTTTCCCTATTGTTTGCGTCCAACATGTCAGTCGTCCGTGCTTTGGTGTTGGGAATTTCCATGCATCTATCCCCCTTATCGCCACTGGATGAGAAGGACTTACAATGTTGGTGCGGTCCACGTAGTTCAAGATGTACATGATCCAAAGCATGGGCATCTACATCGACGTTAGAGCCGTTGCTGCCAGCCAAAGCGTCGCGGCACATACCAGAAAGAGATCAATCTTCCTCACGAGCTGCTTCTCCTCTCGCGTGCCGGGGACGTAGTTCCTCAGCGCCTCAGCGAGCTCAGCATCCGCCTCGCTGACAACGGGCGCGTTCTTGTCTTCCTTCATCTCAAGGGACTGCTTCCGACCATTCTCGAAACTCATGGTCGTGGTCACTGTGCTATTTTTCGTCCGACGTTCGTCGCTTTGTCGTCTCCTTGACTCGTAGTGGCTGACCAGAAGGTTTTCCCGCTGTGGAAGCTCGTACGGCGCGGGATGTGGAGATCTAAGCGGAGCGCGACGCGCAAAATGCCCTTTGACTTCTGATGGGGAAAAGATGGGGTATTATTCTGAATGGCGGAGAGTCGGCCACGAGGATGATGGATGGAGTCTTCTTCTCGAGTAAACACGGTAGCAATAACAGGACGTCAGATATATAACGTCGAGCACGCGAGTCGTGCCTAGCGCCGTGTCTGCCAAGGGTATTACGGCTTGCCGTCCATTCCCCATGGGGTAGACTTTGGGGGAGGAGCCAAAGGCGGGCTAATGGGGGGCTTGAGGTGGGTTTTTCGAGACCCGCGTTGAGGAGCTATCCGGACCTGACGTGAGCGAATGGCCTCTCGCCTGGTTGGCATTAGACAACGAACTATTGTTGTCGACCCAAACGAGGCGTGATTGGGCTGCAAACGTCGCAAGACGATACGGATCCACGCGAAGAGGGTCGCTGAGACGGACTTCTCTCCGGGCCTCCAAGTGCCGGTGGAGAGGGCGGCCTTTGGTCCGAGGCATTCACTCCCGGGTTTTGTTCCGTCATTGCTTCCCCGCGATTAACCACGCGAGATGAGCATCACGTAAATTGCATATCAAACGTAAAAAAACAAGCCATGAGTAGACGTGACAGCAATTGTGATCTCATTGGTTTGAAAACGCTGTCGTCAGCCGGGCATCTGCGAGTTCAGCAAATCTAGCATGTTGAGCGGGTATTGCTCAGGGCCCATTCCATAATTGTTCATCATGTCTCCGCTGAACATCCATTGGTTCCAATCCTGACCCATCTCGCCCTCATTCCAGACCTGAGGAATCGGCTGGCCAGATTGAGCGGCTTGGCCGGGCTGGCCGCCGACGATGTACTGCCTCTCCTGAGGACCTCGTTCTTTGAACTTATCAAGCATGTTGCTGAGACCGCGCCCAATGTAGTGCGCCACGTGACGGGCACAACGATTCGTTTCCTCCAGTAGCTGAACGACACGCTCAATGAGGTTAACAACATCGTCGTAGCGTATGTCTAGCCGTGCAGGCTTCCACTGCGCGTGAACCTTCATGAGGAACATGGCAGCGTACGCAATGGTGGTCAGGAGGTACAAGGGTACCCCGATCACTGCCCTGCGCATATCGGTGTCTGTCAAGATTAGCTCCAAAGCGGCAGACGCGCTTGCGATGGCGAGGTTGATGAACTCCCGGCGTTCATCAGACATTGCGTATTGATCTGATGGATTCGAAGGGTTGAGCCCTCGGAGGCAGATGGAAAACAGTAAGAGACGGGCAAAGTGATAATGAAGAATGACGCCCTTGGCGGGGTACTTTGCTATGTGCTTGTCCGGCACTTGTCATAAGGTCAGCCAATTTCGCTTCGTATCGGGGTATAGGTCTGTGTTCTTACCTAACCGAGTTTCCCATTGGAGCTTCCATCGACCGAGGTCGGCATCGTACCTTTTCAGTGCTTCAAATTCATCTCTGGCAACTTGCCTCGATGTGTCCGGACCGAACGTGTGGAAAACCCGACTCAAAATGATAAAGACACCAACCTGACTGTGCAGACGGTGGTCCGCTTGCGTGATGCCCGGCAACATGAGGAAAGCTTCATGATGTGTAATGGTTGCATCCTCGTTTATGACTGGAGGTCTTCCATACGCGATGCTGAAGTGATGGTCGCACACGTAGAGCAGGTACCATAGCCTTGCTTTCTCGACATGCTGCGGTCCCTTGTTCAGAGCCTTGGCACAAAACTGGTGAAGGTTCAGCTCCGTAGCAATCCGTACAGCGAGACCAGAGACCTTCCAGCTGATGTCTGATAGCCAGAAGGCACCGATGCATAGTCCTCGGACGTCGTCAAGGCTATGGTATCGGTCAAACATAGTCTGGCTGGCTAGCTCCAGGAAGGTGGGGTAGCATATGTCAAAAGCACGACCATCGTCTTGCTCGTGTAGTGCAGTGACGGCAAGGATAGCAGCCGTGAGGAGGGGCGAAGACATGCGCGTAGCTGTGAGGTTGTCGTGAACCAGCGCGATGCCTCCCCATAGGTACGCGTTGAGCGTCCCGCGAAAGGTGGAGAAGAGCTGCTCCGCCTCCTGGACGCTAAACTTGCCCTGTGCGATGAAGTCGGGCTCTTGGGCCCGGCTTGATGGAAGGTGGACCCGGGCTCCCGGATCGCTTCGGATGTTGCGCAACTTCGTCACCTCGAAGAGACTTGCCATTGGTGCACTAACTATGGCCTGGTCTTCGCCATTGTCTTGTGCCGTTTGCTCCGGTGAGTTTTCTCTCGTCATTGCTGTGACGTCTGGAGGTCGAACGGGTGACGGGCCGGTGCCAGGACTGCTTTGTGATCCCGCCAGATTGACGGGGCTCTGGGACATGCCGGCCGGCTCATTGTGATAAGTCTGGACAGGAACGAGCTGTGGCAGATTCAAAGTTCGTCTAACCTCCATCATGGACGCCTGAAGCGTCTGAAGCTGCATTTCCATCTTGGTCTTCCACTCATTTTCACTGTCTAGTAAAGTTTGGAGGCTCTTGTTGACAACGCACTGCAGACCAAGGCGGGCACACCGAGCACATTGGTTCTGACCGGGCTCGATACCACACTTGATCTTACGGTTCTGACATTCTTGGCCTATCTCTGTTGTATCAGCGACTAGTCCTGTCTTGTAGGGCCGGAAAGCAAGGGGTTGAGGGTTCAGCCCGAGGAGGTGGCTACTCACAAGCTCGGATTTTCCTTGAGATCTTTGGTAGGTGGACGTGTTGGCCGGAGGTAGCCCCCGAGACCGAAGACGGGGTCTTGTCCGGACCGTCGACTCTTGCACGTTTCATGGTCCGAGGGATAGAAGTCCGGGTGAGTTTTCTGGGTCTTGCAAAGGGAAGGTGGACGGAGTGGACAAGATAGAAGGGCGGGAAGATGGCCGAGGGGAAAAAGAGGGAAAAGACGCGCCAGACGACGTGCATCTGCTATGTTTATAAGCGGGGCGGACTTCTCGCCGTGCGGGGTTGAACGTCGCCTCCACCTGCTCAGACACAAGCGTCCACGTCCAGCAGGGCAGCGCATCTCTCGTCTTAGCCGGCCGCGGCAGTCTAGCAGCGGTTTCTGTCTGGCCCCATGTGCAGATGGGGGGCGCCCGCCATTGATCGAGAAAGTCGCTGTGCCCCGCAATGTGTTTGTTTGTGTGTGTCCCACCCCGGATGTCATCTTCCACCAAAGGCTTGCACGAGACTCCCGTCCGTCGCGGCTGGTTTTCCGAGCCTTGGCCGATCTGGGGAATGCGGGTAGGGTATAAGTTGGCCGGGTCTCCGATACCTAGTCCCAGTTGGAGCCAAGCACTTGTGGTTTTCGGAGGAACAATCGCCGCCGAGTCAGGTCAAACCACCAACGATACCTCTAGATGGCTTCTACCGACGCGCAGCCGACACGCGTCGGCTTTATTGGCCTGGGTGCCATGGGCTTTGGCATGGCATGTAATCTTTTGAAGAAGCCATCGTATCAAGTCCAAGGCCATGATGTCTATACACCGAGCGCAGAGAAGTTTGTTGCGCAGGGCGGTTCGGTGGGCGAATCACCCAGGGAGGTGGCAAAAACCAGCGATATCCTAGTCTGTATGGCCGTGAATGCTCAGCAAATCGATGACATACTCTTCAATGATCAGACGGGTGCTGTGCAAAGTGAGTTTTCTCAGCCTTCACCGACCCCCAACCATGCCGCTAACCTCATTCCCGTAGCATTGCCGGAGAATGCTACCGTGCTGCTTTGCTCAACCGTTCCACCAACATACCATGAGGTGCTGTCAACCCGCATCGCGGCAGCGGGCCGGAAGGATGTTCTGGTCGTTGACAGTCCCGTCTCTGGTGGCACGAAGCGTGCAGCAGAGGGCACACTTAGCATTTTCGCCTCTGGTGCTCCAGAGGCATTGCAGCGCGCCGACCGAGTCTTGCGCGAAATGTCTGAAAAGCTCTACATCATTCCTGGTGGACCGGGGGCTGGTAGCAAAATCAAGATGGTCAACCAGCTCCTGGTCGGAACACACATTGCAGCTGCATCCGAAGCGATGGGTCTGGCTGCAAAGGCCGGCTTAAACACCCGTGAAGTGTACAACATAATCACAAACGCTGCGGGTAACTCGTGGGCTTTCGAAAATCGCGTGCCGCACATGTTGGATGGGGATTGGACGCCTCTATCGGCCCTCAGCATTTTTGTCAAAGACATGGTGAGCATTCCTCTCACGCCAAATGCACAATCACAGGCTGACGAGTTGCACAGGGCATTGTGGTATCCACGGCAAGAACTCTGCAATTCCCTGCGCCTCTCGCATCGGTGGCAGAGCAATTGTATATCTCGGGAGCTGCTCACGGCTATGGCGCTGAGGACGACTCCGGTCTCGTCCGGGTGTTCCTCCCCGGGCATCAGAACATCGTCAAAGAGCAGGCTGTTCAGCTGAACACGCAAGAGAAGCTGACCCCGAGCAGCACGCCCCTGGAGATCTCCAAGATTGGGATGGTAGGCCTGGGAGCGATGGGACAGGGCATGGCGGGCTCGCTCCTTCGCTCCGGGTTCGCCGTCCAGGGCTACGATGTGTACGAGCCGGCCATTGATAAGTTCGTGGCCAACGGAGGCAATGCCTCGAAGGCCAGCAGCCCCGCCGAGGCTGCCAAGGGTGCAGACATACTGGTTCTGATGGTACAGAATGCGGCGCAGGCTGATGATGTTCTCTTCGGTTCTGGCAAGGCGGCAGAGAGTTTGCCTGATGGCGCAATTGTCATACTGAGTTCGACGGTGCCGCCGTCGTTCGTGCGTGATCTGGAGAGCAAACTGACCAACCTCGGCAAGGGCATTAACCTTATTGATGCCCCTGTCAGCGGCGGCGTCGTCCGCGCTGCGAACGGGACGCTCACGGTATGCAATCCTCAATGCTGGGCAAGAAATGTGCGTTGCTAATGGTTGATAGATCATTTGCTCTGGCGACGACGCGGTACTCTCCAAGGTCAACAGCCCGTTGCTCGCCATGACGGGGACTTCGAGCAATCTGTGCCATGTGCAAGGAGGTGTTGGCGCCGCTTCTTCTGTCAAGCTAATCAACCAACTGCTGGCCGGTGTTCACATCGCCGCCGCTGCCGAAGCAATGGCGTTTGCCGCCCGCCTTGGGCTCGACACACGACGCGCATTCGAGATCCTTGGAAGTGCGGCGGCTTGGAGTTGGATGTTTGAGAACAGAGTGCCCCAGATGCTTGATGCCGACTGGACGCCACACTCTGCCCTTGCCATTTTCGTGAAGGACCTCGGCATCGTACTTGACGAGGCAAAGCGCTTGACCTACTTCGCTCCCATTTCATCTGCAGCCCACACCTTATACCTTTCTGGGGCCTCTCGCGGATGGACTAAAGAATCCGACGCAGGTGTTGTCAAGTTGTGGGAGCTAGCTGGGCTCTCTGTCTCAGGCAATGCTGGTCCAAAAGCTCAGGAAACTGAGGACCAAGCCTCCAAGAACTATCCTGTTGAAGCAGGCCAAGAGCAAGGCCTCCCGGCACAGAAGACGATCGACTGTCTGCCCAATGAATACTCGGGAGACGTCATTAGCTCGACGCGTAAGGTGGTTGACAATGGCGAAGTTCCAGTGCTCGTGGTTCTCGATGACGATCCAACGGGTACACAGACCTGCCACAACATCGATGTTCTGACTGTCTGGGATGCTGCAACACTGGAATACGAATTCAGTCTCAACCCAACGGGATTCTTCATTCTGACCAACTCCCGTGCCTTGCCTTCCGCTGAAGCAAAGCAGCTCATCCTCGAGATCTGCCAAAACGTCAAGCAAGCGGCTGAAAAATGCGACAAGGCATTCGAGATTGTCCTTCGCGGAGATTCGACTTTGCGGGGTCACCTTCCGGAAGAGCCTGAGGCAGCTGAGGAGGCACTCGGCAAGTTTGACGCGTGGGTGATTACCCCCTTCTTTTACCAGGGTGGTCGATACACCATCAACGACGTACACTATGTCAGGGAAGACGATGTGCTGGTTCCTGCGAGCCAAACACCGTTCGCCCAGGATGCCACGTTCGGATATAAGAACTCGAACCTGCGGAAATACGTGCTCGAGAAGTGCGGTTCACGCTTCAATGATTCATCTTTCTTATCGGTCACTCTGGACGATATTCGAGTTGGGGGCCCGGCAGGTGTCACCAAGAAGCTTCTCTCGGTAGCGCCCGGCTCCAACATGGTTGTCATCGTCAACGCTGCTGCAGAGTCCGACATGCACGTCTTTGTGGCGGGCCTGCTTGAGGCTGAAAAGGAGGGAAGACGGTACCTATACCGCACAGGTGCTGCCTTTGTCTCTTCTCGCCTGGGAATCACAGGGATCCCGCCTTTGACGATGACAGATCTTGGGGTATCGGCGAAGGAGGGGGCCAAGCAACCAGGCGGATTGATTGTCGCTGGCTCGTATGTCCCGAAGACGACAGCGCAACTGAAGGTGCTCCGAGAGAGGCGAGGTAGCAAACTAACAGTCATCGAGCTTGACGTTGCTGGACTGATTGAGTCTGCCGAGGCGGCCGAGAACGTCGTCGCGACAGCGGCGGCTGAAGCAGCATCGAAGCTGGCGGCGGGTGAAGACGTTCTTGTCATGACGTCGCGGAAGCTGATCAAGGGAGACGACGCGCTCAGTTCGCTTCAGATCGGATCCAAGGTAGCGCGCGCCCTGGTTCAGTTGGTAGAGAAGATTGACGTTCGACCGCGGTATTTGATTGCCAAGGGCGGCATCACTTCATCAGATGCGGCGACGAAGGGTTGAAGATGAGACGAGCGCGCATCCTAGGCCAAGCTGCTCCTGGTGTCCCGCTGTGGAGGTGCGATGAGGAGACGAGTCGGCATCGTGGAGTGCCGTACGTCGTGTTCCCCGGCAACGTTGGCAGCGACAGCACACTCGCCGATGTTGTTGAGTCGTGGTCGATTGAGAAAGTTGCATAGTGGTTTTCCTGCATGACAACGATGCAAGCGTAGCATTTTGGGGGGTTTTATGGAGCAACTAGATGTTGTAATACCTAGCAGACAGATTTAATGTTGACGATAATGAACACGATGAGCCAGGGTCATGGTGAGTTGTTGAGGCTTCGGCGACGTAATCGGGGATAACACAATGTCACCATCACAGTTACAGAGTTAGGTAGGTACGTACCTAGACAGTGATTGCTCTGGTGAAGTGCCCATCGACAAGGAAAGTGCGAAGACTGTATCGTCCAACTTTGGACTAGGTGGGTGGGCCCTCACCAGACGTCTCCACCAATTACATGCGGGAGCTAGGAAAGCTGAGGTCTCTCACTCCAGGCTTCCATTGCCTCGAATCTGAAGGCATCCCCAAAAAATTACTGCCAGCAGCTTCTTGCTGGGATGAGATGGCTTGATATCATTATTCGTCGTTAGCAGTAGTATTCACAATACAGTTACAAACTTGGCAACGCTTCTCTTTTTCCATTGTATGACCCTCTTCCCCACGCCATGACTCATCTGCCCCGATTTTCCCGCGCTCATCCCCTTGGCTCGACGACACATTACCTGGCATTGCCGTCAAGCTGAACATCACCCACCACTTCGAGGACGAGAGACAACATAACGCCTCTGAAAAAACGCTGTGTGCTTACCCATGGACAAGAACCAGAATGAGGGTTGCAAAACCTTGCCTTCATCTGAGGAGGCCACGGAGCCCCAAGATCTTATTGAGACAGCCAAGGATCTTATAAAGCGGAGCGGGAAGCTGTGCGATGAGCTTGGACACTTGCGTCATGCCGTCGAGGCGCAGGCTATGAAAGTGAACAATCACTGGCACGCCTATATCCCCGGTTTCAGTACCTTCTGGCAAACCAACATGAACCAGCATCACCGTGCCCAGTCTCTATTGCAGCGATGCCAGGAGCCAACCGAACCTGGCTCAGAAGCAGAGGGCTCCTTGTTCCGAGACTTCAGGCTTCTAGAAGGAGAGCTGTCGTCTCACGAGAACCACTGGTTAGCGATCGAGAAGTGCCGATCAGTCACTTGGTTCCGGTTCGCTGTGCCTTACTCGAAGCAAGGCGCCCAGAGCTCGGTCTTCGTCAGCGCCATTGTCGAAAACGGGCATGAGTGGATGAGAGTCCTTAGCACGACCGAGCGAGCTCTTTTAGTACAGATGGCCGAGGCAGATTTCCCCTGGGATGACCCCGACGACGAGGACGGCGACCCAGAACTGGCGGAGGTCCTCGACGATGACGAAACTCAGATCGAGGTCTTGAGGTGTTCGAAGCAGCTTTTGGCGGCAGCTCACGAGATCCATGGCGGATACCGTCACCGGATACGCATCGTTCTTCCTAACATTTATCGCGGCAGGGTCCCCGCTATAGACAGGTTCTTGAAAGGCATTGAAAGTCTGGGTGACGAGGCGATCTCGCTGGGCTTGGAATGTGCCGATGAGAGCCAGGCTCCGCCTCCACCCCTCGAGACCGCCATTTCTAACCTGCTTAGCCTTGGAAACGACGCAAACACGCCACCATTAACTTCTGTTCTCAACATCGACACCTCCATCTTTGTTGCTTTGACCACGGACATATCTCACAACCACAGCTCGCAAAGAAAATGGCGCCCCAAGATTCTGGAAGACGTGGCGGATGAGGCAGAGCACGGACCTAGACTACCCAAGTCCCTGTATCCCGTTCTCCGTGGCCACACGCTCGTCTGTACCCGGGAGGCTGCAGAGACATGTCTTCGAATGGTGTACGACGCTTCTACAGAATCGGAGGTCGCCAGGGTAGAAATCCTCTTGGGACAGGAGTCTCTCAGGGGGAAACAAGACGACAAAGCGACCTTCCTCCAACGAGTTCTAAGACAGGACGGGTGGCCACCGGAGGAAAAGAATGACGAGTCAACTGAGAGACGGCGCCAAGGCCTACTTGCCGAGTTGCAGAAGCTCTCTTGCCACAAAATACCGGACGATTTGCAGCTGCCGATTCGCATCGTGGAGGATTTCCGCAGGGAGCACGTTGAAGAAGAGGTACACAAGGGAACACTGCCAAAGGTGGTCCTGGCGGTGGAGCCAACCCTCAACGAGACGAATTGCTCATCATTCTTGTTCGGCTGGAAGACGGGCCACACGACCATCACCTGTAACCGTCACGCCGTAAGACGATTGGGGAATCTCGTCAAGAAGTTGCGATGGTCTCGGAACGCTGAAACGGCCCCAATCATTGCCCTCGACTGGGCGCGTGGTTTAGCCAAAATCCCGTTCCCTGGAGAGGTATTGGTAGATGGCCCGCTGAAGTCGGAATCGCAATAACATATTGACGAGCCCCTGTCCCGAATTATGTTAATGCTTGCGGCTATATAAGCCATGCCAGTTGTCTCTACGGCGTGAGAAGCTTATTTTGAACACGGAATCACTGCCGGTTGAAAAAGGTTCTGAGGAAACAGACGACATGTTAGCAGTCAATAACCGATGCATTGCTTCTACGCTGGGTGGTGTAGGTGAAGGGTGCGGTTAATCCCGCAACTCATGCTTGAAGGATTCTGTCTCGAGCCGTATTCGTCAGCACAACACCTTCTGATGCAATCCGAATTTGTCAGCCACCTTGGAATTCCAAAGACTACATAACATAGAGAAGTAACATCATCTAGGCTCATGACATTGATACAAAGCATCAAGTCAATAGATACGTATCGCTAAGAAACATGGCTTCGATCCCCAACACTCCTGCCGAAGTTCGGGCCTGGCTTCAACAAGTTAGCTTGAATTCCTTTTAAATCCCTTGACTTCATGCTTACACATCAACCTAGTCCCACGACGTCCACGATTCCCTTCAAGTCACGGGTTTCCACAAAATCTACTCACAGAACGCCCAACTGAAGTTCGCAAACTTTCCTGTCGCAGAGGGGCTCGATGCTATTAAGCATTCGCTCGTCCCTACGTTTGATCAACTCGCTCTCATGAAACATGTCACTCGCCAGGCAGGTAAGTATCCCTACAAGCCTCACGGCACTGAGCCTTAAGCAATTCTGAATGGTACATAACCCTAATAGAGACTTAGACAAAGTTGGTGACAGGATTTGGCTTGCTGTGGACATAACATATCGGGTGAAGAACGACCCTGAGAATGAGGACATCAACATCCCTGCCTCGGGTCTTGTCACCCTGGTTACGGAGGGAGAGGATGCCGGAAAGATCAAGCGGTTCGAGGTTTTTATAGACCATACTCCGATTCGACAGAAGATAGAAGCTGTGAACAGCCAACGGTCAGTTCTCCAGGAATGAAGTGATTAGATCAGGAAGCAGATATTAGACTAATCCAAAATATGGTCTCCCCTATCTTGGTCGCACAATTGAACTAAAGTTCTTGCCGACGATAAAGATGAAGGCTAGCCGGATCAGCTTACCGAAACAGTGTTGGGTTCTATTTCATTGCCACGTATCTTGCCAAGCCTCAATTGGGAAACACCTGCATTTGTCATCATATAACAACATCAGAGAAACTTTTTCGTAGGCTAGTGCAGGGCTTTTGAGGTAACTGGTTTGTTCAAAATAGCCATCTGGTGCCAGCGCCCACCTTGTGAAGTGTAGGTATTGGCGCGTCAGTCCTATTATGCATAAATGAACGATGATAAGCTGTATCAGCGCCAACACTGAGCAAGTGAGGCTTCCAAAGCATTGGATTTCAAATCCCTGTCTTAACGGCCACCAATCAGGTTCATGCTCCTGAGAAAAGAACGCAAAATCTAAAATGCTGGCACACTACGTTCGAATGCAACAAAAGGTGCGTCTGACAGCTGTACAGAACCTGCAGTGTCACGCACCAAACCATAAACAAGGCGAGCAGCCAACTTACGCAGCCCCTTTCCACTTGTTTTCTCGTTTTCTCAATGGGCTAAAGCTGCCATACTTAGAGTGTTTATCGCTGAGCACTGCAGCTTGGGCAGGGAAGGATCTGCATGTCTGGTGACCATAATCGGAAAAAAGCGCGAGAGTAAGATTGGGCATCGACCCTCGCATCTTTTGCCCAAAGTTGCTTGCCAGCTCAATGGCTAAGCGGGTTTCGCAAGGGTCATCGAAAAAAGTTCGTTTTCTCAAGTGATGTGACTCACCTGTTGAAGGAAACAATGCGCATGTTGGTGACAGATTTTCATGTCCTGTAGACAACTGTAGACTGTCAAGTGTGGTATGCTTTATATCGCTTGCAGTCTGATATCAAGCACTGCTGTCAAAATGATGTAGCCACAGAAGCATGTTAAACATCACATCTGAGTAAGCACTGTCTCAGAATCCGCCTTCCCAACATGCACGCGGAGGTCCCCACACATGTGAGGCATTTGTCTCGATGAAAACCTTGGCAAAACCTTTATAGTCCTAAGAAATGTTCGATAACAAAAGGCGAGGGAAAGTCTCGAAAATTGTAGTGGCCCGCCAAATGATAATGGTGAATTTTGCTTTTTTAAATTGAGAAAACCGAACGCTTTTGAGCTTTACATGGCAAAAGTTGCTCGAAATGACTTTTTTACGGATGTTATATACGCGACCCGATGGCAGAGGCTCGCAGGATTCACAATTGTGTAAACATGCCATAAAAAACCCCCACAACTGACAGGCCGGTGGGAAGAACTTGGATCAGTAAAAGCCTTCTTATTACTCCACCACCAATAGCCGTGGCTACTTTCTTTTGCCTCTCTGCTTACTGTTTAGGCAAAATCATCACCAGGTCCACAATCCATGAACCTGAGATGCAGGGAGAATTGAAGCTCTCCCTTTGCGTCTCGCTCAGCCCAATTGCAAAGAGCAGTCGCTCCGTAATACCGAAAGTCATCCAGAGAAGTATAGATGGGTTATACTGGGATCAGACCTGCTGTCTTAGCGACCTATTGACATAAGGCATTCCGGCCTTGGAGGTGCCTGAACCAGAAGAAATGGTTCTGATTATCTGCATGAATGCAGATTCTTTGTTCTTAATTTCTTCCTTTTGAAAGCGGGCGATTTTTCGGTAGCCTTGGGACGCTTCTGCGGAGTGCTTAGGGCTAGTTGCGAAGAAAGAAAATGTTATATCCTCTATGTGCTGATCAAACCTAACGTAGGGACTTCTCAGATATCTCGGCTCCGCGCAGACAAATGCAGCTCAGTGTTACGGTCAGATATCAGACAGTGGTGTTTCTGCCTACAGGTGACTGAATTCGATACTCAACGACAGTAGGATAGAGTTTGTTGGCAATCTGCTGGTCTGTAAGTGCACGGTGATCAGTCGCGGACTCGTAGGCGCAGGTAGCTCATTCTAGCTTCACAACAGAAGGATAACCCAAGAGTCACTTATGAAAGAGTGACTCACAAAGTTGATTGCCGAAGATCTATGGGAGTCTTCTATCTGTTTGTAGTGAATGTCCTCATATCCTCCTAGTCATGATGTTGGGTCCAATCTTCTAGGATTCGATCTTTGGTTAAGGGCCGCTTATCGGTTGTCCGTCCCGTCGTCACATTAACGTGCCCCTCCTTAGTTCTTTCGTTCCGAGAGGGGTCTGAAGTGTTCCCGTGTATCCTGCATATATCCTGTCTTGTAGCCGCCAGATGCCCGTGGGGCGACTCTGGTTATGTTATGCTTGTCGGGCCGTAACGCTCAGTACCTATGTAGGCCGGCGGCTTAGTGAAGAGATTTTGGGGAATGAATGCCATTTCTTTTGTCGCGCACCTCCCTTAAAAACACGAAGCTTCTCTTGGTAAGAAAGTAACAAAAAGTTCTCGACGTTACCAAAGATCTCGAGGTCTAGTAATGTGTCTTTCAAGTGGCATTGACCTTAGTTGTGATTTCACACATACATACATACTTATACCTCTTCTCTGACCTTGTTAGGAACGAGGCTTGATCCTCATCGTTTCAGCAAAACAACTGAGGATAATGTATTAAAAGATATTTCGAGTTTTCGAAAAGGTAAGGCAACAATAAAGACCCAAGCCACCTCAAAAGCAAGCAAAAACAAGGCCAGTCGGCTTTCTTGTACCGGGATTATGACTTTTTACTTATCTGATTGGGTCTTGGAAGTGACTCGGTGAGCCGACGTGGCATTCGTCATTTCTCACTTTACCCCATGCTCTCAATACACATGGCTACTAGGTACTAGCTTACAACTACATCCATGTAATTGCAATGCATAAAACCATTTAGGCCGGTGGAATGGGCAAATCTAGGGGCTTTAAACAACAAGATATGCGCAATCCTGTTTGGCATTATTCTCTCTACAGTTGACAGAAAGCGATTTGCAGTTTTCAAATAAGACTAAATACTAGGTCACAATCCGTCCCTCAATCCACTCATCCCTAGCGGGTTCATTACTCTGATAAGTTTGACCAATATTTTCAGGCGGCGTCTTACCGAGTAATTGCTACTTGAAGGACTTTCAAGTTGCGTCGATTAAACGAGCGTAACAAGCTATCAAAGGGAAAAAGAGGTAACAGAGGGAGTAAACATTGAAAGACTGCTGCATGTGATGACGTTTACCCCATGCATGCTCCCGCATTGCCCACCACCCACCCCGGTCCTCCCCGCTGCAGAATTGACCGGTTTCTGCGCATTGGAACACTTGCGGGGCCAATGACTATCTGTTCATACCCGTAAGTCCAATGCCCCTCGCTCTCCGTCACTCAAAGCCTGCTTGTGGACCCGCAATTAGAAATCCGGTAGCCTGTGAAGTGTCAATGTGTCATTAGTAGCAGCCACTCTCACTATGGTCGCTTGTCAGCACACGGTGCACCCTGTGGTCCTACAATGGAACACCGTTTCTGGCAATGCGTATACCTACAGTGCCATGTCAAAAGTCTGAAAACCCCCGCATCGGAAGTGCACCACCCGCATCTTCATCCTATCGGTTTTCAGACTTTTGACATGGCACTGTATTTCACGAACCAGGATTTAAAGTAAACTTGGACCCCAAGTTTAATCGTATTTCTTATTATTCTAGAACATTCTCCTAGCATGATCTCGTTTTATTGTTCAAGTTCCAAGCAGCAAATCAATTCTAATGGTAGAACTGTAACCAAGCCTCTCTCCCGCTCCCCTCCAGTCATCCCCGAACTGATCTTGTCTTGCTCGTACTCCTAAAGGGACCGCTTTCCGGTCGGTCTCTTAGTCTTCGTCAAAGGGCAATACGCGCATCTAGGATTCAAACAACATGGACATGGGTCTGTGTTAATGGCGATACCTGATTGTCCGCATTGGCACTAAGTGACGCTTGAGTGAGTCTCTGAGTGGTTGATACAACAGAGGTTGAGACTTACACATGACCAGAGGACTATTGGTGCCTTTGAAACTAGTTGATAGGAAGACTCTAGTTTGGCTAGCTCGGGTAGAACAAAGACATCGCTGGCAACAAGAGGCTCGGAATCAGGAGCATGCGAGCTCATGGGCATAGCTACGTCGTCCTGCCCAGCGTTCCTAATGCCCGGTGCTTCAAAATGTAAGACAGGTGTTTCTTGCGCAAGTAAAGATGGGTCACGAGAGTGTGAACCAGCAGGAATATGGGTGCGTGTGTCGATTCCGTTTGGTCTTGGTTGATAGTAAGGAGGCTGAGCTGTCGAGGGCATTATGTAGCCATACGCCGTGAGAATTAGCGACTTGATGATAATAGCTGACGATCCCTTGTCTAGACTAACAAACAAGGAGTGTTCTTTTTAAAAGCTTTTTGTAAGAGTTTGGCGCCTTGCGGTCGTGAAGTTCAAGCAATCGCAATCGGGTGTCGAGAGGGAAGAATGAAACATCAATGAGAATAACGATACTCTCGTTGTTGCGCGTGTGGCGCAAGGCGCATGTGACCTTTTATGTGTCGCACAATAAGATGGTGGGGGGCAGCTTGCAAATCCCTATCGCTTTTGGCTGCTTACAGAGCCACGTCTTGAAAGGCTGAGTGCGGCAGGCAAGTCGGAGACATGGCTGCAGTGCACAACCTAACCAACCATTGAACCCCGTTCTACACCACCAGCCATGGCTAAAAGACGAGTTACACGAGTGTGTTTTTGCATACAACAGTAATTGGTTACAGCACTGCAATGTCTAGTGGCATCAACTTTTAAAGTCGAGATATTGTAACTACAGTAATCCACATCTCAGCTCTGGCCGACGTCTTCTTGTCAGGGCAACCATATCAATTCTCGTTATGTACGACTCTTTCCCGTGCATGACGAGGTCCTGGCCTGGAAGGCAACTCAAAGCTTGATACCCTGATCTCCTCTCTCATTTTTAGTTTGGTGAGGAGCAACCATAACATCTGAAAGGGGATTTTATG